AAGGAAAACAATACCTTATAGCAAATTATTTATATAAGATAATACTAGTAGAATAGAATTATAACATCTATAATAAAGAACTTCTTACTATAGTTATAGCCTTATAATACTAGAGAGTTTATACTAAAGAAGTACCCTTATTAACTATCCTTATAGATTATAAGAACCTCTTAACCTTTATAACTACTAAAGTTCTTAACTATAAGTAAGTATATTAGTCTAAACTCCTTAGATAATATAAATTTAAAATCTAGTATATACTAGGTAAAGATAATAGTAGAGTAGATATACTTAGTAAAAAAGTTAATTATATAGAAGGTAAGAAAGCTATATAGTATAGCATCCTATAAATAAATAAAGATAGAACCCTTAGCGTATAAGTATAAGAGTTTAATGCTATATTATAAATTATAAGAGATAATTAAGAGAAGTTTCCTATCTTATATAATAGATACTAAGTACCTAAATAATATTAGGAATAGTATATTAGAGACTACTACAATAATCTAATATATAGATACTCTAGTATTATAAAGATAATAGAAGTTATATAATATAACTTTAACTTTCCTTAGATAAAAGAGAAGGTTACTATATATATTTAGAAATACTATAACTATTAGATAAATAAGTTATCTTAATATACAAAGTATAGAGAGATCTAATTCTAGGATCCACTATTATAGCTATAGGACAAAGTTACTATAGACTTTATTACTAGGTTATAAGAATCAAGATTGCTAGATAACTACACCTATAACTAGAAATATAACTCTATACTAGTAATAGTCGATAGATTAATAAAGTATATATACTTTATTCCCTATATAAAATTAATTACTATAGAAGAACTAGTATATTTAGTACTAGATAGACTAATATAATATTATAGAATACTAAAGTTATTTATAATAGACTATAATAAATTATTTACCTTAAACTACTAGAAGATACTTATATCTATAATAGGTATTAAACATAAGCTATTAACAGCTTACTATCTATAGACTAACAGCTAGATAAAAAGAGCTAATTAGACGCTTAAGGCTTATCTATAATACTATATTAACTATGCTTAGAATAATTAGGTTACTTACTTACCTATAGTATAGTTAGTACTTAATTAATAAATCTCTACTATAATAGGGGTTATACTATTCTATACTAACTTTAGAAAATACCTAAATATATTTATAGAGCTAGGATCTTAGTATCTAAATATAGATAAAGTAATAATTACTAGCAATTAGCTAAAGAAGTTATATAAGTAACTATAATAAAGGATACTATCATCCTAGAATAGTTTATAAGAAAGTAGAAAGAAATTAAAACTAGATCCTTAGCTAAAAAAGGGGGATAAAGTATACTTACTTATAAAAAACTTAAGATCTTAATAGATAATAAGAAAACTAGATTATATTAAAATTAGACTATTTTTAATTTTAGAAGTTAGAGGACTAGTTAATTATAAACTCTAACTTTTTAATAATATAAGAATATACCCTATATTCTATATATTATTACTAGAACTAGCTAACCTAGAAACTCTATTATAGATAATATTCTATTTCTAAATAAAAGAAGATAATATCTTTAAAGTTAAAAAGATACTAGAATAATAAGGTTAGCGATACCTTATAAAATAGAAAGGTTACCTATATTTAGAAAATACTTAGAAACTAAAGAAAAACCTTATAAACTACTAGACTATACTATAGTAGTTCTACTAGAGTTAAGATTCTAGAACTTAGAAAAAAGGTTAAAGCTACTATTAATAGTATTCTATATATCTAGCTCTAGTAAGAAACCTAATATATCTAGAGAAAACTTAAGGACCTTAGCCTTAGTAGCCTTTTACTTAATACTAGTATATTTAGTAGCTACTACTTTCTTTTCTTTCTTATCTAATAAATTAAGTTACTAATAAAGATATATCTTATAAGTAAAGACTATTTACTACCTCTTTTATACTAAATCTACTTCTTAATAAGCCTTTTCTTATATATTATAGGCATCCTTAATAGCATTATATAGGTACTTATACTCTTATTTTAGGTGATTCTATTTAGATTACAATATATAAATATTGTAATACTAATTATAACAAAGATATTTACTATACTTTCTAAACCTAATATAGACCTAGTAGATGCAACTATACTTTATATAAGTAGTATAAGGTTTTACTATTATTATTCCTCTTTCTTTAATAAATATAGTAAGTCTTTTATAACGTTTAGTACTATTATTATCCTTAGGCATAGTAAAGAAAAGCTATAGAAATTACCCTAGTAGAATATTAAAGGAAGTAGCTAATTATATATATTAGCATTAAGATAATACTAGTATAGAAGGAGAATAGTATTATAATCCTACCTAATAATAGGGTTACATAGTCTATTCTATTATTCTTTATACCTTAATAGAATAGAGTACTCTATAGTATAAGCTATATACTCTATCCTACTTTACTACTTTGCTTAATAAAGCACTATAGAGCATATAGAGTAATATACATATACTTATTATCTATTAGGTATATATATAGGTAGGAACTTAATAGAAGGTCCTATGTCTAACTTAAATAGTTATTCTAATAGTCCCTTTAGTTTATACTATTATATACTACTTACTTTACTTACTTAATACTCCTCTTTATAAGTATAAATCCTATAACTAGTTATTCTTCCTTAAGAATAGTTAGCTATAATATTTAGAAAAATAGTAAGGTCTTATAAAGGACTAGAAAAGGTTAGAGTCTCTATAGTAAGGGTTAATCTTATAAGTAGGCCTTACTTACTCTATCTTAAAGGATAAGGCTTTAGTTAGACTAGGTATTATTAAAGAGATAGGAAGTATCTTATTAATCCTTAGTTACTTAAAGAGAGGTTAGTATATATTAGACTTAGAGTCTAAGAGGTATATAGGCTTATTATTATTAAGGAAGAGGCTCTTAGTATCGCTAACTAAGTTTTAATATATGCTATCTAGTAGGTAGTTTTACTTACCTTAAGTAGTATATTTATAGATAGTTAGCTACTACTTCTTCTTATCCTCTTTATTATCCTTTTCTTATAATTAATAAATAGTAGCCTAGTTAGTATAGTAAAGCTAGCTATTAAGGCATTAGATATATAGTTAGCTCTAGGACTTAGAAAACCTAGTATCTTAACTAGTATTAATTAGTAACTATACTTTACTTATTATAAGATAAAAATAGTAGATATAAGAGTTAGAAATAGGAAATAAAGATATATTAAGTATATTAGAAAAAGGATTAATAGCTTATCTAGCTATTAGTTAGTAAAGTAGAGTATAGAAAAGTTAAGTTAAGAAATTAAGTAGTTATAAGAAAAAAGACTAGGTTAAAGAAAAGTATATCTAATAGATAGCTAGTATTGCTTAGGCTAAGCATATAGATTAATATAAAGCTAATATAAGATCTAGCTAATTAGAGCATATAATCTTATCTCTAAGATAAGATCTAGCTAATTAAATAGCTAGATTCCAACATTAGTTCTATACACGTCGCGATAGTAACCTAATAGAGTAACACATAAGTTAAAGCAATTTTAATAATGCCTAAGCGTTACTACGCTTAGTACCCTAGCTCCTAACTTCGAGGCGGCGACGACAACGCTATATAGTAGATATTAGCTATTGAAATGATTTTGGCATTGAAATGAAATCAGACCTATATTTCATGCTATTTCATGAACTATTTCAGCCAAAATTGGTGGAATATTTAATAGATGTCAGAAATCCGTGTCATTTAACATCCACACTGGCTGTAGAACCACGACGACGTACGCGGAGTAGTTCAGTAGAATATACCTCTGTCCTGATTGGTTTTACAGCGTCAGGTGGCCTGTCATATTGCAGAGGATTGTGCGAAGACGACGTAGATAGGTGGCGAGAGCGTCAAGTCTACGTCCAGAAGGCATAAGCAAAAAGTCCCGCGTTACCTGTAATTCTTCGGTCTCGAAGAGATTTGCAATAACACTGCTGCCTCGATCGTTCGTCGATGCATGCTTGCCACACGCGAGGCTCGAGCATTTCCTAGCAGAACAGCCGATACAGCACAGCGGCTCCGCAACCATCACATTGCGGCAGGGAACCCACCGTCTAGACTCCAGAACGTGTTCGAGCAGTCGTGTCACATCACCCAAGCCGCGCGGGTCGAGGTACCCAATGGTCGTCTGGATAACTCGGAAATCGCACACAGCAATGTCTCATCATGTGTCTCGCGCAATGAGGCCCGTCGCCATGCTATCTTGAGTGTGATGCGTCGGGCTCTACTGTTGGAAGGAGGCTTGTGAGGCTTACCTACTTCCACATGCCATGCTGAAGCAAGCCACCAAAGCTTGGCCGGGCAACGTTATCGGCATTCATTGTCCTGCAATAATTCACCGTCTCTTTCGACTTTCGCATAACTGAATGCCTACTCTGGACATCAACATACCCGCCACTAGGTCCACGACGAAGCGCGATTTCGAATTGTCTAGCCTGTCTCGTGCCCGTCTGAAGATGTCTTCCGCATCTCCCGATTGCACCCCGTGATATTGCTCCCCAAAACGCTCAGGCTAAATCGAACGAGCCTGTATCCTGCTCCCTGAGACGGCCAACCCGAATGCACATGATAGGTACGGTCTCCCGTGAGCTCCACACACCTCCGCGCTCCTCCGCATGGGTCCCCGCGTACATCGAGACCTCCATCTCCTGAAAGCAGTAAGAGTAGGCTGACAACCGGCGGCTAAATCCAAATGTATACTAGTCCTATGCATCGAGTAGTCTGGCGGCTAATTGTTCTCACCTGTACTGCGTGCATACACAGACATTTGACCATGCTACAAGTGCCGTAGATTCATGTACCTGGCTCTACTCCAGTCTTCACTCGAGTATAAGATCTGTGGAGTCTCTCCACATCCCCCCAGACAAGATCGTCTTTCGTACGACTATCATTAACGTCTTGAGTTAATCCATCACTCGACTTCTTCAACATGCATACTGGTGGAACAAGCGAAGGCATGGACGTCTTGTCCAAGCGACGAGCCCAGTTCGCTGGTCCCTCAGGTGTCAAAGGTCTTATTCAGAACTCGAGAATCTTTGCTCTTGCTGTCTTTGCCTCTCTCGGTGGTTTCGTCTATGGATGTAAGTGTAGCTGCCGATACCTACTCTTGTGTTTGTGCTAATCTCTGCTTCTCAGACAACCAAGGAATGTTCGGACAGGTTCTGAACATGGCATCCTTCAACAGAACAGTCAACCCAGAATCCATCAAAAACACTACTACTAGAGGTCTCCTGACTGCGTAAGTTTGTCCAGCTCACGCATATATACGTTTCGCTAACTTGAGCAGCATCCTCGAACTCGGAGCATGGGTGGGTGTACTGATCAACGGATACAACGCCGACAAGTTCGGTCGTAAGATCGCCACTCAGATTGGTGTTGTTATCTTCATGGTCGGTGTCATCGTTCAAGCATGCGCTAAGAATGTCGACTACATTTACGGTGGTCGTTTCGTCACTGGTCTTGGTGTCGGTATCCTGTCCATGATTGTTCCTCTGTGAGTATCGGACACTCCTCATCAATGGCGACCTCGCTAAACTTAGCCGCAGCTACAATGCTGAGCTCGCACCTGCTGAGATCAGAGGTTCGCTTGTCTCGCTCCAGCAGCTCGCTATCTGTACTGGTATTATGATCAGTTACTGGATTGGTATGTTTCCTGGGTCTGCCACTTGCTTACGGTCTCCTAATTTGTGTATCTAGGATACGGCACAAACTACATTGGCGGCACTGGTGCTGGCCAGTCTGATGCTGCATGGCTGGTTCCTATCTGCATTCAGCTCTTGCCTGCTATCATCCTCGGTGTCGGTATCATTTGGCTTCCCCAAAGGTAAGATCTACCAGAGACTCTGATGAGTACGGTGCGCTAACAAGAAGTAGTCCCCGCTGGCTCGTAACCAAAGATCGTGAGGGCCAGGCTTTGGACGTCCTTGCCGAGATCAGAAGAGCACCCAAGGACAGCGAGATTGTACAGCTTGAATTCCTCGAGATCAAGGCCCAGCACATGTTTGAGGTCGACAGATCAAGAGCAAAGTTCCCTCAGTTCCAGTCTGGAAGCTTTATGGACAACCTCAAGCTCGGCTTCTACGATTACGCTTCTTTGTTCACCAACAAATCTCTGCGCAAGAGAGTCTTCGTCGCCATCTTCACCATGGTCTTCCAGCAATGTCAGTCCTCGTGATAAATCTACAACGTCGCTTTCACTAACTGTAATGTGCAGGGTCTGGTATCAACGCCATTCTGTACTATGCCGCTTTCATCTTCCAGGACCTGGGTTTGACTGGCAACACAACCTCGCTTTTGGCTAGTGGTGTTGGTGGTATCTTGCTCATGCTCGCAACCATTCCTGCCGTCCTCTACATTGATCAGCTTGGTCGTAAGCCTGTTCTCATCGCTGGTGCCATTGGTATGGGTATCTCGCACATCATTGTCGCTGCTCTGTACGGCGCCTTTGGACCCACGAGCTGGAGAGGTCACTCAGCCGCTGGTTGGGTCGCCGTCGTCTTTGTTTGGATCTACCAAATCAACTTCGGATACTCTTGGGGAGTGAGTTCAAACCATGAATACTGTTTTCTGCACTTTTACATGTACTGATCTTCTTTTAGCCTGGTGCATGGGTCCTCGTCGCTGAAGTCTTCCCCCTCGGTGTCAGAGCTAAGGGTATCTCTATCGGTGCCTCGTCCAACTGGCTCAACAACTTCGCTATCGGCCAGGCCACTCCCGACATGGTCAAATCCATGAACTACGGCACCTTCATCTTCTTCGGTATCATCTGTTTCCTCGCCGCCGCCTTCATCTTCTTCATGGTTCCCGAGACCAAGGGTCTTACCCTCGAAGAGATGGACGAGATCTTTGGTGATGAGGCTGGTAACGCTGCCGACGACCGCGCCAGACTCGACAGAATCTACACCGAGCTTGGTCTTATGGATGGAGGTGATGCCGCCATGAACAACGAGAAGTTGAACAACGCCGAGAAGATTGCCAACATTGATATTATGAGCGCTGGAGGTTACAAGCCCTCCTTTGGTGGTCACACCAACTAGGACGATACCATCTGGTTGAGTGAAATCGAGTCTTTCGTTCTTGATGGATGTTTCGGAAGTAGATACTTTTGGTTGTCACTCATTTGACTCCGCTCACATCCTATATACTGGTATGAGAAATGCTCCATGCACATATGATTGTAATGATACTTCTATCTGCATTACTTCCTACTATCTCGTTCCATGTCTGAATGATGAATGACATTCACCCAATCAACTAAACTTTGTACACAATCTTGAAGGACGAAATCTTGCCCTGACGGTGCAAATCAAATCCTTCGTGAATGGAATCGAGGCCGTCGAACAGCTTGACGTTGTTTGGTTTGATCTTGCCCTGCTCCAACCAAGTGGGAAGCTTTTCGAAGAGTTCGGCTGAGAGTTCATGGTCATCGACGGAAGCCTTAAGAAGAACAGTCAGTGCTGCTTTCTCCTGCGCGTGCTGTACACTGATATGTATAACTTACTGGCCAGTGAAACTCCTTGTATTGGTGGTCTTTGAGGAATGCCGTCCACACCAGGACATCTGTGATCTTGACGTGCTTGGCCACGTTCTCTGTGTTAGCCTTGCCGGGACGCACAGTACACATCACACCACCCTTTGATGCAATCGCAAGAGAAGCCTGTGTTGAAGAATCTTTTGAACCGATAGTGTCGAAGGTATATCCTAGGTCTGGAGCGACCTCCTTAATCTTGTCAACAACATCAGAGTCGTTGTAGTCGAAAACATGAGTGGCTCCCATATTCTTGACCAGATCAAAGTTTCGAGGGCTGCAAGTTGTGATGATGTTGAAGCCATACATTGCGGCAATTTGAATGGCATATGACCCAACACTTGCTATTCTCAAATTAGTAGTCGTTCCTGCTTCTTTTGCGTGGTGGACTTACAACTACCACCCCATATCAGAATGCTTGTCTTTGCTTCCTTCTTCGGAATAGCTAAGCAGTCCTTGGAGAACAGAGCCAGCCAAGAAGTACACGAGGCAAGTGGAACAGTAGCTGCATCTTCCGGCTTCACACCTTTGGGGACTTTGAAGCTGATGCGATCATCAGCGAAGACGTGATTTCCATATGCACCGAGACCTTTGATTTCTCCTCCCCAAATAAGACCTGCAACAACATCTCCTTTGCTGAGCCTTTTTGCATCTTTACCGACTTCTTCGACAGTACCGACGAAATCACAGCCAAGGACTGTGCCATCACCGAATGCATTGCTATCGAGTGTTTGGACTTTGCGATGAAATTAGTGATATGTGCGAATTGCGGACTGACTAGAGAATATACCATCGGTGGGATTTTGGGCTACATATTGCACTTTTACAAGGCTCTGGTGTGCTTCACGAGTTGGCAATTGAACATCGTCCTTGAGTAGGACTTGCTTGCCATCGCGTTCACGCTGTACATACACGGTGCTGGTGCTCATTTAGAAGACAGTCAAGCATCAAACAGAAATATGTGAATCAAGCTTGACAAAAGAGCTGCTGGAGTGTCACGGAGAGAACAAACCAAGGCAGGTATGACGTCCTGTGTAGACGCATGCGGGGTCCTCGAGGAAGCTAAATTACCCAGCTACCTAATAAGGAAAATCTCGGCGCTTGCACATACTACCTTCCTCTACGAACATCGCGAAACATACGAAAGATCTTTGCAAATAGTCAAAGCGAGATGTGTCTTCACATCTCATCGGATAGTCTTTGACTTCCACGCTACAGTCGATAATCGCAACGGAAGGTATTTCCAATACAGCAATTGCACATACCGTTACGATGTCTGACAGGAAGCTTGTGGTTAAATCTATCGGTGTTTGTGCTTCTACTTCAATCTAATCTAGGTTATTTAAGGTAGTAAACCTTGCCTTCGAACAACCTGCGGGCTGTTCGGAACACCACTCATCTCTTCTACTTGGCTCTCCAGCTCATCCCTGGTGTACTCTCAATCATTGGCATGTTCTTTGTACCGGAGTCGCCGAGATGGTTGGCCCAACACAAGTCACGCGAACTTGCAGCACACACCCTTTGCAAGCTTCGTAGCTTGCCCGAAGACCATGATTAGTTGCAAGAGGAGTTCACTCACATCATGGACATCGTCAAGGAGCATCTTGAGAGTCCACACGACCAGGGTTTGATCTCACAGATGAAAGAGCTTCGCGTTCCCAGCGATCGCAGACGTATCTTCATCGGAGTCGCCATCTTTGTGTTCGTGCAGTTTGCAGGATCAAACGCCATCAAGTACTATAGCCCAAGAATATTTAAGTCAATTGGTCTCAAGGGTCAGTCCACCGGCCTCTATGCTACTGGTATCTGCGCCATTGCCAGACTCGTCTGTGTCATCATAGCGATGTACTACGTTGTTGACCGTTTCGGACGCAGAAAAATGCTTATGGGAGGAGCTGCTGTGATGGCCATTGCAATGTGGTTCATCGGTGCATATATCAAAATCGCAAACCATGTTGCAGATACTGTCGGTCTGTCTGCTGAAGGCTACGCGGCAGTCACCTTCATCTACATCTTTGCGGTCGGTTTCTGCTTCTCCCATGCCGGGGTTCCACTCGGAGAAGATGAAGCCATTAAGACAAGAAACTTAGGATTCTCTCATAGACAGAGCAGAAAATTCCACCGGGAAGGAGAAGTCTGCCGAGTCTTGGGCCACTTCCTTTCCAATACTTCTTTGGCAATGCGATTGAGTTCGAGGATACAGCGGCTGTTGACATTGCGAGCTTCCAAGTCTTGTCTGTGATGCTTGTTCGAACGATTGTACTTCCAGGAATACTCCTCATTCTCGGAGGGCCGTGCCTTATATTAGCGAGATATCATAGTCGATCATTGGGGCGCGTTTCTTTCTATCAACATGTGCTTTGTGCTTTCGCTTGTTGCGTGAGTCTGCAGTCGAAGAACAAAATGTTCTCCACGGATAAAGCTTCTACGGCAGTCCTCTCGCGGACCAAGGAAGCGAAGGTAAATACACATCCGATAGCCCAGCAAGATTCTAACAGATAGCGACCAACCGGTGTTTGATAAAGCTGGCTATTCATGAACCGAATATAGCTCTCCCTCGCTCTCCGTGTACTAAAATTACCCAGGGCGTATAGCTGTCAAAATGCACAATAGTAATAGGAAAAACATGGTGTTCACTCAGAGGCAAAAAGTTTGTAGACTCGTGGTGGACATGCCTCTGCTTACTAGAATGATTGTGCCTTTTTATAATCTACGTTTTGTTCTGAGCTGTAGTCGGAGTACTCGAGTTCTCTGGTGGAAAATACAGACCTCAGTGATGGGAAGGTTCCAGTGGACGGGCAAGGCTTCACCCGTGCCCTATCTTGTGTCATTATTGCGTGGGGAGTGGGGCCATACCTATAGCTTCAACCTGATATAAGCGTTATCTTTTTCTTCTGACTCCATACCGACTAAACTTTGTTCTATACCATCCAAAAACACAACAACATGTCAGAGTCCGGCAAAAAGGTGTTCCTGATTGGCCCAGGCTACATTGGCCTCGAAGTCATGGACCGACTTCTAGAAGCCGGCTACCCTGTTACGACTCTAGTCCGCAGAAAAGAAGCAGCCGAAGAATTAAAGCACAAACAGAATGTCGAAGTGGTGATGGGCACGATTGATGATCTGGATCTCATCACCAAGCAAACCGCAGCCCACGATATCGTGATTCACACCGCCACAGCCGACCACCTTCCCTCTGTGCAAGCCGTCATTAAAGGAATCGAGCAAAGAGCCGCTCAAGACAAACAAACATTCTACATTCACACAAGCGGCTGCTCCTTCCTCAGCGACGATAGCCACGGCAAATACGGAAGCGACAAGATCTACAAAGACACGAATCCAGCAGATCTGGACGCACGGCCAGATTCTTCCTCTCATCGTGAAATTGATCTTGCTATTCTTGCTGCCCGCAACAAATTAGGCACCAAGGCAAAGCTGTTCATAATACTCCCTCCCTTGATCTACGGTGCTTCGAGCTATGGCAAACTATCTATCCAAGTCATCACCATGGCCCGCTTTGCTTTGAAGCACAAATATGCTGGTTACGTGGGTGGAGGCAAGGGTATCTGGGGTCTAGTTCATGTCAAAGATCTTTCCTATGGCTATGCCACTGTCCTCCAATGGCTCGAAAACTCACCCGAGACTGTGAGTCTGGAGAATCCGTACTTCTTCTGCGAGAACGGTAAAGAAGTCACTTGGGCCGAGTGTGCAGGTTTCATCGGCAAAGAGTTGAAAGCAGCTGGCAAGATCGAGGATGCCTCGCCGCAAGAGATCCCGCCAGAGCAGTACAATGATTTGTTTGGCAAATACTCTGATGTTGTCATTGCGAGCAATGCTAGGAACAGGGCTGAGAGGTTGGAGCAACTTGGTTGGCAGCCTAAGCATACCGATATTCATCAAGCATTCAGGGATGAGGAGTTGCCGATTCTGCTCAAAGAGACTGGCGAGTTCAATGGCTATGCTAAAGAAGCAGCATCGGGCTCTGGCTGAATTAGTCACTGAAAAACTCTCATGTAATGTGTCCAATAGATCTAGTCAATATATACAATCAGCAAGATCACTCAGAAAAAAATCAGAGCAAACTCTTTTGCTCAACAGCCGACTCTTTCTTCATCTTCTCAAAGTCAAAGCCCAATTCTTCCAGAGATCTGACTTGACGTCTACCCTCGCCTCGGTCCTGGAAAGCCTTCTTGATCTCTGGGAACTTTTCGCGCATCCAGTATTGCTTTTCGCCCCAATGCGGTGGTCGCTTACCCTTGGTATCTGCGTCGGCCGCCGACATCGACCAGTCGTACATGGCATTGATATAGTTCGCGTCTTTTGGGAACAGGAGAAGGTGGAAGTCTCTCTTGCCCTCACTTGTCTCATTCCGTAGATTATCTTCCCAGGCCTTCATGTCTTCTACCGAGGGCAAAGAGATTCGATTGTTCCATAGACGGGCAATGACGGCACTTTGGGCTTCTGCCATTGGGAAGGGAATGACGCGTTGTTGCAATACTGGGAAACAGAGGGTAGGGCGCGGGCGGTAAATCAAGTGCTGGTACAGGTTCTGGACGTGGGTGCCAGTAGTGACGAGCGGCGGATCTAAGTTGTTGAGGAAAGGGTAGGAATAGAAGTAGCCGGTACAGAAGAGGACGGAGTCAATGTTCTTCTCCACAGTGCCATCAGCAAAGCGCACAGCTCTGTCTTGGATGATGAACTCGACAATCTCCTCTTTTTCCAGCTTCTTAGGCGTAGGGTCAGACAGGAGGAATCCTTTCGACCTTTCGGATTGTATCAGGGGCAATTTGCATGCTTGCATGAGCTGCATAGCAATGTCGATGCCTGAAGCGCCGCTGCCAACGACGATGGTTTTGAGACCTGTGTAGTCCTCTGGCTTTTTGTAGTACATGGAGTGAGAGATGGCGTTTGGATATTGCTCAGCCCACTCCTTCATGCCCTTGATCTGAGGTATGAATGGCACCGCGAAGTGACCATTGGCGACAACGACAGCATCGTATGTCCTCTCCACTGGGTCTTCCTGGATCTTGTGCTGTACTTTCTGCGTCTTTACAGACCATAGGTCTTGTCCGTCTGGTTTAGCACCAGCCAAGTTGACGTCGAGGACTTGAGTGTTGAAGTGGATAAGGTGCTTGATGTCGGCAGCGTAGTCTTCGAGGTACTGAGTAACGGTCTCGTGCTTTGGGAAGAGTTGCGAATCTTGAGGCCAATCAAAGTCACTGAAGCCCATTAAGCTGTGCTGGGAGTCAGTCGGTTGAAGGTTTGAGGCTTCGCATGGCTTGACCTACGTGCGCGGGATGTTGGTTTCTAGGCGGTCATATAGCGGACTGAGGAACAAGGCTTCCTCTTCGATGCGACTCCCGAGCGCCTTCCTGGTGCCTGACTGCAGCCATTTGGGTTTGGCAAGACCGGCGTGCGGTGTCACGGATGGCACAGGAAGGTCATCAGGCGTCTTGTCTTCGGGCGAATAGTCCCAGATACCTCCTACACGCGATCGTTGCTCGTAAATATCGATGCGCTCAAAGGCCTTTTCTGCAAGTAGATATCTACACACATCAGCTTCCTTGGTTGAACGAGCTTGACGAAGTCGCGACGCGGCCTACTTTGCACAAGCCAACCCTGTCGGTCCAGCTCCCACTATACAAACATTCTTGACAGAAAACTTTCTAGTCATTGCACCTAATAGTCTCTGCCGTACTCCGGATATCATATACTCTCTAGCAATGTTTGCTATGTACAATTAGCCACATCTCTATCCTCGTCACGTCATGGACAATGGCGTCAAAATGCCACTGACTAATGCTTTAGCCTATCTTTCGGCCCGTCAGACATCTTGATTGACCTTGAGTCACGCTGCCATTCGAAACAACACTCATGCACAACATCATGCAGTATGCAGCATGCACTCGAGTCAGTAGTAAGCATATAACAAAGTCCATTATTCGTGAAGGGTATCATAAACTATCATCTCAAATATCCCGTGCGCCTCGCTGTTGAAACATCAAAATCAAGCCGATTTTTCATCCTTCTCATCGGATTATGCTGCCGATTCTGTCGAATCCAGCCATCTTCATCACCCATTCATCCAGCAATGCAGCTCCATAGTCGCCTCTGTTGGGCAGGCGCTGCGTCGCATGAATGCGGTATTGTTTGCTTGATGTTCCTGGCACCATGATTCCATCCTGGTGATCAAGTTCGACCATCACCACTGGGCTGTGGATGCGGAAGTAGAAAGGTGCATCCGTGTGAACAGGTCCAAGCCACGAGAAGTATGTTTCACCAAGATGGCTTTCGACACGTTGCATGAACAGATCCAATGATTCCTGCGGCAGTACTTGGTTGAAAGACCTCACGATGTGGAGAAGTGCTTGTTGTTGGTCCAAGTTGAGGTCGGCGGCGCAGATACCTTCGTAAGGCACAATTCGGTTGTCCTGGTGTGCGCCACCGAGACTGCGGTAGTCCATTGGGTCAAACAGATCTTGGTCCGCGTGAAATTCTTCGATCTCGCCAGTAAGACTTGCTTCGCGCTGTTGTTGTGGGTTGAGAGATGCCATCAAAGCGAGTCCAGCTGCTTCTTCTCTCTCAAACACTTGCACTCCATCTACCAAGCCCTGCTCCGTGAAACTGGGACCAGCACTAACGAAGAATGGTCCGATTACAACCTCGCCGCCAAGTGTGAAGACGTTGACGCACACATTGTCGCCGAACAGATTGAACCCCCAGGGTGAGGATGGCCCAGGCTCGCCGAACAAGCAGAATTGGTACTCAGAGATGCGGTGCAAGTCTTCCTGGTTTTCGGGTTGGGTCATCATCATCGCAGTCCAAACTCTCTCAAAGCCCTCGGGACTTAATGACACTCTTAGTAGATCGTAAACGGCATTCATAGTGTCTGAACTCATGGAATCGACACGGAGACCACATTCCATAACCATGACCTGGTTTCAATCAGTCATATGTTGCAAAGGTATTTGTGTGCCAACACAAACCTCTGGATTTGACCACGCACGCCACTCTCTGGCGGTGACGAGATGACGGAATCGTGCCTTCTCGGCTGCTGATGCTACTGAGAGCAAATGCTGAGCTGCATTCACCATTGTCTGCGTTGGTCCATTGGCATTGGGATTGGATTTCCAGAGACCAGGAACGATGTTTCCATCAGCAGTGAAGCCTTTGTAGGGCTCTCTGTAGTTGCGAAGCCATTTTTTGGCCAGAGGCGATAATGAGATACGCCTATCCCGGATGTGTGCCTGTGCATAGTCGTGATAATCTTGCAATTGTGGAGCCGAGGCTGTGTGGAAGTAGTCCGTGGAGAACATTTTTGCTACTTGGACTGAAAGTTGAATTGACAAGTGGTCCAAAAGGTCGCGCAACTTCTCTCACGGTCAAAAGAATGGGCGAGGCATGGGAATAAATACAAACGAGCTCACGGCGCTGCTACGGACGAACTCGCGGGCACATGGGCCCATCGGGACGGCGGATTGTGTTCACCTTCATGTCACTCTTTTAACCGGCGGCGCTTTTCATTCCTATGTGGAGGAGGATCAGGTCTCACAGCTCACAGGGCAGAAAAGGGCCCAGGTCGGGCCGATAGACACAGACGTAATCATGAAATCTCGCGGATTCTCCGCGTGCTGGATTGGCGACGGGTAGCGCCAAACTTCCCACGTCTTCCCACAGTTTTTCACATGCTCTTTCCCCGCTGTGGCTCGACGGGTCTTTTTGGGCAAATTGTGGGGGGTGGAGAACTCAGTCGGTAAGTCTTCACGGAGTGCTGCTTGTGGATGGCCATGTAGGGCAGACAGCAGCGTGGAGAGGTCATTGATTATATTCTACTTATAAGCAATTGGGACTGTCTTCAGTATCTCCCACAATCTTTTCGAAGCCTCGTCAATCATGCCCGCAACTTCCTCATCCCTCGACATTATCGTGATTGGAGCTGGCCTCGGTGGCTTGGCTGCCGCCATCTCCTGTGCCCTCGGCGGCCACAATGTAACAGTCCTGGAACAAGCAAGAGAATTGGCGGAAGTACGTGTTCCCGGCACTGCACACGTAGTCGCCGACGAAGAAAAAACTCGTTACTGACCGGCAACTCAGATCGGAGCAGGCCTACAAATTACACCAAAGTAAGAGGAGCGGATCCGGGCTCACCCGGTCTCAATAACCGAGGAGGGCAAGAAGAACATGTTCTGACATGCATCGCAGCGCGTCGAGATTGTTCCAACAATGGGGGATTGATAGAGTTCTGGAGCCGTTGGCTGCCGAACCGACCTTCCTGGCTGTGCACAGATATTCTGACGGAAAAGTACTTGCCTTGCAGCAGAATTTTGACAAGAAGATACGAGCTAAGTACGGGGCTCCATTCTGGGACTTACACCGTGTGGACTTGCAGAAGACGCTTGCACAAAGGGCGAAGGATTTAGGCGTCAAGCTGAGGCTAAACTCCAAGGTCACCAGTGTGGACTTTGAGAACTCGACATTACACCTGGACGACGGTACCACATACCAGGCAGACCTTTTGGTCGGTGCCGATGGATTATGGTCCAAGTGTAGAGCGCATTTCCTGAAGCAGTCTGGCAAAGAAGACGCTCCGCTTCCGACCGGGGATCTGGCATACCGCATTGTCCTTAACCTGGATGATCTTCAAGATCCCGAGCTCCGGCAATGGGTGTCAAAACCGGCATGCCACTTCTGGGTTGGTCCTGGAGCGCATGTTGTAGCGTATTCTGTTCGTGGTGGTAAGCAGTACAATATTGTACTTCTTGTGCCCGATAATCTTCCTCCGGATGTGTCGAGATCTTCCGGAGACATTAGTGAGATGAGGGAGATCTTCACCAAATGGGACCCCATCCTCAATCGTTTCCTTGACAATGTCAAGTCCGTCGACAAATGGAAGTTGATGCACCGTCCAGAGTTAGATAGCTGGGTCAGCAAGAAGAGTAATTTCGTCTTCCTTGGAGATTCTTGGTGAGAGTTGTTGTCTTGCCACGGATATGGTCACCCATGCTAACAAAGCCTAGCCATCCCATGCTACCCTACCTAGCTCAAGGTGCAAACTCGTCGCTAGAGGATGGCGCCGTCCTCGGAAACCTGCTCGCTGTAGTGAAGAGTAAAGAGCAACTACCCGAGGCGTTGCGTCTGTACGAGAACCTGAGAAAGAAGCGTGGTGAAGCCATTGTTCGCGAGACCTTTGCCCAAAGGAATGACTTCCACATGATGGATGGAGAAGAGCAACGAGCGCGCGACGAGCTGTTCGCGAGTCAACTGGGCAAGGAAGAGCCCGAGGTCAAGTTCCCGAGTCGTTGGTGAGCGAGAGAAACTGCCGATAGTCACGATTTCATGCTGACATCAATTTGTAGGACTTGCCCAGTGGTACAGCCATGGCTCTACGGCTATGATGCAAGGAAAGAGGTAGACGATGCCTTGAAAGGATCATCACTGGCTCAGTAAACACTTGCTACCATGAAACAATGATGTTCCCGTATCAATACCCTGCACTGAGAGACTGCGACGATGTCATATCATACCACGTCGGTCATATTACATCGCCGACACAGACGACTTCCTTCCCTATGTCTGTTCGTCATCTGGGAGTCACTGTCGGCAGCCATTGGCATGGACGTTGCTTTTCAATTCGGTCCTGTTGTCGGTTATTCACATTTGCGCATTTAGCCTGTACGCGTGCCTTGTAAGATACATGAAAGAGAGAACCCGACAGCATAGAAAAGGCGTTAAGTCGGGCCTTCTGTGTGAAGCACGCCAAATAATCCTTTCTCCACGAAATATGCCGAGCACCTCCGCAGTGAGGCCGATTTTCTGGGATGTCACCGTGACCCCACAGCTTCGAGAAAAAACGGAAGGTGCGAAGTGGCTTTCGCCAAAAGTCCTCTCTTCGTCATGTTTTGGTGATAAGAATTCAGGCCGGTGAAGCCACAAGTGCTTCGCTCATCACCGAATTGTGGTTGATCCCACGTTGAAGCCTAAAAAGATGGTCTCGCCCACCGGGGTCGCTTCTTGTGTGTTTCGCTCGCTGGAAACGGTCATCCCGCGACTTCAAAGCGGCCTGTCCGTACAGAAAAAGACGCGCTCCGACGAGCGAGGTCTCATCTCGGTTCAACTCGTTTGCAACTTGCTTCCTTCTCGGTCGCTCTTTGTCCGAATGTTTAAGCCACCGATGCCGTTCGGCTCGCTGCGTAGCCGTACCCGCAATTCTTGCCCTCTGCCTCCTGGTAGGGCTTGTCTTCTCCACGCAGCTCTCCACATTCTTCTCAACGCGGAGCTTCTCTGCAGTAAACCCGACTATACAGTGGTGCAGGATTTCCTCGACTTCACTGGTCGACGTTAACGTGGGGACGCTGCATCAATATGCAAGAGTGCCCTACCTGCCGGCCCCAGATAGGACATGATCAGTACAGTCAAGTGAAGTAGCCAATGGCTTACACGAATCACACATGGAGAGGAGAAACCCTTCGACGTGCATCCTTTATGAAACCATCTCGCCGTTCACTCATTCAACTTGAGCTCATTCACTGCCAGACCGTGTTAAACTCAACAATACAACACAGCGGCTTCCTGAGCTATGTCCGATAAACTACAAGAATCTAGGATTCATGATGTTGAGAAATTGAGGTCGCCTAAAGACACAAGCAGTGTTCGATTGCCGGTTGCTAGCAATGACCCGAACGATCCTCTGGTAAGTCGTTCACCTTGATACATGTCGGTGATGCCTCTTGACGCATCTGTAGAACTGGCCGTTACCTGTCAAGGTCTCGGTCTATCTTACGGTCTGCTTCTTAACATTCATCGCCAATGTGAATGGCAGCAACTTCACTGTCGCTATAGTGTCACTCCGGAAGCGCTTCCACTTAGATGCTACAGATGCAACTCTTCTGGTCGGACTGAACGTCCTCATGTTTGGGGTCGGTAATATCCTCTGGGTACCTCTGATGCGAGTGCTTGGTAAACGTCCCGTATACCTTATGGCCTTGACGATCTTGACTGCGGCCAATATCTGGAGTGCCTTTGCACAATCTTGGGGCAGTCTACTGGGCGGACGTATGCTCAGTGGTGTTGGTGCTGCTTGTGCTGATGCCACAGTCCCCTCTCTCGTAGCTGAGATGTTCTTCTTCGACCAGCGCGGCCACTGCATGATGTTTTTTCATGTAGCCTTGTCATCAGGTCTCTTCTTGGGGCCACTTATCAATGCGTATATCGTCGAACTACATGGCTGGCGTTGGAGTTGTGGCTTCATTGCCATCTTCTCTGGCGTCTTGCTCATTTGCACCTTCTTTCTTGTTCGAGAAACGCAGTACACCAGACCACGTATCCAGCATCCTGAGGATAGTATACCAACCAAGAGAAGCTATGTTAGATGGCTCTCCCCGACGATCGGATACAATCCTCAAGGCCATTTTGTACGCACATTCTGGGATATCCTGCGTATGGCCACTTACCCACCCGTCTTTTGGGCTGGTATCCTCATTGGCTGTTTCGTCAGCTGGACCATCGTTGTCCAAATTACTACAACGCAGACCTTCACGAAACCACCATACCGATGGACTACAGGCGCGGTCGGTCTTTTCTCTCTATCTGCCTTCATCGGCGCCATGCTGTCATTTTACGCTGGAGGTCGTCTAATCGATCTCATCGCCAATCGAGCCCGTCAACGCGCTTCGCATCCTCGCCCAGAGATTAGACTTGTCGCTCTAATCATCCCTGCCATTATCGGCCCACTAGGAATCATCACATACGGCCAATGTGCCGCACACAAAACAGCATGGGTGGGCCCAGCGTTTGGCTACGGCATGCACGCTTTTGCTCTCACATCTCTCAGCAACATAGTCGTCACGTACGTAGTCGACTGCTACTCACAGTACGCCGGCGAAGCACTGGTGATCGTGTTCGTGATCCGCAATGCCATTGCCTGTATTTTGAGCATGTACTCTAGCGATTGGATTGCTGAACAAGGAGCTTCGATTGTGTTTGGTGAGATGGCGGCTATACAGTATTTTTTGCTGTTGTTTGCTGTGCCGCTCTATTTCTGTGGTCCTGCTTTGCTGAAGTTTACGGCTACTTATGGACCTATGTCGAGGGTGGCGGTCTAGATTTAGTATACACGTACTGAGATACAAGAGTATGACAAGGTTACAGAATGCATAGGTAACAGGAGAATCAAGAGAAGACAAAAAAGAAAAAAAAGAGGAAAAAGAAAAACCAGTCTGGCCATATCTCGGTGGACACAGCATTTTTTGCAGAAGTATTGTGCATATCTACAGCTATACTATGACAGTCCTTGGTACACGGCGGGGTAGAGGTAATACTCGTCGGCGCTTGACGAGCATTGGTAGGTCAACGAGAGGCACGAAAGATGGCATGGCAGGGTTCGACTTTTAGAGTTGACAATTCGAGATGTGGATTTCGTGATTTTTCCTCCACCCAACGACCATGATATCTTCAGCTCATGCTATCGGGGTAGAGGGCCATGTATAGTACTGACTGGGATCGTCAAAAGGCCCAAATTTGGTTCAGTGAAGGTATGGTGCTTGATTTATGTCGTTGAGCACTTGCTGTTGAGATGACCCTGGCTGTCAAGCCTCCAAACTTCAACTTCTGAAGTGCCATCAAATCACAAAGTATCAAGAATGAGGATCTAAGAAAAAATAAAGGCACAATTTGATATGATTCAAACACCTCATTGACACCCTCTCTCATCTCAGGGCAATCTAACAACGCTCATAGCACCACCTATTCCTCGTCTAAAAAGCTCAGGCCCTGCATAGCAGTTCCACCACAAGCTCTCTCCAAAGCCAAGAACGCAAAATGACTACCAATGACTGGTCTGGCGAAGAAGTTGGGGCCAGGGAAACCACCTTCACCCTCTGTTTCGTAAAGATCGGTAAAAGGTCTATCAGTGACAGTCTCATTCAGCCACTTGGAAACTCTATCCAGAATCTGTGTTCGAGTCTTGCGGGAAGCGACTGCTGCGGCTTGGAACTCCCAATCGGATTTGGTGTAAAGATGGCGTGAGTCTAGCGGAAGTCCGTACTTTTGCATCACCACAGCGTACCAGTCAGATTGCATCTTGTAGATGTGGTTGGGTATAAAGTCGTGCGTTGGTGGCTCGAGGATGGGGGTTTGCTTGTTACCCGATACTTGGGCATAGTCGTCGGCAGACTGAGCGCTGCTGCCATTGGTCGTCGAAGGATGGAAGCATAGCAGTGCATCGGCGTACAGTGAGTAAAGAGTAGTCCAGCTACCATACCAGTTGTAAGCAAGCTTTGCATGGGTGCCATCGCGTGATATGGCGAGCTCTTCCCAGCGCTTGACGTAGGTATCCGAGATATTGCGGAAGTGTTTTGCTTCATCATTCTTGTCCATGACTGTAGCCAGCTCGCTCATGGCTCGGATGCCGACAATACCTTTCAGAGCCAAGTTACTGTGGAGGGCCAGCCACCCAGCAAAGTCATCGGTTGATAATTGGTTCTCAGGCTCCAGACTGTAGTCGACCAGATAAGATGTCCATTGCTTCCACAAGCTGTACGACTTTTCGAGCCACTTGCGGGCCTGCTTCACGCCTTGAGTCGAACCACCCCAACGGTCATCGAGACCAATGATGTCGTCCCGACCTTCCAAAGTGGCCAAAGCGAAAGGACTGACCTCATCAGGTAGTGGAATGTGATCACTGCCGACGTCAGCCCAAATCGACTGAGGCTCATGCCCAGAGCCATAGGTCAACGAATTGACCAGAGCAAGACCCATGATCAACATATCTCCGCACTCTTCGACCGGCATGTATTCGTCTTTACCATCAGCATGTCCTGTCAGATTTGGGAAGTGGGTACCTAGATCGTGCATGCTGTAGTCGTTTGGATATTGGCCGGAAAGCATGTGCTCAAGCAGGGGCTCGAGAAGGTATGCCAGCCATCGAGGTTGAGTGTAGAGGAAGAAAGGGAATGCTGGAAAGATGACGTCGACAGTCTGGCTGTTACCATTGGAGGAGATCTCTTTGAGGAAGAGAAGGGGGTTATCCTGGGTGCCTGAGAAGCTAGTGGCTCCCATGGTCTGACGAGCTGAAAGAGCAACAATATCGACATAAGAGTCGGAACCAGACTGGTATGCGTCAATAGCGAGCTGGTCAGAGTAGTTCTGCGCAAGCTTTTGAGCATTATTGAAATCCAAGTAATGGAACGAAGTCAGATTATCATCCGAGTGGAACCATGTCTTCCAGAGGGGACGCATGAAAGTCAAGCCTCGTGCAGAGGCGTACTGAGTGACAGGGTCTTGAATATGGGCAATGGTAAAGAGAGCGCTCTCCGAGGTTGCCTTTTTGTGACTGGTGATGTTAGGAGCCAGATTGAAGGACTTTGAGAAGGCAAAAACGGGCTCGTCTCGCATGATGCTTCGGAAGTGGTTGTCGTTTTCATTCTGCAGCGTACCAGTACGAGAGAAGCGGTTTCTCAGGACTCCCGATGTTCCACTCTCGTGGCGGACATCCTGTATGACTCGTCAGCTTCATATAGCAGCAATCTACCCAGGAAGAGTGTCATGCTCACCGAGGGACCAGTGAAGCGCAGGCTTCCCCACTCGGCGCGATCACTCCATTCTGTAAACAGGAGCTCATCCTTTCTCTTGACAACCCAGCTCTTCAGCTTCTCAGTCTCAGAATTCTCAAGATCCCAAACTATTTCTGCACCCCTATCTCCGCTGACCCACTGTCCGTTCAAGTCGATGTACACGTCAATGTCAAATGTTCCTGTGGCATGGATACTGAGGTACGAGGCCGGAATAGATTGGCGGAGAGTGGAAGAAGGCGTAACTGGAGACAGGAAAGACAGGACGATCTCGACGTGGTCCGACGTCGAATTGTGAGATGGGATGTGGTAGGTCAAGTTTGTTACAGAAGCGTCATACTGTGCGCCTTTGTAGACGGGATAAGAAATATTGTAGCTACCGAGTCAGTCAGCGACACGTCCAAGAGATAAGTCGTAGAGACAGACGTGTGATCATCCTCATCTAAGGAGTCCTGAGGGCGACCGAGCAGAGGATAGGTGTGTCTGGTCTCAGGTACACTGGCTAAGACGGAGAAACCGATCTACATGGGCTGTTAGACGTGATCAGAACAGGCACAAGCCTCTCGCTACACACCTCCTCGCCAGTATAAAACATGGGCCACTTGGACCATGGATTGTCTCTAGCGTTACCGAGCCAGGTTGAAAGGTAAGGGTTCCTGACGATCAAAGGCAATACTGGTGGATTCAGGGTTGAAGCAGCACCCGACGAGACCAGCGAGGTCACGGCAGCCACGATTTGCAGCTTCATGATCTAGAATCTATCCAAGACGGGACGGCAACAGATGACAATAATACAGTCCCGCTGATCTATAAAGATATGAGGATGGAGGGGAAAAGAGAGAGTGAAGATAAGAACTTGGAAGCGGATAGCTCAAAACTTCACTAGCGCACTCATGAAGAAGTTGAATGTGCGAGGAGGAAGGAGGGATGGTCCTGCTGACCCGCTCAAATCCTAGCCGACACAGACACGCGAATGGCTGTGTAGCACATGTTCAAGATCTACATCGGTGGCTTGTGTGCCTTGCAGCTTCCCCCACGTTTCATAGCGGGGTACATCTCCTACCCTCAATGCGATAGGGTTACTTGCATCTACTGTAACCACTGTCATGGGCAATTAGATGGAAGTATCTCCGAAGTATCCGTACATGAGACGCGTGACTGTGTGCCATGATATATAAACCTGTTGCGTCGCTAGAAAAGAGATGGCTAGTTATCCATAGCCGAGGGGTTCGATCCATGCTGACACTGACATGTGAATCCCCAGTTTTCTTTTCTCTTGGCTTTTCGTACACGTCACCACTCAGAGACGACCTGTCAACACCTTCCATCCACAATCAACTGTTCCAAGGAAGACTCTTGGAGCATCTCATCAACTCCGGACTCAGCGTTGGTTGTGGGATGTTCTGGTCCATCTGTACCTGCTGGCATTATCTCTGAGAGGATCGGTCTCCTCCCTGTGTGCTAAAGACTGTCATAGTGCAGCTATCGAAATGCAAAATACTCTCTTGATCCAGGGTACTGCCATAGAGACGCCATGAGCGAACAGTCTCTCTGTGGGCAGAAGTGCTCCAATTCATGACAGGGACGCCGAGCTGGTCTTGTGTGACAAGGATGGATGTATCGGGGATGTTGATCTGGTAGCTCTTCTCTTAGAAATGCTTCCAAACCATTCCTTGATTCTCGCTCCACTGCGTCTCCTGAGGCTTGATGGTGGTGTGTCCGTGATCTGCTGCGCAATTCCCACAGGTGTAGGAGTTTGTACCGCCTGCTTACGACCGACCGTCTTCATACTGCTGATGTGCTCTCGTTCGCTCTGCTCCAAGGTTTCTGGCTGAGGGTCTGTAGAGGAAAGCTGTCCGGACTCTGGCAAATTCTCGATGGGGATATATGGCTCTGGGTCTAGGATCGACATGTCCATCTCTGGAAGGACGGGGATCTCTGCGTCAAGCTTTGTAGGGGAAGAAGGCTCGGTACGCGAAGATGTGGGAACCAGACATATGGTCGGTGGATAGGACAGTCTGCGAAGTCTTGACGCGTCTTGGATCTCTGCGGCCAGGCTTGGAGATTCGTTGATTGCACTCATGCAGGAACTGCTACTGGTTCGGCTAAGGTCCAGATGGGAGTTATGAGCGCGGACATGGGGGCCTCCTCTTATGTGATAGCGGAAGGTAGCGTATGGCTGATTGAGTGGATCCAGGAGAGCATACTGATGGAAGCTTTGAGGGTGATGCTCCTTGAGGCGGCCCCAGTTGACAAGGTCGAAACCCTGTTCGCCCGTGGGCGGCATCTCGTCGAACTGTCTGGACGCCCTGCGTCTTCCCCTGGCGCGGTATGCCAGAAGGTCAAAGTCCTGGTCTTCACCTGTAGCGCGGAAGAAGAAGGCGCGCTTGTCGACAGTGCGCCAACCACCATGATCTTCTCCTCGGAAGAAAGCCCACATGGTCTTGCCTTTCCATTCTTCTGCCTCTCCGACACCCCAGCTGACGATACACTCGCCGTCGAGAATAAGCTTGAAGAAGACGTATTTTGTCGGCGCGTGGGCGGGTGCGAGCATGGCTGGGTTGACGGTGTAGGATATCCAAAACTGAGAGGCGAGGTAGGACGGAACGTAAACATCGACTAGTCGTGTGTCGTCAGTAGAATCGGTCGTATCGCTGACAGGTATGGCTGCCTCGGGGATCGTGTCGGCGTCAAACTGCGACTCCAGCATCAGGACGATGCCCTCTGCTGCCGGCATCTTGACCTTGTGTTTTGTGTGGTAGAACAAAGCACACAGGTTAGTGTTTGTGGGAAAAAGTAGAAAGGCTCAAGTATGTCTGTTTGTCTTGTTATTATTCTGTTTGGCTTTTCTGAGTTACGCTTGCTTTGTTGCCGACTCCGTGTGCCCCCAATCAAAACAAGAACGCTTCCCAACCACCATCACGCCTGCCAATCACTATTTACCCACGATCTATCATCTTGATTTTGACGAGATACGCCACAAGCCTAATCACACACGCCCCTGAATATGCCTTGAAGACGCTTTGGAGACGCCCTAAAGGCGACAGACAATGTATATCATCAACCATGACCCGACTCGTATCACAACACGCCTGCTTTTGAGCAGTTTTCGTCCCTGTCAATCGACACCCGTGCTATCGCTCTCCTTGGAGCCATCTTGTAGACCAATGCGGAATATCCAAGAATCTTTTCACGAGCTCCGCACCATATATCAGTTATATCTTCTGCCGCTTAACAACTATCTTGCTCATGTGCTGACTCAAACCTGAGCAGATGTCACGGGATGCTGCCTCCGCGACATATTCAGGCTGCTTCTTCCCAGAAGTTCATATTCCACAACACATCACATCAAGCCACCCAACCCTTGTTATTATTAGCCCTCAGGCATTCTTATACTTCTTGTACAACACTTTTCTCTTATCTACCAACACAGCCAACGCTTCCAGCATGGCTCCTGCTACCACATTCGACAAAATCAAGAAGGCTGCCAGAAACAGCCAGCGTGCTCTTGGTGGTGGTTGGAAGGGCCCAGTTCCTACCCCGGCCAACCAACAGTCAAAAGTCGTCAAGACGAGGGTCATCAAGAGCACCGCCAAATGTTCCAGATTTTTCATGAAATCCGATGAACTTCTCGCCGACATCAAGAGGGAGAGAGAAGAGAAGCTCGCTCAAGAAAAGCTCGCCCAACGTGCCTGCAGAGACAAAGCTTCTGACAGAGCATCTGACTTCGTCACCACCACTGAGTCGTCCAACAAGGGCAAGGCTCGTGCCGACTCACTCTCACCCCTGCCAGCTGCTCCAGCCAAGAAACCTGGACTCAAAAGATCAAGCAGCGGATTGAGCTTCGAGTGCAGCTCCAGCTCTGCAACAACAAGCGTCAGGGGTGTCCACCTGCTTCTGGCCATTATCCCACAGACCCACTACGACCGTTGGTGTGCAGCTTTCGAAGATCTGTGCAACCTCACAGGCAACAACATCAACGCCTACTACTCGAGCATCGAGGCTGCCACCGACCCTGCCGGTCTTAGAATTTATGCTGACTGCGAGAACAAGCTCATGGGTGACATACTCAAGAAGAAGCTCCGCGGCGACACAGTCCTCAACAAGAAGCTGATCTGCCAGTTCATCTAAGCAGGAACAAAGAACATTGTACATGGTATTGACCATCTATGGATATTGAAAGGATGTTTTAGCAAGGTGTTTTGGAGAACATGAAATTGAACATTGCAATTTGGAAACTGTCACTTGGGAATGGCTGTATACCCTTACATCAGCATTGTTTCTTGGACATTGTATGAAAATGTCTTCTGTTGTATACAAATTGTGTCTTGTCTACATATCGTCGTCTCTACTTTTTTTTACAACAATGTGATTTTGCGTATGGCTGCCTGATTCACATGACTTGTTACTGCTGCCTGCTGGTCTTGCTTCTTTGCACATGTTATTGGATCAAACTAACTCATTCTCTACGACCCCATGGTTGGCAATCTGGGAGACATTGTGCTTGTCACACTGCCTTTGCAGTCACATCAAGATTTTGCTGAGCTATGACAGCGTTGCATGCAGTGTCATGTGCATTCAGTACGGGATGCACGCAGATAAATGTCAATCAGACACACAACAGATTCACGACAACCGATCCCGAGTTCTTCTTTGTAGTGCAGTAATTCCAATTCATCCACTGCAGTACATAGGAGGAAGAAAAAAGGTGGAAAAAAAAGAAAAAAAAGAGAAGGCAATTTATTTGCTGTATTGTCTTCGATTACTATATTTTTAGCAGTATATGGCGTATTATAAAGTGGTCGTATGCATGATGTTTCTGTGTCTGGCCAAACAAGAGTCTTTTGGTCCAAGATATATGCCCGAGATTCGAGTCGAGTCGTGGGATGTTTTACATTCGTAGGCGATGATATTGACTCGCGATCAGTCTGTACAGAACAAGGTGTTAGCATAACCATGAATTCATTCTCATGTGTCAAGTTGAATGCATGGATATGATGCTGCATGTTGGCCTGAGGTTGTCGCCAAAATCGCAAAGCCGCTTCAAGCCGAGCTTCGTAGCGATACAATATCAACTTTTCGTCAGCTCAAGGACCAGGGAAGCATGTTCCTATCCGGCCCATGTACCATGATACTCTACAAACGTCAAACACCGTCAGACCCCAAGCGGGACTGGGGTCGTGTTTCGTACCGGCGCCCAACCCAAACCCTCCCGGCTTTGACCCCTGTCGTGCATCATCTTCGATACGACCGACCCCATGGAGTGACTCGCTATCTTCCTTCCGTGTGTTGCTTCATGTGGAGCAGCCGTACCAAGCACGCGGTAGTCCGGCACGGTTTCCTCATGCAAAAGATATTGCTCAGAAAAACGATTAATGACTTTGCTAATGCCGACGCTATGCGCAGGCATCCCTGAGCGCCACCACCAACACCCCCTCACACATTCGGATATGTTGCGTATTTCTTTGCTAAGCCGAGAGCGCGGATGGCCGGATGCTGGAGAAGATAGGCGGAAAGGGCTTCGTCTCCTCTTGAAGGGTGAGAGGTTGACTAAAGGTGGTGACAGGCATTGTGACGGTGCGAAGGAAGGGATCCGGGTCCACAGGATAGAGGGTCTGTTTTTCTGCACCGCCTTCAGGCGGGCCACAGGGGCTCCTCGATAGGTGTAGTCTCGGTGTGAGGTCATGTCTTGTGCTCCTTTGCGTCAAGGGATCGTGCAGCTTGCTTCCAGGTCATGTTCCACGACTCTTGCCGCAGGCCATTGGAGCATGGCGAGAATGATGCATGTTCAAGAACGACGGCCAGGCTCATGTGCGATTCATGTTCGAGGGACCATCGATGATTTGAACGATGCAGAAACGTTGGACGGCCTTCGCGGGTCTCGCCAATCCGAGGAGTACAGAACAATCAGGAGAGCTTGTGGATCCAAAGAAGGCGTTCCGTGATGATCCTTGAGCTCTCGTAACAGACACATGATTAGAAAGGCGTGGCTGTTGCGTATGGAAGTTGTCTTGTTGCTTTGGCAGCCCTGAGGCAGAAGGGTTTTCATGCAGGCTGAAGTCAAGCTCATGTCCGTCTAGCAAGCACGATGTAGATGAAAGCACCTGCCTGTTTTCACAAAAAACCTTTGCTTGTGACTCTGGATAGTTGCGTGCCGTGCATACTTCAGATAAATTCGACAGAGTATTTATGCACTCCCCCGAGGTCCGTCGTCGCGGCATACTTTGCGGTATGGTGCGATATCAATTCCAAACGAATCCCAGAGTAGTCACAATTGCGACCAGAGCGGAGTTCTTGACTAGTCGCATTGGGTTGATCTTCGTCTGGCGGCGTGAAGCGATGGATCATTGTTGTTGAATCTTGGCTGAATGGATCAACGTGCCGTGACGTGTGTTTTAGTAAATTTTATGGACTTGGAGGCTGGCGCGAAAGCCACTGACACCAGAAGAGGGGAAATCTCTGTTCCTCGGCTGATTTCTAACATCTTCGTTCCGCTGCCTTGGAAGGTGGGTGTCTGGCTCCGAAATGTCTCTGTGGCATGAGGCAACCTGTAAAAACTTTAGCAGTGTTGGGACTAAAACGTATGGTAAAACATGAACATATTGAGACTGAAGGAGATATCGTGAAATGGTCATAGTGAATTCTTCTCGCCATATCTAAAAGGTATAAAAAGTTCATCAAAGGCAGTAAAAAGCATATTTCATAGCATACAAGCATCCAGTGCTCGTTGCTTATCGGTTGTCAGCGCAAGACCAGGAGCGGCCGCTGGAGTCCTTGGCCAGCTCGACACCTGATGCGTAGAGACCAACACCGCAGATGATGATACCCAAAAGCACCAACACACAGTTGCAGAAGAAGAGGAAAATCTTCTTGGGGTTGGCGAACCAGCTACCCTTCATGATGTAAAGCCACATAACACCAGGAAGACCGTAACTGAACCACGAAGCGAAGAGAGCAGCGACGAAGCCGAGCAAGTTGCTGAAGTTGGGGATCGACTCGGCCAGGACCCATGCGATGAACCAGATACCGAAAATAATGCCGAACCAGGAAGAGGTGGCGACAACACCACGGCTGTGAAGGTGCTTGGTGCCAGCGAAGATGCGGATGTAGATGTACTTGGCTGTGACGTGACCGAAGATGACACCGGCGATGATGATGGTAGGCAAGGCGATACCCCAGGCGACCTTGGAGACAATGGCAGAAGCACTGCTCAGAGCAGGACTGGTTACCTTGTCACCAGCAAAGTAGTAGATGACGACAGCAGCAACTAGGTAAAGCGAAGTGTCAACGGCCTGAAGGGTCATCAGGGACTTGGGGTAGTCCTTGGGGTCACGAAGCTCGCTGATGAAACTGATCCAGGCAGCGTGTCCACCGTAGGCGAAGACGATGTTGGAGACGCTGTTGAAAGCAGTAGGGAAGTTGGGGTGGGCAGTAGCGACGATGTTGCGTCCTGACAAAGGGCTGATACCAAGGGCAATCATGGTGATCATGACGGCTGAAAGAATGGAGATGAAAGAAGCAATGGCCAAGAAGGACACATTCTTCATTGTGCGGGGAATGGTGAGGATGAAGAAGAGAACCAGTCCGACGATACCAAAGACGATACTGCAAGTTCCGTGGTTGGTAAGAGTGTTCATGGCGATGATGAAAGTCAGAACGTGAGAAGCCATGCCTGTACTCGGTTAGCATGATGAAAATCTGCTTGTGTTGGGACCAAACTCACAGAAGACACAGAAAGTAACGTATGCGAAGCCGAACAATTCGCGTCCGAACTTGCCCAAAAGAATCTGACCAACATCACCGAAAGAGGCGACCTGGGGATATCTCATACGGAACTGCCAAAGGGTGTAGCCAGAGTAGGTGGTGATGATACCCATAAGAATAATTGCGATGATACCACCGACCAGACCGATGGTTTTCAAAACAGCAGGCAAAGACAAGATACCGAGCGAGATGTTCTCGGCGATCATGATCATGGCACCTTGCCACCAGGTCATGGTCTTGTACTGAATCTCGGCACCATCTTCGTTACCGAAGACATCCAGCACCTCAGTTTCCTTCATGGTCCCGTTAGACTCGACATCGTCGGCAATGGGAGCTGTACCGATGGCTCCAAAGGTATCGACCCTCTTTTCCTGGTCGTATTGGGGTGGTTGACCAATAGGTGTGGGCATCTCGTTTTGATGCATGATGAAGACGACGCGTCGAGACCTGTAAGTGTGTGTTGGCGATCACCTTAGGTAGGGTCCGATCAGGTACAAAGAAAGTGGCGTGTCTGGATGCTGGGATATCCCCCACACAAAGTGTCAGATGTAAGAATAGGTAACCAGGGAAGACCGTGAGGGAGAAGGGCAAGAGGGCACACGACGGAGGGAGAGGTAGTTAAATAGTGGTTGGGGTAGAAGATGACTAGACCCGGCAGATCTCCAAGCAAAGCGTTGTGCCTACGTAAAATTTTGCTCAAGTCGTTTAGTCGTTGGTGGAGGAGAAGTGGACGATGCACCAGACGCTACGGCCTTACAACGGAGCCTTTCCCCACGGTGTTAGGTAAAAAGAATCATACTCTTGGTGCTCCTGGTTGAGCACGTATGCGTTTAGGTTTCAAGCAACGCATCGGACTGGCTGAATTGACTCGCAAGGTGGTTTGCATCAAGTAATAGAAATCCTTCCACTCGCACGCAACGTGGCCCCCAGCTTTTTTGGCATGGAGATGCATGTGGAGGCCCCAGATGTGATCAATTTTGGTCTGTTCGAGAACTGCTTGATCGTAGGACATCTCGATAGCATCTTGTTGCATCTGTAAGCAATTTTTTTTTTGCTCAAGAGGTGTCGTCAGAAGTAGCGCTACGTGGGTGGAGCCCAGTTTTGAGTCAAACGACGCCCCCAAGCCTCCGCCAGACTTTGGTGCCTGACAGCCACTGGGGAACCTGCAACCTACTCCTATCAGATAGCTAGAAATATGAATGTGTAAAAGGTTAAGGCTCGGTTCGGGCTCTGGGACATCCGTCGTACGACTCGGTATCAGCTTCCTTGCTGATCTTTGCCATTAGCGATGTCGGCAGGGTACGCTGGACAAAGCAAAACTTCAGACGGTTACCCACGGTTCTACTCGGCTTATTATGCTTTTATCAACGACACACCGTACATTTTGTACACAAACAGGTGTGTTTTATGCCCTCTTGTTTTGAGTTGCGGCGTTTGATGTTCAAAGACTCTCCACGAACTGAATTTTGTGCTTTCATCCATGTAAAAGAACGACCACAACAGCTCGTGATTGCGAGCATCTCATCAAGACAAACAAAACTCGACGGCAAAATTTGCCAAGGCAAGCTTGTGTGGACTCTGCTCTGCGGCTTCGGGTTTCTGACACTGCCAGAGCGTTCCAGTCTCATCTCGACCTCGCACGGTCAAGCAATGCCGCCGCGCCGGAAGGCCCCTTGCTTTCTCACCAAAATTTATGCCAAGCGCTTGTCTGGAAAAGGATTGATCAATTCTGCTCTGTGGAGTATTCGCTGCCGACCGTCTATCCGCGAATGACGTGGGCTCTACCTATCGCCGCCGTAGATCTTGAGATGTGAACTGACAGGGGTTCGTTGATCCTGCAGCGATCACAATACCGGTAATACCATGCTATCGCTTTCTGATACATGTCGCAGATGCAGAAGATAACAAGCGATAAGTGTAGCATCATCTATGAAGACGACTTCAGGAATGGATTATGACAAACCCTCTGACAACGACGTGTTAATTGCAAAATCCCTGCCTCCCCGTGTACTTAAGTATATAACGCGTATAGCTACAGCAATGCACAATAGTGATAGGAAACAAGATGGTATCCACTGAGAGGCGACAAATTGTCAACTCTCGGTGGACATGCCTCTAATCTACAGAAGAATTATGCCTTTCTATAGTCTACATTTTGCTGTTAGCTGTAGTTGGAGTACAATGGTAGTTACAGACTTTAGTACACGGGGAGGTGGTATCAACGCCTATTGCCACATGCAGCTATAAAAAGACATGATATAGACAAGAGCCGGAGTATCGTCCGCTGACAGCTATCGTCCCTCGGTCTGGACCACACTCTCTGAACATGTTCTGAGCATGAAAACTATTATGCTTTTACAGCTTACAACATCACTGATGCAACTGCGCAAGAAGGGACAGGGTACTTGACAGTGCCCTTGGATCATTGAACTTGGATTAGATATGTTGCCGACGGTCTCGACTGGCTGTTCGTCCCCTAATGAGTGAACTGATTCAGAAGTCGTTGCTGCCCGTGCGTGTGTGGGCAAGAAAAGGAGAAGTGCAGTCAAGATTGAGTAGGTGTTGGTTCTGATATACAAAAAGTCTACGGTTATGAACCGAGTACTCTGCTAGCGCGAAAATACAAACGTCCAGATCTTAAACGCCGGCTCCAATATGCGTCTATCATGGTTTGGGTCTGCAAATGAAACGCCCCTAAAATGCCGCCATTCCACAAAACCGTTCTTACAAGTACATGTTTACAAGCTCTTTTATGACAGCGCCAACTCATCGTCGTCTGAAGCAACGAGCGGATGTAACTCGAAATATTTGAGGAGCTGCTGGTACATGACAAGCATGGTCCCGCTTTGTACACTCGTCCATACGAAACGTGGGCCTACGCCTCGGAAAAGACCAGCAAAACCCTCATGCTTGTAAATCACCTTCAGGCCTGCGATGACATTATCGGTCTCGAGAGCGACCGCTCCGTGGTTCTTCAAAGCGGTCGATGGCCCTCCGGTCGATATAGGTCTTTTTGCGTCGTGTATCGAAGGTGCTTGCCTTGTAGGCCTATGCGTTGTGCTCGCGGGACTGACTGCCGGGCCAGTCTTTGAGGCTTGTGAAGCAGCAGCGTGTGCAAACTCGGGGTCCAGTTGAGTTTGAATACGTGTTTTGACCACATCGAGTGGACATGTAATGACGCCAGCCATTCCTCCGGCGCTTGCACCAGTGAATATCTCCAATCCAAGACCAATGTCCTTACTTCCCATCCAAGCTTTTGCTATCTTTTGTTCTTGTTCGTAGAAGGCGAATTGCAAAGCGGAAAAAGGCAGGTCGCGTGCCAGTGTGGCAGAGTATCCAGAGAACATCTCCCTCCATCCTTCGACACGAATGATCGTTCTAAAAGCATCCCATGTGCCATGGTAATTGTAGCCACTGTAGAAGTAGGGGTTGTTGTGCCGGCCCTGCAATTGCAGCCGTGTCTTGAGGACCTCAGAAGGGACATACCAGGGAGAGGCTGCCAGATCGGCAAAGAAACCTAATGGTCTGGTGAGCATTGAGAACAGGACATATGTAAGGTGAGGATATCTTACCAGAGGTGAAATATGCGACGGAGGGAGTAACGCCGTAATCAATCATGGCACGCTTGGAATACTCGTAGGCAGCGAAGAAAGTCATGGTACCGGTAAAGGATCCAAGGAAAGCAGGTGTGACACCTCCATACAGTCCTCGTACCAAACCCTCCTGGCGCCAGATAGTGCGGTAGGTCGAGCCCATGGATGTGTATTTTGGTGGCATGTGAGGGTCGCCTTGTTGCCTTGTCTTGACTGTGTCGAGCGAATGCATGAGCATATCACCCATCAAACCACCAAGACCTCCTGCAAGCATTGCCTAAACTCAGTTAACCTTGGTCCCGCTGCTGTGTCGTCGTCCAGACTAACATGAACGTATGGCGGCCGGTCTTCTTCTTCCTCCATATTTAACACCTGCTGCACTCTTTTTTCTTGATGGTCCTGTTGTGCCGCCGTCTCTGTCGAAGCATGATGTGAAATGGTGTCGGACGGGAACAAGTATTCAGCCACGCGGGCTAATACCATGGGTGCCTTCGAATGCGCCTCGGATGCGCTTTTGCAACGTCGATGAGTAGATTGATAGGAGCGAGCGTGAGTATGTTTCGGCGTCAAAGCAGAGGGTATGTCACAAGGTGGTTTAGTGCCAAAATGTCTCGATGTCTTTCGCTCGCTGGCTCACTCTCACAACTTTTGACTCTTTGCACTCGGGACGTCATGATGCTTGCTTGGCAGTGCTCTTCCGCTCCCGAACACCGCCTCCGCCGCCTACCCTGTCTTGACCACAACAACTAATCTGAGACAACTATTCTCGGCTGATATCTTTGTATCTCGACATTCAAGAGCATTTTGATGAGTTCTTCAGATCAGTCAGTGTACTTGTTCTGCTTCTGTAGCACTTGAATCTATGGCTAATCACATGGCCAGATTGCTCTGTTAGTTAGTACCGCCAAGAAACACGCACGCTTGTTGGTCGTGTTGACTTGCTGCCATCTAAAACGCGTCTGCACGCCTGTGATTCTTCCTTCCATCAGATTATTCACCACATACACCTTAAAACACCTTCATCTCACGAGATATCTGATCGCCTTATTAACGCGACTCTGCTCATCATATTTTCGCATCATGCCTACCTGGTTGAACCTGCACCGCAAAGCTGAACTTGCCGAGCTTGCTGGTCAAGTTGGCATCGACGAGTATGCATACAAAACGCGTCATTTTTCATCACCTTTCTGATCCTTGTAGCGTTTCCGATCTTCGCAAAGATCAAATTGTTGCACTTCTCGAAGAGCAACTCACAATCAACGCGTCAACATACTCTGAGTATCCTTCTTTCGAGGGCTATTATGCTCGCAAGGGCTCTCCCACAAAGCGCGAGTCGGGCTCGACTCCTGCTGCCGAACCAGAAGTGACCAGATCTGTGACGCGGAAACGCGCTCCACGTATCAAGGGCGAGTCTGACGTGTAAGCCAACTCCTATCGCGTGTACACCGTCTTCCTTCTCATAACCATATGGCAGTGAACCCATTTCGTCACCTACTGCAGCCACTGGAAAGCGTACTGCCCGCGCCGCGGTTGTAGTAACTCCGGCCAGAGTCGAGGCACCTAGAGTCGAGGAGCCTGTGGCTGAGGAACCACGTGTCGAGGATTCTATGCTCCTCAGCCCACCACGCATGGCACTTCCTCCTTCGCCTGCCGTTGTGACTGATGCCATTGAGGAGCAGACTGCCCGTATTTCTGAGGGCATGAACAAGCTCTGGACATCGTCACACATCATGGATGTGCTTTACCAGGCTCGTCTCGATCTTTCTTCTGTCACCGGCGTTCACTTCACAATGCTCCTTCTTGAATCCGCGGCACTTCATTACGAGACTGTTCCATGGAAGTTTGCATTCGACTTCCCGAGTTTGTTCGGATTCCCCAGCTTCGCGGTGTTCCTGCCTGACGTGTTTGTATTCCTCACTCATCACTACTGGGCACCTGCTTTGCTTTGGGCTACCATGAACTTCTGGATTCCTCTTGCCACTGGCTGGTTGTTCAACTTGTCGCTCAAGCTTAAGAAGAAGGACGGTTTCGAAGACTACAGACCCGTCTATCGCATCGATCCTTTAATGTTCAGTATCGCTAAAGCGCTGATGTCTTGGATGGTCTATGCTCAAGGTAACACACTATTTGGATCGTTCGCCGAACAGACCGTCAAGACGGTCGAGAATGCTATGCCCTACGGCTACAGCGGTGCCATGATTGCAGCATACATTGGTATTGTTACAAGTATCTGGGATGGCATCCAGAACAAGAAGAGAGCTTAAGCCGCGATCACCTTGGACCCATCACTAGCTAGATTGTGTATTTCGACTTTCCGCTGTACGCCACCTTGAAATGCGAATATGGGTCGGGAGCTCAATTTTATAGGCTTAGAGAATTGGGCGTGTTACATGTGGATTTGCTGAATATTGTTCGATCAAAGAGTCTCGTGGCGTTACTTCAGGGACGGTGGTTCAGGGCATAGGTTGGACATCTGTTGAACTGCATATTTTGCCGGTCACAAGTCTTCAAGTTAGTTAGTTATTGTTAGAAACATGATCAAATTGACGCAAAACAAACACATTAAAGCCTTGTTGAAACTCGACTATCTCTGGATGGAACTTGACGATTTTGCTTCAGAAAAACAAAAAAGAAAAGAAAAGAAAAACACCTCTGCGGCTTCCATTGCCAAGCCTCCAAAACTTCGACAGACTTCGATCTCACAGCGCTTTCGATTCAGGGTCCAGAGAAATATTATTGCTGACCATCTGCACTTTTCTTCAAAACACCACACGTCGGTCGCAAACATGGCCGACGCTTTGCAAACTCTTTTCCGCAGTTCTCTGCCCGAAGAGATCTCAGGACTACTGGCTGAACGCCTCTCAGAACTGGAATCCGGAGATTTTTTCGCCCTCCTACAAACAAAAGATGCACAGGAACTTCTCGGACATAGTCCAAACTCGGAACTGGATGAAGTCAAGCTGGAAAACTGCGCGACATGGAACGAATATATCTCAATTCGTTTGAGCAAGATTCTCGCCAAGGATGATGAGAACGCAAAGTACAAGCAGAGTCTCTTCTTTATCATTGGATATGCCGCTTTGCTTGCCTTCCTACAGTCTAATGCTACTGGCCCTCCGCTCCCCTTCACTCCTTCAAAGACCGTCTTACCGCAAGATGTGGCTGAGGACAAGCAGCAAGTTACCGCTCTGCGCCGCCAACTGATTGCAGGCCTCGCAATCGATGGTATTGCAGCATACAGATTGACGCCCAACATTGAACTTCTCTGCCTGGCAAATGTCATCATCAGCAATCCTGATATTCTTGAGAACATTTCGGTCTCGCGATGGGCTAGATTGAGAGTAACCTTCATGCATCAAAGATTATTATCGGAAGAATGCGGAACGTTACAGGACAAGATCTTTGCAGATGTCGATGCAGTTCAAGAGCAATTCTTCGACGTCTCGCCGAAGGGCAAGTCGAGAGCCAGCAGCGATAATGCAAAGGTTGAGTTCTTGCTCGAACGCGCTAGTATCGAGACTTTCTACGGCCTGGACAAGAAAGCTAGGATTGATCTGGACGAAGCGGCAGCTGAACAAGGCTTCCAATTTGCTCTGACTGGTATCTTGGGAAGGAGAACCAAGTTCCAGCAGCATGATGTTAGTCAGCTGGTCGTGCTTGCTAAAAGTGGAGGAAACGCCAACGACGTAAAGGCGACGGAGATTCAGCAAGCAGAAGGCGCGACCAGCGGTCCTAAGCATGTTGATCTCAACGATGACACACTCTTGGAGAACATCTCCTTCACGGCGAAACCCACACTCAACCTGGACGTACAAACCAAGGAAGATCTACCTCCCGTGTTGGCTGAATTGGACCCTTCAAATCAACCCAAGCTGTTGCCAATGGACTCAATCATTTTGCTCGCTCTTGCATCCTCTATCACAAACACATCTCCTGCCAATGGTCTTACAAGAGAAGAGACTCTTCCATATGCTACCCGTGTGCTGGAAGGCGGTAGCTCGAACTGGCAGGTCTACACTCAGGGGTTGCTTGTTCGCAGCAGAATGGAGGGCTACAGATCTAGAACCATCGAACGTGGTCTCTTACAACTGCAGGCAGTTGTCGATCAAGTCATTGCCGACACAACAGAGACCCCCGCAGATGGCAATGCAGATGTGACAGCCACTAGCTTTTTGCGCAAGGGTGAGAGCGAGGACTCTGCTCCGGCTTCCGAAAGACTGCGTTACATCTTCCAGATTGCTGCGCCTACGCGATGGGAGCTGGAGGGAGAGCTTGCTCAAAGATGGGTCACCTTGGGAGGTTTGCGCTCGGCACTTGACATTTACATGCGCTTGGAGTTGTGGGCCGAAGCTGCTTTGTGCTACGCCGCTACAGAGAAGGAGGAGACGGCGAAGAAGTTGGTGCGTCGCCAGCTGTTCCATGCCACCAACAATGGTGATGAAGAAAATGCCGGCGACGATGAGACCTGGGAAGGTCCTGAGAGACAGCCTCCGCCGGCTGATGCTGCACGTCTGTACTGCATTCTTGGTGACCTTGACCAAGATGCTTCTATGTACGAAAAGGCGTGGGAAGTCTCAGGCCAGCGCTACGCTCGTGCCCAGCGCTCGTTGGGTCGCATGTACATTGGTCAACGTGACATGATCAAGGCTGCTGATGCATACGCGAAAAGTCTGAAAGCCAACCAGCTCAACCATGCTTCGTGGTTCGCTTTGGGCTGCTGTCTTTTGGAGCTCGCACAATTTGAGAAGGCCGCTGAAGCGTTCTCCCGCACTGTCCAGCTCGAAGAGACAGACGCAGAAGCTTGGAGCAATTTGGCTGCTGCCCTGCTCAAGAACCAGGTGCCCACCGCCAACGATGAGCCCGCCGCGCCTGCGGTCGAGCTTGCCGAAGACGAGGACGAGTCCATGGCTGCTCAACCCAAGAAGGTCGATCGTCAACAAAACAAGAAAGACGCCCTGCGTGCTCTCAAGCGTGCTGCAACACTCAAACATGACAGCCACCGTATCTGGGAGAACCTTCTTATCGTTGCTGCCTCTCTTTCGCCTCCAGACTACGACACCGTATTGACAGCTCAACGTCACATCATCGACCTACGCTCCAAGACTAATGGCGAATCCTGCATTGATGTAGAGATCATGGAACACATGATTCGTCACGTCATTGCTTTGAACGATGAATATGACCCTACAAAGCCTGGTTTCGAGCGTCTGCTGGTTGAAATGTTCGACAAGAAAGTTGTACCTCTTATCACCTCCTCTCGCGAGTTGTGGCAGTTGTACGCCAAGCTCTGTCTTTGGCGCAAGAAGCCAGCTACCGCATTGGATGCCAACGAAAAAGCATGGAGAGCAGTGACCAGTCAGCCTGGGTGGGAGACGGAGAGTGAAGCCCGCTGGAACGTTATCGTCGATGCAACGATTGAACTGTGTGATGCATACGAGAGTCTTGGTCAGATGGAAAAGACAGAAGGTATGGCTGCTGGAAGTGGTGCATTGGTTGCCAAAGATTGGAAGTTCAAGGCCAGAAGTGCTATCAGATCCATCATGGGTAAAGGTAAGGATTGTTGGGAAGATACAGATGGCTGGGAGAGACTGAAGGAGGCACTCGATGGCTTGCGTGGTTAAAAAGTAACCATAGATAAAAAATGTCAATGACTTTCTTTGAGGCTTTTTCTCGAGCACCTGAACTTCAATCGCAATATTGAGCAAGCGTCTGAATGAATCATCGTTCCTCCCCGAATCACATTGCCCATTCCTCATCTTCACTGTGCTCATAGGCATCATCATCATCGTCACTGTCCTCCCCATCAGAAGCAAATCCATACTCATCCTCCCACCTCTCCACCTCCACAAAACTCGACTGAGGCTTAACCAACTCGTACCCCTCCATTTGGCCTCTGTTTCCACGTTCCTTGATCTTAGCAACCAACTCAGCAAACCCATCACGTACTTCCCTGACTCCTTCCCATTTGCCTGCGTAAGTGACGATGGAAGGTGAGATCTTGTCGCCGTAGTCACAAACCAAATGTCTGACTTCGAAACTCTTTACTTCGAGGGTGTGGTGAAGCAAATCAACGATCTTCTTCAGGAAAGCACAGGGTTCACCGACTTCGTCGTGGGTAGAGAGGAAGTGCATGGAGGTGTTGATGAGGTTGATTTTCTTGAGTCGTTCGGTTTGAGTGCTGAGGAATTCGTCGAGGTGAATGGTGTCGATGGCGATGTTTTCGAGGCGGATCTCGCTGAACTGCTTGTTTTTGTGGGTGATGAGGGTCTCGTTGGTGGACGAGGTTGATAAGGGTGTGCAGTAGAGACGCATTGAGGGGTGGCCACTGGTGTCGAGCTCTTCGAACACCTGAATTGAGAACGAGTTTGCCGAGGGTGTTGTCGATGACATCTTTGGTTTGTTGATGAGGACGAGGTTCGGAAATGGAAGGAGAGACGCTTTATATCTGCTGTCAGGAGCCAAGCGATAGCGTTTTGGTTTCAAGTGAAAGGTAACTCAGGAGCCTTCACTTTTTCCTCTTGTAGTAAGACCTACAATAGTGCTGCAGAGATGCACGATCTATAGTGAGAACCGAAGCGCGTCCAGTGAGAACCTGTCGAAAAGATCATCTCGTGGACAACCACCAAGTCTTGATACTATTCTGCATTTTGATAGTACTCTCTGAGGAGTGAAATGCCCTCTGGGAGACATGTGGCTGGTACTGTGTCTGGGACCTGATGACTTTGGATTACGGCACTTGCTCATCTCTCCTCTGGACAATCGCATAGAGTCAGATCATACTGTGCTTTTCGAGAACATTGTGACATACCACATTCTAAACATGGGAACACGAACCGGATTGCTGCATTGACAGACCTTATCCAATGCAAATAACAATATCGATATGGAAAGAGAAGAAAAAATCATCATCGTCTATACAACCAACCCTATATCAATCCGAGCCCATCCTTATAACCAATCCCCATTCATTTCTAAACATTATCCGCAGCATTGAAACTAACATCTTTTCTGCATATCAGCTCTTCAAAGCCAGCCTGGTTTTCAATGACCAAGCCTTTTTCGTTGGCAAGATGCAAGAGACAGATGAAGCCGAAACTTGTGCTGATGTCTGATAACTGTTGCTGAGGATACACGTGCCGAAGGTTGTTCATCACGTCTGTGAATTTAAACGTGCCTTCTTCTGATATATCGACGGTCGGCGGCGGGGCTTTTGACGGTGTTTGTGTTGGCTCGACCTGTGGAAATGTCAGAGATTTGTGACGGGAAAGAGTGATGATGGAACCTACCTCGAATCCAATGCCTCGCCACATCTCCTCCTTCAACCGCCGTACGTCGACCTTCTTCGCTACACGTGCGTATTGTACATATTCTGGTCGCATGCGTCTACTTTGTGTGATAAGATTCGATCCAAACGCGGTCTCTTGGCTGCTGGGCGGTAGACTGTTAGGTTCCCCTGGTTGTGCAGCATCAAAGGCATCTGCAGGTGGTAACATCTCTTGTGCATCTGCAAAGTCGTCATCGTCATCTGCAGCTCCTGCTGCAACACCCAAACCATCGTCTTGGAAGAAGTTGGCATCGTAATCACCTCGTGCACCTTCGTCGATGGGTTGCGGTTCAGCTAGGCCTTGCGCGTTTGCCCAATATGCTTCATCCACATCGCCATGTTGGAACTGTTCGGCGGTACCACGGGCTTGTTGTGTTGATTTTCGTGATCCCATACGAGCCTTGGGCTTGAGGAAAAGTCGTAGCAAATCGCGCGAGCTGAAGTGCTTGTCGTCGGGTAGCAGATTACGTGTCTTGCTCTTCCAGTCCTTCTTTGGCAGACTGATAGTCGCGTTCGATGGTGCTGAAGTGTAGAGCAAGTCGGCTAGTTGTTGATTCATGGGGCTCATGAAATCAATCTCGAATGGCTCTTTCTCCTTCTTCTTTGTTGTTGCGGGTGTTGCTTTTGCTGCGTCTTTGATCTTCCTGATCTTCCAGTGCTCTGGACCGGCCCAGTTCTTCTGTAGTGCTTGGTCGAAGTAGCTCAAGATGTTCTCATGCTCGTCACCGCGATGCGCAAGAGTGACACCAAATTGATTGCCATTCGAATCGAAACCGCCCACCTCGCCGCCTTCTGCATCGACACCCACGCCAGCATCAACATCAGCGCCTTCATCGTGAGGTCGAAGTTGAGGCTCAACGTGTGCTTCCTTGGCCCATGCCTCACCACCTTCGCCGAAACCAGCATCAGCAGGAATATCAAAGCCACCAAATGCACCGTCATCGTCGTCGAAACCCACAGCATCATCATCACCTAAGACAATGCCGGAACGAGCGTCATCGTTGTCCTCCTCTTCTTTTTGCGCGCGCCAATCTTCTGGAGCCTTGAGGAAAGGTAGATCCATGGAGGCACTGCCACCGCCAAGCTCGAAGGTCTTGAGCGATGGGCAAATATCTTGGGTGTCAAGCTTTGAGAGATCTGGGAAAAATCGCGCGGCCAGTCCAGAGATATCGATAGGTGCTGGAGGAGCAGCCTTGAGTTCTTCCTCATCTGGCTTCTCTTCCTCGCCTGCAACCATGCTGTCTCGTCGAGACTCATCGTCGTCCTGGGCGTCGTCGCTGCTGTCGAAAACGATTCTTCCAGTGTTGTCGATTGAGAGGTGATTCAGCAACAGGCCCTTTGCGCCTCCCTCGTCGAAATCTGCCGAGGCTTTCTTGAATAGAGGGTCTACTGAGAATTCGAGCTCCATCTTCTTGAGTTGTAGTTGGGCGAAGGAGGTTGCCAGAGTTGCTTCGGAGCGGTGTGCCTTCTTCTTTGTCTTCTTCTTGGTGCCGTCTTCACCCTCCTCATCTTCGCCGTCCTCATTCTCTTGATCATCTTCTTCTCCACGCTTTTTCTTGTTGCCGCTATCAGCGAGACCGCTCAGCAGCTTTCCAGTTTCGGTTGCGACACTGTCGACTCTGCTAGTGTAGATTTTCACACAGCCATCCAGAGTGCAACTGGCTTTCTGGAAGTTGACACCATCACCTTCTCTTAGCAGAGACATGTCGTGGAAGTAGTCGATCAGAGCAAAATTCCAAGAGTTTGTGGCATTAATTTTGTTGTCGGTTGCCATCTTCATCCATTCTTCAAAGTTGGCCAGAAGAGGGACACGCTTCATAGGCGTGACAGCAGTTCCTCCGACGTGGAAGCCTTCGTCTTGACTTCCACTTCCGCTAGGAGTTTGAGGACCTTCGGCGAGTTCAGCACCGAGGGACTTTCGTTTGCGAGCAGGGGACGCGGCAGCCTTGAGGGAATTCATGTGCATTTCGTGGAAGGCCTGGCGAGACTGCAGACGCTTTGCCTTTTCTTCGCGATCATCGTTGAGTGGGATCTTGATGCCAGCAGGTTTGTGAGGAGTCGCGGCTACGGGAGCATTGGCGGCGGCGGCGCCGCTCGCGCGCACTCGAGGCATGTTGGAGAGGTCAAGAGCGACGGGAGATGCGACGTGTACGGTGAGATAATCTGTTGGTGATTGTCGTACTTCCTGTCGCGAAATGCACAAGCAACTGGTCGGCGGTCGCAAGGTCCGTGTGGTGCAAACAAACAAGCAGTTTGCAATGGCGGGGAGTGGCTTGCCGAAGGTGTGGCTCACTCAGCCCTGGTCAGCCACAGACCGATCGCTGCACCGCCACTGATTGATTACCATCCGTCGTCATTGCCAGAGCCGCGTCTTGGATGCTTCTTGCCGACCGACTGTGCCCAGTTCCACCCATAGCCCTCGATTTTATAGTCTCTGCATCTTGGTGCCGCCCCGTTCTAGCATCAATCATGCTACCTTGACCCTCGACCTCTCAAACTGATTATCCTTCCACCTCGCGACTCCTCATCCTCGGCATGCGACACGCTCGCAATGACCTCCCTCCACCATCTCTACCCAAAATACCGAGCCCACGCCTCGTCCCGCCTGCATAGACGTCGTTACTCGCCGCAATCTTTCGTCTACACTGTCTTGTTGTTCTCTCTGCTCGGTCTTGCTGGCTACCTCTATCGCTCGGATCTCGACATCCAACACTCACCGCAATCATACTCAACTTTACACCGCCGAGATGTTAGCAGTTTCGCGTCTAGCGATGAGGAGGTCTGTAGCTATCATTCGAAGATCATGACGCTTGTCTCTGACTCCCCTCGCAGTGTCGTCTTGTCCACAAAGCCACCGATCAATGCCACTACATAACCAAACACTGTCCCGCCGAAGACCCAGGCTTCTACTCGTATCTTTCGCTCTTCTATTGCTCTATGCCGCATGCCAAGCCAATCGCCTTCCTTATCTTGGTCTCTTGGCTTGGTCTCCTCTTTAGTACCATCGGTATAGCCGCTAGCGACTTCTTCTGCATCAATCTGAGCACAATCGCTACAATCCTGGGAATGAGCGAAAGCATGGCTGGTGTCACTTTTCTGGCCTTTGGAAACGGCAGTCCCGACGTCTTCTCCACCTTTGCCGCCTTCAGTACAAACAGCAGTAGTCTAGCTATTGGTGAATTGTTCGGTGCTGCTGGCTTTATCACTGCCGTTGTTGCCGGTTCCATGGCCCTCGTCAGGCCTTTTAGGGTGGCCAAGAAAGCCTTTATCAGAGATGTCGGCTTCTTCACCGTTGCTGCCGCCTTTAGTCTGTCATTCCTGTGGGACGGAAAATTGCATCTGTGGGAGTGCATCATTATGGTCGTCTTCTACCTCTTTTACGTGGCCTTTGTCGTTGTTTGGCATTGGTGGATGGGTGTCAGAAGACGTCGACGCGAAAGGAACGCCGCTGTAAGGGGCCATTTCCTCGTTCCTGGAAGTGAAGAGGTTGATGCCGAAGAGAACTACCATGATGCCGATGATGAGGAAACCACCACTCGTCCCTCGTTCTCGCGTGGACCTTCGGCCGACGACTTTTCCATTCTTGAAAGAGGAGATACACCTACTATCATCGAACCTTACGAAGATGAAGATGACGACGAGGTCAGAGATCGATGGCTTGGTGAGCTCAAAAGCAACATGCGCCTCACAAGACCCGGTCCGAGCTCACGGCGGAACACTCTTACGCCTATCCGCCCCAGTCTGGTGGGCGCTCTAGAGTTCCAAGCAGTTCTTAAATCGCTGCAGAAAGCCAGGTCCCACCAAACGATCCCTATGCACACACGCCGCTACTCGGATGATCCGACTTATACTACTGCTCAGCAGCAGGAAGAGCTGTCTAGTGAATCTGACCCTGCTTCTAGGCCTCCTTTCCATCCGACGACCGAGAGTACCTCTCCAACCCTCGAACGGCCTGCTCCCGATGTATTCAAGAACAAGTCTGGTCGTACACGTGCTGTTTCTGCCAACGACGCTGCACAATTGCGCATTGATCCTCGCTTTGTCCAAAAGCACACACCTAGAATGCTAGACATTATTGAAGACGAAGACAACGCAAATCCGGCTTCCTTGCGACCAGCATCGTTCCGCAGCATGCCGTCTGGCGGGTCTGTTCGACCACAAACCCCTGAGGTTACCGTTTCCGACTTCGATGATCACCTTGCGAATCCATGGCAAGCGTCCAATGTGGAGGAAAATCTAGCCTCTGGACACTCACGCGATCGTTCCACAAGTTCCATCAGTGTGCCGATCATCGATGTGTCAGAAGACACTATGGTATTACCATCCAAAGTTTCTCGCAACAGTAGCCCAAGTCATTCGCCCCGTACTTTCGGCAAAGATCTCTACAACCTCAAGATACCAGCTAGCAACAATATCTCGCCAAACACTTCAGCGCCCTCATCGCCGTTTCCAGCATACTACGAGCCAAGCTCCGCCAGCAGTAGTCGACCGCCTAGTCTGTATCTTCCTCCCGCAAGCGTGTCTGTTGCATCGTGTCCTTTGACGCACATGGACGACGAGCAAGAGGAGAAACCGTTACGCTGGTGGCCATACAGGATTCTTCCACCCCCTCTCGTACTTCTGTACAGGCTGTTCCCTACAATTGAACACTGGCGAGATAAGAATTGGTGGGAGAGACTGTTGGCTGTCATTGCAGCCCCGAGCATGTTCCTTTTGATCGTGACTCTTCCTGTTGTGGAATCCAATCGGGAGGAGGTAGAGGAAGAGATTGACATCATCGACCCTGTCGGATCGAGGCCACCCAGCATCAATCATCGGGATGGTGAGAGCCCGCTTTCACATCATTCTGACTATGTCCATCCCTCAGCTGGTCCGGGAGCTGGAAGTGCTGCGGTAGCAACCCACATCGAACGAGATTACCTATCGGTTCCTGGCGAGCGAGACCCTCTTGTCTCACCCGCTGCAAGCTCCGCGCTGCTGTCACCAACTACACCCAGTGCCAAGGTACAACCACAATACTGGAACAGATGGCTGACTATCGTTCAGTTGTTCTTGGCTCCTTTGTTGATCGTAGTGGTGATCTACACGCAGTACCTTGACGAGACCGACAGCATAAAGCCATTGGTACGACCTATGCTGATATCTCTACTCGTGTCGGTGGTCCTTCTTATCCCCTTACTCTTGACTACGACACCAACTCACAGACCAAAACCTTACAACACCATACTCTCCATGGCCGGCTTTGTAGTCTCAATAGCCTGGATCTCAACGATTGCGGCACAGGTAGTCGCCGTCTTGAAAGCGCTTGCTGTCATCATGAACATGTCGCATGCAATCATGGGCTTGACTATCTTCGCTGTTGGCAATTCCCTAGGGGATCTTGTTGCGGACATCACCGTGGCAAGACTGGGATACCCAATTATGGCTCTCAGTGCATGCCTCGGTGGTCCTATGCTCAACATTCTTTTGGGCATCGGTCTATCTGGCTCTTGGATTTTGATCCGTGGAGCGGAGCACAGGCACGCGAAGCATCCAGGGAAACCGATCCACTTCCGGACTTATGAGATCCAGGTTGGACAGACGTTGATCGTCAGTGGTGTCACATTGCTTGTTACGTTGATTGGACTCCTCATCGCTGTGCCTCTGAACAAATGGGTTCTGAGCAGAAAGATCGGATGGGTCCTTATTGGTGTATGGTGCGTTAGCACCACAATCAATGTCATCCTGGAAGTTCTTGGAATCGGTGAATCAGGGAGCGAAGAAAAAAGATCCATGACTGTCAGATTTCGGTCCAGGTAAGCATACCGGTGTATAACGCTTCAAGGCATTTTCTCATGACCGCATGCTTTGTTTGATTCTTCTGTTTGTTATCCCACGGTCGAATACATCATTTTTTTTTTCTCTTCTCTGTTGATTGTTCGTACGAGTTGGTGGCGTTTGGAGGCTGGCCTCGACCGGATGTACATAGATTGGTTGATACCCCTTCCACGTTAGGATGCCGCAGTGGCATATCTCATCAGGCACATGACGTATGAAAATATGCGAACCATATTTTACTGTTGTGACTGATCACTATTCGGCATTCAAGGTCTCTTGCCAGTTGCTAGGGTCGAGCAGCAAGCCGCCGCTTTTGGGTGGTACATCTCGTCAAGTATCGACTCGACCGTGTAACAATGGCGGCTTTGGGTGTGTGAAAGTCCATAGTGCAATGCTCATAGCCATGATGCCGCACAATGGTATTCAAGAGCAGAATAGTATCCATCGAGCGATGATATGTCATGGAACTTGGCTGACTACCCAACGCGACTGGTTCCGAGAAATCATCGCGCATGCTTGCAGATCATCATTCATTCGATCGCAATTTTGAATGGAGGTCGGGTTCACAGACTGCACTTGGAAGGAACTCACTGACAACTGTCAAAAAGTCGATCGGAGTACGCTCCCTTCCTAGCCGCCCAACTTTTGACTCATCGATGGCATTACCGTAGCAGTCAGTCGAAAGAGCGATGGCTTTCGGGAGTCCCGTTGTTGGCTTGGGCATGCATGCATGTATTGGGCATCAAGACGCGGAAAGGGCGGAGGAACAGCTCTCAAATCCGGGTTATATCGCCCTCCCACAAAGACAGCGCGCTCTTGCCAGATGCCCAAGAGAACACATGGGCGGCTAGGTTGGGCTCTGAAGGAGGCAAGGAGAGAAAGTTAATAGCAATGCTTTGCCCTGATGGGCATACTGGGATGATTACTGTCCACGTTTCGGTATATAATGCTCCATTGAAGTGTGTGACAACAGGCTACCAAGAATCAGCATCAAACAGCTTTATTTCCACTTCTCTTCATCCCCTTCTCTGACCTAATGTTTCCTTACAGATTTATTCACAGCAAGATTCGCAGACCACGTATTCGAAAGAGACCTTGATTTAAGTACGATAGATCGTCATTGTCTTTGCTACTCACAGGTGCACATTGACAGGGTGGGTGTAGCAGAAGAAGGTTGTTGGCTTGGTAACCGGGTAAAGGTACGTCTCCCGCAGCAAAACGGTCAAGTCACACGCTTCCACCTCCTTGTACAAGGGGTGCTAGATGGACAAGGAGAAAAAGAGCGCTGTGTTCTTTTTCGATCTCACTCTCGTTTTCAGCACGTTTGTAGGATGGCTAATGTCGATGGGGCTTAAGCAGCTATTTCGACCTTGGACCCGATTTCTTCCTCTGGTTAAATAGAGTAGGGCGACGCTACCAAGGCTTCGGCAGACCAATCGACCTTTCCCTTCGGTGCGCTCTTTCGCAAACGCTCAACCAAAGCTGCAAGGCAATTTCTAGACGCGTGGGCGACGCTCAGTGGACGAGGTCGAGCCCGACTGGTTCAAAAAGTCCCTTTGACAATTCATCCCACCTTGCATCCCAATCGTATGCACTGTGACGCCTTCACCGCCAACAATCAAGAGAATACCTGCTCACGAACCAAACTTTTTGATCAAGCCAGATCTTGATACATTCCACATTCTGCCAGCGACAGGGTTGGCAGCGGACACAAAAAGGCAAGACCATTAACCCCGGGCGTGCAAACAGAGGGGTATACAGATAGGAGCGTCGCCGTCCAATAGCAAAGCACCTCCCTGGCTCATCACTGCCCGAGAGCTGATTGTTTACCGACCAAAGAGGCTCGATTTTGCGAAGCTGCTGGACTAACTACCTGCGCATCAATCTTTGGCCAAGTAGATAGCTGGATCATATCTTGGGCGAAGAACGGTGAACTGAACAACCACACTTCTAGCTTCGTCGTGGTACATGTCGTGAGTGCTTGTGGTTCACTCTAGCTTAAATACGCTTACGCTAACCAGATCGTGCAGGAGAGCCTACTCGTCGACGGGCTCTCAGCCTTACTCCCACTACGACGACTACGACACCAGCTACGAGGATTCTGTTAACGATCACCACGACCACCCCGGTGCCTACAGCACCTCGGCCAGCTCAGAGAGCGACATCAGTCCCAACGATTCAGCTTCTATACCAGCTGCCAGAGCTCCCAGTCACTCTGAATACCAATCGCATCCTCACCCGTCATATCCTCCGTCGCACGAACGATCCCGTCAGGAGAGACCTTCACGTAAGGCTCGACACCATCGCCCACCGGCTGAGTACTACTCTCACCCTGAATCCAGCCGACACCGCGCATATCCAGAACACGTTTCGACTCCGAGCGACCCCTCGGAGCTCTCAGCCCGCATGACACATCCTTACGACCACTCGGCCTACTCGGCTCGAACTAGTTACCACGAAGGACAATATGAAGCTCATTATCCTGACCATCACTGGCCTGGACAACATGCACATTACCCTCCTACAATGACGTCGAGCACTTCTTCAACCTCGCAATACTCGAATCCTAACGCCCTTGCCCCTTACGACCACTATGCCTATGCTGGCCAACATTATGCAGGTCAGGCCAGTCCTGGAAACCCATTCGCGCCGCCCCATGCTCCTTCACCTCAGCCGGGTTATACATATGACTCCTATACCGGCGCATATCACCAGCAGAGGCCTGAGATGATGATGAGCCGTAGCATGGCATACTTGCCGCCTGAAATGCAGTATTCTGGTTATCCTCAAAGGCCATACTCTGTTCCGCAGAACATGATGCCAGCCATGATGCCTCCTGGATATCATCTCTACCAGCCTCAGGCGTCGTCTCCAGTTCCTGACGAAAAGCCAGCAAAGGCTGAAAAGAAAGAGGAGCCGCCGCCAGCCCCGCCTGCTCCGCCTCCACCAACAGCCGAGGAGATCAAAAAGAAAATGGAAGAAGAAGCTGCGCTTCAAGCTGAGAACCTCGTCAAAGCCCTCAAGGCTCTTCAAGCCGACGAGAAAGCTGCGGCTGCAGCTGCCGCAGAGCAGCAAGCCAAGGTGCAGGCCGAGTCCGATAAGATTGCAACCTTGCTAGCGGATTTTGAGAAACAGCGTCTTGCAAGAGAAGAAGCTGCTGCTGCAAAAGCTGCCAAAGAAAAAGCCGAGGCTGAGGCTAAGGCAGCTCGTGAGAAAGAGCTTGCTGATGCTGCTACAGCAGCACGTGTGAATGCTGAAAAGGAGGCTGCTGCTGCAGCTGCTCTTGCCAAAGCCGAGAATGAGAAGGCGATCGCAGAGGCCAAAGCGGAGCACGAGAAGAAGATGGCAGAGGCAAAGGCTGCCGCCGACGCAGCTGAAGCAGCAAAGAAGGCTGCCGAGGAAGAGTTGAAGAAGAACGCTCCCGCGCCGGACGCCGACAAAGCACCTCTCAAGTTCACCGACGCCGTAGACAGGAGTTTCACGTTGCCATGGCACTTGGTCAAGACCTGGAAGGGCATGGAAACTCTGATCAGACAAGCTTTCGTCAATATTGAGCGCATTGGACCGCATGTCGCTAACGGCCATTATCACTTGCTAGGTCCGAACAACGAGATCATCCTACCTCAAGTTTGGGATATCGTCGTGCAACCTGGATGGGACATCAAAATGCAGCTTTGGCCATTGCCACCGGATCCTCTGGAAGAAAAAGTCAACAACGGCATTGGTGGATTCCCACTTGATAACCAGCCAATTGTTGAGAAACAACCGAAGAAAGAGAGACCAGGACGCACTCAGGTCAGTGGCAGTAAGAGCGCGGGCAAGCGTGCGTCCGTAGGACCCGCGCCGCCACCACCTCCCCCTGCACCAGTTCCACACGTTTCCCCCCATTCTCCACCCCCCATGCATATGCCCACTATCCTCGCCGGTCACGAAGATCTCAATGATCCCATCGTTGAGATTGTCGAAGAAGGCAAGGTACGAGGTGGCAAGCCGAGAAGCACTACTAACGGAGGCAAGAAGAAACAGGTTCCAGCGTTTACCAGATGGATGCTCGGAGGCACTACACGCCCACGCCCAAAAGGGGCTGAAAAACCTGCTGCCGGCGTCAAAGTTCGTCACGTCCTTGTTTGAAGACGATATGACCAGAGTCGACGACACTAGCAACGAGGAGCTGAGGGCTTTTGTCTCCCATGCTTTTGTGGGAGTTTTTCCTCATCTCCAAAATTTCTTATGACTGTTTTCTCTTCATGGCTATGCATTTTGCAATGCTCTGCACCATTCATGTCTTTGCTGTTCTTCTTTTGTTTAGAGCGTCGCGTTTTGTTTGTCCATTTCACTTACGACTTTGCTTCTTACTTACGAAATGATGGGTTTATGGTGTGATGGTTTGATGACTTTGAATATGAGAGGGGAGGTTGCAAGAAGAAACATTTCAGATACCCTTTGCATCTATTATGGAAAAAGAGATCTGGCGTTTGTTTCTGAACATGAAAAGGAGGAAGCATTCTCAGAGGATGGATATGAAGGGAAAGGCGTGATTGTGTCGGTGGTTGTTTTCTAACTCGAAAAACATTCTCCTTTTCAACTCTGGCTCGTCGTCCCTGCATCCAGTGTTTGTTGATCTGAAAAGGACTGTGCCTCTTCGCAAGTGGAGTTTTGGTAGGTTTGACACTGAGACTCGCTCCTTCCACTACCGAAAGCGTAAGTTTTCCCATCTTCACTGGTCACTTCTGCTTCTTTGTACTTTCACGAAGTTGTCGTTGTTGTTTTGAGGCCCGCTTCACTCGATTGCTCCTCCCGACACAGTCGTATGCTTACCGCCACGGCCAAGTGACGGTGCCTCTCAACGCATCTCTGTTGCTTCACTTGCTATCGCGTCAACAAATACAGTCGGCAGGTGCCACACCAAGTGAGTATGCATGTCAATCTTCTGCGCATCTGCTTTTGACACTTATGTGCAGCATGGACCTGCCTAAGCTCTCGGCCACCACACCTGCCATCATGGCATCTCCTGGCGAACACGCAACACAATCACCGGCTTCTACGCACAACAACATGGTACCTTTGGCATCCACGGTCGACAATCTTGACATCACGTCGTCTTCGGTCAGTGTGCATTTGGATCACCTGCACATCCATTTCTAACACTTTTGCAGAGCATCGATCCTACCAAATCTTCCGCAGTCACCACTCCCATCAAGGCACCCCCTGGCGAACTCATAGAAACATCGCCTGTCTCGACAGATGACAGACAGACCTCTTGCGCCGTAAGTGCTGCTAGCTCTGATTCAAGTTATCATTCCTCGCCAGACTTCTACGATCTGCCTCCCGAGCTGAAGAAACTGGTTGTGCACTTCGCCGATGACTCTTGCCTTCCCAACCTGCGCCTTGTCAACAAAGAGCTCAATGCCATCACTACCAAGCCATTTGGCGAGAGACTCCTCGCTGAACGTCGTTTCATGTTGTCAGAGTACAGTCTTCAGGGTCTTGTGGACCTCACTGCTCATCCTGATCTCGGTAAGTAACATAGAAAGGCATGGTAGCATGCTCAATGCCACGAACGCACGCTGATGATAACAAAGGTCCCTCTGTTCGCAAGATCCTTCTCAACACACATGGTTTCACTGAGAAGATAGGAGATTGGCCTAAGGATATTGGACAACACAGATCGAAGACAGAGCGTCGTACCAAGTGGAAGCGCATGCGAGTCGCCAAACGCGAATCCACAGATTTCGTTGAGACTCCGGACGTGATCGATCTGCTGTCTCAGGCTCTGTCCAACCTCAAGAAACACGGACACTCAGTGACCTACGGCATCTTTGACGATGTCATCTACGGCCCTGACGTCGAGGACGATGTCCTTCGCAAGTCCTATGGGTTTGACAAGTTGTGGGGAGATATCTCGCCTCTCGACGACCTTACTCCCGCCCATTGGTACGCTCAAAATGAGATTGCCTTCGACATCCTCTTGGAAGCACTCACGCAGAGCGAGTTACCTATTCGATCCCTGGAGCTGGATCTTGCCTCTGCTCCCCGGGGCCCGCGCAGCGATCTTGACGAGAGTCTGCATCTCGCAGTCACCGATGAAGATGGCAGAATTACACCAGGTTACTTGAATATCTGCATCAAAGCAGGGCTCGACTGGACGTTCCGTTATCTCCGTCGCAACAACGTTCATGGCGATATCGTCTTTGACTACGAAGGAACCATTACCGAGATATGTGGCGAAGACGAGCTTGATCCTGATTTCCTCCCTGAAGTCGTCAATTCGTTCCCGTCAGAGCCTCGCTACAATTACGGCTCGGGCACTTGTTCTCTCTACTCACGTTGTGTGCTTGGCCGCTTCAACTTCACACTTGGTTTGGAGGCAATGACTGAGATCCGCATCTCGTCGTGCGCAACTGAAGCTCATTTCCTTGTGTATGGTATATGCGCATTGGGCAAGGCAAAGCTGGAAACGCTTGTTTTGACCGACCTTCATCTGTTCGGTCCTGGAAACCGTGGCTTCATCGATGAGAAGAACAATGCTTGGCCATGGCTCGAAGGATTTCTTGATCTCGTTGGAGACAATTGTCCCAACCTGCGCAGCTTGAAGATGGAACGTGTTTTCTTCCATGCCGAAGACAAACCTGGTCGCTCTGTTATCGTCGAAGAGTGCCGCACATGGCAAGGTGTGGATGGTGTACTTACAGGTCTCAGATCCTTGATCTCTGAGATGACAACCCTTGACGGGGAGCAGAGAAAGCTATGGTATGACGGCAAGATCGATTCAGACGGCAATGACATAGTCGAGAACAGCGAGCAGTAGGTATTTGTGAGAGAGTGATAAGTGAAACAATGGAGCTGTGACACGAAATGTGGAAAAGGGCCTGTACTGTAATACAAAATGAGAAAGAGGGTACAGAACAGAACGGTATGGCTGGAAGACAATAAAAGGCAACGAAGACACATGAAGATTACTCAGTAGACTTTAGTAAGGAGTGATCGAACATCAAATGTACCCGTTTGCTAAGCTTATCCGTTTCCCAATTCTGGAACCACGTTCGAGAGCAAGACAAACACAAAGATATGGCTTGATAGCTGCAAGGCATAAGTAAAAGATATTATATGGCCAGGGGAAAGTAGTCATTGTATAAGCAATAGAGATGTACAGCAAACAGAAGTGCAAGTTAGTTCCATGTTACGAGCCTGAGGGGTACATGAGGGGAGCTGGGTGCAACCACATTGAGTTCTGATAAGCGATACGATCTTGAACAGTTGTGGTAATTTTATCTTGAATGAAGTTCGTCACGGGATATCTTTGATATATACTAATAGCTGCCAGTCTTTGCGGTTCATAGAGATCGTATAGACTGCCATCACACTCTGAGGCAGTGCTTCTTTGGCATGACTTAGACTGAACTCGATTCGACGACCGTCAGGACAGCTAGGCGGTGACGATGCAACACAAAGCCAGCGTAGATCATAGGAATCAAGAAAAAGATACTGCAAAAGAAAAAGTCAGCGTTGCTTTTCTGAAGAGCCAACATGACTTGATTCCACTCACAGGAAGACTCCAACGATAAGGAGTGCGAGACCATTGCCAGAATCTATCGCAACATCGTGACTGGCGATGAGAAACATGATCAACCATAACGTAGTCTTGATACAGCAAGAAGTAAGCTCAAACCAAGGTTTCAAGTTTGAGCGGCAGAACATGATGATCTCGGTGACGATGAGGATGAAGGTTACACTAGCCCATGCTATCCAGATGCCAGCACCGACACTGTGAAGATGGATTAGATACAGCTCCAAAAGTCGTGGTGAGACAACCATCCATACCTGAGAGCGATTTCCACACCGTGACTGTATGCGTAATCATCATCGTCGTGCAAGAGTGACTTTGTACCGAGTGCGAGAGCTCCTACTCCCCAACCGACGACACAGATGAGGATTTGGAAAACCCAAAACGTGATGAGAAAGGCTTTGCTCCAGGCTGGGAGTCCAGTGACGGTTTGTTGAAAGTTTTTGGGTGTTTCTTGCACCTCCTCTGAGGTGCGAGCGGTGGGTCGATAGCCAGGATAGATCATATTGAATGCAATGAGAAAGATGGTGTGCAAATATTCGAGATCGAAAAGATATGTAGATTGATAGGAAGTACTACAGAACGAGGAAGAAGGGTCTATATATTTGTGTACTTCAGACCTACCTGGGCAAGACACGGATGCCTGAATTTTCGCAGCATTGACTATGTATCAGCCATGGAGGATGCAATTGTATGGGTCGAAGGATTCGATTGCAAGGGGCTGAGTGCAGAGGTTTACAGCTTGGCAGGTCCGTGAGTGGCTTACCGACCGACTGTTATGGTATTTATATGAAGAGGTGAGTCAGGCTTTCAGTTGCAAGAGTGGTAACACAGCCACGAGGTAGAGTATGCGCAGCAAGGTGAATGAATGCTGTGTTGTGGCGTAGCAGACATTAGAAGAACCAGTGTAGGACAGTTGAAAAATAGGCGTCGACAAGTGGAATGAAGTCGGTGCAATATTGCAACAAGGAAGTGTTTTGAAACGATGGGCTTGGAAAGGCGACATTGAGACGGTGACGGATGGAGGTTGTGGATAATTTATGTAAGGTGCATCATGAGATGTGAATCTTGGCACATGTGACGGCATTGGGAAGCTGGAAGTCCGGAGCACTTGCAATCGGTCCAAACACCATCATCCACCGCCATCACCTTGTCGCCGCCGCCTTCACATCACACCAGTCCATCCAGAACACACACATCTCACATCAGCCACGATGAGCGCCGACCCCGAGAGAGAACACGCGCTGGAAGGATACAAGACCAAGCTGCTAGAGTCAAGAGAATGGGAGGCAAAGCTCAAGGCCCTGCGGTTAGAGATCAAGGGCCTGCAACACGACTTTGACGTTTCCGAGGACAACATCAAGGCCCTGCAGAGTGTCGGTCAGATCATTGGAGAGGTCTTGAAGCAGCTGGATGAGGAGAGATGTATGTGACCACCAATCTTTATCGCTCACCACCTGCACAGCTAATCCCACCACAGTCATCGTCAAGGCATCATCAGGACCGCGCTATGTCGTTGGATGCAGATCAAAGGTCGACAAACTCAAGCTCAAGCAAGGAACCCGCGTCGCCCTCGACATGACAACCCTCACAATCATGCGCATGCTCCCACGAGAGGTCGACCCGCTCGTCTACAACATGTCACTCGAAGATCCCGGTCAAGTCAACTTTGCTGGTATCGGTGGTTTGAACGAGCAGATTAGAGAGTTGCGCGAGGTTATTGAACTACCGCTGAAGAACCCAGAGCTCTTCCTCAGAGTCGGCATCAAGCCACCAAAGGGTGTCTTGCTATATGGTCCTCCCGGTACTGGAAAGACTCTTCTTGCCAGAGCCGTCGCCAGCAGTCTGGAAACAAACTTCCTCAAGGGTGAGTTGCTCCTGCTGTTCTGCCCTTTGACTTAACTAACATGCTCCAGTCGTCTCATCCGCCATCGTCGACAAGTACATTGGTGAATCCGCCCGTCTCATTCGCGAAATGTTTGGCTACGCAAAGGAACACGAACCCTGCATCATCTTCATGGATGAAATCGATGCCATCGGTGGTCGCAGATTCTCAGAAGGTACCTCTGCCGACAGAGAAATCCAAAGAACCCTGATGGAACTCCTCAACCAACTCGACGGTTTCGATTACCTGGGAAAGACAAAGATCATCATGGCTACAAACAGACCCGACACTCTCGACCCCGCCTTGTTGCGTGCTGGTCGTCTGGATAGAAAGATTGAAATTCCTCTGCCCAACGAGGTTGGCCGTATGGAAATTCTCAAGATTCACGCGGAGGGTGTGCAAAAGGAGGGCGAGATTGACTACGAGAGTGTTGTCAAGATGAGCGACCAGCTCAACGGTGCTGATTTGAGAAACGTCGTGACTGAAGCGTGAGTTTCTCTTCCTTTAAACACCCCTCCAGGCATAAGCTGACATTTAATCTTCTAGTGGTCTCTTCGCCATCAAGGACTACCGTGACGCTATCAACCAAGACGACTTCAACAAGGCTGTCCGCAAGGTCGCCGAATCAAAGAAGCTGGAAGGCAAGCTCGAGTACCAGAAGCTGTAGATCATGACACCAACCTTCTGCATGGCATCTTCAAACATGAGCGGGGGCGTTTTATTTTCTGGGTTATGGAAGGGTTCTTTTCTCATTAATGAACAAGAAGGAGAGGGCTATAGGAGAAGATCAGGGTCGGCAGCTGGAGACGGATGGCAGCATTGTACCATAGGAATCCTGCAAAACGATCAGATATGAAAGCTGAACTTGGTGTGCTATTCCCCCCACTGTGATGTGGATGCATGTTCTTCTGGAAAAGAATAATCACAGCTTTGTTGTAATGTCCGTATCTAGAGAATGAACAACGAGCTTCTTCAAGACTGCGCAGGGAGTATGAGAAGGAAGCAGAGATCAGGCATTGAGGTCACAAGCATAACAGAATATCAAACGCTAGGAAGGTGCAACGCACAGTAACAAGAACTGAAATTGAGATTACAAGTCTGAGATGTATGTCTATCATAGTCCTTGCTCATCATTACATATGATGCATAAGGGTGGAGAAGACAAAGGCGCTGCTTATTTCGCCTACCCTCCATTGCTGGAGAAGTATCAATCTTCCACTAATTAAGTAGTTAGCGAGCAAGGCATTGAACGGCCTCCCCACAGGCAAATCGTGGTGTGTTGTATTTGTGTTGTGTGTGTAGATAGCTTCCAAGCTCTTTTTTTTCTCCGACTGTCACAAGACGAGTTTTGTACGTGCTGATGCCTCTTCGTGTTGAGGCGATTTCGTGCTTCTGATGTGTGAAGTGCGAAGAAAGCGCGCCTTGAGAGGGCAGAAAGAGAGAGACTATAGCAGAGTGCTGTGTCGCGAGTTGAGCGCAACAGTCCCGAGCAGTGGAAGGAAGATGTTGTTGTTGTTTGGACAGGAAAACCAGACAGAGTGTTCAGCTTTTTAGACGTTTGAGACTTCGCTTTGCTCTCGGCAAATCCCCCAAACATATGACCCATGGGCTTGGCCAAGACATTTGACCCCTTTCCACCACAATGCTTCTTTGTTCAAAAAACCCCCATGTTGGCTCTTTGGAACTGAAATCTTTTCTTCTCTTTACACTTTTTATTACGAGCGGATAATCAACCTTTGTTTTTGTATAACCCACGAGACAAGGGTCATATTGCCGCACAAGAGAGAAGAAGAAGGGTGGCTTATCATTTATGGCTTTCTGCGTCTTTTCTTGATGTTGAAGGTCTGGTTGCGCTTCCTTACATTTTTTTTTGTGTCTTTAAAGTAAACAGAATAAACAATGCATAGTCATGTCTTTTGATTCATAGCCCAGTCATTATATCCCGTCGTAAATATAATCGTTAGAGTCCTCGAGATGTTGCCTGTTGTGGAGCTTCCTCTTCAAGTCATTTCAAGGGGTCGACTGCGTCAATCCCATCAACTCGACCAAAAACCTCGCAACCAACCTTGACACATGGTTGTTGTCCTGCATACCATTGATGGTGAGGTTTTGCCTATGCAACAGGTATCCCCCTACAACATCTTCAAATTAGCCTGAAGGTCCTCGTGTCTTCACTGTTATGGCTGAGAACTCACCATTCCTATCCACAATCTCATAGATCCTATCCGCAAAGACCTGTTCCGCAGGCCTACTCGTCTTGTTCTTCAACTCTTCATATCTGGTTTTCTGGCGATGTTTACCGCGATACTTGCAATGATAAAGCTTACACAAAAATTCAAAGCCATCATCCATTTCGGCGCAATGAGCACGAGCCTCCCATGCCGCATCTACTGTCGTAGTTTCCTTTCTTGCAACCTTGGCATCGGCTTTGATCCAAAGTAGATGTTGGCAGTTCTCGAGTACGATGGCAATGCCGAGCATCAATACAAACGAAGACATCCAGAGTTTGTTCTTGTCGCCTGCTTTCCGGAGGATTTGGTGTAGGCGGTTGAGCGTGCGGTTGTATTGTTGGGTCTGCATTTCGGCAAAGAAGTATTTGAGTTGGCGGTTCGCGAGGAATGGGGATGTCCAGGCAGAATAGATGTGAGGGTTGTTGTGGGAGTGCATCGAGGCGATGGTGACGGGAAGCGAAGGCTCGGATATCGTGATTGGATGGTCCATGATGCATGTTAGAATCAGCATGCGAAGAACGTGGCGGAGATCGCCCTTGAGCTTGTTGTCCTAGGAAAATGCGTTAGCTCGTTCATGCCGTTTGTACTGAGGCTATGAAAAACTTACATCGTCTTCGTCTGGTAGGCTGGTGTAGAGACTGCACAGCGCTCCGAGTATCTCATTCTGGAACATGGCACACGTATCTTCCTCTCCATAGTATGCTTGCACTTGGAACATCTCGAGATACTGATTCAGGATGGTATCAACATAATCTTCCAGTTTGTGACTTTGGCTGAAGTTGACTTGCTTGAGAGCCAGAGGTGGTGATCTCTTCTCTACACGCTGCCAAGTCCCGGAGATCCCAACCTTGTATCGAGTCTGCAAAAGCAGATTCTGAGAAGAAGGTTCATACTCGTGTAGATCCCAGGTGAAGTGTCCCATGCCCAAAGAAGTCAAGTGAACCTGAATAGGAGCATCGGCTCTCCAGAATCCCAGACTCTTCTTGGCGAACGACAAAATTTCATCTCGGCGATGTTGTCTGTTCATCGTAGCAGGAAGGAACTGCTGGACCAGTTCTTGAAGGTGCATGCGCGAGCAAGGGAGCATATGCAGAGAACCCCTGATACTGCGGTCTTGACATCTGGTGCAAGGACTTCCCGGATCGCACTGATCTCTTTGAAAAGCACAAATCCAACATGCTCCCAACTTGCGCATCTGGTTGGCATGTGCTCGTGTATTGCCGTCGAGACCGCCTGAGCGTCCTCCTTTATGTGCAGGTCTTGGACTTGAGCCTCGTGATGAAGAAGATCTGGGTCCATCACCTCGCCGCGTGATTTCTGGAGATCGGGAGTGATGCTGCTCTCTTGATCGATAGTTGTTTCTTATCGGGAGATGAGCTTTCTCGGTGACATGAGAGTCTTCTGCAGCCACGACAGTCCTCTGCTCGTTAGCAGTAGGTTGCTGCTGTGGCACGAGAGATGCATCTGTCTGATGGCTAGTGAGGATAGCGGGCTGCTCGACAAAGTCGAACGCGGCGGGCCCTGGTAGGCTGTCATCAAGGTTGTATCCAGCATGAGCCGGCATGATATCTGGCGAGGACAGATCTTGGTATCTGGTCAACATTTCATCATGCTGGAAGGCCGTCAGGGACGTCGACTCTGGTCCACTATTGAGTCCATCACTCGTACCAGCAGTAGGCTGGTGAACATAAGAGACATCAGGAGGTAGCATCGCTGGCTGGGGCATGAATGTTGTTGGGTCAAAGAACGCTTGATCACCTGGGCGATAGACTAGGTTAGGGTTGTTAAAATTGATAGCGGCAGGGTCGGCCCATGAAAAGCTGGTACCGTAGACAGTCCCGTGCTGGACAAGTCTTTCAGGAGAGCTCTCCCAAGTGTAAGCTGGCATTTGGCAGTGGGAATCTTGAGAAGATGAGGGCACGCCTAGATAAGGCTCGTGGAAGGATGACTCGATCGTGTTCAGATCATGGTAGACGTTGGAGCCTGATCGCATCAGCTCGTGAGGGGTGGATCCTCTTATTCCCGCGAGCATTTCTGTCATCAGTGCTCCTTGAGCAAAGGCTTGATGATCGTGTTCCGCGTCCAGGCTAACAACCTCTTCCTGACCGCCGTCCGAAGATGAGGGCGGCGTATCAGGACCGGGTGGTGAGGTGCCACGGCTGCTAAACTCAACATCTAATTGCATGATTTTGTCTGACGGATAAAGTTCATCAATGAGTGCTAGAAATGACGCTCGATCAGAGAGCACGTCGGGCTCATAGTCAAAGAGCTCCCCCATTTTGTTGGTTTCGTAAGCGTAGGATTCCATCTTTGATCACGGTCCAACTGAGGCTGACTGCCCCTTCCAAATCGGAAAAACAACACGGGCGTACAGGGCTGTGTAGAGTTCGGGGGTGGTTGGTGTGGGATTTTCACTAGGAGCGTTCCGTACCGCACAGCAGCATGGACTTTGACCGCGTTGACACTCCCTCACATTGTCAACGTGGCTGTAAGAATAAGACGAGTCAACAAGGCTGATGTCGTCCAGCTTGATCAACAGGTGCACGATGTCATGTGATGAGCCCCGCATCAACCGGTGATATGCATGCAATATAAGTATCTCGGATGGGAGCCAATCATGACCGAGTGCTTCAACCTGTGGGTATCACGCCTCAAGCACTAACAGATATCGCAACAGGTACTACCTGAGAATTGGCAAGCAAGTACATGATCTCAAAGTTGACCTTGCAGATTGTGATATAGACTTTGGAACTCGGTGAAACACGAGTCTTCAGCATGAGTATCTTGCAGGCCATGGGTTGCACAAGACAAACCTCTGCGGCTGGTTAGAATTGCATTCAATCCTTCGACTCACAACCGGTGAATCGAGCCAAAATTGTCGAATTCAGTCAATGGTCAAGATGCGGTGACTCACAGCAGCGAGTCAAAGGTCGTTGTTCCATCAGATAGACGACTATCGGTTGTATCACTGTACGTACAAGTGGTCGTGGGGTAGCTTGGTCAGTAATGACGTTTGCTTCCTACCTCGAAAGAAGGCACATCAGCCCCGCGCTCGATGATGCGATATGTTTACAAGCGTTCGACGAGGTTTATCGCGTTTACTAGGAGTGTAAGCTGCCAGAGGCATACCGTATGTAGAGAATGGTCGATCAGCACGGGCCCATGTGCCGGATTTGGAGGATGGAGTCTTGGGTTCGTTGCCTGAAGATCCTTGAAGATCAACAGACGTTTGAGATGAACACCTTCTGCGAAGATGGCGCGAATCTGAGCAAAGGCCTCTCTGTTCGAAGTGCAGCTCAGCGTCATGAAGACTCTTATCATCTTTTCCAGCTGCGCTTTTGATAAGCTGTGCGGAAGGATTCAACTGAAGGTGTGCTTATCAACAATGCAGGCCGTGTTGTTGACCTATTTCTGGATCCCTATAACCAACTTGGCGTCACGAGGCCATGAGACACTTCGTGTGGCTAGGAGGCATCTGCGTATTGTCGGAGGTCGGCACGCCATTGGAGTATTGTGGTCGAGATACGAAATACTGCATATTCCAAGATAGAAGAGACAGGTTTGGTCCTGAGAATAGATAATAAGATCTGATGCAAGAGGTATGATCAGTGATCAGCCTGCAGGGGGCCCAAAAATCGGCCGCACCTGCCACGACTCGGCAAAGTCGGCGCCGGCTTGACAAGATCTCCATATCACTTCAACTTTTGTCCAGGATGCTCCGACGGAAGAATCAAAAAACATCCATGAAGTTTGTCGGAGGGATCGATTCTAGCTTACATGAGCAGACAGAGACCAGTTGCTCGATCTAGTCAAACGGCCGTACGGTCAAGGCATCCAGGCAGTTGCTTTGAAATGTCGCGGAACATTTCGGTGGCCATGTCGACCGTCGTTCTCTTCTTTCGAGTCACCGGGCGCGGCGGAGCAATTTCTTGCTTAGAATGTTACTGCAACTCGATGGCCATGTGCTCTTCTCAGAAAATGGAAGCCTAACACTTTTGCTTACAAGTGAATTTACGAGGCATCGCGTGTTGGTAAAAGACGTCATGGCAGTCTTGGTAAGGCAGACATGGAGCTCCGCCTCTATTTTCAGGGTACCTTCAGATTAACTAATCGATAGTTTGATCAATCATAGCACGAGTCTAATCATTGATGCCTTCTGAAATCCAAATCTTCTTACTCATAGCAAAGATCGGTTCTGAACGTTTCGCTTCGAAATCAAACAACACCTCGTACCTCATTCCCAAAACGGAAACTCTTCTTGGTCCACTCGCAAGGCAGACATGGCCAGAGGCCACGTCCCTCTAAGGCTTCATCCGGAGGAGGCTATGGCCCGCTCTGGAGCGCAGGCATTGGCATTGCTAGAAACCAACACCGCAAATGTCCTAACTATAAGTCTCTGTTGGTTTTGACGAATAGCATTCGTCATCTCCCTGGCCCTGGCCTGGCGGCCCTGACCTAGCGGCCTTCTACGATTGAAAGAGGGTCTGTTGCCTGATGACTGAAGCAAGACGCACGGTCTTCACTTCGCCATGTACATACATGCTATGAAGAGACATGAATGGTATAAGAAGGTAGGTGTGCGGCACGAACAACTGAAACACCACACTCAAACACTGGAAACAAACACACCCACACATAGACACAATGCCTTACCACATCTACTCTTCATCAATGGACCTTGCCCTCTCCAACACATCTATCATCACATATCCTATTGGCGTATTACAAGCCGCCAATGGAGACGGAGGCAAGGATCCAGGCTACATTGTCCTGAACAATGGCGACACTGGCAAGGACCCTGGTGCCCGCGAGACAGAGACTCAAGGCATCAGCGCTCTCCTCTTCGCATGCTGCAGCGATCGTTCCTCTTCAGAAGCCTAGATCACCTGCATCCAGTCAGTACTCCACAGACTCAACACAATCCTTCCTCGACTGACAAGCCTCAGACAAATAGAATCGGCAACCAAGGCCGGACAGTCGCTACTGGCTTATCCTTATTAGCATTTGCATATACGGTGTTCTTGGTCCCAATGACTTGACCAGCTAGGAGGGACATCTTTCGTTTAGAGTTGTGCATGGTGGATTTTGTTGCATTCCCGGGCTGGCTCAGGGCAGAACATTGAATCGGAGCATCTCCTCTCGCTTTCAGGTTGATTCGACAGCTATCATGGTTTGGGGGAAGTTCTGGGATATTTTTTGCATGGAATAGAAGGTGGGAATGAGAATCATAGTACAAGGAAATGAGAATTTTTGGTATCGCAAGCCATTACGCCACCCAATGCCGTGAAAAAAGTAATTGTACAGTGCCAGAAAGAGTTCGGAGATCAACCTCTGCGGACGACTCTGTTCAACTTTCTTGCTGTTGCGATCTTGACTAGGTGTCAGTTTTGGACTGAAAACCAAGATGTTCAGTGGACAAACCTGTGTACGGGTTCTTTGACCACGGACGGGCAGACTCATGGCGTGACGTCTTCCTCTGTATGTTCCCATATCTCTTAGACGCTTGATGTTGTCTTGCAATTTCCTCCTCAGGTTGTTCTCGATGGTCAGGTTCTGAAGCTCGGCCGAAAGATCGTTGACAGTACGGTGACCTAGACCGGAGAGTCTGGCAGTGTTATGAATAGACAGGCGAGCCATGAGGCGTTGTGAGATCTGAGGGCCGACACCGTAAAAGCTCTCGAGAGCGCTCTTGACAAGGCGCGATTCGGCAAAGTTGACTCCAAAGACGAGCTGGGTAAGAGTTAGTATCGTGAGATAGAGCGGGCGAAGGCGCATAGAACGGCTACTCACAACCATGGTGACTGTGTTGCAAGAGCGAAAATGATTGGAAGGCGCAAAGCTGGTGGCAGACGTGCGCTTCGTCGTCGTCGTCGCTGGTCAAAGTCGGCAGTCGCGACGGAGGTGCCAAGACTCAAGGCCGCAGGAGGTCAATGCACCTGCCTTTCTCCGCAATCCCGTCCACTGTCGACTGTCCCTGAGTCTCTCTGCCCCTCTGCTCTCTTTCATTCAGCAACATCAATCATGGCCACCTTCCAGAGACTCATCGTCTCCTTGTTGGTGATCCTCACCTTCACCTTTGTCTTCTTCGCACAGTCTTCCGAGGCTGTCAAGGGTCCCAAGATCACCCACAAGGTACACATTTCAAGCTCCATAGCTGCCCTGGTATCAATTGCTTACCTACTTGCAGGTCTACTTCGATGTGACCTCCGGTGACGAGGAGCTCGGACGTATCGTCCTTGGTCTTTACGGCAAGACTGTCCCCAAGGTAACTATATCCACTGCTGCCATATCCCTATCCTCCGTGCTTACGTGTCATCAGACTACCGAGAACTTCAGAGCTCTTGCTACTGGCGAGAAGGGCTTTGGCTATGAGGGCTCCACTTTCCACCGTGTCATCAAGGACTTCATGATCCAGGGTGGTGACTTCACCAAAGGTGACGGCACTGGCGGCAAGTCCATCTACGGCAACAAGTTCCCCGATGAGAACTTCAAGCTGAAGCACAGCAAGAAGGGTCTCCTCAGTAAGTCTCTCTTCTGCCTTATCTACACTGCCCTCTTCTGACCTTCTTCTCCCAGGCATGGCCAACGCCGGCAAGGACACCAACGGCTCGCAGTTCTTCATCACCACCGCCATCACATCCTGGCTCGATGGCCGTCACGTCGTCTTCGGTGAGGTCCTCGAGGGTTACGACATCGTCGACAAGATCCAGAACCTTCCTAAGGGTGCTGGTGACAAGCCTCAGAAGCCCATCAAGATTGCCAAGAGTGGCGAGCTCGAGGTCCCTGAAGAAGGTATTAGAGCCGAGCTCTGATCGTGTCCCGGGCGGTATGTCTGGTTCCGTTTCAGCTTGCTTCAATTCCTCAATCGCTGCTCGGAGCCGCTGATGCTTGCAACTTCTAGAAAAGCTCATTGGCTCTGCTGAGCCCGTCAAGGATCTCAAGGAAGAAGATGATGAGCCAATCGCTGCTCCTGTTCCCGTACCTGCTGCGAACGCTCCTGTCAACGAAAAGGGCGACGAGCCTCTGTCCCACCACAAGGAGGAAGAGTTGGCTGCTGGTTACGGCGACGCCGTCAACGATGATGGTATCAGCTGGCTTGCAAAGATGGGTGCCTTGGCCGTTATCCTCGGTCTTTGCGCTCTGTTCTTGAAGAGCCGTTCATCTTCCAAGAACCCCTATGTAACCGAGAAGTCTTTGGCTTGAGCAGGCTATAGCATGAGAAACCCAGTACAAATTTTGACACTTTCAGACCCATTCTGAACCTCTTTGTCTTGGTATTTGAGTTGTTAAAACGCAAAATGCTTGCTGCAACGACATCCGAACATGTCGATCAACAAGTGTTAATATCAGGCTGAAGAGATCGTGGTTCCTTGACATTTTAGCGGTACGATCTAGAGTTATCTCAAATCGTCTGACTCGCGGTCGACACAATCGTTGCAAACGTTGAATTTGGTAAGACAGATGGACAACGGGGAACGTCGAAGCCCGGATGGAAGTGGTGGCTGGAAGAAAAAGCCAAGCATGTAATGAATGCCACCGCTTGCACGTTCTTGCTTATCCATTTCTTCCGACCTTCGTAAAAATATAGTCCCTGTTAACACACGACGATCAAGTCGATTGGTTCATCTTGCTGTACCAATGTGAGATGTGCCGATGACTCTGTCGCAAGAGAAGTGTCAAGTGCCGACAAGGCTGTGGCTGTCTGATCAAGAGAAAACGGTTCAACGGTATAGCGATAAAGACCTAGGCGAGAAGCCTGTGCGTTTCGATAGACTTGTCTCATGGTTGCTTGTGTAGGAATTCTCTACAAATTCACCCAAGCCATGATGCCGCTGCCGTTGTCAGGCTATTCATGTAAATCGGCTGTCGAGGTAGGTATAAGGACGACCTCTCCCGAGGTCCCGCGTTGCTCCTTCCTGAATGATGCATCTGGGTGTGTTCTTTCTGCGATAATCTGTTCAAGTGGTGCATCCTCCCGTTGTTCCAGGGCTGGCCTCTGTGTTCTTTCTTCGATCAACACATTATAGTGATTAATTGGACTTCCGACCCTGACGTTGTTCCCTCAATTGAGGCCTGCCGGGATACTGCTCGCTGGACTGCTTCTTGCAATTACAAACATCGGTGTACGCGAAAATACATCATGATGGGTCTTGAGGGCAGATCAAACACCATGATTGGTGTTTCAGCGGCGTATCTAGTCGTCGCATGGATTGCTTTCTCTTTACGGGCTATAGTCAAAGCACACATTATGCGATCTTTCGGTCTAGACGACTGGCTCATGGTTGTTACGATGGTGTGTACTAAAACAACGACTGGACTCATACATCGTTGTACTCACTATTCCACAGCTTATATTCACAGTTGACAGCGGTCTTCTCATCGCCATCGGGCAGGGCCTGAAGGATGTTGAACACGGGACGATATATGTGACGGTAAGCACCACATCTTCTAGCCAGGTAGTGATTTCCGTATTGATATCATTTGACAGTACCAAGTTTTCCAATTCGCCTTTTACACACTCGCAAATGTGTTTCTCAAGGTATCTCTTGCGACCACCTTCAACCGCATCCTACTCGAGAGGTGGCAACGTCGAACCGTGCAAGTCACTGTAGGAATAAACACTTTGTTCGGCCTTGCGACCTTCTTCACCATCATCTTCCGCTGCGGTAACCCTATGGATTTCGACGCCCGATACAGACACTCCATGTGTATCAGTTGGGACGCCATGCAAGGAGTGCAATATACCAACAGTGTCATCAACACAATAGCAGATTGGGTGCTCGCTCTGCTTCCTATCTTTGCCCTTCGCGTCATGAAGTTGAACCACCAGGCCAAAATCTCTGCAGGCTTCATCCTGGCATTGGGGTGTGTAAGCAGCATCATGTCCATGCCACGGTTCGGCTTCATTCACGCCCTCGGAGGCATGGGAAAGAAGTTCTGGATAATGTCATTCCCCGTGGCTGTTCTTAGTGTCGCCGAAGTGGGCACTGGTGTTACCGCCGCTTGCCTACTTACTCTACGTCCCTTGATCAGAAGTCTACGTGAGCGCAGCGAGCACTCTCGAAACTCAAACAGCTACAGACTGGACGATATGGAAGAGGCCGAGGTAGGCCAAGCCAAGGCCATCAGTCTCAAGTCCGTATCTGCGACTTCTATCTCGACATCAAGCAAAGACTCGATGCACAAAGTCAAATCTATCCCAGCTATGGTCGTCGTTGCAACCGACGAGGCGGACACCACATCCCAAACCCTATCAGTTGAAACATCACAACTCCGCAGACGTTCGTCCTGCAAACCCATGGATGAACTAACCCTCCGCGAAGACAGTTTCTCCATCGAAGAACCTATTTCCGAACAGTCTGACGAAGATCAACCACAACTGACAGATCTCACGCATCGTATTACTGCAGACTCGGATGTAAGGCCTTGGAAGCACCAACCTACTATTGAAACTGCAAAAGCAGCGCAAGACAAAAAGAGATTGACATGGACGGATATTCATGCGCAATGGAGTGGTGCACATTCATCTCGGACCGCATGTCAAGGTCCTGCCCAACAAGAAACGAGTAAACCTAAGCGAATTAGCATCAAAAGGGTTTCGAGGATATTAGCAGAGTGGAGTTGGGATAAAGCATAGTGTGTCTTTTCTCTTCATCTTTAAATTCTAGCAAGCGTGGGCGTATTTACTCTTCAATGCTGATCTTATGACAATTTAAAGTTGCATGGTGTAATATCTTTGCTCCAAACTGAAAAGGATCCTCCCGTCACATCTTCCAAAGTTGTGTTCCACGCATCAAAATTTTTGAATCATGTGGGTGACTACAAGACATAATCTGTCATCGCAGACTTGTAATCATATTTGTTATTCGATCATTTACGGTGAGGAGCAACGCAACAAAGGCTACTTCCTGTGGGGACAGACTCTAGTGTCATCAGCTGTCTGAGGTTTGTCGTTTTTTGACCACATTGTCGATCACACTTGAGCAAACAAGATATGAGAGGATGTTGTAGAAACAAGATTTGTATTGGATTAGATACTTATACAACAGAGCAAGAAAGCAAGAAACAGCAAAGACGAAAAGCAACAAAACTCAACAGATGAGAAAAGAAAATCCGCAATTACTCCATCCCTATGCAAAAGAGGCATGCTTGATCCATAAGATATTCGTGAACTCGTGGTAAGAAGCTTTCAGGCTGGTTGGTGCTTGTTGATGTTCCTTTACTCAATGTTGATCTTGCGAGTAGTGGGTGCAGAAGCCTTGGGGACAATAATGCTCAAAATGCCATCCTTGAGACTGGCACGAACATTGTCCTGGTCGACGCGAGAAGGGAAGGCGAAGGAGCGGGAGAACTCGCCGACCGAGCGCTCAGAGACCCAGTAACGGGACTGAGGGCGCTGCTCGCTCTGGTGCTGGACTTGCTGGTTTTGATTGTCGGTGGTGGTGACCTGCTGCTCGGTGTTGGAGGATTGAGCGGCGTTCTCGTCCTCGACGGTGGGTTTTTGGTAGTGGTGGGTAGAGCTGTCGGGAGTCTCTTCGCCAGATGTGATACGACCCTTTTCTTGCTGGCCCTCGAGAGCAGCGGGAGGAGTGCCAGACTCGCGGTGGCGCTCAGTGCGACCTTTAATGCTCAGGGTCTGGGCATCGGTGAACTCAATCTGAATGTCCTTCTGGTCAACGCCGGGGAGTTCACCGTGCAGCTCGTAACCATCCTTGACCTCCTTCACATCGAAGCGAGGTTGGAAGGAGCGAAGCTGGGAGAGGTTGCCAAAGTTGCCAAAGTCGTCGCCCTGGCGGGAAATCTGGTGCGAGGCATAGTCGTCAAGAAGACGGAAGAGAGGGGCGAATTCGCCAGAAGGGAAGCGTGGGAAGGAGAACATTGTTCTGACTGGAGTGACTTGAGGAGTGACTTTGATGATCTTGTAAGCCTGAGGGAGCTTGTTGGAGATGCGGTAAGTTTGCATGTAATTGCTTGGGATTGTTGTTGTGCTTGTTCTTGTTTCTGATGATGAGAAGATATGGTGGATTGGTCGAGTGGCTTTATACCTTCGAGCTGCCTCTGGTCAATGGCAGCCTTGAAGGCGCCAGAGCATACCAGAATATGCTGGCTTGATCTCACCACCTCGCTTCTGCTGCATAATCATCTAGAAGATACCAGTAGTGTCTCCTGACCAAGGTGGTCGCACAAAGAAAAGATGGTTCCAGAATAGGAAAGAAGTTTCGAGAATCTTCCTAATGCGGTATAGACTAAGTCACGTGCCAGGTGGCATTGCTTACGAGTAGCACTAAACATCACAATGCTGTTACGATGACAGAGCACTCGTTGAAAGGTGCCATCCAAAGCAAGGAACATGGTGGACGATGCTAGAACACTCTCGAAGAATGTCTCTTGGTGTATAGGGTCGAAGCTGTGGGATATTCCGACGAGCAACGAAATAGAGGCGAGCGAGTTCAGGGTTACTTCATGACATTTCGGATACCAGGAGAAGAGTATATTTCCAATTGACGCTGGCCTTTGCGGAGCATGTACTCGATGGCGCCAAAGTCCTTCTTGTCGTAGTTTTGGTGTTGACGGAATTCTGATCTGATGCAGTGTCAGTCATGGAGAAAAGTGACAGAACAGAATGTGGCATACCGAGTGAACTGAAGAAAATTCGGCCTGACGTCCTGCTTGCTGTTAATGCTCGGTCTTCATAGGGACGATTTCGAGTGCACATACAGCAGGCTTCTTTCGTGTTTCACGAAGACATTTGCGGTAGAGGGACAGAACCTCGCGCTGCAAACCGGACAGGCGTGCCATTGTGAACGACAATGTCGTGTATGAGAACTGTGATGATGAGATTGAGCCTGCAGAACTTTGGTGAGGATTGATATTATTGTATGAAATGAAGGCAAGATGGCACTACAGAGGTTTGTTCATAGACTGGAGTTGACGATCGGGAGAAATCGCATGACGCGCTCCGAACAGAGTGTGGAGAAAGCTGGGGATGCCGACGTCGTCTTTGAGCAACCCTGACCACGATCCATCTTGTCAAACGAGCACAATTTACAAACATGTCGTCGTTCTCGGTTTGTAGTCTCATATTCAATCTCGTGACGGTAGCTGATTCGGATGACCAGTAGAGACTCATCCGATTCCTAGCCAAAGATGGCAAGACATATTACGGCGACGCACTCGTACCGTCCGGAGGTGGAGCAAGCGACTTGACAAGAGTGGCTCAGGCCAAGGTCATACAGGGCAGTCCATGGGGACAGCATCAGGTCACTGATCGTGTAGCTGTATGCTTCGGACGATCGTGAGGATTCGAGACGTATACTGAAGCTGGTCAGGATGTACAAAAGCTCCTTGCACCACTGGCCCGAGAGGACATCAGGACAGTCCGCTGCCTCGGCCTGAACTACGAGCAGCATGCCATTGAAGTATGAAACCGTCGGTAGCCTCAAGGAGAAGTATACATGCTGATCAGCCTTCGGCAGTCCAACATGCCCATTCCAAAATACCCCGTCCTCTTCTACAAGCCCGTCACGGCAGTCACAGGACCATTCGACAAGATTCCTGTGTGTGCGGCGGCTCAAGAAGGTGAAGGTCTCGATTACGAATGCGAATTGGTCGCAGTGATTGGAAAGGAAGGGTCAAACATTTCAGAGGCTCAGGCACTGTCGTATGTGGCAGGATATGCTGTTGGAAACGACGTCTCGCATCGCGACTGGCAGCTCAAGCGTGGTGGCGGTCAGTGGGGTCTCGGAAAAGGGTTCGATGCATGGGCTCCCATCGGTCCTGCCATTGTCAGCAGCAAGCTCATCGCGGACCCGCAAAATCTAAGAATCATGACTAAGGTCAATGGCAAGACTGTCCAAGACAGCAACACAAGAGACATGATCTTCGGAGTTGCCAAGACCATTAGTATCCTGAGTCAAGGCACTACCTTATTGCCTGGCGACCTGATCTTCACCGGAACGTAAGTATCTGAACATCGCAGACTAAGCACTTGCTTACACAAGAACAGTCCACAAGGCGTCGGTATGGGCCGCAAGCCTCAAGTTTGGTTGAAAGACGGAGACGTTGTAGAAGTCAGTGTTGAGGGTGTGGGCAGCTGTATCAACAAGGTAGAGTTTGAGAAGACCAAGGCACGTCTGTGATAGTAAAAGGTGGATGAAGTTTGCGAGGAAGCAGGGGGCGATCGGCATGTTCAATTGGGACGTCACGACTGTCAAGCGTTTCAGACCTTGAAAGCAACTTTGTTCGTCTCCTGCCTTCTATCCTGCTCATCACGTTCAATCCATCCTGCACCTCCTCAAAATGACTTCCAGATCGACCAGAATCAGTGTTTCGTCGTCACGTAGCCAGCTTCATCTTCCAGCGTCGCCTGCACCTGCGAGCTCAAGCAATGCCGGCTACTCACAGTACAGTTCCTACGAATATTCGACTCGCCCTCGTACCGCCATGTCGACTATCGGAGTTGAGTCACAACAAATCATCTGCGCCATCAGCGAATCTCGCGGTATAGCCCCCACTGTCGGTCTTGCCTTCGTCAACTTGGACATGGGCGAGGCTGTCCTCAGTCAGATTCCCGATAGCCAATCCTATGTTCGCACTCTGCACAAGTTGGCAGTCTTTAGCCCTTCTAAAATCTTGATCCTGGACACAGCCGCGAAAACAAAGTCCAAGTTGTTCTGCCTCATCGAGGAGAATCTAGACGACTTGAACAGCAACTTGATCCTCCTGGATCGTCGCTATTGGGCAGAAACTACCGGTGTTGAGTTTATCGAGCAACTTGGCTTCGTTCAAGATGTGGACAGTATCAAAATGTCTGTCGATGGCAACTACTTTTCCGTGTGCTGCTTTGCCGCAGCAATGAAGTTCATCGAGCTTGCACTGAACAAGACCTTTCCGCCACACTCCTTGAGAATCAGGTATGAAGCATCAGAAGGTTCCATGATGACCGACCTCTCCACCATCCGCTCTCTTGAGTTGATTCAAAATCTTCAAAACCAAAAGTCACGCGACTGCCTCTTCGGCGTTCTCAATGAGACTTTGACACCTATGGGGTCACGACTTCTGCGAAGCAACGTTCTACAACCACTCACTGACCAACAAACATTGGATACTCGCTATGATGCTCTCGAAGAACTCTCGACCAAGGAAGACATGTTCTTTGCTACAAGAGCAGCATTGAAGACGATTCTTGATGCAGACAAGATTTTGACGCATTTAATCATTATCCCGACCAAGCCGTCGTTGCAATCTACTGAGCAAAGCATCAATCACATTATCATGCTCAAGCAATTCGTTGTCAGTATTCAGCCTGTCTACGAAGCTCTGACCGGGGCCAAAAGTGTCATGCTGAAAGAGATTCGACGTGTCAGTATTCCAGGTCTGCTAGAATGTCATTGACTGACATAACCACAAGAACTGCACTCCTAGTAGCATCGATCCTATCAAGGAACTTATCGACGAGTTTGTCAACGAGGATATCACTTATGCGAAACAACCACTCGAGTTGCGAAATCAAAGAACATATGCAGTCAAGGTAAGCACAGTACTGGTAGATGAGATGATTCAAACTGACCAACGGCCCAGTCTGGCGTCAACGGCTTGCTTGATGTTGCTAGACAAACTTATAAGGAGGCCAACATTGACGTGCATGATCTCGTTGATGAATTACAAGGTAAGCCTTTCCTTCTGATTGTGAATGCTGCATTCTGACGGCACAGAAACTCACAAACTTCAATTGGATCTGAAATACGACAGTGCCAGACAATACTACCTCAGCCTCAATGCTTCGGAGCTCGAAGACCGAAACCTGCCATCAGTATTCATCAATGTCATTCGCAAGAATAACAAGGTTGAATGCTCGACTCTAGATTTGCGAAAGCGCAGCCAGAAGATCTCCGACTCGCATACCGAAGTATTGCTAATGAGCGACAAAGCCATACAAGAATTGATCGGCGAGATTCGCGTGTACATGTCGGTGCTCTTCAAGGTCTCGGAGAGTATCGCAATGTTGGACGTGCTTTCGTCGTTCGCTCACAACGTCACCCTACACGACTACATTCGTCCTCGCATCACGCAAACTCTCGGTATCAAAGCTGGCCGCCATCCTATCAAGGAGAAAGTGCAGAATACCCCTTTCATTCCAAATGATGTGTTTGCTACTCAGCAATCCCGCTTCCAAATCATTACAGGATGTAACATGAGCGGAAAGAGCACTTACATACGTTCAATCGCTTTGTTATCTGTGATGGCTCAGATCGGTTGTTTTGTGCCAGCAGAATTCGCCGCATTCCCAATCATCAAGCAGCTCTTTGCAAGAATTTCTATCGATGACAGCATTGAGGCCAATGTATCAACGTTCGCTGCAGAGATGAGAGAAACAGCCTTCATCTTGAGGAACATTGACAAGAATAGTTTGGTGATCATTGACGAGCTAGGTCGAGGAACAAGTCCACGAGATGGACTCGCTATAGCTCTTGCGATTGCAGAGGCTTTGGTGGAGAGCCGGGCGCTAGTCTGGTTCGCAACACATTTTCGAGATCTGGCAAAAATTCTTGCAGAACGCAATGGAGTAGTCAACAAGCATTTGGCAGTGGACATGTCTGACGCCGACAAGATGGCCATGTTGTACAAACTCACGGATGGCGTTGTTTCTGAGGAACACTATGGCCTTCAGCTGGCAAAAGTTATGCCACTGCCTCCCGATGTGATCGAGTACGCTACTCAAGTTGCAGAAAAGCTACATGAGCAGGTTGAGAGAAGAAAGAAAGCTTCCAAAGCCGTCATCGTGGGCAGGAAGAGAAAGCTCATCCTCGGCCTGAGGGAAGAACTCGTGCATGCTTGCAACGGTGCAATGGAGGGACCAGTACTTCAGAGCTGGCTACAAGAACTCCAGCGCGAGTTTGGAGTACGAATGACTGCTATTGAAAGGGAAGCAGATGAAGCAGATCTCGAGAGCCTTGCGATGGATGATGACATGGCAGACTTTGAGGCCGTGACCGATGATGCTGCATCGGTGAGTCGTCGTGATGGTTACGAGGCGACTGGTAGTGAGGAGATGAGCACACAGTATGCCGAGTCGACTATCGAAGATGACAATAATATCGCGGATAAGTACTAGGTGTGGTGAAAGAGGAGTGAGCATACCCGAAGGACTGTGCTTATATTCTGTTACCTTGCTATGGTCAAATCAATGCAGCTCGAGTTCTTGATCTGGAGGTCGACGTGGTGACCTAGTCGATATCTTACGCAATTTTTCTGAGGAATGAAATCCAACCTCTGCAAAAACATTGCTCTGTTCAACCGCAAATAGTGGTATTACGGATTATGAATGGAAGAAAGTCATGGACAGGGTGGAGCTGTCGACAGCGTGGCTTTGTGGCTCGTGCGCATGAGACATATTTTGATTAGACGAAATTTTGCTCAACACAGGTTCTATAGTGTAATGGTTAGCACATCGGATTCTGATTCCGGTAATCCCAGTTCGATCCCGGGTAGGACCTCATCCTTCTTTTGCATGTTAGGCTTTTGACCTTGCTCAAAATTCTTTTGGTGGACCATTTGCACGTATTGTAGAGTGTATCCATGAAGTTGAGGTGTGGACTGTGTTTTTGTTGCTAGGCAGATGCCATTGGCAGGGTCTGCTTGGCGTAAACAAATGCGCAGTATCGAAGTGTCGACTTAGTCAAGATTCGGAACAATGCATGTCACAATGATCTAGACTCTGATATGCTGCTGACTGAAGATGATGCACCTTGATCTTTCATGACTTTTGCTTGCTCAGCTTTTCGTCAACGATCCTCGAAACAATCTTTTCGAGGATAGCAGGTTCACCACCAGTCTTGCCCTCAAAGTAGCCGACCACACTCTTCTCGACGTATTTGCCCACGCAATCGACCTCGACATTGACAGTATCGCCCTTCTCCTTCTTGCCCATGACAACCTTCTCTTGAGTGTAGTTGATCATCATGATCTCGAACCAGCCTTGCTCGTCATCCACAGCCGTGATGGTCAAACTCGCGCCGTCCAGCGTCACATAGCCCTTTTCCACAATGTAGCGCAAGACACTTTTATCTCTAGGCGCCATGCGAAACACCTTTGCCTCATTGTCCGGTGTCACAGACACAATCTCTGCAATAGTATCCACATGGCCCTGCACAAAGTGACCTCCCATCCTCGTGTGTGCAGACACCGCTCTCTCGAGATTTACTTTGCTGCCTTGCTTCAAGGCGCCGAGGTTTGTGCGTCGTAGAGTCTCTGGTGCAGCGCCGATTTTGAAAGATGAAGAGGTGAATTCGGTGACGGTTAGGCAGGTGCCGTTTACGGCTATTGAGTCGCCGAGGTTGCAGTCGCCGAGGATGGAAGAGCAGTCGGAGATGGTCATTGTGGTGCCGCCGCCGGAGGTTGCATCTTGTTGGACGAGTTCCGAGACAGCTAGGGTGGTGTGTTAGTGGGGTGTTTGAGGGGAGATGGGGGAGTAGAAGGGGGTGCGTACTTCCTAGTGTTTCGACAATGCCGGTGAACATGGTGGGCGATTTCTATGAGAACCTGGGAGAGAAGGTATGTGTTGTGCGTATTGTGGTCAAGGAAGTGTTATGACTGTGTCTTGAATTGATTCCGAGTCCTTAACATGGATATGTCATCAGCCGGAAGCTGCACCTGTCGGGGCGTTCGCCAAAAGATACCCCGAGAGCTGCCCAGGGTCCAGAGCAATCAATTGGCACCAGCCATCTCGCATTTGCAGCCCGCCGACACGCAATTGCAGGGCGGTCAAGCACTTCAATGCCGTGATTTCTGTTTTCCAATGTCCAATTGATCTATGACTACCTCCGTGTCGCATCTCTAGAGACACGCACTGTTCAATCTCTACAAGGCGCGTTCGCACTACTCTCACAATGAGCTTCTTCGGCGGCCCCTCGTCCCACCGTTCCACCACTTCGCGATCGCATTACAAGTCCAGCCACACCAGACCTGTCTTCCCACGCGCACCATCTTCAACAGCCTCATTCTTCTCACGCAATGGAGGCTCTTCATCCTACTACAAACGCCGGCCGCGCGACGGCTACATCCAAAGTCTTATCCACAAACTCAAGCGCTTGATACGCGATCTATGGGAATATGCGCAACGACACCCCTTCAAGGCGTTTATGGCTGTGATTGTGCCGTTAATTAGTGCGGGAGGCGCATTGCATAGCTTGCTCAAGCAGTTTGGAGTCAAAATGCCGGTGATGTTTGATGCTGGTGTGGGAAGAGGGGGTTATTATGGTAGTAGTGGGTATGGAGGCTATGAGTCTGGAAGTGTGTTTGGGGGCAGTGGGGCTGCTATGGACACGGTGGGCAGTTTGATGAAGGTTGCGAGGGCTTTTATGTGAGAATTGATGGTATGCTGTGGTATGAAGGTTATGATATGCGATATGAACGACACGGATTGCTGGTCAATCGACACCGGAAGGACGATATGTCAATTGCCGGATAATGCTGGAGAGGCAGATTGTGTTACAACATGGATATGGTATTCTTATGATTCTGATAGAAAGCAATGTGGCACAAAAGCAGGAATCAACGTAAGCGACATGCCAGACGATGTTTTGTTCTGGTTTGAATATCGTCTCCGTGTGCTAAAGACTGTCGCAACATAGTTATAAGGTGCTGATCGGATGCACAATTGTGTCCAGGGTTTGGGGCCTGACCATGGAGATAGCTGTCAATGGAGCCCGTCTATGAAAACCACATTCTTTGCAAATAGTCTTGAGCACACGGGAAGGATGAATCAAGCATAACCATTACCCCACGTGACCCTGGCTTCTGCTGACCTAAAGAGTGTCGACCAAGATCTAGGCAAGATGAAGCAGATTGACAAGGACTCGACTGAAGCCAATCTCTTTTGCAACGGCAAGCTTCGTGGAGATGTGGTGTTTTAGTACGCAAGATTGGAAGCCAAAATGCAAGTCGTCAAAGATCGGTGGCAACAGGAACAGACCGGAAAACAGTGGCCGTCGTTCCCTCGGCTTGAGCAACGCGCTCCCGGCCGTCCAGCGAACGGAATCATCATACGCACGCTGATTGGCTGAGCGTTTCATAGTTTGGGGCGAACCTGAGAGAAGTGCCAGCAGCAACTGCCAGAGCAACATCGTCGTCGACTCTTCTATTTCCCCTCCCCCGTCCTAATCTCCACTCCACACATTCTACTCTCACACACGACCGCCATCATGTCGTTCAGAATGGCCACCTCGCGCATTGCGCCCCGCATGATGTTCCGCCGCTCCATGGCCACCACCGTCGAGTCGAGCAAGGGACCCATCCAGGGCGGCACCGAGGCCATCAGTGCCTCCCGCCCTGTTCTCTCGCCCAACGAGACCTCCACCGTCAAAGAGCCCGCCAAGGATGCCGACAGCAAGATCAAGACTTTCCACGTCTACAGATGGAACCCCGATGCCCCCAGCGACAAGCCTCGCATGCAGAGCTACCAACTCGACCTTAACAAGACCGGTCCTATGATGCTCGACGCCCTGATCAGAATCAAGAACGAGCTCGATCCTACTCTTACCTTCCGTCGCTCATGCAGAGAGGGTATCTGCGGTTCCTGCGCCATGAACATTGACGGTGTCAACACTCTTGCCTGCTTGTGTACGTCGCCCTGCCAAACACACTTCACTCGGCTCTTCGGTTTCAGTTGCTAACACCTACCAGGCCGCATTCCCACCGACACCAAGGCCGAGTCCCGCATCTACCCCCTTCCTCACACCTACGTCGTCAAGGACCTCGTTCCCGACCTTACCCAGTTCTACAAGCAGTACAAGTCCATCAAGCCTTTCTTGCAGCGCGAGACTGCTCCCGAGGATGTGAGTTTATCACTCTTGGTCATATATCCTACCACAGCCATACTGACAAACTTACCAGGGCCGTGAGTACCGCCAATCCCCCGCAGAGCGCCGCAAGCTCGACGGTCTTTACGAGTGCATTCTCTGCGCCTGCTGCAGCACTTCCTGCCCTTCATACTGGTGGAACTCCGAGGAGTACCTTGGTCCCGCCATCCTTCTCCAGTCTTACCGCTGGATTGCCGACTCGCGTGACGAGAAGACCGCCGTCCGCCAGGACGCCCTTAACAACTCCATGTCTTTGTACCGCTGCCACACCATTCTGAACTGCTCCAGGACATGTCCCAAGGGTCTTAACCCCGCTCTTGCCATTGCAGAGCTCAAGAAGTCCATGGCCTTCACCTAAGTGCTATCAACTTGTTGAAAGCATCAAAATATCATTATTTCCCTTCTTTTTTCTGTCTAACGGTGTACATTTTACGGAGCGAGGGTACCCACAATTTGCTTTCTTGTCTTAGTTCTTTCCTATACTCTCACTTGTGGGAAGGTAGATATGATCAATGAAATCATCACGCTGTCAGGCGTTTCCCTTCCTATATCCACACACTCTTGTACAATGTATCCGACTTTGCACGAAGAATGAAAATCAAGAATAAATGCAATCCATCAGCGTTCATCGATGATTCTACGCCAGGCATCTTGTGTGCAAACATATTTCAGGTCTCTTCGTTGTTGGAATTCTCGGACTTGACTTTGTATAACCATATTATGTTCCAATTGCAAACTGCATACTTTTTTTTTGGAAGAGAAGCCGAAAAGCGTGCGTAAACGACAAAAGAAATCAGCAAAAAAAAAAAAAGATGATACAAAGCTAAATACATACTGTACGATAAGGGTATCACAAAACCATGTCCCATTCATTACACAATCTCTTGACCTTGTTGTTTTTTTTGTTCTTTTCTCCTTTTGTTCTCTTGGTCTTGCTTGTCATGCTCTGTGTTAGTCAGTGTTCTGAGTGGAAGGGGTTTTGTTCTTGTCTCCCAAGAGCCATAGTCAGTTCAGGCCTTTGACCCATTATGCTCGACTTCGAATCCACTCTCCTTCTGCCTCAAAGCTTTAGCCAGCATCAGTTCTCTCATCCAATCGATCCTCTCGCTACTACTAGTGACAGCGAAGTGGTGAGTCTTGCCACTGGTCGCCATCTTGACCCTGCCCTCACCAGCACCAACACCACCAGCACTAGGAACAAGTTGGAATGCAAAAGCACCAGCAGAGGCATTCTTATCTCCACCACCGCCGAGTTTGAGATTCTTCAATGCAGCGGCGATTTTGTTGTTGGAAGGCAGTGATGAGCAAGCTACATTGTAATCGTCGACGTTGATGCTATCGAGCATGATAGCTGACAGCCTGTTGTTCTCGTGCATAGCTAGTTGTGTGCCGTGTAGACGAAAATGCGCATTCTGCCATTCGTGGTGCAAGAGTTTGGTCTTGCGCTTTTTCATGTAGCCGGTGTGGGAGACGGAGGCGCCGTAGGTGGCTTGCATGTGTGCTTTCTTCATTTCTTTTTGCTTGTCCTTGTCCACGACGTGGAGGAGTTTGCTTGGGGAACGTGTGATGGTTGATGTCGGTGAGAAGACTGCGTTCTCGTCGAGAGAAGGCAGGGTGCTGGAGGCTTGACGGCGGAAGTCGGCGCGTGTGTGTTCTCGGTATTGCATGTTGGGTGGTACGGACTGACTGGTATCGCGGGAGATGGGACCGGTAGGGATGGCAGTGACGGGAACGTCCATCTCAGATGCTGGGGTGCCGTAACGATAGATGTGATGTGACCCGGGTGAGACTGTAGCGCTGCGGCAGGGAGACATGACGGTGTCTGCAGGAGAAAAAAAATGCTGCTTTCCCAGCCAAGGATTGGCACTGGCAGAGCGAGGGATAGACAGTTTGGGCAGATGCTTGAGGTTCCCATGTGGTTCCTGGGTTGCTGATGGACGCTGCAGAGACGGATAGGCTTGTTGATGAATGGTGGGGAACATCTCAAACCCATTGCCAGGGAAAGTGTCATGAGGCGGCGTGGGTGGTGCTTCGACTTGCGGCTGGCCAATATGTTGGAAGTTGAGGAATTGCTTGACGTTCTCTTGAGGGTCTCGCATCTGAAGTTGAGCCAACATATTCTCATGAAGTGCAAAGGCAGGCAGTTGACCAGGGCCAAGCAGATCAGAGGAAGCCACAACTGAAGGCGGCATGTTCTCTGAAACAGGTCGAGTCGATTCCTCTTCGACATGAGGTGAGGCCGCCTGCTGACGATACACGTTGTCGACGACTTTGTAAGCAGTTGTGGCGTTACCAGGATCACCTGTAATCAAGATCTGACCGCCATGATCAGGACTGATGGGATAACCTTGCTGCTCACGAATGCGAGCAAACAGTCTCTGCTGTTTGCGCCATTTGGAACAGTTCTCACCCTTGGCACAGTTGTGTTCTCTGGGCATCAGCTGTTCGATGGCAACGATGGAAACAGACTCGGCAGGAGTAATGGTATCGTCATGATGTCGATTCTTTCGACCACGACGCTTCTTGTGCCGAACAGGAGTGACTGGTGTCATGTCATCTTCCAACGACGAAGCAACTAGTCCGTCTCGGGAGATATTGCCATCTGACTTTGACCTTACATTGGTTGGAGGACGAGAGATGTCCTGGAAAGGTGTAGGTACAGGGCTTGGACCCCGTTCACCACCTTTGAGGTTTTGTATCGTGTTCCAGATTTGATGACGTTTGCCGAAAGATTCAATCTCAAGCTCCTTCAAGTTCTCAAACTTTAGCTCCATCAATATTGATCCATTGATATCGTGCTTTTCAAATTTGTCGACGACCTCATGAGGTAGTCCAGTCTCGAGCATCCAGTTCAAGACGTCTTGAGTTGACCATCGCTCCACGCTATATAGAGAAGGAGACTGCAATACTGCATCAAGACCTGGGACGTACAAGTCCTGTGGTGAAAAGGCAAACTCCTGTGGAGAGGTGGTGACATGCTGCTGCGGCAACTCCATAGTTTTAGGAAATAGTGGAGACATTTGCAGAGCATAGTCAAAAGCGAATTCGGCAGAAGAATGGGAAGCACGGAAAAGATGAGGACCTTTGGGCCCTTCGACTGGCTTGTCTTGGAGTTGAAAGGGACCATTCCGGTCGAACTGTACCTCAGAACGAGGTGTCAAAGCCTCTTCGAAAGATGAAATTGTGGTTTCGCTCCTTCTTCTACTGTCGAACTAGCACAGGATTAGTATGTGGAGACACAAAAAGTGGTAAGCAGTCACTCACTGAGTTGAAGCTGGGTTTGGGAGAGTTCTCCTCGAATAGACTCTCATCGTCTTCCGCATCGGATTCAAAGATCTCGGTTGCTTCAGATATTGGTCGAGTATATGATGTCTTGGAAGGACTCGTAAAGGGTGTTCTCAGTGTCTGAGGATGTGAATCCTGGGCACCCACGTGAGCGGCATGTGTCATGGCCAGCTTGACTAGTCAGCCAATGTCTTGGATCCGGAAGAATGCATATCACATACCATGATGATCAAAGAAAGCGAACAAAAACAAGCAAAAAGACTACGTAAAATTGAGATGAAACGACAGTCGACACCGTTGCCAGTGAGATACTCTATAACGTTTGCTTTCGTGACACGAAGAGACGGCAACGAGACTTGAGATTCGGGTGTTCGCGCGGCAGCAATATCGAGGGCTTTTGTAAAGATAGCTCGTTGCGTGAATTGGAGGGTACACCATGTTCGCGTATTCTGCTATGTGCGTAGTGGAAGTGTGACCAGCCATGGCGGCGGGATCAACAGGCGTTAACGGAAGTGGAACGGTTGGACAGAAGGTCTCGCTGTGCCTGCAGATTTGATAGATTACACACGTATCTCAGGCCTGTTTCGAGTTTGACATTGTCCATTGGACGCCATTGAACATGCAGCATGCCGTCGGGGCGATGGACGTGATGTGAACTTACCGCGCATATGCAAAGATATGCAGAACTTGATTGGCTCAAGAATCAAGGTCAAGTTTTCGGCTGCACGCAGAAGAGATGAGTCAATCCAGGACTGCATCGGAATGGCTAGCCACGAAATGCGACATATGTTGTGTTACCTGAACAACCCTGGGTCTCAAGACTAGCAGGTCGCGCATCTTACCCCGCCAGATAGGCAGAGTACTATGCACAAGGTCTTCGTGAAGAGCAAATACTGCAATCTGCAGCGCTCACGCTGTCGAGAGAACCTGGTAAACGTTGCACATGTTCACGATGCAAGGGCAGAGAAACAGCACATGTTTCTGTACGGCCTCGACACGAGCGGTGAAAGGCGAATGAATCTCGTGATACACTCTAGCCGCCAGACCAACTCGCCTTTCTTGCTCATGTCTGACGTATTTCGGGCGAGTCCGGCCAACGAACCTTACCGACCAGCGACGAGACCAACCCTCGAGAGCAGTATCATGAGTACTGAAGAATAAATGGCAGCGAACCTTCTGCAGAGGGCCGAGTGTTGGACGGGGCAAAGGCGCGTGACTCTGTCGCAGATCCATTTCGAGAAGCTGAGAACCAATAACAGCAAGAAGGCGGCATGTCCGAGGCTGGTTGGTGAATAGGTCAACAGCATGAACCGCCCTAGCAGTATGAGATATTCTCAAAGCCGTCCAAGGCTGATAGGCGTCTGCTGTGCACTACCTAAATATGCAAACTTCCATATCCGCAAGGATAGTTCAGGACTGAAATCGTTGCAGGCATGATTTGAACCAGAATATCGGAAAAGTCGATAGTCGGTCAGGTAATATTATTGTTTGATGGAATTGAGCATGAGTTCCTGCATGATGTCCGGCGAAGTGTGCTTGAGGTGGCAGGAGAGTCAGCACAGCGCCTGCCGTGTCGTCTCACAGAAAACAGGGTTCAAAGAACGGGGAGGGCTGCTGCGGCAGGCAGACAAGAAGCCATTCATTCTGCCGAGCAGCGTCCGATTGGTCAATGCAGCCGGCAGATTGGCGCGACAGCGCATCAATCACATCAAGTTGCTGCACATCTTTCACTTCTCGTCACATCTCATCAGTAGCTCCCAACCACTCGTTGCAACCTCGCTCTGCAGTCATGCCAAACAAGCGCGTGGGAAGATCGCCATAGCTTTCACAAATCAACATTCTAAGCGAGTCAAGCATCACTTGGAACGACCCTGGAGTAGACAGCATGTGCATCCTCCATTCAGAATGGGTTTGACGCTTCACCGCCATCCAATGCGTAGGCAATGAAGCGAATATCAATGCCTTTGTTATAATCACATGCTACCACACGTATCGACTAACGTAAGTGTGCTTGGATCCAGAACCTGGGACATCTATCAGTCTGAAGGTGCATTGTTGATCGGATCTCTGATCAGCTCCACTTTGCAGCAATGAAGCCCAAGTTACTACCGACGCTTGGACGTTGAGTTCCTGCGGCTCATTGCAAGCGGGGATCGGCTCGGGGTCTTTTCATCTCGACATATCAGGTCGAAGTTTAACCTGCTCGAGACGCATCTATCCTTGACCATTGGTCTAAACTAACTTCTGTCAAAAGTGCTCGACCCTGTTGTCTTGCCTCTGTAACAATTCCTGACGAACAACACAACCAAGGAGAACTTCCATCGTTCGATTGGATACCTATCTCTAGATCTCATCCGGAATTCTAAGATCCGTCAATTCTTTCGGCTATAAGAAACTGCATGTACATTGTGCAACCCATGCGGCTCAAGGCCACTTTCTGTCCGACCATCATGGCTCTTGGTGGCACACAAATGGCGTGAGCCGATCTGCTTTCTCCACTAACTCGGCCCATGGCGGTCCCGTGCCACTTGAGTGCAGACAACCAATCGCGGTTTCTGATGCCCTGCATATCGCATGATTAAGTCTGATTCTGCCCAGAGTATTAACCCACATTGTTGAGCGGTCTAAGAATAGATGCGGTCTTATTTGCTGCCATTCTTCCACGTTTGGACATATAAGGTACTTGTCTCCTCCTGCACTTGACCATAGCCAGCAATCGCAGGCCGACTTAATACGCATTTCTTTCTTCTTCTCGTCCCTTTTCCTCTCCCCACTAGCCAGGCTGGTCCAGGCTCCTCTTGCACTATCGTTTAATCAAGAACCGCTTTTGCGCCACTACTTTGTTTCCCAGACCCCCGGTCCCCTACCAGCCCTCAGTCGACCGTGATCCCCGATTGGGCTGCCTCAGATTTATTTGTACATATAGATCAGACATGTCGTCGTCAATTACTCCAGCAAACTCCAGACTCAACACCAAGATGGCTGCCGCGAAAGATGCAAAGTCGAATGCTTCGAAGATGCACCGCCGTTCGCGCACAGGTAAGCTTATATTCTCTTCTTTCTGATCGACCTACGCACGTCCATTGCTCACCCCGGATTCGAAGGTTGTTACACTTGCCGTTTGCGCCGAAAGAAGTGTGACGAGGGAAAGCCCGGCTGTAAAGCATGCAACCACTTGGGTGTTTCTTGTGTTTACAAACGTCCCATGTGGTGGAGCAACACTACCAAGCGAGCAGAACAGAAAGAAATGGTCAAAGAAAGGATTAAGTTGACGCAAAATGCCAAAAAGGCAAAAGACGCAAGCACACCTCCTCCAAGTCTCTGCAAGACTGAGACTTTCTCTGATTCGAAACCTCCATCGCGAACACCGTCTGTTTGCACGCCGTATGCTCCTGAGATCAGCTTCAAGCAAGTCTCGCCAGAAGATTATTTTGCTCTTCCACCACCAGAGATACTAATGTCTCATCCGCCTCATCCTATGTTTTCTCCTTATGAAGTGGATATCAAGACTGAACGCCAGATCTTCATCAATGACGTTCCGACTCGACGAGACTCGACTATCTCAACTTTCAGCACATTTCAGCCACCGATGGGATCAAGTTGTCAAGGCCTTGCTCCAGAGAGCTGGGTTCAGCAAGACTACTTTGAGATGCAACAAGAATCGTTTACTGAAGAGCCGGTCAACTTCGACTTCTTCGATCTGCCCCATGAAAAGCCCGCACCGAATCACGAGACCATCATCGAGGTAGATGAAGTTGACAAGCCATTACTGAATCATTTCATACAAAAGGTTTCGAAGCTCATCTTCCCAATCCTTGACGCCAACCAGCACAGTTCTACTCGTTCGGACATCATCCTGCCCGCGCTCGAAACTAACAAGAGCTATCTTCATTGCTGCTTGAGTGTTTCCGGCCTCCACAAGAAGTCTACCGAGGACGTTCCCTCAGAAGAGATCGATGAGCACATCTTGCGACACCGCTATGCAGCGATATCTGAGCTCTGTGCCGCATTGAACGAAGACAAGAACCATGCCCAGATCCTTGAAGCCACTCTCGGCATGATTTTCTTCCAGTGCTCTGTCGGCCGACCAACAGACTCGATCCCCGATATACCTTGGCACCAACACTTCCAAGCTGCGGCTGACCTTGTTGATCGACTTGAGCTTCCCACTACGGTAGTTAGTGCCATGCAATGTGGAGACGTGTCGCGTCCCCCATTCAACATGGCCCTCACGGCTTGGATTGACATTCTCGGAGCAACCATGCTTGGACGCTACCCAAGGTTTGCTGATACCTATCGCGATCTCAACATCGGAAAAGGTAGCGCGGGACTGTCAGAGCTCATGGGCTGCGACGACAAAATCATGTTTCTAATTTCGGAGATTGCTTGTCTCGAAGCTCACAAGCTTGAAGGCATGGATGATCTAGTGCTCTGCGACTATGTCAAGATCCTCGGCCACAGCATTGGCTATTGCGAGCCAGGACCCGGTGCGGTCAAGAGCGCGTTCTCGGGCACTGGAGCCATCAAGCCCAAACAGCTCAGCATCAATGTGACGGCTGCTTTCATGTACGCCGCACGCATCTACCTCTGCTCTTTGGTACCTGGCTTCCGACTTGACGACCACAATGTGACGAATCTGGTCAACGCTTTCTGTGAAGTCATGGAGTACATTCCGGCTGGACCGGAGGGGCACGACCGTTCATTGGTGTGGCCACTACTCGTTGTTGGCTCGGTGTCGTTGCCCACATCGACATTTCGCAGCATGTTTGGAGAGCGCTGTTCGCGACTTGGAGAAGCAGCCAACTTTGGGTCATTCGGTCGTATTCATGAGCTCTTCAAGGATGTGTGGATGTTGGTCGACAGCGCGGCAGCATTGGGAAGCTACCAGAGCATCTCCTGGAGAGATGTGATGGCACAGAAGGGATGGGACTTCTTGTTGATTTGAGGTCCATCATCGTGTTTGACCTTGATGGTCATGGACATGCCTCTGTGCATCCTGGTTTGGTTGCTTCACCGCTTTACAATAATACCTGTACATACAGCGGAGTTTACGAACTCACGATATACCCCTGGTCATCACTTGAGCGTGATGTAGATTATTCGTAATGGGGAGCATGTTTTCTTTTGATTTTGTTTTTCTGTTGCCTTTTTTCTTCCTCTGGCATTATACCCATGTCACTCTCGCCTGACACTGAGGCGGAGTAGCGATTTTTGTCTCATTTGAATAGCTCTAAGCGGGCTTGGCAGTATTGAGGTACTATACAGCTCTAGGCAGGACAGGACACTACAGTGAGACAGACGAAGAATTGAAGCAAGTTTGAATACGATACCCGTCGCAGGTGAGAACAGGTTGGCATGAATCATGGTAGAGGACAGTCGGTCGGCAGAGAGGCAGTGCGGGAAGAATGGCGGAAGAGACAGCTGCAACGGAGAAGTCTATTTTCGGCAACGGCAGCGACAGACTGCAGATCATGGCAGCTCTGCGCATGTGGCAGGTGAGATGGCGCTGAGATTACCCAGCAAAGCACCAATAGCTCTTTTTCTCCAGCGCTCTCTCATGCAGAGTCTACCATGTCGACAGCTCCACCAAGCGCGACCGACATGTTCAAGACAGCGACCCGCAACTGACAGCTTGTGCTCTACCAGCCCTGGAAGACGACCGTCTCAGACTAATCCTCTACTGCAGACTAGCTGCACAGTAATTAGCTGCGACTAGCCACAGCATAGACAACTGATCCTGGTTTTTTTCTTCAGATAGCCATCATCTACCTTCTTCAGCTCTTGCACCTCAATCGTTCCTCTTCTACCGCCATGGCAGCTCCTCAGCACCCACCACCTCTCCAGACGTCGACCCAAGGCACCTTCTTTGCCAACAGCGGCGCGTATACTCCCTTAACTCCGGATAACGACCACGTCGAATCGCCATCCCTGACTTCAGGCAATGCCCTCGCCCGATTCGAGTTTGAGCGGCCCGCTGGCGACAAGGCTGGCACAAAAATATTGATGGTCGAATGGGAGGACGACGACCAGACCAAGCTCATCCCCGGCCAATGGTCCGTCAGCTGGGAGGCCAAACGTGCTGCTGTGCTTGACTCGAATGCTGTCGACACCAAGAGAGAAGGCCTGCACCGATTATACTTCTTACTGTCTGTCGCCGAGCGAGTCCCCGCTACCGTTACCCTCACCCTACATCCGGATAATCAAGAGCAGGAAAACATAGTCTGGCGTACACATCCACTCCCCGCCATCTTCTCGCCAGAGCTGGGGGCTTCGGCTCGTCAAGCTGGCAAGAAGGGCGTCCTGCACACTGTCTGGGCCAAGAAGCGTCTACAGGTCCTCAAGCAGGAAATACAACATGAGGAACAGCACAATCCCGAGGGTGTCGCTTTGTCCATGGCCATACAGGAGCGTGACTGGATAGAATCCAATTTTGGTGTTCGCACAAAGCCTGCTGGCCTGAAGATCGCTACCACAAGCTCCTCGGGTTCCCTGGACCTTGGTTTGCCCAGTCCAGCCAGCCCACGCAGTCCTGGTCGCGGTCCGTTGCTGGAAAAGCTCAAGGGCCTCAGTCTCGACACCAAGGCTTCGTCAAACGACTCAAATCCTCTAAGTCCCGAAGGTTCAGATGTTGCTGTCAACTTCAATACCTTTGCTGCCCTACATGGTTTGCCTGACCCCAGCACTCTTGCCGCCAAACCTGCTCAACACACTCTACCTCAGAATCAGCAGATAAGCCCTTCAGTGTCACAACCCCAACGGAGAATTGCACCACAATTACCGCCCGACTCAGTTGTTGCACAGCAACGACAACAAGCTGGAAGTAGCATGGCATCGTTGAATGCTCTTGCCTTTAATGAAGCTCCTGTCGAGTTCACTGCCGCCTCTTCGACTGCTGTCCCGTCGGTGACGAGGAACGATTCGGCCGCGGATGAGGATGATCTTTTCGCATTGCCATTGAGTCCACGTAGTCCTGCTGATCAGCAAGATAGAGGTTCTGCTTTTTCCTTTGCTGCTGATCATGTTGCTAAGTATCAGCAATGATCAGAAACTGAGAACAAAGCAAATATGTGATTCTCGTGAGGAACAATGCGTCTTTTACTGTCTGGGTGGAGGGCTCTTACTTTTCGCCTTATCTTTTCTTATTCTCTTCTCCTGCAACACACCTTTGATATGTCTTTCTGGTCTGACCTGTTTTTTTTTTTTTTTTTTTTTTTTCTTGACTGTTTTGTCCTTCTGAGTCCGCTCTGGATATTCTCTTTTGACCACAGAAAATCAACGGTGTTGGAGGATTCTTATCAGCCACTTTTTCTTTCTCTTGCATATTCTTTTTCTACTCTTTCTTTGGACTGAACGTTTATATACACACAAAAGATAACATGGAAGCCACAAATGAAGCCGTGTACCCAGCGTTTCAATTCTTGCTATTGCACCCTTTGCTTCGTCCCTTCAAAGATTCGTTTCTGCAGGTGCCATCGTGACTTTTTGGTCTTTCTGTGAGATCCTTCCGTCCTCCCCGTGTACTAAAGATGTAGCTATGGAGATGCACAGTACTATGAGGATATAGGGAGATGTCCACTGAGAAGTGATGACCTGATGGCTACATGCTGTACCTTGTCAGAGCCGCAGAGGTAGGTGTTGACACGAATCAGTCAAGATATAACCTCCCCGCGTGCCAAAGGGTGTAACGTTTACAGCTGTAAAAAAGAAATGCATGATATCAATCAAAACAGATCGGTGACCACTGAGAAGCGACAAATCATAGACTTTCTGTGGACATGCCTTTATCGGATCTCAATGAACACGCCTCTGATTCAAAGAACATCTGTGCCTTTTCATAGTCTACGTTTTGCTTTGTCGCTGCAGGCGAAATACGATTGGGAAATCACAGACTTTTTGGAATACTGGGAGGATGTAACTGTATGCAAGGGCTTTTAAAGAATGGTGGTGTGCTTGTTCCTCCAAAATTCTGCTCTGTTGGTCATGTATAATGATACAAAATCTTTGTCTTCTGTTTTGAGAGGTAATGCGCAAGAAGAACCAGAACCCAAAGTAGCATGAAAACTCCCTTTCTTCTTCGTTCTTTTTCTACCAAGTTTTTTTTTTTTTTTGCACTTTTCAAGGTATGGAGGTGAAGCGTTTGCCGCTGTTGATGGTGTCGCTGACTTTTCTTCTCATTACTTTGAAGGTGTTGCGGGCTCTGGCGTTGAAATTGGGAGGGAGTGATTGCTGGATCTGTGGTGCAATGATAGTGTTAGCATAGATCTTTCAGACACCAAAGTGCGAGCGATTGGACAGACATACTTGCTCGCCTTCACTCTGCTGGAGCTGTGAAGAAGAACGTCTGATTCCTCTTCCTCCATCTTCTTCCTCATCGCTGCTGCTGAGGACCAAGTGATCGTCGTTGTGCGTGGAAGGTCTTCTCACAACACTTGCATCACTTCCCTCGCCAAAAGAGACATTGCGGCCCATACTCGCGTTGTTGCTAGAGGAAGCTCTGTTGTTGGTGCTATAAGCCCTCTGTATCTCAGCTTCTGAGCGTGAAGTCGCAAGCGTAGGTGGGTAGACAGGAACATTAGCAGGGTAGTAGCTGTTTAGCGGAGGAGAAGGTGCAGGAGGACGCAGTGGGCCCTCAATCTCCCTGCAGCCATCATAGCGTCTCTGAGTCATCCTACGACGACAGCGAGGAGCTTCATACGCCGTGACAGTCTCATCGGAAGCAGGAGAAGATAGCCTTCTACTTTCAGGCAATCTAATACCCAGTTGTGCAGCCAGCGAAGCAAGAGCGTTTTCTTCAAAAGATACTGCATTAGTGTCTTGATTCAAGAATTCTGCAGCTTCTTGCTCGATGCGGGAGAGTGTGGCGATGTTAGGACGCTGCTGAGGGACGGATCTGCGTCTAAACTCATCAAACTCTGTCATGGTTTCCTGGTCCATCGTGACGGTGAAAGAGGGTCTTGATTGTGGGGGATGCGAGCGCAAAGGCTCTGGTAGAGCAGAAGTGGTTACTGGTGGTCGAGGTATGGAGTTTGGTGAGATGCGCAGGTTACGCATGTTTCTCATCCAAGGAGGTGTTGGACTGGCATTTCTGGCAGAGCGTGAAGGCTGTGCTCTGGCAGCTCTACTGGCTTCAGCAGCATTGTCTGGCTGTGTGCGAATGCCCGAGAGGTTGCTTCTTGCGCCATAGTATGGCTGGGCTTCTTGCTGCAGGGAGATCGTAGAAGGATTGACATGTGCGAGCTGACGTCCAGGGTTCGTGTTCTCAGAAGCTGAAGATCTCACGCCTTCGCCAGGATGTTGAGACTGGGTCGGTGGCAACTGGACACGAGCAGACCGAGGCAGTGCATCGGTATCCTGGACATTGGTGCCATTGTTCTCTGAGCGCTCGACAGATGCATAACGATAGACTTGCGAGTTTGTGTCCCTAGACGACCAGGACTCCGAGCCCAAAGCAGGAGAAGGCTGTAGAAAATGGGCAGGGCCAAGTTGTTGAGGCTGGGTTGTTCTACCATGCTCTAATGCTTGCCTCATGCGGAGTTCGTTTCTGTTACCAGAAGACAATGTCTCGTGGGATGGTGGAGCTGGTCGAACCGCGTTGGGATCCTGAGTTCGGTATGAAGGAGGATCAGAGACAAAACGTTGTGATGCGAACCGCAAAGTAGATGACGAGGAGTTTCCTAGTTGGGAGCCACCAAGGCCTTGGTAGGAGTAGTTGTCTGCGCGGGAAGAATGGTCTTCCACTTCCTCATCGTATCGCTGCTGAGCCAAAGTTCTCAAGTGAGGATGGCAGTCATGAACCAATCTCTTGGTAACGAACCCAGCTACTCTCAAATGCAGCTGCTTGAGTGCTTTCAAGGGCTGGTTAGTCCATTCGGCACGTCCTTCGATGGGCTCATGGTACTCTTGCACATTGCCGTAGTTGTCATAGCTCAGAAGAACATAAGTCCAGTAAGGCTGGCCGTCAGAGTCGTGGGTCACACATGAGAGGACATGTGCACCGAACTGTGTGCGCATGAACTGGAGGTTCTCTTGCAGTTGCAAGAGCATGAAGGCTGGATCGTCCATGGTCGGAAGGTTGTCTGAGTTAAGATGACGAGAAGCATGGCGAGATGTGATGATCTTTTATATCCGCTGTGTTTGCTCACGGCCAGTCACTTGGCGGGCTCAAGGGACGATGGGCAGTCCGGAACATTCTCTAACAATCCGGATGTCACAATGGCGAATCACATGAAGGAACTCAGGAGCACTTCCTGCCAGAGAGCAATCTCAGGCAGCAAACAGAGCTTCCGTGTCTCCTTTGACTATAGAGTTTGCAAACACAATACTTTGTATGCCATCAAGAGGATGCCATTATTCAAGCAAGCGTCGATACTGATTGTATTGGCTGTTCGTCGAAGCAATGAGTATGCAAATACCGAACTGAGCAAGAGACCGTATTCAAAGGTACAAAGCCTGAAGGATAGCAAAGTGTTCTGTGTAATGATGCTTCCTGAAGTCCTCAAAGCTGTGCACGAGATCTGTCTGGAACCTTTTGCCATGCACTGTCAAAGCCAGCTGAACGTACCCAGGTAGGCTCAGAACCTTCGACAGAGTCTATCGCCATATGTCCAAGCTGCAGCCACATATCTCCCTTGATTCTGAAGTTCTCCTTGTTCTCATACGGTCTGCAGATTTGCTGTCCATGAGCTAACGCTCTGACCAGTTTCGAGCCATGCCCATCGTCTTCGAAGTTCTTGACACGCTCGATGATCTCGTGCCAAGGGTCGCTGGCTGTGGATGTCGGTTTGTTTGGCTTGTAGTTTGCGATTTCGTCAAGAAGAAGGTCTGGACAGCCTCGCGATGCGTACAAAGCAATGTCGTTGCGAACCTTCCACTCCAACAAGCGGACTTTGTTGGCGTCACTTAGCCAATCTTGCTTGAGGAAAGCAGAGAAGAAGATGGAACAGTTGATGCAGTGCATATAAAAGAAGTCGAACTTGACTGCTTTGTCGCGACGTTGCGCGGCACCGCTAAAGTAGGCGGCTGCGTTTGTCATTTCTGCAGTGCGCTCCTCAAGCTCCTCAGGACTGCTGATGTGGTATTGAGCAACGATATCGACGATTGTCTGTGCCTCGGTCTTCAGTATGCCATCGCGGATGCGGTTGCCATCCACGTCGGCAGCTTTGGCTAGTCGCTTCTCGGCATGTGTCTGATCCAGCAATTCAACGACGCTCTTGGATGGTCCAGAATGACTTTGGGCAGCTTTTTCAGCACCTAAAAACAAGGGCTTCATCCAACAATCATGTACGGCAGCTTGAGCGAGGGCTTCTGCAATAATGGCAGGCTGGTGGAACTCGATACCGAAGCCCAGATGAATAATTGGGTGAAGGAAGCCTGCAAACAGGCGAGTAAGGAAATCATCTGCTCTCTCGTCCTTGGCAAAAAGGTACTCATTCAAGACCTGCTGCCAATCCTTTTTGTCCATCTCGGATTGGAAGAAGCGAAGATAGTCATTGTAATATCGCTCTTTGCCCAAATACTTCATGAACTGCGAAGGATCTTCCATGCCTTTGATGACGGTAGGCTCAATAGGCTGAGGCGGCCGCTGGTAGCCTGCATTGTCGTCATAATGCTTCTGTATCTGCGAGGGGGTCGCAGCCAGTGAGTAGATGGTTAGCAAATGGTGAGCAATATGGTTGTGGAACCCGCTTTGGTTAAAGAAGATGTGATGGTTTTCGTGATTTTCTTGCAACAGGTTCGAAGCTTTTGTTGCAGACTCCTGCTTGATGTCGTTGATGTAGAATTCAGGCCATTCGCCAAGGGAGAGTTGAACTTTGGAAGCTGTTGCCATTGTTCGCGTCGTTCTTGGAGCTAAGCAGGAGCGGAGATTATTTGGTGCAAGTCTTGAGGACAAGCAGGCTTGACGAAACATATGTGTTTTCGATCCGAAATCACGATTGAACAATCAGTTGATATTTCTGGTATGTATGATGCTGCTATGAGTTGAATGACCAACGTGCCAGTGACGACAGCGCGTGGCGGGCTTCGAGAAGAAGAGGACAAAAGTCGCACCTGCCAGAATCTGGTCAGAATCTGTCGCTTCCGAAGCGAGAATCTGTTTCTTAAGCTGGCCAGAAGGCGCGTCTGACAGGGTTGTACCACTAACGATGCTCGAGAGTTGTGATCTCTCGATTGCAGCAGCAACATAGGTCAAATTATAGATTAGAATACTCCCTAGCAATCATAGCAATCACGTTAATGGGCTGCTCCGCTTACAGAAGTGTTGCATTTCTCCGAGACGTAAGACTCCCAAGATTGTAAAATCCTTGCTTGGACACCGCGAGTACACACAAAACCATATTGTTCTTGACCAGAGTCCCACTTCAACCATACCTAGGTGTTGTTTCTCGATCGAATAACGCTGTCTCGCATCGTTGAAGCTCTCGACCCCTGTCCATCTTGCATCGACCTCGAATCTTCCTGGGCGCGAGAGCAAATACATGTCCCGTCGTCCAGCGACCTTCTAGGCAGCTCGTACGCTTCGGAGTGACATCCGACTCCGAGGATCTCCGAAGATCTTCTGGCGTCTCTTTCGCGCCAGCCAGCAAGTCACCAATGCTCTTTGACGACAATATGCCGCATATCGATATCGCATCAAACGGTTGATAACTAATCTCTGAAAGTAATTGGACGATAGACTTGCGCAAGCGCAGTAATCGTCATTACACGAGCAGCTGGACGTCCTATTTTGTCGTCTAACAACAGCACAATGGATCTCAAGCGACAAAAGAAATATGCTGTCAAGCAGCCTTGCGTACTCGAACATTTGATTTCGGTCGAATCCTTAGTGTCGCATTATGCTCTTCTGGCTGTCGCTGTCATCGAAACCCATAGCACTGACATCCACAGTCACCTTCTTCTGGATACCAGACTCCATCTCGATGTCTGCAACCGAGTGTGCTTTGCTTGCTGTGCTGCGGTGGCTGTGGCCATAATCGTTTGTACGAACATATTTGCCATTGCTGCCGAAGGTGCCGTTGGTGGTGCCCTTCCTGGAAGTCACGACGGAGGCGAAGAGTGGCGTAATCTTCTCGAATAGTGGTCGGAGGCAGGGTGTGCAAGTGCAGAACATCGCTGCTGTCAGCTCGGCTTGCGACCAGATGACAACTTCGACGACGCCCCAGGTCAAATCATTGAAGCCGTCTTTGTACAGAACGATGATTGAGCGCATACGAAGGATACTGACGAGACAGGATACAGAGCCTGGGATGATGTTAGGTCGATCTGCGAAGACAATCAGAGTTCATCGACGAAATGACTTACCCATTGAGAAGAGACCCGTAAGGATGACCTTCTTACGGACATCCGTGTTCAGACCCCAGACGATGGGGGCCGGCAACACAAGTATCATAAGGTCAGACACGACATTCAGGGCCGCGTTGGTTATGTAGAAGCTCTCGGTGTCGATGCAGTACTCAGGTACAATATGCAAAGACCACGTAGACTGTATGGGTCTGCATTGGAACAGTGAGGAGAAGATACCCCCAAGTGAGTATGCGACTGTGAATGCGGTCACGAACCACCAACTCTTGGCAAAGTTGGCGATGGGAAATAGGCGGCGATAAAGCAGCAAGATGGACAGCTTCGCGAACAGCATGGTCACGCTGTACATCACCGCAGTCACCACATATCCACGCAGGAAAAAGGGAAAGAGGTTCGACACGGGGAGGTCCCAGATGTGTTTGCCTGCTCCCCATGTGGCCGCCACCTGGTACAAGGCCGTTTCGCCAATCCAGCACGCAAAGGAGAATAGTGTGCACCCTTGAAAACATCAATCAACGACACACGGAATTTTGTTCACAATGTGAACTTACAATCATCCCACCAAAGATTCTTTACCAGGCGTGTGCGTGTGTAGAATCGCGCGGCGACCACGCCGAAGACAAGAATGATACAGATAATGTCGCAGGTTGTGATCATGTGTGTCCTGCCGACTGCGTGGTGGATATGAGACACCTGTCCAGGAGGTGGCCGACCAGCAGGTATTTCGGACAGAGGAATGCCTTCGGCGACGAGAGCATTAATCGTTGCAATCTGCTCCTGACTTGCCATGACTTGTGCCGGTTTCCAAGTACGAGAAGGGAGGGACGAGTTTGAGGGTCAGGGCAAAGGCCGGAGAGGTCAAGTACCTTTGGAGAAGTAACGAACTGACAAGAGTCGGGAACTGGAGACAAGAAATAGTAGTCCGCAGCAGATTTGTCAATACCCATGTCCCACACAGAATCCTTTTGGGTTTCGAATGAACATGCTCTGACAGGCAAGATCATCCAATCAAGAAGAGGCTAGATGCAGTTTGACCTACACTGACGGCAGGCATCGGTAGTTGAGAAGTTTTGTCTCCAGCCAACAGCATATGGAAAGACGAAACATCTGAGTCGCGTAGTTTGGTTCTCCGGGGATGAATGTCGCGATTCATGAACAAGATTTCAGTAGAGCATTGTTGTGCTTGCTGTTGTAAGGTCTAGCATTAGAGTTGGCGCGCGGAAACGAAGGCGAGATCGTCCCGCAGCAAAAGATAGTGAGCAAAATCAGCACCTCAATCTCATGAATGTCCAAATTCGAAATCCTCTTATCCGTTCTAGGGCCTTCAGCAATTGGTGAAATCACCAAGATCTACAGAGACGCTGAGTAGCAACTAGATGATGATTCAAGCACGATAACCGTATCTGTTGATGCATCAATACGCATCCGAGGAATGTTTTCTTCGTTGAAACATGGACGTTGAGATCGCGAATTCACCCTGCACCCAAATTTTGATACTGGCTGTGAAAATTGAAACCTTTAAGGCCGGCGCAAGGCTTCGTAGGATTCGAAGTCTGCTAAACTTTCACTGGTGATGCATACCGTTTTGCTTAGTCAAGCGGTCGCCATGATCCAGAATCCTGAGCTTCAAGCTATATGAGAAGATTGTTGCTTTATCGAAGTCCGAATCTTGAGCTTGGAGTCTTGAAGCATCTTACTAGGTTCCAATGAGAAATGAGGCTCAAGCATATGCAAAAGGCATAGGTAGCTGGCAGCCGTGAGTGATAGCATCCTGACATCGAATTTTCTGACACGACATGAAGTTAAGGTTGGGTCGTATCGACTTCGGACCAGGTCGCAGGGACGCACGAGTCAGTGGCAGATGCGAGGTTTGCTTGGCAGGGACAGCTACGAGTCTTGGCCTTGGCCAGAGAAAGAACAGAAAGGTCGCCTGAATCAAGGACCATCGAAGGACAGTAGAAGATCACACTACACCGTTCGGATATAACCGTAACGTACGAGCTCATAGTCCATCAACTACAGTTATACAGCCGCTATCATCGAATCTGCAGATATTACCGGTCCAAAAGAACGAACACCGAATCATACTGAAAATCCAACTGATAAGACAAAAGATTAGGAAGTGTCTTGCATTACCGACACCCTTGTATGCCATGCTAAAACAAAGTCAGATGTGCAAGGAGGGACGATTTGACTCATGTCCAACCCGTTCGCGACACCAAGAATGAGAAGACCAGAGCAGCTAATCACAAGCTGCTGGGAAGGTCGAATTGGTTTTGACTGGACATTGATGGACGGTCATTTAACCATACCACAATGCGCGAACTGTCCATTCAGCTGGGGACTATGAGGGTACTCAAGCTCCAGCACAGCATGTTCGTGTCATGCAGATAGCGTGATGTGTACGAGTACGGCGAACGATTTACGGAGGGCGAGTTGGACGTCTCAGGGCATCTAGTTTGGCGCAAAAGCTTGTACAGTACGAGAGTGACCCTCTGAATGTGATTCGCTTCAGGCTTGTTGCATCGTTCTACCATGCTTTTAATGCCGTCAATCCGAGCAAGCCATGAGTGGCGTAAGTGTTCAGCTCCAGCTTGCTTGTACAACAATCACCACCGCAACGTTGACCACATCTGCAAAAGCATGAGTGGAAGGAGGGACCAATGTTTCGCGCCAGTACTGGAGTCAGCTTCAGTCAGGCCTGAGTCGGGGACCAGGGAGATGACTCCGCCGCACTCAACCGGAGCGTGCAGCAGCCAGTGACATCTCTGAAGGATAGCGACTCATTGCCAGAAACGCCTGGAGCGGCCGGCCGCCATAGAAAAGTATGCAGTGGAAACGTGGAAGTTGTTTGAACTTTGAATGCGGAGACGAATAGGCAGAAGCTCAGACTCGACAGTGCCACAAAGAGAAGGTGCGTGTCAGGCAAGTGCTGCCGGTACCGGAAAGTGCGTATAAGGAAAGCGCCGATGCGGCTGAAGGTGGGATCATTATCATCACCCGCTCGCTCATCTTGATCCGTCATTCCGAGTTTCTGATGAGCTCCAAAACTCCCACGAGTCAAAAACCCCATCGCTTCGACTCGTCTTGAAGGCTGTTCTACGAATGCGAGTTGCCGATTCTTGTCGCTCCCTCGACGAGGAACGATGACATCGCGCAGAAATGTTTTCGCGTTCTGCTCGGAGCCGAGTCCGTACCTTGTGACGAGACGTTGCGATCGTGGATTTAAAAAGGACGGCGCGCCTCAACAACCATTGATTGAGCAAAAAAAAACAGAGACGCCGACGGTGACTGTTATACACGCTGACAAACAGTTTCATCGTGTTGGATTGTAACATCGCGCTGGACCCGGATTTGTCGCTCGTCGACAGACTGAGGTGCACTCTGCTTACCCTCTTCGTCATTGTCTGACCCTGTTGCTGAGCTTTGCATTCGAGACGCGCCTCCGACAATGCGATTTGTGGACGTCCATAGCTCAATTTCATCTTCCGCCACTGTTGGGCCTTTCCAGCTACGGGTCCTCTCTGTAGGGATCCGACTGCGTGTTTCGTTCGTCTTTCGTCGCGACGAGTTGGCCAGTTTGGACACCTTCGAACGCGATCCTCGCGAAACTTTCTGGCCGAATCTTTTGATGAGAGGTCCAAATGTTGGAACACATGCGACAACAACACCAAGATTGATCTCGACAGCAGACCACTGGATGGACCCTTTAGAGTCTGTATAAGTTGCAAGCCTTGCAATGCTTGTCAACCGGATTGCCTGGACGATGGTGACGAAGAAGCCTAAACTGAACACGGCAAACAGTGCAATCTTGAAACGAAATTCGTCAGCATACCGCGTCTTGACCTAAGGCAACCTGACTGACCTTTCTGTGGGAGTCAAGTTGTAGCCTTCGCAAGATTGGAAAAGGGAGGACAATGATAATCAGATCCCATCCTAAACTTGTACCACCGAGTGCGAAATATATTGGCAGCGCATTGAGACATTTGCCAGGAATGCTCGGGTCCCATTGCTTCGCGATCGGTTGGCAGCCGACCGAAAGTAGTATAGTGAACAGGATCTGACTAATCACGACAGAAACCAAGACTGTCCAAACGACAGTGGCATATGTGCGGTTGAAGCCGGCGACTCGAAGGTAGCTGATCAGCAGCGACAGTTTGAAGCCCAAGACCGTGAGGCAGTACAGTGGTCCTCCAGCAAATTGTATCTGTTGATATCGTCAGTACGTGTAGGGAGTCCAAGAGAACTCTTAGTCTTTCGTACCCTACTGAAGGGTACTGCATTCTCTGGTGGAAAGTCTGCTGCTTTGAGACCAAGGCCCCATTTGGTTTCTGCATGTCAAGTCAGTACACTTGCCGAACAAAGCTCGAGTTGCAATATGGACTCACGATGTATGGCGGTGGCACTGTAGCCAATGTTCAATCCCTGGAGTAAGCTTAACGACTATAGTCTTCGCTTCGCTCACCGCATGGTACATACGCAACTAATGGCCAATGCAATATCGTCCCACCCGACTGAACCGATCGTCTTTATCCGGATTCTGAACTTGAGCCCAACACAGAGGACAGCCAGAAGAGGGAAAACCACTGCAAGTGCTATGATACCTTGTGCATCACTCTCACTCGGCGCAGTTTTGAGATTATGTACCCATCCTGTGGTGTATGGAGCGGACATGTCTGATTTCGACGGAGAAGCACAGTATGCCGAAACGAAGATGAGAGATGCGGCACACGGGGTGATATCTGACATGCGTGTTACCTGCCCTGGACATGACTGCAATCCTGTCTGAAGATCAGTAGCAGTCGATCACTTGCACGTTCCATCAAGTGCCCTTGTACCTCCATGAATTTCCGAAGCGAATTGACATGATAGACAAGATCACCTGAAAGGCAGGTATACTCTGCCGGAGCGAATTGTCCGACACGAACTTACTACCAGTTATAGTTCACCATCTGTCGGAAAAAAGTCCTTCGCACCGACGCGTGCTATTCAATTGCAGGCTAACCATCTCATTATCGCTTACCCTCGCCTATTCTTCGTACTCGGTCTCAATATCTTCGGCGATTCTGACGATTAAATCTCGCACAATTCTCTTGAGACGAATCCCTTTGGAGACTATAGAAACCTTCGACAGCCCTACTGATCCGACTGACTGGAAAGTCAAATTGACACCCTGGTATGATCCTTCACGAGACATGCAGATGAAACACCGCCTTGCGGAAAGATCTGGCGAGGGCATTCTCAGGGTTCCACTGATTGCAGGCTCGTATACTTACGTCCGTAGAACCACGGACAATCCAAATGTTTTTCCCAGCAGTAGAAACCACCATGTGGTCCTACCAAGCAGATGTCCTGCTTGACAAGTTGATACTCCGCACATGCGAGGTATGCAGCAGTTACGTTGAGATCAAAGCTTCTCCGCATGGAAGGAGCGGTCGGCAAGTTCCTGTATTACGCGAACGATCCTTATTAAAAACCTGGGCAAACAGGGTCCGAGCATCGTTCATACTTTAACAGGCGTCGGCAACATTGCCTGCTTGAGTATAACACCGAGCATCCATATCTTTCTCGTGATCTTGATCACTGCCAACTTGCTCGCTCGTAGGGATCTGATCGACGACATGCTCTCGCGTGAGTTGAGCTTGCCGACTCATCCTGCCACCCCACATCTCGGGTCCTTCTGAAAATTGTCGTTGAGTCCACGAGGGCCGGCAAATCAATTTACGCATGCATCAGCTCACACATGTACAGGTCGAAGCTGATGGATAAGCGATCCGACATGATGAGCCTCCAAGCTCTTCATCCTTTATATACCTTGTTGAGATCTCCCAACTTTATTGCCTTCTGACACACATCGTCAGCATGCTACGTTCCACATTCATCTCTGGGCTCGCTGCTAGCTTCATTACCTCGGTCACACCGGTGGCATCTTTATCTCTTTCTGCAGAGGTTGGGAGTGCGCCCGCCAACAGTGGTGACTGCAGATGCTTCCCTGGAGATGCCTGCTGGCCGAGTACAGATGAATGGAACAGCTTGAATGAGACGGTCAATGGTCGTCTCATTGCTACTATTCCTCTCGCTGCTGCATGTCATGACGACCAGTATGCTGCCTACGACAGCGAGAGATGTGCTGAGCTACAGAACAACTGGCTAAACCCTGAAACCCAGTAAGTCAAACAATTGAGCCGAACAAGGTTACGAACTGACATGTCCAAGCTTACCAAGCTCGTCTTCTGTCATGGCTCCCTTCTTCGCCAACCAAAGTTGCGACCCCTTCCAACCTCGCTCAGCTCAATGTGTCATTGGCACTTACGTTCAGTATGCCATCAACGTCTCTTGTGCCAGCGATGTCGTCAACGGCTTGAACTTTGCCATAGACCACAACATCCGCCTCGTCGTCCGTAACACTGGACATGACTACAATGGTAAGAGTACCGGTGCCGGAGCGCTCGGTCTCTGGATGGCCAATCTCAAAGACACCGAGATCAAGGACTGGTCCGACAAACACTACAAAGGCAAAGCTATCAGGGTCGGCGCCGGCATTCGTGGTGGTGAAGCTTACAAGATTGCCGATGCTGCTGGTTATCAAGTCGTCGGTGGCGAGTGCCCTACCGTCGGTATTGCTGGCGGCTACTCTCAGGGTGGCGGCCATTCCGCGTTGACTTCGAGACACGGTCTTGGTGCTGACCAAGTTCTGGAGTGGGAAGTTGTTACCGGCACTGGACGTCACCTTATTGCCAACCGCCAGCAGAACACTGACCTCTACTGGGCTCTGTCTGGAGGAGGTGGCGGCACTTACGGTGTCGTTCTCTCCATGACTTCGAAGCTGCATCCTGATACACCTACTGTTGGTTTCAATCTGACCTTCACTAGTGCCGGCATTCCCATGGACACATACTATGAAGCTGTTACCGCTTATCATGCATCTCTTCCCAAGATCGTTGATGCTGGGGCCATGAGCGTCTGGTACTTCACCAACGAATCCTTCGCCATTTCTCCCATCACAGCTCCTGGTGTCTCCCTGGATGAGCTTAAGTCACTGCTGGCTCCCTTCATGAACAAGCTCGACCAACTCAACATCACCTACAACCACTACTTTGGCGAGTTCGCTACATACCTTGAACACTTTAACACCATGTTCTCGCCTATTCAGGTTGGTATTGCACAGTATGGTGGTCGTCTGATTCCTCGCTCGGTGGTCGAGAACAACAACACTGCTCTGACCGATGCTTTCCGATTCATCAATGAAAATGGCGGTCAATTCATTGGTGTTGGCATCAACGCTTCACTTGCTCGTTCCGGCTTCCCTGAGAACGCAGTCAACCCAGGCTGGCGCGACGCCTTGATTGACACGACCCTCACTACCCCTTGGAACTTCACTGCTCCATGGGAGGAGATGGTTGCCAATGCAGACAAGATGACCAATCTCCTGATTCCCAAGCTTGCTGAGCTGACTCCCAACGGTTCTTGCTATCTCAACGAAGGTGATTTCCAACAACCCAACTTCCAGGAAGTTTTCTATGGCAAAAACTACCAGAACTTGAGTCAGATCAAGGATAAATATGATCCTCACCATATCTTCTACGCTACTACTGCTGTCGGATCAGATTATTGGGTACCTCAACAGGATGGAAGACTTTGTAAAGCTGCCTAGATGGTATATAGTGCTAGAGCATTCGTAGGGTTAATATCAATACAATTGACCCATATTCAGCTAAGCCGAGGTATTTAGGGATTTGTCCTCCATCTCAGCATATTGTGAACTCCACTTTCGAAGGCCACGGAAGATTGAGTCGTGCTGGTTGAAGGTCACCCTGTCTTCTTGGCATTGCAGCTCTCGCTAAGGGTCAGAATTGTCTGTACATGCGCCACTCTATCGCACAATGCATATTGTTCTCGATGTCTTGAGGGTGTATGCGTTCCGTAGATGCGATTGCGAAAGATGAACTTACAGCAGTTGTCGAATTTATTACTCAAGTTGTCAAAGAGGTGAAGGCGAGAAGCTTTGGTGTTAGTAACAGACAGAGCCTCAACCTCGGCTTCAACCTTGATGGGCGACAGCATGGCATCTTTGCTTAATACTGCAAACGCAAAGACAAGCATCATAATCGCATCGGAACAACAGAGATGCCGTTTCCACCTTGGAAGGTTCTATCCCAGTTCGATCAGGAACCGCCGTAAAGTGTTAATTGGATCGTGTCGTCAGGACTCTTTGAATGTCGTCACAAGGTGTCACTGCAGCTTCCTCAGAGCTCTCTTTTAAGAGCTCCCTGCAGCAGTCAACAACACTTTCTTCTCTTCACATCGAAATCAATTCAATCTCACAAATCAATCAATATGCTCCGCACATTCACCCGCAACACCGTCTGCAAGACTTTCAAGCCTTCATCGGCTGCCTCCCTCCGCGTTCGCGGTATGGCTGACAAGAGAGTCGAGGATGTTTCCCAGGCCGCTGGAGAGGCCAAGGACACCAACCCCCAGAACCCTTCGGTCGTCTCCTCTGGCGGTGCTGTTGGCAAGCAGTTCAACCCTGATGGAAACATTGGCCAGGTTGGCGAGAAGGTAAGAGCTTCTTGAATCATGTTCACACGAGGAGCATTACACTGACAAGTAATTGCAACAGATCGGTGGACCTTTCTCTAAGGACGGTGCTATTGGCAAGCAGTTCGATGCATCCAAGGATGGTCTTGCTGGTCAGGTTGAGAAGGCTGTTGATGGTCCCAGCAGACCTGCCACCGAGAAGAAGTAAACCACACACCTCACGCCACCTTTCACGACGATGGATGCCTTTTTCACGACATGAATTACAGCCACCGGAGCCATCAAGAGCTGTTGTACTTTTAGAAGCATGGGAAGCATCAAAGCAGTGCTCCCAATCTGCATCGATCGCTAGACGGTCAGCATGAATACGAAACATTTCAAGGCCACTCTGTGCCTCTCTCCAATCTATTTGTGATGTAATTATGCTTCAGTATGGCTTCAAGTCGCCTTTCCATTCGATAGAAAGAAGTTGTGATTCTGGCCAAAGAAAGATGGGGCAGACGCTTGTAATAAATCCCATCAAGAGTCCAGCCATCGGCAGTCAGGGTTTTATCAGATCCGATGATCGACAAACCCTAGTCACATGATAACGTGCGAGTCGGTCACAGCTTTCTCTTCGTACACCCACCTGACTTCTGCATCCTTCATGTCAACTGACCACGTCTTATGCGAGGAAGCACTTCTTGACCGATGACCGAACTCTATACAGGCCACAGGTTTTTCCGCCAACGAAAACAAGTTCGGTCCATTAGGCATGAGTTTTCACCTGCCATTATAAGGATGAGATCGCCTTTGGGTCACGCCAAACCAATTCCCCGCTCGTTTCATCTACAACAACCGAATCGCTTCTTCGCGCACAAGTTCTAGGGCAGACTGCAGGTAGGTACGAAGCGACGAGTATATATAGAGTCAGAAACACCAGGTCTGACTTCCATCTTCTCCCATTCTCTTCAATACTCATTCTTACTTGACCATCTCTTCTCTCGACATGCATCTTCCTTCTCTTCTTCTTGCTGCAGGCTCGGCAGGTCTTGTTCTTGCTCAACCTCTTACTCGTCTTGGCCAACGTGCCGCCAACAAGCTTCGATTTATTGGTGTCAATGAGTCGGGACCTGAGTTTGGCGAGGGGAATATTCCTGGCCGCTTAGGAACGGACTATACTTGGCCCGATCTTGATTCCATCAGTACCTTCGTCAACAAGGGCTATAACAGCTTCCGTGTAAATTTTCTGATGGAGCGTCTGGTGCCCAATCAAATGACTGGCTCGCTAGATGCCGCATACCTCAGCAACCTCACACAAACTGTTGATGGCATTACTAAATTTGGTGCTTATGCCATCATCGTACCTCACAATTACGGTCGCTACAACGGCGCGGTTATCACTTCGACCAAGGATTTTGCGACTTTCTGGAAGACTGTTGCTACACAGTTCAAGGATAATGAAAAAGTCATTTTTGATACCAACAATGAGTTTCATGACGAATCTTCGACTCTTGTTGCTGAGCTCAACCAAGCAGCCATTAACGCCATTCGCTCTGTCGGCGCTACCTCTCAGTACATCACCGTCGAGGGGAACGCCTGGACCGGTGCGTGGACTTGGACAACCACGCAGGGCACCGATGGCAAGACCAACGGCGAGACGATGGTTGACTTGACTGATAGCGTTGAAAACAAGCTCATCTACCAGATGCACCAATATCTCGACTCGGTATGTTCACCGTGTCTCATCACTGACTGCAAGCTAATAGCACTCACTAGGACGGCTCCGGTACTCATCCAACCTGTGTGTCCCAAACCATTGGCAGCGAACGTCTCAAAGCAGCGACAACCTGGCTGCGTGACAACAAGAAGATTGGATTGATCGGCGAATTCGCAGGTGCTGTCAACGCCGATTGCGAAGCTGCTGTCAAGGATATGCTTGCTTATGTGGCCGAGAACTCTGATGTTTGGGCTGGTGCTCTGTGGTGGGCTGCTGGTCCCTGGTGGGGCGACTACATGTTTTCGGTCGAGCCTAAGGATGGCGTGGCATACAGCACATATGCAGACCTCATCGCATCGTACGCATGAATGGAGTACGGGCGCTTCCATTGCTTGGTTTGAATCCTGGTTCAAGGGTCAGTCATGGCGCTTAGTTATCAACACGCAGTGTCAACTCACAAACTCCATCCATGGAAGAGTAATCCGTGTAGTTTGTGTACGATCTCTGCATCTTGACTTGACTGCGCGGCATCTTGTGCAGAATAGCCAGCTGGTTTCTCTCCCTCACTTCTCGCATATAGCTTGCTTGAACATCTGAAGGTCGGCTTTCCACAGTAACGCTGGTGTCTCCAAAGTACATTCTTCCCAAGCCGGCTATGGTGACGGCGAACAATGCACAGCCCAGTAGAACCAGCAAGATGATTAACCATGGTTGCATTTGTGCCATTGTTGCGGTTGCTTCGGTAAAAGTATTGAGTGGTATGAAAAAAGATACGAGCAAGAGTTGACTCTAATTGCATAAGCTGAAAAAGTGCGATCACAGCGACTCTTAAAGAAACCACCACCAAGGAATCTTCCCAAGACCTCTCACCAGTTCAGCTGCGCAAGCAGCATCATGCACATCAGTTTTCCTTCCAACTAGACTTACCATCCCTTCGGTCCTTTTGCTAGGCATTTTGCGATTCTATCCTTCCATTGGCTGTATTTATCGAATTAACCAATGAGATCCCATTCTCAGATAAATCCTTCTTGGACTTGCATGGCATATCGTGCTTGGCAGGCACCTTTGCAACCCTCAATACGCGCAATACGCGTGGTGTTTCGCTTGGCGGTGCGATGGTTATGTGTGTTGTGTACGGTGAAGGCATGACCGTTTACGATGTAATGAGTAGTTGAGGCTGTGCAGAACTGCTCGTACGTCCGTATAGAAGGTATTACCCCGGATTATAGGCAAGTCTTGGTGGATGTTTCGTACGAGAGGATCGTATAGCTTGAGGCCAAGGGAGAGACGGTTCGGAGGAGTCGTATTCGTATGGCTGAGCAGAGGAATCTCGTCGGCGGATCTAAGCGCAGGGTCGCATTGTTGACGATCATCTATAGCATTCCTTTACCCATTCATGCTGCGTTGGAAGATTTGTGGTACTGCTGAGTGCTCTGTAGTGATTAGAAAAGCAAAACTCAGATGGTTCCCAGGCATCTCCGCCGTACCCGAGCTTCTGGTATTGAGTTATGCTCCAGATTTGCGTTGATTCGATACTCTGCGAGACAATTGCGCGAGACTCGCTGTTATAGGCATAAAAGTGATAGCAGAGCAAGAATCATAATTGCTAACCAAGATCAACCAATATCTGAGCTGTTATAGTGTCCACTCTTGAATAGTACAGCAAGCAGTACATTTAAAAGGACAAGGTTGATCTAGAGTTTCCAAGGTCATCTTTGAACCTGCATCGGAGGTTCGCAAGATCGGGTAAATAGCACGTCGAGTTTCGAAGCATACCGTCGCCGATAATCAAGGCTTGTGCAATTTAGTAGGGCGCGTGTCTAACTATACTCTAGATAGTTGGGTTATATTTGCAACGAGCGAAGCTTTTTCAAAGAGTTGACCATGTTGAACGACACTTGTTGATGTTGATAAGAAATGGTAAAAGTCGCGATATTCAAGTGAGGAAAGAAGGGTTTATGCATGGCACAACGACGCCAAGCCCGCTTCAGGCTTCGTGCACAAACTTCGCACAGCAAATCTCTCCAAGAACAAAAATTCTCGTTGACCACCACAACACCATCTATACGCAAGAGATAGTTGTATGCTATGAGCAAAAGAAATGTTGACGAGAGTGGGATTTGAACCCACGCCCTTTCGGACCAGCGTATTGGATTGAACCTTAAGCTGGCGCCTTAGACCGCTCGGCCATCTCGCCGTGATTTCCGTGCTCATTCTCGGTGCTCGGATGAGGTTGTGGTTGTCTGCAACGAATATATACTTCACAAATACGGCAGTCGAAGGTAGAACGAAACCAGTGTCTTTGCAGAGTGTGAGTGGCTATGGCGACACATGTCCATATGATGGGGGCGAGCCGAGATTGATTCAATTCTCTGTACCATGAAGTCCTGTATGGCGTTCCGATTGGGCTAGTATAAGCTATCATGCGCATATGTTTGCAAGATTTTGCCGAGCAAAGCATGATCAGGGTGCGAAGAGTTATGCAATTGTGCGTATCGAGACAGGCTGCTTATCCAATGAAGCTTGTCACCCATATTCTGTTGGCAGAGAAGGAAAGATGACATGCGAACGTAGGCAGCAAGCCGAGGCGAGCGGCCGAAGTAATCCGACGTCTTGGCGAGGATTTGACCGAGTTGCGATCCAAAATGCCAGTCCCAAACGAGAACGAGGATAGGGTGGTTCGCAAAGGTCGAAGCTGAAACGGCAAGGAAAGGTAAATGGCGGCGACGATACGTTCTAGGAATAGTCTGGTTTAGACTGTGTCGATGTGAAGATATAAAGGGTAGCTGTGCAGGATTCGTGTGCACGAACCGTCGTATTTCGATTTTGACGCTCAATTCGTAAGATCAGGCTATGCAAGACAAGGCTTCGCAAATGCTCAACAAGCAATAAAAAGTGCTCCTTGAATAACAGAGAGCAAAATGGGTGAATAAAAAGACAATCATCAAAGCTTATCAGTATATTAGATTGAAGTCGACAGAGACAGGGTCCTCCTGCCACTGCGGCTGAAGGCCCTGATCCCCGGCTGCGGTTTGGGTATTTCCCCACACTGGAACTGACTCCGCCGACAGCAGATTGGTGAGAAGAAATTGCCGAGCAAAAGCCGCAGGACCAGACATCAGGTTCTCAAGACTTTCCCTTCGTCGCCGAGTACCCGGTTGTTTTGGCAACTTTTCTGATGGTTTGTATACTTGGCCGATCGTCGTTTCAAGTTGTTCGATGAGCTCGACGCGCTTGGACGCAAGAAGAAAATTGGACGCGGCTGGCAGAATCGACTCAACTGCCAAAACGACCATATGGTAATGTGCAAGGAAGACCAGGACAAGCGGTTCGCGATCGGACAAGCTGATCAGCGATCTGGAAAGCCATGGGACCCAATGGCGAATAGGATACAGCGCCTGTAATTGCTCGTCGGCTGTTGGTCCTGGTGGGGATATTCGTAAGTTTTGCATGAAGTTGATCAACTCCTTGGTGCCACGGACGAGCTCGGGTTCATCGCCGACCTGTTTCTGAAGTTCCCTGAGTGTTGAACAAGCCAGCTCTATTGAATTGTTCTCTGGATAGGGCGCGAGCTCGGTATCACTGGTCTCGAGCTTGATTCCCTTACCCGAGTGTTGAGTGAGGCTCCTGAGCTTTGACTGGTGGCCGAAGTTTTCCATCTCATTTAGGGCCTTGGCAAATATTAGCCTCAATCGTCAGTATGTCATCAAGTTGGGGAGAATTTTCCATACCAAGTCAACGCCCTTCATAATTTGCATGAATTCCTGGCTGTGCTGAGTGTAAGCAATGTCTTCTTTCGGTATAGTGCGATCACAGACAAAAAGAGCCTCACAAACCTTGAAGAAGCTTGCCAGCTTAGCAGATAGGATGCAGCTAGCATGGCATCCACGTTGTCCTGATTGAGTACTCGAAGAGATTCGCGAAGTCCCCGAAGTGCCAGATATTTGTAGTAATAAGCCAGGTGAACCATTGAAGATGCCTGTGTTAGAAATGCCAGATGCGTGCTCGCAAGAGCACAGGCGCTATGTCGCACAAACGAGCAGTCAACTGCTATGCGGTGAACCCTGTTTTGACGGTCAGAACAAATTCTTGTCTTGTGAATGAAATTACAAACTCTGGCAGCAGCGAGAGTCCGAAGTCAATATTTTGCATTCCGGCGGCAACCAAATCATCACTGATTCCGCAGAGATGTGCCATCAGAAATCGTTCTTGCTTTGACAAGTCCGGAGTATCGGTCGGGAATAATCTCAGCAGAGAAGCAGGCTCTGGTTCAAGGGAACCATCTGCGTCGTTGTCCGAGAGAGCGTGCAGAATGCGAGCCACCTGTGGTGATGGTTCTTCTGGCGAAGTCTGTGAAGAGGATGCAGCTCCCAGAAAATCACAACGGACCTGCCGTCGAGTACAATTGATGCTACAGAGACGACTCAGCAAATGCACGAAGATTACATCCTCATCTGCTGACACATACCATTGTGGCTTGGACTCATCGCACTTGATTCGTCTCGCACGGCATGTTGCGCATCCTGTGCGGGACTTCAGGTGTGTTTTGCGAGGCTTCATCCTGCAATATTTGGGGAATGTATAGGATGATGAGCAGAAGCAGGAAGAAGAACGGCGGAGGAAGTTTTGCAACGACCAATGAGTGTGAGCTTAACAATTAAAGCCCTACAAGGACGGTCTGGAGGTGCATAGCCGAACTATACCCAAACGTTCGAGTAGCTTTGGTGAACTTGTTTCGGAGATTAGTCCTCCTGCTTTGCCACGACAAATGCAGCTTTTGAATAGCTCGGCGAGTTGAGCTTTTTTAAAGAAGCGCAGTATATCAATCCATCTTCGATCACACATCAGAAGGAAGTGGACACTCTGCACAAGCGCTTAGCAAGTGACGACTTTATGTTCCAGGATCAGTATGGCTATGACCCCACAGGCAAGGACAAGGGACTGTAGAGTCCATGTTGGTCGCGAAATACCCAGAAGTTACTCTGACAGGAATCCGCCTGAACGTACCTTCCCAAAAGGTACAGAAAGAAGGTTAGTGTTGCCAGAAGGTTCCATGTTACAGGGTGTCTGCGATCGTCAGGTCTTGCGTGGCTTGCCTACTGCCGACCCTAGTTCTGAACAGCATCTTTGATTTGCTGCAACCCTTGAATACGTATAGCGCCGGTCAAGGGCGCTATTCAACGGCTGTAAAAGTGCCTGTACAATATGTTCGGCGAATCCGAGCAGGACGTCGCTTTTTCGGTTAATTATTGCAGCTGCCGCAAAAATAGAGATCTTGGTGGAGTCGCGTTGTTTCACGCATGGTCACGTGTATCGCGCCGACAATGTCACAGGGCCTGGCGCCATTGGCTCATGAGCTGCTCCTGACCAACGCGGGGGCCGCCACTCGCCGATTGCAACCACCCCTCATCCTTTAAAGGCCGATATGAAGACCATATACCTGTTACGCTTAGACGTTTATCAGATCGTATGCTTCTTCGGAATTGCTACCGGAGCTCACATGCCATGCTAAAGACAACGCCCGTGTGAAAAGACTGACCACTTGAGATGCGGTCTGGGAAGAGGTTTGAACCACTAGTGCTCGCTTAGGTACAAGCCTATTGTATACATGCAGACCCCTTCTACAAAACTGGTTCCTATCGTTCTATGTTTCTCGGTTGATCGAGGGCCATGAGTCGAAGTGACGGAGATACGAAGTCTAATCTCAGTATGGCTGACATGGCACTACAGCATTCACAAAGTCTAATCTCGATATGACTGGCATTCGAGTACAGCAGGATACATTACAGGTCCCGTGAACACGGCTATTCGAAGACAAAAATTCTGACTTTGATCTGCTCAGTACGGTATATCACCTACGTGTTCTCCTATAGGGCTCGAATTGATATGAAACTTAATCGGAATAGGGTCAAATCGATTTCGGAGTGCTTTACCGAAGTTTAGACCGAGTAAGGTCCGTCTCTCTGATGAGAAAGGAACGTAACCAATGCTGAAAGGTGGATAGTGATCAATAACTATGATAACTTCGGTGCCTGAGTCACTTTCCCTTTGTGGTCGGGGACCTTGAGTCAAAGGTCAGCTTAGTGCAGCGAATGCATCCCGTGGAGGTCCCCGAGACGTCTAACCTTATCAGGCGTTGATGCTTGTGTTTGGAAGAGACATTGGATTCACCCTGAACGGAGCTTTATGACATCCACCTCCAGCACTGCATACAACATCATCGCTACTTGAACGTGGAGTGATATCTGGCGCCCCTGGGGCTCTACAGATCCGCCGGGGAATGTGGCATGATAGACGGGAGAGGTATCAGTAATCATCCTCTTGAAACTCTATATCTCGCATACCCATGTACAAGGCTCGTCCATATCGGCGACGGTTGGGCAAGAGTGCTCGTTCCTGCCACATACTAGCCTCCAGATACAGAACAGGAAATATATGAAGTGGTGGGTAGCTACAATGCTTTTGGATCGCAAAATAACATGGCCAGTTTCTTGGCCCGAACCATTGGTCGCGAGCTGTGCCGAACGTGAGGCACGTTGATGGACGGCATTGAGCAAGTAAGACTAGCTTTGAATGCTTTGAGGTGTACCATGCCGGACGTAGAGCCGCAAGTGAAATGCTGAGTACCATCATCTACTTTGTCATCTGATGCGCCCACACTCGAATCCTTCAGAAGAAGCAAGACATGCTCCTGATGTCTCGTTGCCGATCAAGTCAAGGTGAAATGCCGTCAACGATGGTTATCAAGGAGCGGAAGGACGAACACGGTGGGCTATGACCGCAAGGTCTGGCATCATCTTCTCGTAAGTTTATCACATCGCACCATGTGAGGGATGGAAAACTCGTTGCCCATGGAGAAACCTCGGTTGGGAACAAGAGAGCTTGGTTGATCATACGGCCTAAGATCCGAAAGTTTGTCACTCATCCAGAACTGACATATCTCAGCAGTGACATAATAGTGAACTGATTACTGGAGAAGGTCCGACTGATTTTGGGAACAGAAATGTAGTCAAAGCCGACCTACCTATGATATCTGTTTGCAAACTTGGTCCTTCTAAAGTGGAGGTTCGATTAAGGTTTGATACACAAGGCACACCGAACTGCGGCATTGCAGCATCCTAAGCCACGCAAGCGGATTGGTGGAACCGATAATCGCGTCTGCTGTCATGGAGCGATACACGTACACTTGATGTTGATTGATTTGCAGTGGGCGACACAAGCTGAATGCCGCCTACATGCATGAACCCGTTAGTTACCGTGACGAACACCAAAGAGGACCCTCACAGCGATGAGGGGTGCCGGTGGAGTGAAAATGCGGGCGAACATAGGTTGCGGCTAAAGAAACGGTGCCTGGGATTTCCTTGCAAGAGCGTGCATGCTGTGATCCTTCGTGATTTCACGTGCTTAAGGTTTGAAGGTGATGAGGCTCTGAAGGATGCACTTGTGGTTGTGTACACTATAGCCAATCGGGCTGTATATCGTCGATCACAAGGGGAGCTGGTTCCGCCTTCAAGAACAACGCTTCGGGGCAGGATACATGCTCCGATGATAGGTTATACCATTCTGTCTAACCGCAGGTCGTATCGACCCACTGATGCGACCTCGTCGAGTTCAGCCATCGAAGATTTGGACATCATCGTATCGTTGACGGACCACGTGTGAGCATGCTCAACATGGAAGTTTTCTCCGTCGAGATCGTATATGCATCGCGCTGGTCACGGCGCCATAAAAGCTGGTGAAATTTAGCGAGTCAATCGCGATATCACATCATGATTTATTCTTCTTGTGTGGTTGCTCGTAGAGACGCTTGCTCAGAATCTCATAGTCAGGTTCAATGGACCTCCCTCCTCTTAGTTTCCTCGGCCTTGGACTAATCTCATCCACTTCGTATCCGCGTGAATCGTACCACCTTCGTGCGTGCACATTGCGTTTGAAGACGGTGAGCATTGCTTTGTCCATACCAGTGGCCCCACCAATATACTCGGCCATGCTGAAGAGATGTCGTCCCAGACCACAATCCCGGAAGTGCTCGGAAATGTGTATCTCATAGATGTAGATGACATTCTCTTCATTTTCTTGTGTGATCATGAAAGACAGAAAGCCGATGATTGATTGGTCCAGGTCTGCGTCTTTGCTCCATCGTTTCTCGGACTCTGGCAACTGATTGTCTTTCAGTCGAACGATCAGGTAGCGCATGTCACCGTCCTTCATCTCATCTATCTTGTTCTTGTCGTCCCAGCCCTGGCTACTTGCGCTGTAGTCTTTGTAGCTCGTGTGTTTGATCAATTCAAAGAGTGTCCTTGGAATTCTGGGTATAGACGCCGTAGTCTCTGTACCAACTTGCCTGAAAAGGTCAGAGCTTGTGAAACCCAGGATGTCGAAGACTGCTGAGCTGGAGCCAGCATTCAATCCTGATCTTTGGCCAACTTCTGGTGTGTAATTCATCAATCCTGCGTGCATGTGGTCTTTCATAAGTTGGTGTATTGGCAGATTGTTGAGGTCTCGGACTTTCTTGAAATGTGAGTAAGCTTCAGCAGCTTCGATATACAGCTTCTTGCCTTGAGACTCCTTCTTCCCAAATGTGCGAAAAACGTCGCCATGCTTGAGGAGCACATCTCCATTCTCTTTGGACGTTCGCAACGGAAACTGGTCAAGAAACTGGCAAGCTCCGAATACGACCCATCTTATGTCCATGTCTCTGAGTGAGGAACGAGCGTCTTTCAAGAGTTTTTGGACCTCTTCCTCATTTTTGTGGTATATTGATGTGATTAGACCAAGAGTTGGTGGTTCGCGGTTCTGTTCTTGCTCCAGTGACAGGGCAGAGTTCACCTCGAGAAACTTGTTGATTCCCCATAACCTCCACTTGTCAATGTCTCTTTCCGTTGCTGCATTTGCCATGCCTAGATGTGAAGGATGGTTGTTGGAGAAATTCTGCTAGAAGACGCGATGGTGTTCAGTTCGTGTTTCGTGTCGTCATCCGAAAGAGCCCCGAGGGCTGGACTTTTTTGATTCATGCTCCGCAAAATGTAGACGACATCAACAACAATGAACTTAGGTTCGACATGATGCGACAAACAGCAAGTCTATGGGCGAGAATAGCGACACAGAAGTCGTTACTCCGAGGCAAGAATGTCTTGACGCTGGAACATGTACGATGTCGTTCTGGAATGTGAAATTGGCAGTGGCTGACAACGAGAAAAAAGTTCATGCAAAAGAAGAAGGCGCTGAGTCTTTGGCGTGAGATCATGCGAGCGATCAGTAGTATGTCTACCAACAATCAAACACAAACCACCTAGCTCGGCGACTGATTGTATCAAGAAATCCCAGGATCGCCAACGAAGAGAGAGATGCGAGATTATGCGCGCACTGAGTTTGAGAGGCACAGAGACGTGCAGGATATTGGACACATCCGTTATCTCATCTCTACAGGGCGCACACAGTTTGATGGCATGAAACGATACATCAATGAGCAGGTGCTATGAGAAGACTTTGAGAAACTTCTGTTTCCTGGCACACAGCTTAAGCTGCAAGACTTCTCGCAATTTCTTCCTTTCACTCTCATCCTTTACCACTACTTCTAAGATACCCAACCCACAAATAGTCACATTATCTTGCTTCGAATTAGAACCAACATACTCTTGCATATAGATTTCCCAGAAAATTGACAGTCAGTCTCCAAGTGAAGTTGCAGCTGTAGTTGAGGAAAGTACAGACCGGCAAGCTCCGTCGCGGTTGCATTTGCGCGGAAGGAAAGAAGTTCGTCGAGCGCCTTCAGTCTGGCACCAAGATTCACAGTTTCGACACGAGACATTCGCAGCTCTTCGTCGACACCACCGTCCCTGTCGCACACTGCATCACACCAACTACATCAATCAGCACCCGCCGCATTCTCAAAACCATCTCATCATGGCCGAAGTCGCTCAATCGCCCGTCCCTCTCGACACCATTCCCATCTCTCCCGAGGGTGGTAATGCTGCTACCGACTCTACTTCCAGCGCAAACTCTGGCGATGTCGTCACTGTCTTCCACGACCCCGAGAACTTCAACGTTAAGCACCCTCTTGCTCACACCTGGACTCTCTGGTTCACCAAGCCCCCAAGCGGAAAGGTACTAGATCCTCCGTCACACTCAACAGCCGCGCCCATACTGATCCCCTTGGCAGCAAGACTGGAATGAATTGTTGAAGGAGGTCATCAGCTTCAACAGTGTCGAGGAGTTCTGGGGCATCTACGTAAGTTGGCGCCAAGTCTGTTCTTCACTCAATTCCCTCTGACTCCTTCTAGAACAACATCACTCCCTCGTCCGAGCTCGCTCCCAAGTCCGACTACCATCTCTTCAAGCAGGGTGTCCGCCCTGAGTGGGAAGACCCTCAGAACAAGCACGGAGGCCGTTGGTCATACACCTTCAAGCAGCGCCAGGCCAACGACGAAATCTGGCTCCACGTTCTGCTCGCTGCCATCGGTGAGCAGCTTGAGGATGACAACGACAACGAGGTCATGGGTGTCGTCATCAACATCCGTAAGGCCTTCTACCGTATTGGCCTCTGGACTCGCAGCGCCGGCACCAAGGCCAACCCCACCAAGCAAGGCCAGCCCCAGCGCACCCCTCAGGAGTCGCAGGCCATCCTTATGAAGATCGGCCAACGCTTCAAGGCTGTTCTGCAAGTCACAGACAAGGAGCCTGTTGAGTTCATGGGTCACTCCGACTCTGCCAACGCTGGTTCCACCCGTGCTAAGGCCAAGTACTCGGTCTAAGAGAAAAGTCTTCCAATCTCCTTTGAACTTGCATTTCCAGCGGACTCGGGGTCAACCAAAACTTCAAAAGGCGCACACGGCGTTATTACCTTTCTCGAGAAACCACATTTTACACAGCATGACATTTATGGGGGCATGACTTTCTTTCTCTCTTCTCGATCGATCCATACATACATACCAAGGGGAAGAAAGGCAGGGGCGGGCGGTCTAGGAGGTTGAGCAAGTGGCCCTCTGTTTTTAAAGACGCCCGTCTGGTTTTATGACGCGTAAGAACCGGGTGTTGGGATGCGAGGTTTACGTAGAAGTTGATACCCACGAATATGAAGCATCTGATAGAACCAGAAACTGCATCCTTCTTGTCTCAATGTACGTGAACAGGTTTCCCTGATACACAAAGCTTCAATGTCCTGTAAACTGGCAATTAGCAGAAACTAAGTGCTGGTAAGCACACCTTAGTCACATACGACAAAGATCGCACTTTAGCGGTTTGCATGTGACTGTGACTGATGAGGAAAAATTCGCGGCATCAGCAAGAGGGTCCGATACCTACAGCATACTGTCAGATACACATTCTTGCAGCCACTTCATATTGTTAGACGCACGCCAAAGACTTTACGCCATTAGAGACAGTGATCAGCGGGATTAATCATACACGGCGCTCGCAATATAACCCCACCCACTAGTTATACGACGAGCCCCATATGGGTAAGCGATCCTTCTTTCCAAGCATATATAGAAGCGCCGGCCCAATGTTGGGTAACCTCAATCCGCATGAGACAAAGCCCTTGACCGCACCTATCTAAACAGATGGACGGCACACCAACCTTTCGCATCGCTATTATTGGCGCTGGTATGCTATGCTGTTCCTCTACAACTGCGACTTGACTTATCTTGTGACCATCAGGAATTACTGGTCTTACCACAGCAATCGCGCTTCGCAAACTTCCAAATGTTGATGTGCAGGTTTATGAGCGAGCGACACAACTTCGTGAGCTGGGTCAAGCTATTGCTATCAATCCCAATGGCCTTCGCACGCTCGAGAAACTGGGATTGCATAAAGTGCTGTCAGATGATGTGGGTTATAGGTGTCCAAGTGGTATACCACAAACATTCAGGTGAGGGGTCAGAGTGTATCTTGACACTAAGGAGATGCTGATCGTCACAGACATTGGAAGACGAATGAGATACTGGGAAGGGAACAACACACGGGAAACGTCGAAGAAAAGCACAAAATGACTAGGTTCTATCGTCCACACCTACAGGAGACAATACTGGACTACCTACCCCGAGAGATCATACACATGAATAAGCGTGTTGTCGGTGTCAATATTCAAGGTGAAGGTGTTGATGTCGAATTCGAGGATGCCACAACCATAAATGCAGATCTCCTAGTGGGTGCAGATGGTATCCGCTCAGCTGTCCGTGGATTCTTTGTCCCAGACTTTGAACTCAAATGGTCTGGATTGATTGCTTATCGCACTGCTTTTGATGTTAAACTGCTTGATCATGTCAAAGATTTGCCGGAAGATACCACACAATGGGTATGATTGCACTCCTCGAGACCGGTGTTCGTGACTAACTTTGATCAACAGTGGTCCTCTCAAGACGGCATTCTAGGAACCAAGATGGGAAGAGGCAAGTACGGCATAGTAGCTTTCCACAATGCCAACCCTTCTACGGATCAACACCTGCTGGAAAACATACACTGGGACGTAACTACAAATACTGCCACGCTCAGAGACATGTACAAAGACTTCCATCCAGTCGTGAGGGATATCGTCGCAGCTGCACCTCACGTACGCACCTATCCAAACTTATATGGCGGTTTCTTGGATACTTATGAGTTTGGTGGTCGAGTAGTGCTTGTAGGCGATGCAGCACATTCCCATGGAGGAGCACTGGCTGCAAATGCCTCTCTTGGGATTGACGATGCTTACTGTCTCTACCTGTCTCTTCTCAAAAGGGTATCTACAGATGAAAGATTGAACTTGGGAGCAGAAGAGTTGCAGCAGAGCTTGAGACTGTACGATGCTGTACGCAGACCGCATTGTGAGAAAGTCTTGAAAGTGGTACATGGGATATATGCTATGACCAATGCGCGATTATGGGGTGTAGGAGAAGGGGAAACGGATGAGCAGCTCAGAGAGAAGCTGAGGACGCGGCCGTATGCCGAGTGGATTCATGAACATGATGTAGAAGCTGCGTTTAGAGCATGTACTTGATGAGAACATGGCAGGACAAGATAAGAATACACGACGAAAGTATTAGACGAGCATCTGGCAGAGAAGCTTGATAGTAATTGTAGAGTATAATAACAGCTGCCAAGTGACAGACTTTAGCCTTTTCGGGAAGGAACGCTCAACGGGGTCTTGCCGAAGGAGGGGGCATGGCGGGGTGCTCCGCATTCTCGATGTCCCTACTCGAGCACTTTTACCCAGTCACCTTTGCCAAAATAGCGACCAAACGATTCTTTACTCTGCAGATAGATCGAAGAGGGTCATGCTTTTAGCCGGGAGGTATAACAGCAGAGGACCCTCTGCTGCTATGGCTAGCCATACACTTTCTATGCTTCAGCATGCGAACCAACTCGCAGTCCTTCAAAAACAATGCCATCCTCACCCATCCCCCACCTTCGCCAAACAGCTATCTCAAAGCAGCTCATCGTCAAAGGCAAACCCTTCCTCATGTTAGCCGGAGAACTTCAAAACTCATCCTTCAGCTCGTCAGAATACATGCAGGATGTTTGGACCAAGTTGACTACTATGAACATGAATACAGTACTAGGATCTGTGTCCTGGGAGCAGATTGAACCTACAGAGGGAAACTTTGACTTTGAAGCTCTGGATCAGGTTTTGCTTGATGCTAGAAAGCATGGCTTGCATGTTGTTCTGTTGTGGTTTGGCAGTTTCAAGAATGGTGAGTAATGACTTTCCTTCGGGTGCACGATAGTTTCCACATGGAAGTGGCATCATGGAGAGAACATCATAGTGAGATGATGAGCTGTATAGGTCTATCCACGTATACTCCCCCATGGGTAAAACAAAATCCCAAAAGATTCCCCAGGATGAAACTGCGAACCGCAGATGGAAGTCTTGCAACCAGCGATATCCTCACAGTCTTTGGCACAGAAGCACGAAAAGCCGATGCCAAAGCCTTCAAGACACTCATGCAGCACCTCAAAGACTTTGACGAAGAACACTCTACAGTAATTATGGTTCAAGTCGAAAACGAAGTTGGTTGTCTAGGAGACTCCAGAGATCGCAGCGAAGGTTCTGAAGCAGCGTTTGCAGCTCCATTACCCGATGAATTTCGCGACTTCCTTGGAGGGGACTGGTCAACCTTCACAAATGCCTTTCGACGTAACCTTGGGGAGCTAAGGCAGTGTTCCCTGAACAAAGACACGACGTGGAAAGATCTTCCTGGAGATTCTGCACGCATTGATGAGTTATTCATGGCTTACCACTACGCAAAATACCTTGACGAAATCGCTGCAGTGGGGAAAGCAATCTATGCTCTGCCGCTCTACACGAATGTATGGCAGAATGTCATAGACAGCGATACAGACTCCAATACACCACCTATCGCAGGAGGAGGCTCAGAACCAGGCGACTACCCATCTGGAGGTGGTGTGATAGATGTCCTGGATATCTGGCAAGCATTTGCACCTTCACTCGATTTTATCGCTCCGGATATTTATCTCAACGATTATGCGACTTCGTGTAGATTGTATCGACATAACAGTCAGCCTTTGTTTATCCCCGAGCAGAGGCGTGATGAGTATGGTGCTTTGCGTATCTGGACTGCGTTTGGCTCTCACGCATGCATAGGAACCTCGCCATTTGGCTGCGAGACCGTGGATCCCATGAACAGTCCTTTTAGGAAGCATTACGGCTTGTTGAACAAGATGAGATATCATATCCTTAGCGCCCAAGCGCAGGAAAACACCAGTATAGGTTTCTTCTTCGACGAATTGGCTGCCGATGGTTCAGACCCTTCACCAAGAATCACAACCACATTTGGAGACTGGAACCTGCTGATAGAAAGATCTTTCGTATTCGGCCATCCCTCCTCCGGCTCAGGCATGATCCTCCACACCTCTCGGAACACCTTCCTCCTCATCGGATGGGGCTTTCAAGTGACCTTCAAGCACCGCAGCTCCAAAGCCCACTTCAATGGCATTCTAAGATTTGAAGAGATGGATGTTGACGACGCGAAGACTGGATCTTTGCGAAAAGTTCGTCTGTTGAATGGAGACGAGACGCAGAGTGGCAAGGCTGCGGTTATGCCGAGTGAGGAGCCTGATTATGGGGGTTACCCGATTAGTATTACTATCCCTGCTCGTACTGGTATAGCCATGTGTCAGCCGTACGCGCTCTTCGATGATTGATACAAAGAGGCGGCGGTTCTCTTAGTGCCGAGGTATCACGGTTATCGAGTAAGGAATCAACCTCTGCAAATACGTCAAAACAACAGAGGCAAGATCGCAATCATGTACGTGAGATCTACCATCCCAGGAAAATACATATTCACCTATCAAGGCCATGTCAATATCTTTCTATGCAAACCCCAAACACCTCGGCTATACTGAAAGTCAAAAATCTCATCTAGTAGCAATATGTTCGTCCAAAGGGAGCTGAATCTGCCCTTGCAGAGAATTGAAGAACATCCAACGATGGATATTCAATTTAGTGGAGGTAGAACGACAAGGGAGAAAGAATGAGACATCACTCATCTTTCGTCACAATACCCCGGTTCTTTTTCACCTCCTGCAGCCCAACTCATGATTGTCAAAGCTGTGGTATAGCCCATGATGAAAAGACCGAAGATGACGAGCAGAATGTCCGCGACACGTTGCCACGAACGAGTTGCCACGGCACGATAGTGCATAAGGGGCTGTTGTCATAATCAGTAGGATATCCACAACAGGATAGGAAAGCTTGACTCACAGGGTAAACAAAGACTAGCGGAATGCACGCGAAACTTCCAACCAGCGCGACGAACTTGTCAAGCTGTCCAGCACCAGCCCATGCAATCACGGCACAAAGTGTGACCATGAAGAATCTGAACACATTCTTCTTCCACTTAATCCAAGGGTTATACTTGCCGGTGCGACTGAAAAGTTGTTGAGATGTAATCTCAATAGCAGGATAAATCTGCAGGGGAGTCGAGAGCAAGATGGCCAGAGAGTAGATAAACTGTACGCTGTTGACAAGCTTGTTGTCCTGGGGCATGTTGAGGATAATAACAGTCTTGGTAGCGCTACCGTAGGCTGCGTATGACAGAGCTCCCATGGAAATAAAGACGACGGTGACTGCAATCATGACGACACCCAGGACACGAGGGAATTTTTGTGGGTCTTTCATACCAGATTGGATAGGAATGATGAGGCCAATACCTTCAAAAGTGAAGATGGCAGTACCGATGAACAGTGTCCAGTCATCCTTGTTGAACTGAATGATATCAGCTATGCCGTGGTTGTTGGCCAATGTCAAAATGTCGTAGTAGTAGAGGTAGACGAGACCGAGAACGATGAACAGGTCGGCAACCAACGCGAGCTTCTGGATGTTGTTGATGTTGCGGTACAGGCTGAGAGGCAGGAACACAATCATTTGCATCAAAATCATGTATTTGATGTCAATGAAGGTACGGCATTTTGTCACAGCCAGAACAAAAGCCTGCAAGTTTTCCGAAACAAAGACGATGTAGGCCGAAGAGAAACCAATCTGACTGATGACGAGAGAAGAATTGATGAGGGTACGGAACCATCTACCGTAGATCTTACCGCCCATATCACCAAAGGAGGCGTGAACCTTCAGGCGAACGTTGACGAGTAGGATGAAACACCAGAAACTGAGCAAAGCAATGGCCAATAGAACGAGGTTGCTGAACATCATACCGCCATTGAGGTAGGCACGGGGCAGGAACAAGACTCCAGTTCCAACAAAGGACTTGAGTAGGAGCAGCGCAGCACCGCCAGGACTACCCTTGCCAGCCTGCTCCTTTCTTCTTCTCTTGCGCTTGCCGGGAGTCAGTAGAGCACTGTCCTCACCCCATTCACGCTCTTGACCATCCTGATCTTCGTTTTCATCGTCGTAGGCTTCAGAAGTGAAGTATTCATCAGGGCCAAGAACCTCGTCGTCGTCCTCGAGCGATTCACCAGCAAAGTGGCCGTAGAGCGTAAGGAACTCAATGAAGTTGTTGGCCAAGAATTGGGGTTGCTGGCGAGCAGGAGGCTCAGTTTGAGCACGGGCGGCACCATAGTTGGGTCTCGAGGTACGGGTTTCAGGAGTAGGAGAGGCGGCGGTTCGGCGGATGTAGTCTCGACGCAGACCGCCAGGCATTTTGATATTGCTGAGCTCTGGGTCCTCCTCGTTCGGACGAGGTAAGTTGACGCTCAAACTTCTCTTTAGACGACCAGTCTCGCGAGCCTGACGCTCTACCTCTTCTCGTTCGCGCTCTTCGGTATAGCGGTAGATGTGTCTCGTCATGTCTCCGCCTTGCAGCTGAAGACTTGAGAAGTGCTCATCATCTACACCGGGACCGTTCTCGATAGATTTGGCAACTTCAGAAAGTTTTGAGTTGCGCTGGAATGAGGAAGAGACTTGAAGATTCGATTGTGAGGTGCGTTGAGCGGGACCAACCAAGTGCCGGCGCAAGACCTCGAGATCTTCGTTCTTGCTTGGACTTTGCGAGTACGAGGCATCATCGGGATAGGCTGAGCCGGGCGGAGCGGGAGAAGCAAAGCGAGGTGGGCTTCCTGCGAAACCTCCCCTCAGTGCCTGCGACAGCGATGAGGGGCCGGGTCCGGGGATGGAACCACGATGGTACGAGGCGCCGGGCAGAGGGTCATTTCCGGCTTGGGAATTGTCTTGACCGTCGAGCTGACGCGGAGTAGGAATCTGTCTGACAGGAGGAGTACCGAAAGGAACGGGACTGGCAAGTCGGGCGGTCGAGTAACTGCGAGACGGCGAGCCTCCAGCGTACGGGGACGTCGAACGTGGGGCACCCGAGCCAATGGCCTGCGGTGATGTGCCGCTGCGGTTGCCTGACATGGCCGCTCTGGAAAGTGCGTGGTTTAGTCGCTGGACGAGGAAAGAGCGCTCAAGGATTAACAGAGAAAGAGCGACCGAGCAGAGAGAGGATGTTCAGGTAAACATGTACAGATTACCCTACGCGAGGTCACTGGCTCTTTGCAGACCCTGCCGTCTCGTCTCGACTCGTATCCACCTGCCTAGGGCAGCCCCAGCCGGTGCCAAGCCTATGACATGCTTGTTCACATGCTCGCTTTTAGTTTGAGCCTCAGCATTACTCCCGTCAACAGTCATCTGTTTCTCGTGCTAGAATACGCCTTCGCAAGATTGCCAATTCTGGGCTATCTACTCATCGTCGCTATCACTGCTTGCCTCTTCGGCCGTGCCCGGTACATCGTCCTCGTCCTCGTCTGCCACTTCCGCCGGGCCATCCATCACGAATGCGACCAGGCATGTGATGCGGTGCCCGGTCTCGTGCGTACCTATCGACGTGCCAACTTGACGCACCGCGCCCTTTGCTTGCTTCATTTCGGCGCCCTCCAAAATCTCCGAGACATCGCACTTCCATATCCTGACAGCACCATCGCTGCTGCCAGTCACGATGGTCAACGGTGCTCCTGTCTTGTGCTGCAGCACTTCAAAGTCCTTGACTCTGCCACTGAATCCTGCTTGCCTGCCTCCCAATTGTCCCAAAGCCGCGCACTGCGGTACTTCTTCGTCCTCCTTCTCACTCTCAACGCTTGTCTTCAGGTCGTAGAAGATGACTCTGCCGTCCTCGGTCGACACCGCCAGGATGCTGCGTCCCTCTCCGGCCGGTACAATGCGCATCTGGTGAAGTTTGGTGGGTGGTGAAGGTCGGATGATGGCTTTGGGCGTCGAGTCCTGTCGTGTCTGTCAGTCGCCAATTCTGTCTCGGGTTGATTATGCATCACTCACCATGCCATAAACCACAGCTCCTCTCTCGAAACCAACAACATACTCCTCGCCGTCTTCACCCCATGCCAGCTTCCTTCCCTCGCCGCTGCTGTATCTGCCTTCGCCCGCAGCCTGCAACAAACTCTTGTCAAAGTTCAACACTCCGGCCTTCTTGCCAGTCACCAAATTCCACAGTCTCATGCATCTTTCTCCTTTGCCGACAGTAACCATAACCTTCATGCTAGGGTGGATTGCAAAATCGTTGACTCCGGTAGGTACTTCTCCTGGTCCAGCAGTATCTCCGCTAGGTCGCCCCACAGCCTTGGGAATGGGACACTTAATGGTTGATAGCACGGTCCAGTCGCGGGTTCTCGAGATGGCGACAGTATTGTCGTCGGCTGCACTAAAGAGCTTGCCTCTAGTAGGGAACTGAAGCTTGTTGACGCTGCGCGCATGGTGTAGCAGACTGCCGAGTTCCTTGTTCCGGGGGTTCTCAATGATGCTGGTAGCCGAGAGACTAGGCAGTTGTGGTTTGTCGCTGACAACGGGTGGGCTGGTAGAGAGGTTGAAGAGGTTGATGCGCTCATCTGTGCTACCAGTCGCTAGCACTCGCTTATGAGCCTCGTTGGGAGCTGAGAGGGCCAGACAGCGGACAGCGCTCGAGTGAGCGGCAAACAAGAAGGTATCCGAGTATGTGGGTTCGTCCTGCTCTTTTGACGCTTCAGAGTCGAATACTGTCTCAGAGACGGTGGCAGCGAAGCCGTGAAGAACTCTCTCGTAGGATCCGGTAACGATTTGAATAGAAAGCGACTCGGGCTTTGAATTGGACTTGGTGTCGTTGGTTGCGACGGCAGGTTTGGTGGAGGTCTTTGCTGACTTTGTCGTTGCGGACTTTTTTACAGGCTTGGTGGACTTGGTTGCTTCTGCAAATCTGGCGGTCTTTCCGTTGGTGGCACGAGCACTCAACTGTGCATCCTCGCTCTTTCTTTTGACCATGATGAAGTGTGTGGTTGATGGTGATATGGTAAAGTTGAAGTTTTGGTAGAAAAAAAGTAGAAAGTTTGGGGGAGTCTGGAAAGCTTGCTTGGGATGATGAAGACTTGGCGTTTGGTTGACACGCTTTCAAGTCGCGCACACCTCGCCATCGTAACAGCCCTCATCGCGCAACATAACCATCTTCAATTTTCCATCGATCCATTCCCACACCTGTCTTCCTTTGTTGAGAGACTGGTGCTGTGAATGCGACGTCGCGGAAACTTATGTCCCTAGCACGATTGCGAGATGGACCGCTTAGTGAACGCAGGACTGCCAGAGCGTAAGTTCGCATCTGCACATTTCACGGGCGCATTTTACACCAATCTATTCGCTTGTCTATTTTGATTCCAGAAAATCGCTTCATTCTTTTTCCCATTGCGTAGCTGTCGAGTTGTGCTGACAAGTCTGTCGCAGGGCATCCTTGACCAAGCGAGCTGCCCGCCTGCGCGCTTTGAACCAAATCACCCAATCCATCACTGAACACTGTGGTCTCCCTCCTGCTCTCAACCTCGATTTTGATTCTCTTCCCTCTCCTCCTCACACTCCTTCTGAAGATGTTCTTCTCAATTCCGCCGACCTGGAAAAGTAAGTGGTCGCATTTTGTGAATTAACTGTTCATTTCTCATACTTCTCCTGCTTTCTAGAGGCCTCTATTTTCAGGACTCATTACTGCCTTTCTCCTTGGACGCAATAGAACAGAATCCTGCTATTAAAGCTCTGGCCCGTCAGCATGCGCCTCCTTCGCTCAATTCTGGAGACATTGATAGCCAATCTCATGCCACGGCTCCCATCACTAACTCAGATACTATCGCAAGCTCACAAGACCCCTCTGTTTCGGAAAATGTTGACCTTGCACGGGCCTCTGATGATTCTCCAGTCAATCCACCTGGTCGCGAAACCCAAAGGCATCGTCCCCGTACTGTCCATCTGCCCCCCAAGGAAGTCCAAGAAGAACGGTTCCGCGAGAAGCAGTTGCGTCAGGAAGCACGACGGAGAGATGCTGCCGAATCCGACAGAGCTCAAGGTGAAGCCGCGTCGTCGCCGACATCTACTGCTGGTGCTCCTTCTATGGCCACCCCTTTGCCCGGTGGCCACTCTCCCTTGACCAGTACTGATGAGGATGCCACAACTGTGAACCAGACGGTGGCCAAGCCTCCTAGCTTGCAACCATCCGCCGAGGAAATTCTTGCGAAAGAACAACACGACAAGCTATTACAGTCACAGAAGGAAATCGCGTACCAGGAAGCCTTAGGACATGAGGATGACTCTCCTGATGTGCAGCTGCGTCTTGAGCAGGAACAGGCGGCAAAAGCGTCTCGAGATGCATCTTTGAACGCCAAGCCCTCAATGATCGATTCTTCTAACAATGTCAATGCGACAATACCAGCTAGTGATGGAACTCAATCTGTTGCGCCGGCTCAAGCTCACTCAACCTCACCTCCCGTTTCTGTTTCTGCTACTTCACAAAAGAAAAGAGCTCCGCGTCCATCACTTGTCAACATCATGCCTCCTAGAGATCCTGCACTTGCCAACGCTGTTGTCGAGACTTCAAGCCCTGTTCGCGTTCAATCAACTTCGGAAGTGAACGAATCAACAAGATTGTCTCATCCCGCTTCAAAGCGTGCTCACACGACAGGCGAGGTATCGAAGGTGAAACCCGAGCAGTCGATTGTAAGACGCCAACGAGCAGTCAAAGACGAGCCGCAGTCGCCTGGTTCGCTACGATGCGCTGAGCTGATGAAAAGAGAGGGCTACAATGCTCTCAAGGGGGTATCTGCCGAGCTCACAAGGGACTATCTGGAGCCGCTTTATCGTATACAAGTTCACGAGCCTCCTAATGGAAGACCTTTACACGAACTCTTGCAAAAAGCCAGCAAGGCTGTGACAACTACTGAGCAGTTTGCCGGATACCACGAGAGACAGGACCAGCGCATTCTTCGAAGAATTTACCAACTACAAAATGCGAATCGCTGGTCCCTCAGGCAGATGCAGCCTTGTGCTGAGCCAGCTGCCCCCAAAACACACATGGACCATCTCATGGCTGAGATGAAATGGATGAGGACTGATTTTCGACAAGAGCGCAAGATGAAAAGAGCCACAGCCAAATTCTTTGCGGAGCAATGTACAGATTGGTGTCGAGCGGACAAAGAAACACGGAGGTCAATGCAAGTCAAACTCAAGTCGGTCGAGGCGCTGCGCCAGGATACAGCTGTTCCACACTCTCCCGCCGAGTCCAATCTTGAGAACAGTGAAAGAAACAGTCAAGGAGCTCAGTCGCCACCAGGCTTGGACAACGATGTCGAATCCAGTGTTGAGGACTTTGATATGCCGAGGACACCGCAGTACGCAACCGTGGTCCCATCATCCTTTTTCTCTGCTATCAACATGGACACGGAGACATTCCATATGAAGGACAACGAGGTTCTGCACAGCGCCATAGCTGATCTCCCTTTGCTGACACCGTTCGACGAGGATGAGGACTCTGCCCATCTGACTATCAAACGTCCGACTCCCGCAGTATCAAAGTTTTGTTCAGCCAAGTTGATGATCGATGTTAGCGGCCCGCCGAAGAAGAGAAGCCGATATGATTACAGCGATGAGGATGATGCGATGGAAGAGCCCTCACTGCCTGCCGCGAAGAGGCCACGCGCAAGTCAAGATGACTCTGGTTTGCGACCTGAGCAGACAGACGTTGCCCTCTTCGAGCCCGAGAACAAGCTTTTGCGAAGTAGACTGCACCAAAATACGGCGTTCCGGCCTCCGTCCGAGTTTCAGATGCCATCTTCGCAATTCTATGAATTCAGAACAGCATCTCAATGGACAGAAGAGGATCAGCAAACCCTGCGTCGTCTTGCCAAAGAGTATTCTTTCAATTGGTCTCTTATCGCAGACAACCTATCATTGTCATCCAGATTCACCAGCGCATCTGATAGACGTACGCCATGGGAGTGCTTTGAACGTTGGGTCGAGCTAGAAAGTCTGCCGAACGAGATGCGAAAGACTCTCTACTTCAAGACTTGGAATCAACGACTCGAGGGAGCAAATCGAAACAATGAAGCCAAGTACCAACAACAGATGGCACAGCTTGCACAGACCCCAGGCCAGCCTCCGACAATCATGCGAAAAAAGACGACGCCATTTAAAGTTGACAAACGCAGACAGAATCGATACTTGCACATGGTGGACGCGATGCGGAAACTGGCTAGGAAGCGGGAGCAACAGGCCCACAAGCAAGCCGAAGGTGAAATTCCTCGTTCACTACTTATTCCGCTCCGTACTAACAAGCACAACAGCTCAAAAAGCCGCTCACATGCGCAAACAGCACGAAAACGCAGCACCAAAGAATGGGATTCCCACTCCTCAAGAATTTAGTAAAATGCGCCAGGAACGGGATGTCCAAGTTCACGCACGGCAAGAACGTTACAGAGAGCAAATGCTCGTGCAACAACGCGTATGTCGTTTGTCATCGTTCGATCCTCTACCAGTGCTTACAAGTTTACAGCAGGCTCAAATGCAACGCAACGGCCAGATGCCGACCCAGCAAGCTCACCCCAATGCTAATCCTCACAACCGTACCGGACCTAACATGCCTCATCCGCAAAACTCTCAAACGCAACCTGGGGGTCCACAACAGATGAATCATCAAGGTCTGCCGAACGGACAAATCCCTAGTGCTGCTGCGCAGGGAGGCGCGCATCTTAATAATCCACAAATGGGCATGCGCGGAGGGATACCACAAGCGCAAATGCAACCCAACATGCGCCCTGTGGCTAATGGCCAAGCTCATGGCACGCCAGATGGGATGCAGCAAAGAGTGCTTGAGGCGCAAAGAGCAAACCAACTCAAGATGAATGGTCAGCAATATCAAATGGCGCCACCGAATCGAGCAAGTCCTGGAGGTATGCATCCACCGAATGGGGTGGGTAATCAGTCTGCAATGAACGGCATGCAAAACATCCGTACTCCTGGACCCCAAAACCAGAACCATCAGTCGACCGCTAATGGCAACGCTGTCGCTTCACCACACATGCCACCACCACCAACTCCGACAAACCAGTCGCAACAATCGCAGCAACTTGCCAATGGACTTGTCCCGAACATCACGTCAATCACTCACCAGCTCCAGGCACAGTTCCCACAAGCTTCGGCAGAAAAGATTCAGGAGCTGGCGACCGAACGCTTGCGACAGATTCACTTGCAAGGACAGCACCAGCAATCACATCAGCAGGCTCGTCAGAGTGCGCTCAGCGCCGCTGCCGGAACACATGCCGCGAATATTGCGCCAAACGGCTCGCCCGCTTACAGTCAAAACCAAGCAGCCTTCCACCAGAACAACGGCGGTGGTCAACACACGGCCTTCAATACCAATGGTAATAACACAACAGGTAATGCAGGCAATCCTGCTGCACAGCAGTATGCTGCCGGTATGCGACAACGCGTTTTGGCTCAACAGAGCCAGATGCAACATCAAAACTCCTCCATACAGAACAGCGGCAGCCCGCGTGTAGCACAGGCCAGTCCAGTACCGGGCATGGCGGTCCCCAGTCCGAACATGGCTCCTGCTCACCCGGCGCAGAGTATGCCTCTGAACGCCAATAACCGTACACCAACTCCTCAGATGACAAGGCTGGGCAGCGGTCAAGGGGCCGCGGCTCCAGGAACGCCTCAGCCAGGATCTCAGTTGCAGCAAACGTCGTCAGCAATGCAGCGACAAAGCCCCGTCGTTCAACAGGCCAGTCCAAGGCCTGTCTCTGCTGGTGTTGCGAGACAATAATTCGGACCGCATGCACCCTTGACGTGACTTACTGCTCACTTTTGAATCACACTCATGACTTGGCATCGCAATGAGGAGCCGGGAGGCGGTACTAAAACCTACATCAAGCGGTCGTACTGCGGAAGGTTGTCCAGCATATCTTCTCTCGCAAAGGATGGACAGAGCGGGAAAGTAGACCAAGGAATCTGGGAAAAGCTACGCATTTCTGACGTTGAATCTCCCAATTCCCAACCTTCTTGCCTGCTTTTGTTGCCTGATAGTGCTTTGTTTGCCTTCATTCTGTTTATGTACAAAAAATTCAGCATCATTGTCTCTTTTCTCTCTCTTCATCATCTGCGAAGACACGTCCAAGCTCACGCATGTTATCGTCTTCATCCCAGGAGTTCAGCGAGGGCTTCTCATATCCACCATGTGACAAGTGTGTTATTCTGGGGCTGGCATGTGCTTTGGCGGCTAAGTGGTTGCATGGGCATGCCTTGGGTTGCGTTCTTCTCGCGTCACTTTTGCACTGCTGGGTAGGGTAGGGTGGAGTTTCCATGTTTCTCTTTGCGGCACCAACCCCGCTGCGCATGCCCAATGCTGGTGCAGGTCACTATTCGAATCAAAATGCCATGATCACGGAGACGCTTCTTCTGTTGTAGGACGACGATTAAGATTCCGGAGGATTTGCCGAATTTGTCTTTTAGCGGACTTGTATGCGGTAAATGTATATAGCTGCATGCATGCGCGCCAGCCCAACTAATTTGAGACCAAGCTATGGAATATGCAAGCCTTGCACCGGCATTGACTCTTTCCGTGCTTAGCTTTATGCATTTCGTGGAGGTCTGCTCCGACTCCGCGGTTCTTGTCTAACTGCTGCGTTCATCCTTTGAGGTTTTGCTTACAGCTTTCGTGGGGGGTCGGGGCTTGTTGCAGCATAGCTGGAGGGATGCAAGATACTTTTTGGCACAGAGAGGTGTATATTGTTTTCGTTTTCAGGATATCATGGTCATGTTTCTTTCTAGAAAGTAAGCGTGTATCGTTATAGGTTTACAGTTTGGGAGAAGGGCGCTATAAGATGGTATAGGGCTCTGTCGCTTAAATGGTTGCACGGCACCCACCTCTCCATCCTGCTCCGCTCATGGTACTCTAAATTTGCGGCAAAGACACCATTAACGACCTACACAAGCTGATTCAAAAAAAGCAGATACCCATAGTTACGGAGGCAGGTCCACCTACATCGTATTCTTGTCAAGCAGCTTGGCTGGTCATCACCGCGGCGGACTTGCGTGCCGTCGGTCGTGCGTTCTTACATGTTCACAGAAAGGACTCTCGGCTGGGGGATGGGGCCATCGGTACTTTGCAGGCTCACGCACATGTATATGAAATTTCCGAACGACAGGCCAGAGATATTTATTCCCTGGTCTTTCTCTTTTGGGACAGGCGCTCTCGGATTGACGGCGTTGCTCCCTACAGCAAGAAAAGGTGAGGCAGGGATCATATTGTCGGGTTCCATTCGCCAATGCCTTTGCTCTGTTATGTCTCCGAGGTACGCTGATTAGTTGACCAAGGGCTTGGTTTGGAGTTCTCTCTAGGCGATCGACAGAGCAGTTGTTTGGTTTTGTCCCCACTTGCTCGGACGCCATGACCGTTGAGCATCAAGATGATGTGACAAAAGGGTGACAGAATAGTTAGGTCTTGTAGTCCGCAGCGATTCTCGCCAGTGTGCCACCGAGGTCAATTATTGCCGGCTGCCGGGACGAAGGATGAAGGAGCGAGCTTGAATTTCCACCATCCATGGCCGCTGACCTCTCATCTCAATCACGTAAAACACATGTTCAGCTATTTTCGTATTCGCAAGGAGGATTTGCTTTTGCCATATAGTCATCAGGCGTTGAAACTTTGCCAACAGTGTTGATCCAATCGTGCCTAAACTTCTAATAAGAAAGAATCAGTTTGAGCGAATATAGCTCCCAGAGTAGAGGCACTGCCGATCGTTCATATATTCGGAAATCGCATCCACAAATCAAAGGCACTAAGGTGCCGCTATGAACGAAAGTTTTGGTGACACTTGCTTGACAACGCGGTTCGCGCAAGAGGCAGCCTCGGAAGATGTGGTCGACACTGCGCTTCTTCTCTACGTGCCGCGCGAGTGACTGGGGTGCAATGTTCGGTATTGGCGCGTTGGGAAGCTTAACTACTATAGGAGAAGAGCACGATAAAATTGCTTGTTGCAGAACCTCGGCATGGATATGAGGTATGACTTTATACCAGAACAACATGGCCTATCCATGAATTATGTCCGATTGGCTTCCGCCTGCCGGCTTAAAGAAAACGTCAATCGAACGTGAGAAAGTCTATGAAGAGTAAGTGCTTAAGCATATCAGTAATCAGATGCTCAGCCTGTTACGATCGCAATTTAGGGTTCCAGGATCCTCCGGACTCTGCATGCGCTGCGAGAAGATCGCCGATTCAAAGCACTATCTCGAATGGCGCGTTTGTACCTGATCCGAACTTCCTTGCCGACGCCATACATTGCTTCCATCTTACGACGAGCGCATTATTGTGGGAAAAGCGACTAGCAGCATAGCTTGGGGGGAATATGTTGAAGTCAGCCACCAGCAAGGGCAATGATACGTGGAGGCGTGCAGCATCTCGCTTCGCCAAGCAAGGTCGAAGCGGATCTTTACAGGCACGCGAGCCGATCCTAGCACAGCAAGCAGGTCCGTGCTGAGCATAACGTGCACTGTAGAGAGCAAAAGGCTAGCGGAGTATGATCCGTGTTCCGTATTCGTGAGGGTACTGGTCTGTGAGTGAGTGAGTGAGTGAGTGTGTGGTGTGTGGCATGCGCGGAGTTCAGGAAGCTCGAATCGCAGGCTTACATCATTGGCAGATGATTTGTGTTGGTGATTAGCACGTACGAGTCGGGCGATGCGAAGCGACGTAGATGGCACGGCATGCACGTCCTGCCCGCCCTATACTTGCACTTTATACATGGCTCTGCTTTCCTTTTCGCAAACTCTTATAACTTGTCCTGCATTTTCCCCTTCCAATTGCCTTTTCCACGCCCCGTAGCCCGTCGCACACCACACATAGTGCTTGCTTGTATAAGCCTAGTCTTGACAACTCATTGCACAAGACCTTTCTTTGTCTCGACATTAACAAGATGAATATCGCTGCCATGCTAGAGCCAACGCACGACGCGTCAACAGCACCATCCTCTTCATCGCCATTGCAGCCGTCGCTACTACAACGTCTGCCTTCCATAACCCATGTTACATCTGCATTGCAGCATCAAAATCACCATCAACCACCATCACACAACATCCTGCAGCATTCACAGTGTTTGCCAGAGCTACAATCTTCGTTACCACCACCTCGACATGGTCTTCCACAACGCATGGATTCCACGTCTTCAACCAATTCATCTACGCAGGGATCCGCTCAATTCGCTTCACAGCCCTTTCCACCAGCATCGACACAGCGCTCTCAGGACGAAGCCACAGCACACGATGAAATGTCAGCTTCTCCGACGCATGCAAACTCACAAACGCGCCATCGCGGCAAGCAAACAAAAGCTGCTTGTATTCCTTGTCGTAAACGCAAGTCAAAGGTACTTTCCCTCCTGCCTCTCAATTCTTCCTTTCCTACCTGTGCGATGCCACATCCTTTATCGTCCTCCTACCACGGTATAAAGCATTGAGTAAACTACAAAGAGGCACAATTGTTTTCAGACCAGATATGCAGCCAGAGAGAGAGAGCCGAAACAACGTCCGCTCTCGCTGAGTGCTGCCTTGACTCTAAAGACTATCTTGCATTCTGATAGGCGCACATGCTACCTACCTCAGCACACAAGAATCTCGAAGAAACATATCAGCGCATATATGCTTTGTATCTTGGCTGTTCCCATCTTTGCATAATCCTTTCCTTCTCTCTTCCCAACCTCAAACTCGTTCTCCTAGGTACTCTCACTTACCATATCTCCATCAGTGCGATGGTGTCCGTCCTTCCTGCAAATGCTGCATCTCAAAAGCTACACCCTGCCAATATAGCGTCACCCCAGGCGTAACACAGCAACAAGCCATGAAGAATCAACTGGAAGCCTACAAGCACGTCTTGTCATTACTTCGAGAAAGCACCATGGAAGATGCAGAAGTCTTGGTGAAGATGATCAAGTCAAGGGACAGCTTGTCAGATGCTGTCGTGGATATCCAAGCAGCCACGCGGCAGCACTACTCCAGAGATCCTTGATTTCTACAAGATGCTTGGACTCTCGGAAGCGATTACGATTGACGAGGGAAGATTGGCACAAGAAGCCTCTGGCAAGGGAATAGCCAGAACAGGCTCGGAATTATATCAAGCTCTACTACACGAGGAGACTACGCAAGGCATGGACCTTTCAACAAACGATTGGAAAGCGAAGCTCGAGAAGCACGGCGCTTCCTGCCCAAGAGCCAGAGGTCGAACAATACTACGATTGCCGAGAGGTATAGACCTTTGTTGCTACGTCCAGACTATTCTGTCAGATTACTATTATCGTTTATGACAAGCACTACATATAGATACGCCTGGGAAGAGGGAGTCGACTTGGAAAAGAAACCAACGCATTGACGCTGGAGCCAGGGGATTCTGCTCTATTCGATCTGGCGCTGACATGTGGTCAAATGGCAGTGGTCTCATCATGAAATTCTCGCCTGTTCCATAGGCACAATCGATTTGAGATCCACCGTCCGTCCCCTTGTCATCGCGCTTTGAAATTTTCCTCCATCCGTAGCCTCTCAAGCTGCTTCCATGCTACGCTCGAGGTAGTGAGAGTTCCGTTGACTTGACGCATTAAGCCCTTGCAAGACTTGTCTCAAGCACGGAGGGTGGCTCCGAAAGTCAACGAACTACAAGAGACGGCTCTTTACCGAAGCGCAAGAGCTGGAAGGTGGGCTTGAGAAGGATTGTGCAGCCAATAGTGCGCCTCAATGAACGAGAACAAGGGCTACCACTGGAACCTTGAAGTAAGGATGAACAAGTTACTATCCGTTGCTTCCCGTCGTGCAACACGTCCATCCCCACCCTGTCCTGCTCAAATTCTCGGACCTGGCTCCCTGAAGTTAGAAGAAGGCTTTGCAATCCCCGGAAGTTTGCCCGATGGTCTAAATACAAGGACCCAAGTCCGGTAGGAAGGGCTTAAGCCCGCCAGAGGTACAGTTGCAGGGTCTGCTCCGCGTGGCATTAGTGTCGTTTGCGTTCCAAGATTTGTTGAAGAAGCAGGAGTCAGGTGTTCCATGCAGCGAAGCAATTTCTCGGAGACGAGTAATATCCGAGCTCACTCCTTGCAACCCTCGACAAGGGCTGCCAGAGGAACATTCTAAGCAAATCATATGGATCCACACGTGCATGCATATTTTACTATTGACTGCAAGTAATACTCGATATGCAAAGCAGGGATCTAATAGAAGAAGCCCTAGAAATGCCCTAATTCGAGTACATTGTTCCCTGCAAACCTTTCTCCTATCCAGGAGGTCACAATTGTGATGTGATGCTCGTCTTGTGTCACGCCTACTCACGAAGCAGCAGCACACGGAACAAACTCCACCCAATACTCGGCTTCTTCCCTCGCCAAAAACGAAGGTATGGAGATGTTCCCGATTTCGCCAAGATGCTCATCGGCAGATACGACCTTGGTTCTGATCCTTCCTTTGCTGTACAATAGCCACACATACAAGTACCGCGACACGTGACACATACCATACAAGTACCGCGACACGTTGACGGGTTCCGAGGGTTTCAAGGACTGAAGCTAGTAAAGAGTAAGCGATGATTATATCCGATAAACTTTTGGGATTTCTCAACGTCTGATGGCAAGCATGTGACACATGAGTAGGTAATACCTGTTTCATTCCGGAGCACGACTCCGCAATCCCTTCGTCATTTATCTCGTAGACACAACTACGATCCACGCTCCGAATGGAAAGGAAGAAAAGTATGTTATGCATCCACGCATGCCCTGCACGCACGCGCATTTTTTCTTGCATGTCGCAAAGGACTAAATAGCCATTTTTCTGGCGTACTTGGTGACACTAATTTGTGTAATCATGAGATGACGGGATTTTATGCTCTTGCCTTTGAGCCACACGATGAGACTTTGAACTTCTTCGCTCAACATCTTTGATCTGCCGTTTGAAGACTGAAAACGTGCAGACTGAATCGTTTCTTTCAGCATACGCACGTGGTCAAAAAATTTCAGCCATGTAACTCTCATCATCATAGATTTCGCAACTCTTTTGTGCTAAAGTTTGCGCCCCCCATCCAGAAATTTTGACAGGATGCAGGGCAAACTACTTCCGTTAAAATCCTACAACGTTTTTTGGATTCTAGAAATTTCAGGTAAAGAGAGCCGATCAAGGTGTGGTGATGCGGACATGTATAGGTAGGTAAAGAGCCTCCGATGGGGGAAAAAAAATGTCGTTGTCATATGACTCTTTTGGTGGAGTTTGTTCGCTTTTAAAAGTTTCAAAGTTTCCTTTTACGAGAATTTTTGCATTTACTCCTCAGAGGAACACGAGAAACTTTCCACACTTTTGATGATATGTTGTTGAGCAAGAGGAGGAAGGAAAGGCAATTTTCGGCCTCTCAACCGCGGTAGAAGGAAGGAGTTCTTCAAGGCTGAATGACTCCCAACTCGACTCAGCTCTGTCTTTTGAGTTTTCTGGACGGTGGTTTTCTCGGAGATGAGATATTCGGCTCATGTTTGGTTGTTCTGGAAAGCACAGTCGGCATGATCTCGCTGTCTCGCATCACTTGCTCGGTTTGGCCATTGCTTGCAGTGAGCGATACCTCGTCACGACATTGTGGCCTTTTCACATGATCCTTGGAAAGGAATGGAAAGGTAATAAGATCACTGCTCCATAACTCGGAACTGGCAAGAAGGGGTTTCGCAAATACTGAAATTTTGTGAAATGACCCTTGTGGACAAGTAAGCAAAAGGCAAAGAGATCACTGGTCCATCGCCTGGAACTGGCAAGAAGAACTTTTCGAGATACAGGATAAGAGGCTACGGAAAAGAGAGACAGATTCACCTGTTCAAAGAGAGGCTCATTGAAGGATGATCCTGAACGCACTCTAGACTAGGCAATACAAGGAGATCATTGGTCTATGATCTGGCACCTCAGCAAACCCTTTCAAAAACATAGGACCATGGACCACGAAAGAGAGAGCAGTTTGACGTTCGATAAGGGCCTTTTTGGAAAATGATCCTTGAACCCCACCTCTCGATCTATCGATTCGACAAGCACTTGCCACATAGAGGCTCTGACCTTGTCTTTGCGTGTGACTTGGAAGTTCAAGGTCGATGCTCAGCTGCTGAGGAGCAGTTTGAGTTCACGGACGGATCAATGCAGCACGACTGGGTGATGATGGCATGGGTTATCTGTGAATTCGCGAGACGGAATGAATGGCAGTATGGAGTGGGCTTCCCCTCGCTGCTTCTTGCATTTGCTACCCTGCTGGGAACTTGCATCTGCTACGCTGAGAGCTTGTTGATCCCACTGCCCTACTCGGTAGTCCCATGGTTCTGCTAAAGTCTTCTTGGAAATGCCACTGGTGTGCTCCCAATCCAAACCGAAGGCCAGTCCGTAACCCCAAAGGTCTCCCGATAGCCATTGGCTTTTCTTCATACCTTCAACTCTGGAAACAGCTTCTGAGGGGTAGAAATCTGGTGTATCACAACAAACCACAGTGACTGGTGATACATACGAAAACAAAAAGTCGCAGATGCACTTATCCAGCTACTATCGTAACTATACAGACAACGGTCCCAGGTCCGTCTTCCATCGACAAAACCTTCCCTCAAGGCCTGCAGGACTCAAGAAGAAGAAGTCGTCATACAAAGAGCCAAAAGGCTGGGATGCAGAAAAGCACCTTCGGAGAAGCACACCGAACCTGATCAGACGAGGGTGGCCTGGTTTGCAAAAGGCTCTCCGCGGCATAATATCGGAGACACTTGCTCTGTCTTGATAAAACCCTCGAATGTGTCCGAGTGTTTGTGTTTTGTTCTGACTTGGCTTTTTGACACTTTTGCTCTATACTGAGTGTGGGAAGTATATGTTGGATGAGTCTATCCCTCTTCGAGATCACAGATGGAAAGAGCTAGACGATACAATCATGGCTTACTTGCTTACCTACAGATATGTATTCGAGGGATGCTTTGTCTGACTCATCTTGTTGACATTTTTGTCCCATGAGTCTGAAAACCACTCCTTGATGGGTCCATTCTACTTCGAAAACGCGGATAGAAAGGACTGTCAAGGCCAGAACGATTACAATCATGGATGACTTGCTTACCTACAGAATATAGGTCGAAGAGCACGAACAGAAACGAAACACGGCGAGCTGAACGAATGTGAGTTCGAATTTGCGACATTGTAACTTCTTTCATAAAAGCAACAAGATTGAACAAGAGAAAAAAAAAAAAAGAGAAAGGTGACTATGTTTTGTTTCATCGTAAACACAGCATGCAAACATCACTTCGTTAAGAAAAATCCACTTCGACTTGAACATGACGCAAAAGCCAAACAAAAAAAAAAGAAAAAAAGAAAAGAAAAGAAAGATGCCGACAACACAAGGACTTAAAAAATCGACCTCTCCTCCCTGTGAACAATGCTTTGATGCGATTGCAAGAACAGAAAGAAAGGAGGGAGGGGGAAAAAAAGACACAAAAACATCAGTTACCCAACACAGTCTCAGGGGGCATCCATTTCTCCAATACAGTCTTGACACCGCCAGCTAGACTTTTGGATCTCCTGAGATCACGGATGATACGATCGCAGTCCTCGGGATGAGCGTCTTGGAGCAACCGCAAAACGGTAGCGTAGCCCTCGAGGCGTTTTCTGGATGCTGCTTGGCTGGACACACCTTCCTCGGCCAAGTATTCGCAGGGTTTGTTTTTGGTGATGCAGCTTGAACATGTCGGACGCTTGCCGTCACACTAGAAAGATTCAAGAACAAAAAGTCAGTCTCGACGCTAAGGTGTGTGAGAGGAAGAAATGTCTGCTACAGAAGGGTATAGATAGAGGACTCAACGACACGAAGGGTATAAGGTGTGTTAGGTATGCCTTTGGTGGCGAACCTTTGACTTTCGTTTCCGACATGCCGAGCATGCAGCCTTTGTGGTTTTCCTCATGCCGGTTTTAGAGTCTCTTCTTGCATGTTGTGAGGAGGGGGGTTTTGTTGAGGGCTCTTCTGGGTCTGCTTGGACCGAGGGTGACGGTGTTGCTAGTATGTCCATCTCAGGTGACTGCCATGGTGGTTGGGTCATGCAGGATATAGTGGACGAGTGGCTCCCTGCAGACAAGTCGGTAGCCGATGTCAGAAGGTCGTCAGATTCCAGGGCCGGAAGAGGGGAGTGGACATGTTGTGACGACGGAGGGGACGCAGTATCGCTGGGCGTGGAGGGCAGTCTCGCTACAGAAGACAAGCATTCCTGTGCCTGGACATGCTGTCGAGGATTGCCGCGAATGGGCTTTTCAAGAAAGAGTGCATGTTCCATGAGTTCGGTTATTGCATCCAGCAGCAGCGCCCGCAAGAAATCTGGTAAAAGAGACGAAAAGAGCAGTTTGCAACAATCCGTATTTCACACAGACCGGGTTGCGAGCGCATTATCACTGGCGGAGTGCGGTCCGAACATTCGCTTTACCAACCCTCAAAGAACCCATATAATGTAGGCAATCCACCAAAAGCACTGCCGCATTTGCATGTACGGTGCTCCACCTTTACCGGTCACTATGACGGAATTGGGAATAATGAGCCTGTCAGAATCCGCCAAACTACTACCTCACAATCCTTGCTCTTAACATATCTCATGCCCTACGTGTCCCATCTCGATGAGCCTTGTTGCAAGAGATCCGCCACGACTACCTTGGATTGTGTATTCTTCTCAAGGCTCAGGGTAGATCGAGATATAAAGCTTGTTGTTACTGACTTTTTGAGGCAATCTTTTGAGTTGTGATAGGAAGCAGGGGTATCGCGTCTAGACAGAATGACAGAGTAGTCCATTGGTCAGCTCAACCAACACATCCCGGTAAGTGTCCCCCAGCGCGAACCTTTCAGCTGAATGGTGAACCACAGCTTGTTTCCAGCCCCTCATGGCGCAACTAAACAAAACCATTGGGATACATGCAATTACTGTATCCGAAACATCCATCTGCCTACTTTCTATTGACAGCGTGTCGTCAAACCGCAATTTACCCGAGCAGTGGGTTCGTGTTCTCGTAAGATTCCATAGCAGTACGAAAACGACAACGACAACAGAAACGCGACTTGCATTGCGTCGGCATTTCAGCTTGGTTGTGCAAGTATAGCTTTCTGAGCGATTGGGCCGGCTACCACTCTCGGCATCGTTGGGGATCAAGCCCGCCTCCGAGGAGACCAATAAGAAGCAAGACTGGGCGCATTATTACTATAGGTTGAAATATATGTAGCGACGGTAACGTCACTTGTGGGGTTGTTGTATGGGGGCTTTTTCGGAGCCGGACTCGCCTCCACGTTTGCCATGACAGGTCCAGATAGGATCGCCCTCAATCAAAACTCAATTTGGCAGTTGGCAGCGCCAACTGGAACCCCACGATATGCTGACATGTGGCTTAAACATGCACGATATGCTGACATGTAACTTGAACGTGCAAGATGGCGCAAAGATAAGGGGCATCATTTCAACAATGCTAATTAGGTGAGTACATGTAACACAGCAAGGGGTATCATAGGGAAAACAATCATGCGGACTCATGTCCGCTGCCGCTTTGAGTAGTGCCGCGCTTGTGCGTGCCATCTGCAATCCAGACCTTGTCCAACGGAGATATCAGGCTGGGGTTGATGAAGCGCATGCCGCTTTCTCTCGACTCATCAACGGTCTGTCCGTGATTGGACTCTTGCTGATAACGATGGTGGTTGTCGGAATCCACTCCGTGTTGTTCCGCAGATGCATAATCAGCATGCTCTGCTCTTCTGACACTCTTGAGGGCGATAAATTTCATCAATGGTTTGTAAGTTCTTCCAAACACGAGGAAGAACCAGACACTGCCAACAACAAGCGGGACTAGCATGACACTCCTCAACAGAGCCTTCTTGAGAGCGAGCTGACCACCGACCGTTATTTGGAACAGGATAATGCCAATCTGCACACGATCGCAAATCATGCTCCAGCTCTTACCAGTAGAATGTTGACGATGGTCCATGGCATAGAGAAGCTGGTACTTGTAGACAAAACTTCCGATGACAAAGTACACCAGACCGGAAAGGATGACCTTCCAGCTGTCTCGTAAGACGCTGTACACGACGCAGATGATGAAGATAAGAATGGTCTGAGGGAGGTAGAGGCCGTAGCTAAAGCGAGGAGGTTGAATCAGTTCGGCATAGTCTCGGGGTGTTTTGGCTCCCATCAGACCGATAGGGTAAAGAGCCACGGTTCCGATCTCCAAGAGCCTAAAGGGGAAAAGGCCAAGACCTTGAAGGATGATAAAGTTGGTGTAGAACGGAAGTAAGTTTTGCAAGGAGGACGCAAGGGTCCAGGCAAATCTTGTCGTGTCTCTGAGGTTCTTGCCAATATCTTTGTACTGATCGTAAAAATTCGAAGCTGTACCAAGGATGGTAAAGACGATGAAGAAATTGAAGAAGGTAAAGAAGAAGTTTTTGGAGATGACCGAAAGTTCAACATCACCCTGCGAGGTCATACCTTGACAGTTAGAAAGCCCTGTGATATATCAGTATCTTGGTAATCTAGGATGATTCAGAAATCAGACTTACAGTCGTACAGGTAGGGTACAATGGCATTGAGCAAAGTGACGGCGATGGTAGGAAGCTGGTTGGTGACTAGAGAACGGACCAAAGGGTGCGAGTCGAGGACTTCAGCCAGAGCTGGAAGGAATTCGCGAATAGTGTCGGTGTTCAAGAAGGTGGCAATTGGGACAAAAGTGACGGACCAGAAGACGGTCAGCAGCAGGATAAAGGCGGTGATGGACCACGAACGGAACATGCGACTTCTCCTGCTAAGATAAGTGTTTGACCAGACAATGTCGGCGGGTGCGGGGCTAGGATTGGCCAACAGCTGCAACGGCGAAGGGTCAAGGACAGCTTGACAAGCCATCTGACAGGCAGCAACACTGTCCATCGTGACAAAGGCCAGAGGAACCGGCTGGAACGTCTTGGATCGTAACTCCGTGATCTCATCGTCACATACACGAAGCTTCTCTTCGTAATAGTCAATAGCGTCTACCTGACGGCTGCGTAACTTGAAGCGTCCAAAGTAGATCTTTGCCTTGGGTCGCACTCTGGCATATGGGGTCTGAGCAGGCACGGCATCGTCGGAGCGGAGCAGGCGACGGTGCTCATCATCGTCGTGCTCTTCATCTTCAGGATTGACCGAAGGGCCCGGAGGTACAGGCTGGACAACGGGCAAGGCCTCCAAGTTTCGTTCGATTGAACGCTGACCTTGGTAGACGGTATAAGCCTCTTCGAGACGACGGAGAAGATCGTTCCTCTTGACAATGAGCCGATCCAGCTCAGCCCACTGACGGCACATCAAGACAGTCTCAACATCTCCAATGCCCAACTCTTGAATAAAATCCTTAATCTTGTCTTCGGACTGCAACTCTGGCGGGATGCCGGATAAACGGATGGTGCGGTCGGTAATTGTGGTTTGGGTACCTAGGTATTCTTGGCGTACTTCGATGATGTTGCGTGTCTCGGAGGTGATGAGATAGAGGGCAATGGCTGTAAAGACGTAGGCAAAGACGGGATACATCCACAGGTAGTCCGTCTCGACCTCGGGCATCCATGGAGTAGAGTGGTTCAGGGGCATCCATGATTCGCTTCGTTTCCGTAGCTCGTAGTCGAAGTCGTAGTCGGGTACAAAGGGCAGAGTCGAGTTCTTTTGCTTTTTGTCATCGTCAGGGTAACTGTCGTGGACGGGTTTGATGACGACAAGCGAGAAGAACAGGGTGATGGACAGGAACTTGATGGCCAGCTTGAAGAAGCGGAGAAAGACGTAGGCGTCGAGGCCGGCCGAGGCAAGCACTTGCTGTTCAGTGATGCGCCATAACGGCAGCATCCATCCGAAGAGGTTGTTGGGCAGTTCAGGCAGCGCAGAGCCCTGGTCTTTTGCCTTCTTCCTCGCTGCGTAGAGACCACTCCATCGCGGCCGCAACACGCAGAATGCTAGAAAGGCAAACACTCCCAGTGCCAGTGAAAGCTCGACCTGAAGTGTCGTCGACCGTTGCTTGCCCCTCACATTATTGGGGTCATCCCTTCCTCCAAAGATGAAGATTTCGTTCATTGCTGCAGTTGCAGAAGTAAACAATGGCAGGTTGCATGCGTCGCGACTTCTTCTCCAGACCAAAATCAGGCGCACCGATGTCATCGTACACCGCAACATGGCCAATGCGCCGCCTCGAACCCTGCTCCGGCCGCTCCCTTCCTCGTCCGGCTCCTCATCTGCTGCTGCGTCCTGGTCACAAACACAACGTTTCACCACAAGGGCCTTGTTTGCCTTGTAGAACTGACATTGACTACGAGGTCCCGACGAGCTTCTCTGAGAACCCAGTAGCTCAGAAATGCGAGGATACGCATGAAAGTTGGCATGAGAGACATGAACAGACAACCAGTATGAAACGCTTCTTAGGAAAACTGCACTCTGCTTCTAGCAAACAATAGTCTTGGTGCATTTGCCTGTGCCAATGCAATGCCAACTCGATGTATATCGCCGACAAGAGCTTTTCCCTTTGCCCAAGTCTTCCTCCCCCTATACTTTCTCACATCAAGCCACCGTTTGTCCACTGCTGACCCTATTGACTCCATTGACCCCACTGCTATCCCCATTCACCCCAATACCTCCCTCATCCCCATCTCTCCTCTTCCTCTCCCTCTCCTCTCTCTCCTCTATTCTCCGCATGCTCTCGTCCAACCGACAATCAAGACACTATTCCAGTACCGCAGGTATATAAGGACGACCATTATGGTTCAACGTCAACCGCTCATTAGCCTCATCGTCCCAATCCGCGCAAGGATAGCCGCGGAGTTCGCCTCTCGAGCATTTGAAGACCTTGTGAAATGTGTGCCGGCAATATATGTAGTGGATCTTTCGCCAATGGCACATTTTTCTGTTGGGATGCTGGTGGTGGGACTAAGGTTGTGATTTTGAATGGGTCGATTTATGTGATCGCGAGGTGATTGAATGCTTGGTTCATGGACAACATGAGGTTGGATGGCTGACTGGTAAACAATCTTGTCTGGTGGTATGTCGTCTCGCCGAAGGTCGATTCGATGGAATGATTTCCTCGTGGTAACTGAATTGTCGATGAAACAAATGTTTGACAAGCACTAGATGGATAATGGAGCGTGTTCCGTCAAACAAGTATTGAATGATTGATGATTGCAGTTGATTTGGACCTCATACAGGATAGATGGTATTCGTTCTCCCTTAAGACCAACTTCCGCTCAACCCAATCGCTTCATTTCCGAAATCCGCAGTACACGGAAAGAACAATGCAGCCATCATTGCCATATTCGGCAGCAACCAAGAAAACCCCCTTGCACAACAAACATAATGTACCAGATGGGAGTTTTGTAGCACCAGATCCTTTTTATCCCCATCTAATCAACCAAACGCCTCTCATGACCCTTGCTACGATAGACAAGAAAGAAATACGAAATGTTTATCCAGAAAAGGTACATGTTTTACCTCCAGACAGTTTTGACTGAAGGCACGTCTTTTCTCGCAGCCATACTCTGTGTGCGTATAGGAGCCACACGCATGCTACCGCCTCCAATGTTGCTCTCTCGAGAAACAGTGCGCATGTTGGATACACTAGGCGCATTCTTGACTACAGGTGCCGAGCGTGGACTCAAAACATTGGTCGCCTCGCCTTTCTCGCTCTTAACCATTCGGCGGGCATGACTTGCTGTGAAGAGGTGGTTTTCGTTCGTTGAGTTTGGTGAGCCATTTGTTTGGCCTGAAGGACTGCGTCTGCGATGTCTATTCGAGCCGGAAGATACACGCCTTCGAATGGCAGACTGGATTTGCAGAGCCGAGTCTTGGAGCGATCTTGTTGGGTCGTCATTATCGGAAGCACTGCTGCCGGTGTGATCATCACTAGCAAACTCTGCAGCCTTCTGAAGACGGATCGGAATAGGTGATCTCTTTGGTTGGAACGTGCTGTTAGCTTCGATCTCGCGCAAAGGAGATAGGTTCTCCGATGCTGCCATCGCGAGGTTTGTTAGACCTGGCATCACAGGTGAGCCATCGTCCTTTTTGAGGAATCCTGCTTGGAAGCGGCTGTTTCTCGAACGGATCTCAGATGATGGCACGGGTGGAGGCGGAATGGGACTAGAGTCAAGGTTGTCGGAACGATCACCTGATTGAGACTGCGAGGGAGCGAACTCTGACATGTCTGGCTCGTTAAGCGAAGAGTCCAGTCCCGGTGGTGTTGGTTGGAACTCTTCCAGCTTGCCATCTTCAGTGTCATCTCGCCACCTCACACCACGCTTTGCAACAATTTTTGCTGGTGATGACTGCTTCTTTTTGGGTGTGCCACCATTAAAAGCTACCGACTTTCTGGCAGCCATCACTTTTCGTCGCCGTGGTGATGCTGGAGATGGTCCCATGTTAGGAGACTGCCTGAACTGTGGGCCGTTAATGCTCGGGCGAATCTTTGCTTTTATTGGAGAAGGGCCTGCCAGGTTGATAGCTTTCTTCTTCTTGGGTGTTCCCGACTTGGTCGGTGGTACTGCCTCGATGATGGCGAGTCCGCCATCCGGTCGGATGACTTGCGAGGTTGCCTCGGTGCACGAGTTGAGTAGCTTAGTGAGGACAAGCTTAGCTGCTTTGACAGCTTCTTCCTCATCCATTTGCATGATCTGACCGAGGATAGCAATAGTCTCGAAGTGTGCCTGGAGCAGAACTTGCACGAGCGCGGTATCGCCAGTTTTTTCTTGGTCCAGAACGGCTGATTGCACTTCTCTTTCAGCTCTGCTCCGCATGACCTCAACCTCCTGCTTCAAGCTTGCGACTGCAGGGGATGTCATTGATGTTGAAGCATCTGCTTCCTGCAACTGACGAATGCCATTTTGCAAAGCAGTGTCCAAAGAACGTTCCCAGTTTGCCTTTGCAAGGCGCTTATGGTAGTGCTGTCTGCTCCCCTCAAGTTCAACGAGTATTCCTGAAGCGGTTTTACGCATTGATGTCAAGCTGAGCGGTGGTTCCTCGTCTTCGCGATTCTCACAAATTTGGTCGAAACTACCGATCCAAGCAGATATAAGACCAATTCTACGTTCAATTTGTCGCAACCGCTTCATGTTGTTGATGTGTTCTTTCCGCTCATCGCTCGAGTGATCGTATGCTGCACGAATTCTGGCAAGGGCTTCCTTCAGTAATCCGCTCCTCTTCTCCTCGGCCTTCTTGAACTTGGTAAAGGCAAGTGACTCGAAGTCCTTGTGCTGGGCTTGTAGATCCTTGATAAGAGCCATTTGTTCATCAATTTTCTTGAGATAATCCTTGACGTGGCGGTCTACATTAAAGACATTGCGAACGGCTTTGGTCTGGATGTTCTTGGCTCTGTTGGCGTAGCGCAGAGTATTCTGTGTTTCGTCGAAATGGACGGAGCTTGGACTGACGCAGACTATCATGACTGTTCTGCAGTTTCCACCCAAACTGAATTTGAGGAGACGGGTAAGTTTGCTGTTGCGGTATGGCACGTGGTTCTTCTTCTTGGGGTCGCACAAAGCATTGATACATGAGCCCAAGGAGAGCAAGGACTTGTTGATGTTGGCACCCTCGAGCAAACGCTCACCGCGGTTCTTTGTGGCCGAAGCTCTTTCTGATCCAGCCAAATCGATGATGGACAGTGTAGCAAAAGTAGTGGGTTCGGAGTGGCCAGCATTACGATCCTTCTGGGCGACGTTGATTTGGAGAACGGCGTGCGATCTAGACGATGTTGCGTTGGCTTCGGTTGGCGATTGCGTGCGATTTTCGTTGCCTCGAATAAGCATGTCCATGACTTCGTTTACCTGGGCACATGTTAGCGAGACGGCAGCTGACGAACGACGAGTGGATGTACACACGTTTTGAGGGCGGTGCGCAGTGAGGCCTGCAACCGAAACAGCCTGATTGGCGTCCTCACGCAGCATCAGGCCCTGGCCACGTTTGGTGACCTCGCTGACAGGAATGAGCAAGTCGCGGATGGTCTCGTTGTAGATTTCGAGGTATGAAAGGGTGACCTCGGTCTGCTTCTCCTCTTGCATTTCGCTGATTCTTTCGAACATCTCTTGCATGGTCAGGAAGATGATTCCCGGCTGTTGCGCTGTACCTCTGCTCAAATTGTCAGTGTATGCTCTGGGAGTGCCCAAGTGTCGACACATACGTGATAGTGTGAGTCTTTCCGCAGCCTGTGGCACCATAGGCGAACACAGTGGCATTGTAGCCGTCGAAGACACTGTCCAGGAGGTTCTTTGTGGTGGCTTCGTAGACTTCGGCTTGGGTTGTGTTGTCGTCAAAGACGCGATCGAATGTGAAAGGTTGGTCCTTGGTTCTCTTTCCTCCCATGCCTGGTCGCATGCGTCCTTGTGTGGATGAGTCTTCCGGGTCGAAGATCCTAGGGAGCTTGTTAGTACTTTGCACAGCAAGGTGCCAATGTTTGGACACACAAGCATTTCTCATCCATGACCTTGATGACAGATCTGATGCCTTTGCCAGCATGACGTTGGACTGGCGCAGCAGCCAGGGAGCCATCGCCTAGGAACAGAGGGCCATCGTCAACGCGGGTCAACTGTGCGGCCTCTCGGATGGTAAAGGGTCTGACGCGCACGGCGACGGTGATGGAAGAGGCACCGTCAATCGCGCCGGCCATGTTTACGACAGCTCAAGGCGATGATCGAGGGTGGTGAAGCTGTACACAAGCAAGACAGTGACGATAAAAGGATGACAGCCGCCAGGGCGTGTCGGTGTATGAATTGGCTAATTCTGTTTCGAGTTGTTTTTCAGCTGCTTCAAATCTGATGTCAACAAACACAACCCGAAGAGGGAACTCGGAAAGTGTGGGGAAATGCGCATGAGGGAGACCCTGACTTGCGTCTTCGTTTCACGCCTATCGATAAGAGGCAGTCGCGATGCGATTGACCACCTTCTGTCACACCGAGTTGTGGTTGTGCTCAGTTGCGAAGACATGCTTTGAGCACTGAGATCTGTTCTTTGTACTCCGTCACACATATGGACATCTTCTTTGATATACCTTCCTAACCATCGTCAAGAATATAAAAGGCAATGGTTCGACCCCACGACATACAATCTATATATAACAACACACATGCTGCTTTCGAAGTTGAGTGTCTTTTTCGAGGAGGTCATAGACCTACAGCACTGCCAGCGACTATGTGGCGCTGCCATCAGTGTAAGAATCCCAACCTGAACAAAAGCACTCACTGCACTTGGTGCCCTTACGACCGCTGTCGCTTTTGCGTCTACCGCAAGTGGTGGCAATATATGCTGTGGGGCATCAAGTACGACTGCTTTGCTCTTAGAAAGAAGAAGAAGGATTAATAAAAGGTAAGAGGTGAGTTCTTTTGTCCTTGACGAGATTTGGGACAGCGAAGGCGTTCTGGTTTGATATCCTTAGACAAAAATGGAAATCTACTTTCTTTTTTTCTAACTTTCCTATTTTCGTGATTATGTGTATTTGAGATTGCTTCTCATGCGATGCGTCGAAGATTTTGCTACCCAGGCACAGCTTGTAGGATTGACATTGGTTCGATATGTTGCCTGACTGTGATGAGTATAAGTATGAACAGGGTCAATCTGTCAACGGGCGATGGCCTCGCATCAGAACCTCTCAACAGAGGATTCACCCACCAGCTTTGTCCTGGAGTTCGAAAAATCGGGGGACCTCGACTACGACCTTGCCTAAGAATCCGTGCGTATTGGGATTTCGAGATATGCTAGTCCATTGATGTAGGCATAACTTCCTCGCTGGATGTGGTTGGAGGTAATAACATTGCTCCAGCGAAGACTCTGTATCATTGACATCGAATACGGCGTTCCATTTGGCTCTCCAGTGAATCGTCCACTCGGCCAAGATGCATATCCAGGATCTCGTCATGGTGGTGGAATTGACTAGCCGGCCAAGTCGAGTACCATAGAAGATGGTCTGAGCCATTGCTCTACTTGTCAGAAGCTGGCGATGATCCGTGTGGTCACAACCAGATCATTCCGAAAGATGATCTCAGACATGAGAAGGGAACGCCAAATATCTACACATATACTGGTGTTTCAGATGTGTATCTCGTTGAGCAATGTGTTCGAGACGGAAAGACGTGCTGACAGCGTTCTAGGCAGGTTAGTAAGGTGCTTCTTGAGTGGCACCAGCACATCACATGTCTACCACCATCGAGATGTGATGCCCAGCAAGATCATTGTGTCTACACTCCTCGAAGGAAGAGCTCGAATGCTAGCCACTGGAAGAATCTTTGGTGAAGGTAGGTTGGACTAGGTCAGAAAGTTGCAGGGCTGGAGTAGCAGACAAAGTCGGTTCAATGACCTTACCGGAGCCGAGCTGTTTTTAGACAAGGGACACGGACTCGTGTAGTTCTTGAACAAAGCAGGCCATGCCAAGGACGGAAGGTCGTATGGCATTACGAGTGGAAAGTTGGTCAAGAGGTACTTGTGGCTGTTGCACTATTTGGAAGTTGGCAGTTGTGTTGTCATGTGGTGCGAAGCTGTCAAAGCCAAACGGGGAATGGAAGGAGCCACACGCTCAGGGCAACAACAGATCGCTTGGGACAGGGGCAGGCGATATTGGTATGGAGATGGCCCACCATTGTGCTCAAGCCACAGCCGTGTGTGTAGATCAGAATATAAGACCCCGAAGATCCTCACGCGGATGCCGGGAGATGTAACATCCAAGGGCTTGAGTGGGATTGGCGGTGTTCTGTGGCTTAGAGGACCAGGCAGTTCTGCACATGCTCAATGACAAGGTTTGGCGCTATAGAATGATGTCATGGTCAACGCTGCAATCTCCGTTCATTGTCGCACAACCATTGGAACTCGAGCTGGTGAAGATGGAAAAGAGCTATGAAGATGAGGTTTGAGCTGAGGAACACGCGACTGCCCGCACGGTCTTGCTCTCTCCGCCGAGTCTACGAACAGGCAGATCATGGGGATAGATCGTAAATGATTTTCGTGGAGGTTTGTCGACGATAAAGAGACGATCCAGATCAACCGGGTGCACGGGGCAACCGAGTCAAGTATGACGTCTGCAGCTTCCGCATACAATAATGCGCCCACGCCATTGATTTCCATTCTTCAAGAAGCGCTTCGCATCACCCGTCTTTTCCCCTTTTCATCCAACTCCTCATAACACAAATCTACGCATCGCTGTCGCTGCTGCTTCAATTTATTCATTCTCACAACTAAACTCTTACCACCGCCAAAATGCACCGCACCTACTCCATGCGCCAGTCGCGCGCACCCACTGCCTCCCAGATTCAGAACCCCCCTCCTCCATCTTCCTCCACCAAGTCTGGTAGATTCTTTGGCAAGAGCAACATTGGTAATTCACATCGTATCAGCCACTGTCGCGTTGCTTGCAACTAACGCATCGTAGGTCACTCTTTCCGCAGAAATGCCGCTGGCGCCTTCGGACCTGATCTCGCCAAGAAGCTGTCGCAGCTGGTGAAGATGGAGAAGAACGTCATGCGCTCCATGGAGCTCGTCGGCAGAGAGAGAATGGAGGTCGCAGTAAGTCGATAACTTGTGGCACAGCTTCGAGAAATCTTGATGAGTTAACGCAATTACAGCAACAACTCAGCATCTGGGGTGAGGCTTGTGACGATGATGTCTCCGATGTCACCGACAAGCTTGGTGTCTTGATCTACGAGATTGGTGAGCTCGAGGACCAGTTCGTCGACAAGTACGACCAGTACCGTGTCACCATCAAGAGCATCCGTAACATCGAAGCTTCCGTTCAGCCCAGCAGAGACCGTGAGATTTATCAATTCGAACGTTCTTGTAGCTCTCGCTAATATTATCACAGGCAAGCAGAAGATCACTGACCAGATCGCTCAGCTCAAGTACAAGGAGCCCAACAGCCCCAAGATTGTTGTCCTTGAGCAGGAGCTCGTTAGAGCCGAGGCCGAGTCATTGGTCGCCGAGGCCCAGCTTTCCAACATCACTCGCGAGAAGCTGAAGGCTGCTTTCACCTACCAGTTCGATGCTCTCCGTGAGCACTCTGAGAAGATGGCCATCATCGCTGGCTACGGCAAGCACCTCCTCGAGCTCATTGACGACACTCCCGTCACCCCTGGCGAGACCAGAAACGCGTATGACGGTTACGAGGCTTCCAAGGCGTAAGTTTTTGTCATGACGTAACACTCTATGTCTCGTGATACTAACAATTTTCACAGCATCATCCAGGACTGCGAGGACTCTCTTACCAACTGGGTCGAGCAGAACGCTGCCGTCACCTCTTCCCTCTCCACTCGCACCCGCACTCTTTCTCAGCGCCGCCGCAACCGTCACCAGGGTGAGGCCGTTGACCTTGCCGGCCAGGATGCCCCCATGGAGCAGTCCCGTGACAGCAACCTCTGGATCCCCGCCAGCCAGCACCAGCACGCTGACAACTACGAGGACGATGAGGAGGAGGAGGACGCTAGCGTCGCCAACGGCTCCGTCCGCGGTCGCGAGGAGGAGAGAGTCGCTGCTTAAGCGTAGCACTCGCTTTTGTTTTGGTTTCTCTGATTGCGTGGTTGGGCATTATACTATACCCTTGAGCCCTATGTTTTCTTAAGAATGCGGCGGTAATGTTTCTTAATCTTTTCCTTTTAGTCTCTATCTTTATGCAGGCAGCAGCGCAGTCTCCTCTAGCCTTACCAGAGGGCCGGCTTATGACAGGCACGAATAGCATGATGACTCTGTTTCACTAGCCAATTTCCTGATCGCGATCCATATCAGAAAACGTGTTGACGTGCCTCGGACTACTCCAAGTCAATATAAGTAACTGCTCTTACTTGGGCATGTCCGTATCTCACATCTCGTCTTTCGCGCGATTTCGCCCGACGCGGTTCTAAGTTGGCAGCTTGGGTAACAATGATGAGTAACAAAGCTCTGTAATCTTCTCAGTTGGTTGACATGTAGCAGAGGACTCTTGCTGGGTCAATCTTGGTGCATTCCCATAGACTTTAGATCCATGCATGCAAACACATCTATCTCTCTATTCACAACACCAATGCATTGCCTTTACGACCAAAGCCTCTCTACCAGATCATGCATCAACCAAAAGCCAGGCAAGTATGATGCCGCAAGACCTATAACCACTTTCGGCAAGATGACACCCGCATACCTTCCAAAATCATGTCCCGCCTTACTCGTGACCATGACAGCAGGAACACTTTCATACGCTTCGTCCAACGCAACTTCCACCATCGAACCTCCCAGATCTGGATAACTGCATCCAGCACCTGCTTCATGGACGCTGATATCGTAGCCACTGGCTGGTTCTTCTATCAATGCTGGCGGTTGAATTAGTGTCACTTTCAGGAGTGAGGGTTCGGAGAGGAGGATTCTTTGACCAGCGAGAAGGTCTTGGTAGGGGTAGTAGAAGGCGAGACGAATCATGCGGGTATGCAGAGATGGGGTGTTGCCGTGTAAAGTTTCGTTCCAGGTCATTGAGGATAGGAAGATGAGTCTTGGTGGTTGCTCTTGCTTTTGCTTTTGCTTCTGCTCCTCATTGAGTTCGCGTAGAGCGTTCACCACTGCTCTGGCACCATCCTCGATGATAGTTGGACCGCGTCTGTTTTCGTTCCAACCCAAAGTGAAGATTATAATGTCCACATCGGTCAAGAGGTTCTTGATCAATGTGGAATCTGAGATTTCTCCCGAGAAGATTTGGGTGTTGGGCATAGAGGAGAGGCTTGGGAATTTATCAATGAGTTTTGAGGCGGAGCGGACGTAGATGTTGATGGAGATGTCTCGGATTAGGAGGTCTTTGAGTACGGCTTGACCTGTTTGTCCTGTAGCGCCTAGGAGTGCAACGCGGCGAGGCATGGTTGGAAGTTGTTGGTGAGATATATTGATTGCTGTTATTGTAGGATATTGAATGATTCGGCAAGAATGATCAGTAGAGAGGGAGGAAGGAAGGAAGGAGGTGCAAGAAGATACTCATGATATAGTGTCATACTCTGTTTGTTCGGATGCTTTTCAAAAACAAAACCCGGTGTTGAAGATCTATCAAACGTCATATATGGTCTTTGATATCACATAAACTGCTTCCTCCCAAGCTGCCGGGCTCAACGTGTAACCTGTTGTCCAATCCCATTGACCTGACCTGTCAATCAAATCAGGGCCTTCTGCTTCAGGCAATGACAGCAATACAGGCACACACCGCCCCAACCATAGGGAGAACACCCCTGACACGGTTCAAAGCAGTCCATCTCTCCAACAACCCTTCCACATCCTTAGTCTCTGCTACAGAGGCCTCATCCTTCTGAGCCCTAGCAGCAAGCCCCAACAACTCATTATTCGTAGGCCTCATAAGAACAATCGTGAACGGCACGATTGCAATCGTGGATACCGCTGCAATAGCAAACAGAGCACTAGGTCCCAAACCCACTGCCGTAACTGTGCGAAGATGACGCAATGACCAAGCTAGATATCCGAGAGTAGCGGAAGCACCAAGGGCAATAGGAGGGGCCTGGAATGCTCCTCGTCGGTAGTTTTGTTGCCAGATTCTGACGGCATGCGCATTAGACAGCGAAGAGTCTTTTTTGATGTTGGCAACAGCAGGGATGGAGATCAGAGATAGTGATGATATATTGCCTGGTTTTGCTTGCGTGTCAGTTGAGCTCAGAGGTGCATGGGTTTGGATACAGATCATTTCTCTTACCGGATAACCAGGCAGCAGAGGTGATACCAATGATCTTGGCGATTGTGTTGGTTGAGCTCATTGTGAGTTATTGCGTCAAGGTGATTGTGTGTTCTTGAATGGAGGAGATTGGTGTGGTATAGAATGAGGTTGATACCAGAGAACTCATCTCACATCTTTTATATTCTAGACCCTACCTTCTGTGAAAGAACCAGACACTTTCCGAGATCTCTAACATAATCCGTACCGGTATGTTCAAACTCCGCGAGATTGTCGCAATATGATTTCGCTGCATTGCCTGTCATTGGAGCAAAGCGGACAACAGCTTTCAATCAAAAGCCGACGGCCTCTAGATGAAGCATCGTGCTGTCAATTCATAGTGCGATCTCCTTTTAGTTGCTGTGTAAAGGCCGATTTATCCATTGCGAAATCTCACAACGTTTCCTAAGGCCGCTCGTCTTGTCGGAAACAATTGTCGCGGACTGAAGTCGAACAGGTAGACTCGAAAGGTTAGCGTTGTCAGACGAAGCGGTGAGAGACTTCAGGCCCACAACTTCCTCCTCGCACAAACCCATCTCTGAGAGTTTATCAACCAAGCTCCTGCACCCTTTGTCCGAACCTACCATGGTTGACCTAGAAGAATGGATCACGTCCTGCGATCCACAAGCAAAAGATCCTTCAACGTGAAAAACAGACACGATCATCTCTTCGATGGCTCAAGAATGACTCTGAGGTTTACTCCAAAGTCCTAAAACATGACTGTCCACCTTTACATGAATGCACGATGCCTTCATAAACCTACTACACCTCTGGGACATCCAGATGATCATATTGCATAACATGAGCAAGAGCAGCTTTGAAGTTTGAAAAAAGGTGTAATTCCCTCGGATATCTATTTTCGTCCCCATCTGCAACTTCCGCCATATGACAATCGTAAAAAACCGAACCAACAAAAAAAGAAACATGGATATTTGGTCAACAGAAACAGAGCGCCTTAGCAACAAATCTAGCCATCAGCTTTCTAAGCCTCAAGGTCAAGGCCAAGGTCTTCGGGCTCGGCAGGAACGATACGGAGGGTGTTGGTGTGGCCCATACCGCCTCTCCAGCCCTGGACGGTGACGACGGGGTCGCCCTTGGTAAGGATGCCAAGGTCGATGGCGTGCTTGATACCCCATCTGAGACGCTTGTCAACATCCTCCTGCCATGAGACCTGCTTGAAGTCGGGCTTCTGCTCAGGGTAGTGGAATGGCCAGACACCACGGTAAAGGTGGGAGTAGCGGGTGGCGCGCGAGTTACGCGAGACCATGATGATGGGGCAGACGGGTCTGTACTTGGAGATGAGGCGGGCGGTGTTACCACTGGTGGAAAGGACGAGGATGGCACCAGCGTTCTGCTCGAGCGAGGCAGAGACAGCGGCCATGGCGCAGGACTCGGTGGTAGGGACGGGGATGGGAGCAAGTCTGCGGAGCTCATCGAAGGCGTTGACGTAGGGGATGGCGACCTCGGCGAGCAAGCAGGTCTCGTGCATGATGGTGACGGACTCCTTGGGGTAGTTACCCTTGGCAGTCTCTCCTGAAAGCATGACACAGTCGGCACCGTCAAGGATGGCGTTACCCACGTCAGAAACCTCAGCACGAGTGGGGCGGGGGTTGTAAGTCATGGACTCGAGCATCTGGGTGGCGCAAATGACGGGCTTGCCGGCAATGTTGCACTTGGTGATCATCATCTTCTGGGCAATGAAGACCTGGGCAGGAGGAATCTCAATACCCAAATCACCACGGGCAACCATGACACCGTCAGTCTCTCTGAGAATGTCGTCGAAGTTGTTAACACCCTGCTGGTTCTCGACCTTGGAGATGATCTGAATGTCCTTGCCCTCCTCACCAAGAACCTCACGGATGGCCTTGACATCGTCACCGGAGCGGATGAAGGAAGCGAAGATCATGTCGACGCCGTTCTTGACACCGAAACGGAGATCGGCCTTGTCCTTCTCGGAGAGAGCGGGAAGGTCGACATCAGTCTTGGGAAGGTTGACACCCTTCTTGGAAGAGATCTTGCCGTTGTTGACAGCCTTGGCGCGGATGTTCTTGTCGTCAACAACCTCGAGAACCTCGAAAGCGAGGACACCGTCATCGACGTAGATGATACGGCCCTTCTCGATCACCTTGGTGATGTTCTTGTAGTCGAGGTACCTTGGAGAGAATTAGCAGGAGATCGGTGGGACAGCCGGAGAATTGAGTCTTACATGTTCTTGTCGTCGCAAGAAGTGGCATACTTGTCGTCGGTGGTGATGTTGATCTCGGTACCGGCGCTGATGGGGTAGTCCTTGTCGTCAATGGTGTTGCCGGTTCTGATCTCAGGACCTTTCTGGGCGCTTGTTAGCGCAATTGTTTCGTCATTGTTGACTGAGTGTAGCCTACGGTGTCAAGGGCAATGGCAAGAGGACGGCCAGCCTGGGTCTTCTCGGCCTCACGGGCGTTGTCAATAACGGACTGGTGGTACTCGTATGAGCCGTGGGAGAAGTTCATGCGAACAACGTTGAGACCAGCTGGGCTGTTGTTAGCTTGGATGTTTGAGGGTGAGCAGGAGTTGTTTCAGCATACCAGTTCTGAGCATGTTGATGGCCTGGGGAGAGTTGGTCTTGGGACCTGCATCTTGTCAGCGCGCACTCTTTGCGCATCTTGTGTAGAAGCACAACTAACCAATGGTGCAGATGATGGAACTGCGACGGAACTGGCGCTTGGGCACATACTCAGTGTTGAGCTGCGAGAGCCACTCAGTTCTGGTGCGGCCAGCCTGGAGGTGTGCAATTGCGTCGGCCATCTTGTCTGTATTTGAGAGGTGTAAGAGGTGGTGAGAGGGAGAGAGAAGGAGGGAAGGGCAAGGGAGATGACACGCAAAGAAGGCGCGGCGGTTGTGTTGAGCGAAGCTCTCACAAAAATTAGCTAGCAGCCCGCAGCACAAACCCCCGCCTTGTATCAGCCTCTCTTTTGTTTTTGCGCCGCGATTGTCTGCGCACTTGCTATTCTGGCAGATTGTTTATCAAGAGGACAGAAAACATCAATTTATTCTAGCTACACAATAACATCTACTTGTCAGCCCAGCAGCTTCAAACAAACAGCCCATGTCAGTCGACGCTGGTGCTCGACCCTGCTTTGCTGTTACTCGATAGCAACCACACCGGCCCCTCACTCAACAAGCATTCGGTCCGTGAATGGATAAATTCCGCGATAAGCATCTTCATCACCAATTACTGAAATTATGCCCATCTCCGTTCGCTGACAGAATCTCATGCATGTTCCTTTTTGCACTTACCACATCAGACCATTATTGATCTCAGCAGATTGCAAGTTTACCTCTCATGTCTCGTCACGTTGACGATGTCGCAAGTGAAAGCTGGAGGCCGAAATCTTGACATCGGCCGGTTTGAGCTCACCGGTTCCCGTCTTTCCCATCCAAATGGTATTTTCTCAACCACCTCTGCTTGGCTAGCTTGCGTCGTATTCTTGGATTGTGAGTCTCCAGCCATAGATACACCACAGGTGGAGGGGACTGTGCAGCGACGCATTTAATATCCATGACCCTTTCAGACACTGACGAGATGCTGTACCACCTTTGAACCAGTTCAGCGGTCGAGTCTGACAGGTAATCAATTGCTTCGAGAAGTGCTGCAAATGTGCTTCCCTGCAGCACTTGATCTCACAATCAATGTAACGAGACATCCAAATGGTTTCATCCTCGCTCGACTTCGGTTTGTTTGTATAGAACGTCCTGCTACAGGCAGAAGACAGATATCATGTTCCTGGTCAGCTCAAGGACGGCACCGTTTCCGTGTCGGGTAGCCACGAAGCCGAAGAATGATGAGTTCGGCCCGATCAAACCTACCTTTCTGACAGTGCGGCCAAGAACAGAGACCAAGAAGGTGAGGACCCTGGCGACCGCCGATAAAGCAGGCAGTCGCGGCTGAGCGTCCGAGCTTCCATCTCACGAACACCGAGGTTGCTGCATACCAGCCATCCATCTGCCTAGACATACCAACAACCAAAAACTACACTTCTACAGTTCACCTCAGACTCAGCCTCGCGTCTCCGTAGCCATCCGATAGAATCCCGCAAATCAAACCCACAACTTCCTTTTTCCAAACGCACGCGACCTCAACAATGGTGGTACGTGAAGCACATGTTCATCTTGAAACACCACTCCCACTCACACTTTCCCTCTCACAGCTCGGCCGCCTTACCCACTACGCCTTTGACGCCGTCCTCTTCTCCGCCTTCCTCGCCGGTGTAAAGCGATCAACAGGTCTTACGTGAGCCACCATCCTCCTCTACCTCCACCTACCTATACCTCCACCCATCCTCTACCCACCTCCGCCGCCGAAATAATAGAGAGACAAAAGAACGCACACTAACCACAACCCCCAAGCCCCAGCCTCTCCTCAGACAAAATCACCGACAATGAAACCGCAAAGTCTTGGATCACGAGGTATCTTGCCATTGGCGAGATTGTCATGGATCAGAGTGTTGCCGTCATGAGTTCGAGCGGTTGGTTTGAGCGTAGGCGATAGAAGACAATCCTCCTGTTCTTTCGCTTTCCTTTCCGACTTTGCCTACTACCTTTATCCATCGAGGATGGCATGCGCTGGGGTGGAAGTAGAGGATGAGATGGAAGAGGATGCGAGGGTGAAATGGAGAAGAGGAAGGGAAAGGAAGAGACGGTTGAGAGGATCGGATCGTGAGGAAGGGTCACGCCTATCTACGGATGTTGTGCTCGAGCGAGCGACATTGAGATATCATGTCGCAGTCAACGGTTGAAAGAGACCAGTACGGTCACAAGGAGTTACGGACAAGTATCAGCGCTGGCGCAAATGGGAATTACAAGCCAATTCAAGACATACCATCCCAGACTCTCATATATGCCTGTTTATGTGGTGCCATTGAATATCCCTTGGTACAACACAGCATTTCTAGACTTCGATATAGTCAGGGTTGTACTCACGACAACCATCTCGACATCGTTGACGGCGATATTCCGACCGCCACTTGATCTGAATCTTCAGGCACAATGGCTACAGCCTACTTGGATATGATACTTGCATTCGCGATAAGCTCAAGTGTTTTGGATCAAGCCGTTTGATGTTAGAGTAGAATCTATATTTTGAGTCCGCCCACTTGACGATACGACCGACATTCGAATGGATCCTCCTGCCTCTTACCAGCAAGCAACAACAAAGTTGCCCTGAGAAACAAGGTGCTGGAGAAGTGACTTGATGATACGAGAGAAGACGGGTAATCAACATACTTCCAAGTTAAAAGCCATACTGAAGCCATCTTTCACGAAGCAACAAAGAAAAGCACGGAAAGAGATGATATCACGAAAAGTATGTTTCCTCTCCCGTTCAAATATAAACACAAGAATCTTTTGTACATAAAACTTACAGACCGGCTCTTTTGAGTAGCTCGTACCTCGATTCTTCATCTACTCATCTTCATCGACCCACTCCCACTCCTCATCATCCTCCTCCGCCAGCCCCAACACTCCCTTGACACTCCTCACAACACCATCCCAAAGCCCCTTCTTATGTGCCATAGCCAGCACAAGCACAAGTGGCAAATGCCACACAGACGCCCAAAAAAGCGCTCTCGCCGTCAAAATCGCAGTCTTGCTTTCTCCACCTCCTGACCTCCAAAACCTGAAAGCTTCATACGCCATCCAAGAATTGATTGCCGAGGACGTGATGACAAAGTACTTGTCCGTGACATTGACGTAGGAAAGACCGATACAGATGGGAAACATGAGTAAAGAATATCTCAACGCAACGCGGGTATTCATAGCAGGATTCAATGAAACCAACATTCTATACCCAGCAGCAAAGTATTCATGGCGGATAGGATGGCTCAGAGCGTTGAAATGCGGGAACTGCCATGCAAACAGCAACGCAGCTAGCAACCACCCACCCGCAGAAGCAGAACTAAACAACAGTGCTGAAGCTTCGTCGGTGAGGGAAAGTGGTGATGAGGAGGCAGAGGTTATGTAGTGGCCGCCTGCAGCACACCAACCCATCAATGGAGGGATGCCACCGACGATGGCGCCGATCCAGGTGTTGATGGGGTGGATGCGTTTGAGAGGGGTGTAGATGCAGGCGTAGAGGACGGCGTTGGCGGCGCCGAGCATGGCGGTGGTGGGATTGACGCCATACCACAAGATGGCTGTGCCGGTAGCACCTGCAGCTAAGGCGAACAGCACAGCAGCTCGAGGGCTTACGAGCTTCCTGACCAGGGGTCTGTTTCGCGTGCGGGTCATCTTGGCATCGTGATTGGTTTCAAACAGCATGTTCAGTGTATTGGCACATGCGATTGTGCTGAATGTACCAGTGGTGAGAAACAGCAGAGTCAAACTGCTCAGCGAGGGAGTATGGGTGGCTGCGGTAGAGAGGAGAGAGGGTACAGGATACAGCGAATATGATGCGGTAGTGGTGAGGACAACGAGGAAAGCCAGGCGCGGCTTGGTAAGGGCGAGGTATGTAGCCGTGCGACGGCGCAAAGAGGTAGGAGCAGCCTGAGCAGCAATACTAGACAAAGCACTCGAGGCATCAGGCGGAAGCTCTGGCACAAGGCCATCCGGACCAGTCTGTCGTCGCCGCCGCGGACGTGGGGAGGGTGTATCGAGAGGCTGTTGCTGCGTCGTCGTCGTTGTTGTAATGCTCTCAGCCTGTGATACAGCCTCGGCAGCTGTCTTTTGTTTTTCTGCCTTGGTAGCCTCTGTCCAGTTGGAGCGTATACCAGCCACTCTCGACTCAGCGCCATTGGCCCAAAAATATCGTCCGTCCAACTCTTGCGCCGTCTGCCTGACGGGCCGTGAAGCCGAGATGTGTCGCCTTGGTGTGAGGGTCGCCGACGTGGCTAGTCGTTGTGTGATTGTCTTGTTGTGTCGCAGCGTCCTGGCGCATCGAGTGCATATCGATGCCTGCTCGCTCAGTCCTGGTGTGAGCAGCGGCCATCCCACCAGCCGTAGCCGTGTCATTGTCGCTGTGAATGTCGGCCTCGATGCTCGAGAGAAAGTCTGCGATTCCTGCAACTGTCGCACCAACTCTTCACTCCATGTCAATTGCTTTGCTGTACGTCGGCTCTCTAAGCTGGTCGCTACGTCGTGGTCATGAGGTGATGAATTGGATAAATCCAGTAATTCGAGGGTCCTCCATCGTCGGAACCCACTGGAGCCGCTCCCCGACCATCTACAAGTCCAACGACCAACCAAACGACCACCCATTAACCAACCATCTCTGATCAAGTCTTGTTGGATAAATGCAGGAATAGAATGTTATTACGTCGGCAGCGTTAGGAATATCTATAAAACAAGACTGCTCCAAACCCTGCCCGTCTCTTTTTCAACATTAGCTGTCTCCACGTCGTGACTAAATGCTCTCATCATATCATCCTCGTCTTAGCCTTGCTGTGCCCGACCATGTGTCTCAATTAAACGGCACTCTCATCAGCGTAAACATGTTGTTGACCAATCCTTGAACCATATCTCCAAACCCGCTCGGTTGTCCTGCCGCTTCCCGCTCCGCTTGCTCACGAAGCTTGATGGCATCCACCTCGATTTCAAGCTCATGAATCTTGCGTCCATCTGCACTCTTGACTTGGGTCAGATCCACGCTATACACTGAATGCGTGTAGCTGAGTCTATCTTTCTTGCGCTCCCCAATCTTTGTGTCTCCTCCTTCGACGATCGCTGCCGGATTGATATCAGGTCGGTGCATGTCCACCTCAATGTTGATACTGATCCGGCAGTCGAACGGCGACCCAGGAACGAATATATCCAGATCGGCAAGTCGAATCTTGACTATGCGCGCAATCACAGGATCAGTACCCGGTTGTGCTCGTTCATTGATCGACGTGCGCAATCGCGGTTGTCTGGCTTGGTCGAGATAGTTCAAGGCTGATTGAGGCAGCGCATCAAATCCAGCTGCACTGAGTTGCGCGAATGAATCAATCTCATAGCGGTGTTTATAGTCTAGTCTGTGCCTGCCAGGTAGTGCCGCTGACTCTTGCACCGCTTGATTCAAGAATTCGTTCAAACGTTTGTGATGCGCTTCGGTCATATGACTCTCAAATCGAAGTCGTGAAGACATATTCCTGTCAAGCACGGCCGGATTCATGACTGGCAGATGCACTCGCTGGTCAGTATTTCTGTCGACCAGAGTACCCAGCTTCGCCTCAATCTCCAGTGCACCATTGTGCGCATTGCCCACACCAACATCAGGTCTTCTGAGAATTTCTTCAAACAGATATTTTCCCACCTGTAGCGAGAACTGATCAGGTTGCGCCATGTTGCCTTTGATGCAAGGCTCCCATGGCCCAAGAAAAGGATGCATAGATGGAGTGGGCGGACCATGTCCATTCGTCATGGGATGACCATTAGACTGATCCATGGCTGGAGGTTGTTGCTGAAGTTGAGGTGTGGTTTGCGCTTGTTGTTGTGGCGTGATTACCTGCAAGTTTGGACGAGGAGAGGGCCGTCTTGCTTGAGTGGGATCTGGCGGAGGCCCAAGCAATTGATCGACTTCTGGGTTGTAGTTAGGGTTGGACGGCGTATATCTGGCCCAGATCGGCGGATGTGCATATCTCTTCTTGGTCTTCTTGAGAGGGCCAGACGGTTCGGGTTCACTTTCAGCAGGTCGTTTGAGAGTGGGTTGCGATGCGCTCTGAGGCTGCGAGGATGACAGTGAAGATTGCGACATGGCTTGAGGTGGAGCAATAGGCTGTTGCAGTAGCGACTCGGAAGGGAGCGGTGTTTGTGACTCGTGCTTGATAGGAGCTCGCGGTTCGAAAGTCTGGACAGGGCTATCGTTTGAAAGCGAGGATCGCGAGTGATGCAACTGAGGATTTTGCGGCAGATGAGGAGGAATAGACTGGCCTCTGGCAGCTGCAGGTGAAGAAACAACGAGAGGCGACTGGTTTGTAGGATCTTCGTTCAAGATACTTCGGAAGCCTCCAGGCGTTTGGCTGCCAATGCGAGGCTGATTTGGACTGATTTTGGCGGACTGCTTGGTGGTGGTGAGAGGTGAAATGGCCTGGTCGGTCGAACTGCGGTGGGGAGCACGAGGTTCATGTGATGGATATCTCTCCCTCGCGGTCCAGGATGAGTCGGTGCTGTTCTGGCGCGTGGGAAGCACGACTTTTGTCTTGGGGCTAACGCTGAGGCTTCTGTCGCGTTCCGACACATTTGTAGGGTAATCGACCGACGGCCTCTTTGCATAGGCCTGCGGCGACTCGGAAGGATATACAGATTGCGGCGGCAGAGAATGGGCAGGTGACTGCGAGGCCATGTTCACCTGGTGCTGCAGGGCATAGGAAGCACCAGATGTTGCGCGTTGATGCTGAGCTTGGACGAGCGAAGGTTGGCGGGCGTATGGCTGCATGGGTGGACCAAGAGGAGTACTAGGCTGCGAATGCTGGGGCGGGTAAGGATGCGAGCTGCGATGGACAGCTGGAGGCGTAGGCGACATGGAGTGTGGGTAGTGGGGTTGACTTTGCTGGCGGGGGGTGAGCTGCGGATAGGATTGAGAAGGGCTGTATGGCTGCTGCTGGAGCTGCTGCATCTGCTGTTGTGTCTGAGGAGGGAAGGGATACTGGCTACTAGGGTAATGTTGTTGCTGCGGCGTGTGTAGCGCCATCGGAGTCGAGGGCAGCGAGGGGTTCGACGAGCGCGCATCATGCTGGCCTGAAGGGGCAGGTCTTTGGTGATAATAGGCCGGGGGTGGAGGTGGTTGCTGCTGCTGTGGGTGTTGTTGGAGTTGTTGCGGCGGCGGTGCAGGAGGATATGTGCCTGACGATGACCTTTGCTGAGGCAGCGGAGGTGGGAAGCTGCCTCGATGACTGTTGTCCTGCTGACTCGGAGGTCGACCCGGCGCGGCGTCGTTGTTCAGCATGCCACGAAGATCCATGATGGCGGCGGCGCGAGTCGATGAAAGAATAACAGGCCGTGTCGTGTGTCCCCGTGGTCGGCCTTTATGACGACGGCGCTACTACTTGACTACGTCCAGAGGCTCTAATTACACATCCAGAGATAGAGAGGCCGGGAGCGCATGCGGCGGCAAAGTTGCTGACGACTCGTCGATGGTATACAGGATGCGCATGGGCAGAAAGCTGTCCTGACGGATGCGAAGCTTCTGCCATCCGACTTTGGTTTCAGGAAGCACAGCACAGCACAGCCCAATCATGACATGACCACCACTCTCAAAACCATCAGCGAATCCATCTACACCATTTCTATCGACTTCGAACAAACCATGGTAACAAGCCAATACTCAGGACCGTGTCGCAGTAAATTTCTATAGGAAAGGCTGACCACCTCGGCAAGTCGCTGGCTATCCTTACCATTTCCTTCTTTTAGGACGCTCGTCGCTCGTGATTCTTCTTCTTGGCACACAGCTCCTCGGGGAACGTGGGCCGTGCGCTATATCTCTACAGTACAAAATCGAGAGCATCAAGCGCTTGTGGCCAGAATTCCCTTTGTGCGGCACACAATACAGAATCCGTAATCATCTATTCGGAAACCCTCATCATATTAAATGGCAGTGATGACGACTAGATTGCGGAGCTCAATCGCAACTCTTGTCTCTTCTTCTGGAAAATAATTGAACTGGATTCTTGCTTCAATTATGGTTCATACCCATGCTCACACCAATGGCTCCCACACCTCCACACAAAGAAAAGGGTAATGAATACACTTTGGTGAATCGAAATCGATTCCTCCTCAGTGAATCATTGGCTCTGCTCCTCATCAACAACCCTGTGGATTTTCCCGATCAATATTGTCCTTGTCGCCAAGTTTACTCATAGTTCGTGTGAGGTGCATACTATTCGCGCTAACTTTTTTCCCATTCATATGACCATGTTCTTGATCAAGTACTTCTGCATCCAATATATCGAAAAGATGGTTTCATGCCCTCACGTCATGCTCCGGCGCTGTGCTCCTTCACCGTGCCCCTGAACGCGTCGGTGCTTCTCATTCAACACCATGAGCTGAGCGACACTTTGGAGGCGTCCAAGCCTTCGACTTCTCCTTCGCCATGCATCATCCATCCACCCGTCGAAGAGTCCGAGCTTCTTCTGCTCTTCTTCGTTTAACATCGGGAGATCACCGCACTTAGCGCAGCTGAATGGTAGTCTGATCTAGGCTGCTTGAGTCAAACGCAACACAGTCCAGACGACAAGATCCACGCTTGCTGTTCAGCTGCTCTGCTTTGATTCGCGTCTTTCAGCTGACCGGTGTGTTGATTGCGTTCAGAATCCCATGCTAAGTCTAGACGTCCGATCTTTTCTGGACTCGTGCAATTTCCAGCCATGGTGCCCTTTCCGTGCCACATCAATCACACCACATGGCAACCCACTCTTCCCAGTCTTTCTGGCCCTATTATGTTTGCCAATGTGCATTGGCGACGCGATCCGTGCTGCTACCAAGCCTTGTCTTCCTCAAGTCGCTTCCATGTTGCATCTTGCGGCGTCGCCGAGGTTTAATGCCCACACCAAACAACTCTATTGACAAAAGCTTTCAACGCGCACATGCTCGTGAGCTCAAAAAACGCATCATCTCTTCTCCATGTCTTTGATCGAGTGCTTCCCTCTCTTCGATTGCCTCATCAGGTCTCAGTATTTGTTGACGGACCGACCGTTTTCGGTATCCGTCTCACGTTGTTGCCATCTGCCGAGCGCGAAGCATTTCTCAACGATTTTTAAACGGTGTGAATCATCCCACTGCTGCGAAGCAGCCCAAAAGGTGCTCATAATAAATCACCATCCGAAAGCCTGTACCTGAGCTGCCGGAAGGAGAATTATCCTTTGTACCCAAGTTCATATGCAGGAACAGGAAACAAAGTGCTTCCACGTTCGCAGACGGAAGTTCGGCCGGTCGAGGCGTGGTGCTAACGCAGGTTGCCGCAATTCACTAGCTTGACAGAGTGCATATGGCTAGCTGAGGTGCAGAGCGAGCTCGCGTGCACGGTTCAACGCTTCCCTCTTTAGGTCGCTTTACACTTTTCCTCTCATCCCAAGCGCACAATTTTAGCACGCTGAACATGCTTTTAGCTTCTGCGTCTAGTTGCCCCTAATGTTCAGCCGCTTTGGTTTGTTTAGGACCGGTATTCCTGACGGCCATCCCGCTTGGGACGTGTCGACAACAAAATGTAGGAGCTGAAGAATCAGAACATTTAAGAGCCTGCTGTCTCCCACCGTTACCGTTTCTGTCTAAATCGTCGCTCGATTCCATCACCCCTCTCTATCCATAGGGTCCTGTGCCCGTTTCTCTCGTTCGTCATGTTGGGTTCCTTCTGGAAGACGCTCGTTTTCCTGGCAGCCCTCCCACTCCAGAATGTCTCTGCACAACAGTATATGGGAGATGTCATTCCTAATGTTACTTATCCTAATGTTCCTGGCTCAGAACTCGTCTACTTCAGGGTCAAAGACCCCGCTGGAAAGAACAACAACCTTACTCTCGTTAACTATCAATCTTTGGGCTCGAATGGCAAGCGTATCAATCCGTCCAAGGTCAAACGTGCTGTTATCATCATCCATGGTTTAGACCGTAATGCGGGTACTTACATGAGTAACGTAAGTTGTTCGCAGATGCTATTTAAGAGCCAATACTGATTGAGATCATAGATGTTGAGTGCACTTTCTCAAGTCACAGGCGACTCCAACATCAACTTCGATTCTGTGGTCATTAACGCACCCAGTTTCCCCAACGGAGATGACAAGAACACCTCGTACCCGTACTGGGACTATGCTCCCTCCAACCCCAAGAAGAAGCTTTCTGGAGGTGCCCAATCCTGGACCAACCTGCTTGTATGGAAGGGATCGCAATGGGCCGGCGGCGGTACCAACCAGTACCCCACCAAGTCCACATCCGTCTCTTCTTACGAAGTCCTTGATCAGCTGGTCGCATGGTACGCCAACAAGAACAACTTCCCAAACATCAACCAGGTTGTCATCGCTGGCCACTCTCTAGGTGGACAGACTGTTCAACGTTATGCTGCTGTCGGCAAGAATCTTGGTTTGGCCGTACCTCTCACCTACTGGATTGCCAACCCAAACAGTCTTGTCTGGTTGAACTCATCCCGTCCCCTTTCTACAGCCAGCTGTCCAGACTACGATGAATGGCGTGATGGTCTCTCCAACTACACCGGTTACCCTAGTGTTTACAACACCGATTTGGTCGCTTCTGGTAACGCGGCCGTGCTTTCCAACTACCAGTCCAAGAACAAGGCCTACGCTCGCGGTACCCAAGACATGGGTGATGACTCTTCTAGCTGTGCCCCTTTCACTACCGGCAGCAACCGCCACGAACGTTTCTACTATTTCATCAACTGGTGGACTCCTACTTGCGAAGCCGCCAACTCAACCTCAGGCCACTGTGATACCGTCGATTTGATCCCTATGGGCCACGATGGTGGCGGTATGATGGCTTCTACTGCTGGTCGCGCTCGTCTCTTCAGCGACAACTTCTATGGTGACGGCGCGAAGTCTTATGATTTCGGTTACCCTCGCATTCAAGCCAACGTGGATGACCCATACCCCAACCCTGCCTACAACTCGTCTTCGACTTCAGCCAACCCTGGTGTGTACGCGAACAACATGACCTATGCAGGCTGCTACACTGATTCAGGCTCGCGTACTTTGGCCAACATGCTCTACGATTCCCAATCGAACACTGTCGAGATGTGTACCAGCGCTTGCGCCAAAGCCGGTTATGCAATTGCTGGTATGGAATACGGTAGTCAGTGTTGGTGTGACAACACAATCGGTCCCTACACTCAAAAAGTTCTGGATCTTGGTTGTTCTGAAGCCTGCCCTGGCAACAGCACCGAGAACTGTGGCCAGTCCAACCGCTTGCAGCTCTACTCGAACAGCACCCTTGTTCAGGCTTCTGCTCCTTCAAACCCCGAAGTCGTTGGTAACTACTACTACTCTGGGTGCCACAACGAATCGACCAGCGGCCGTGCTCTCTCTGCTACTTCATACTCTGATGGCAAGAACATGACTCTTGAAAACTGTGCAGCCTTCTGCAATGGTTACCAGTACTTTGGCATCGAGTATGCTGCCGAGTGTTACTGTGGTTCTTACTTCGGCGTCGGCAGTACCACCGTTTCGGACAGCTCTTGCGCAATGACATGTACCGGCAACTCGCTCGAACTCTGTGGTGGACCTGGCACTCTTTCTGTCTACGAGCTCAGCGACGATGCGAACGTCGTGACTATCACCCAGGGCTCGACTACTGCTGGTTCTACTACACCAACAAACACCGGTTCAGCATCCACTCTCCCCTCTAGCAGCCTCTGCCCAGCTACCAATGGACAATCTATCCCAGATTCGAACAACATCACCTACACTATCGCTTGTAGCTCAGACACCAACGTCGGCTCGTACTCCAGTGCCCAAGCAGCCGGTTCATACTTTGACTGCATGGTTGCTTGTGACAATGCTGCCTCATCTGGATGTGTTGCATTCACCTACGTTGGTGGTGCTCTCGGCTCGGGCAGCGGTTCCTGCTACCTTAAGAACAGCGTTGGCAGCTTCACAGCAGCTGGTAACAACCTTGTGTCTGGATCGAGAAACGGAACCGGTTCCACTGGAGCACTTGCCACATCGACCTCATCTGGTGCTTCGACAGGAACATCGGCTACCGGCATCGCTTCTAGCAGTCTCTGCCCTACCACTGACGGTCAGACTGTTGCTGATTCGAACAACGTTACCTACACCGTAGCATGTTCTTCGGATACAAACATTGGCTCATATGCTAGCGCTCAAGCAAGCGGCTCGTACTTTGACTGCATGGTTGCTTGCGACAACGCCGCATCATCGGGTTGTGTTGCATTCACTTATGTCGGTGGAGCACTTGGATCCGGTAGCGGGACCTGCTATCTTAAGAACAGCGTTGGCAGCTTCACTGGAGCAGCGAATAACCTTGTTTCCGGATCGAGAGCCTCATCTGGTTCTACCAGCGGAAGTGTCACTGCCACGACTTCTTCTGCCGCCTCTGCAGCCACCACATACGCAGATGGCGCCACACCCTCTGTGAACGGTGTTACTTTCGAGATTCAAGTCAACGTAACTTACTCTGGCCAGACTCTGACTCTCACAAAGAAGCGTGCAGCTGCCGTTGTTGGTGACTGTTTGAACACCTGCTCTCAGAGCACTTCGTGTGTTGGAACCGCATTCGACGGCTCTGTTTGCACATACTTTGGCTCAATCGACAACAGCACCAAGGTTTCCGCTCCTGGTACCACTTTTGCCACTGTTGAGGCTCGCAGTACCGCCACATCTACCTCCTCGAGCTCTACAGGAGTTCCATCAGCCTCGTTGTGTCCCAGCGCCAATGGCCAAACAGTCAATGGATACACTGTCAGCTGCTCGTCTGACACCAACATCGGATCGTACTCGAGCGCGAATGCCGTCAACTCTTACCTCGACTGTATGTCTGCTTGTAGCGCCGCAGCCTCCACTGGCTGTGTTGCATTCACTTACGTTGGAGGCAACAACGGTATTGGGCCTGGAGCGTGTTACTTAAAGAACATCAAGGGTAGCTTCACTACTGCTGGTGGTCCCAACTACATTGCCGGTATGATTGCCTCTCAGACTTCATCGTCGTCTTCGTCTTCGTCGATCAGCTCAACCCAGAGTGGATCTGCCAGCTCCTCGGTAGCTTCATCTTCCAGCTCGACTGCAACCTCTTCGTCTGCTACTGCCTCGGCCTCAAGCAGCCTCTGTCCTTCTGTCGATTCTCAGGACATGACCGACTCGAACGGACAAGTCTACACTATTCACTGCCAGTCTGACACCGATGTCGGCTCCTTTGCTAATGCTCAAGCTGCCAACACATATGCTGACTGCATGACTGCTTGCGACTCTACTACCGGATGTGTGGCATTTACTTACGTCGGCGGAGCTCAAGGCCAGGGTTCAGGTTAGTACTTTCCTCTCGCGCTCTTATTGTTTCAATGCTGACATAAGATTTTAGGCACCTGTTGGATGAAGAACAGCAGAGGAAGCGCAACCTCAGCTGGTGGCAACAACTACGTCGCCGGATTCTTGAAGCAGTCTTCTTCGACTTCAACTTCGTCTGCTTCGTCAAGCTCAGCATCTTCCAGCACCGCTTCCTCCACCACCGTCTCATCGTCAGCAACAGCATCGAGCAGCGCTTCTGCCAGCCTTTGCCCTCAAGCAAACGGACAGATCATCACTGATGCCAACGGCAAGACATACAACGTTACCTGCTCTTCGGACAACAGTGTCGGCTCCTACACCAACGCACAGGCCTCCTCATCCTACCTTGACTGCATGACCGCCTGTGATGCCGCCTCTTCTTCTGGCTGCCAGGGCTTCACTTATGTTGGAGGTGCCAACGGCGCCGGCTCAGGTTTGTCATTCTTATATCCTACTCTGACCCTTCCAATACTGACATGATAACCAGGCACTTGTTGGTTGAAGACAAGCATGGGCACTTACACTTCTAGCGGCAACAACTACATCTCGGCTGTTCTGGTCACCATCTCCAACTCCAACGTTGCGTCTCTTAGCGGCTCAAGCAGTTCGGTTTCATCATCGACTGCTTCCTCCTCGACCGCTTCTTCTTCGACTGTCTCTTCGTCGACCGCCTCGTCAAGCAGCACTAGCAGCGTCTCCTCCACCTCATCCAGCAGCACTGTTTCGTCCTCGAGCTCTAGCGTTTCTTCTTCCTCGAGCGTGACTTCATCATCAAGCGCTGTCTCTTCGTCATCGTCGAGCACTGTCTCTTCCACCTCGTCGAGCACTGTCTCTTCGTCGTCAAGCAGCAGCACTGTTTCTTCTTCGTCAAGCAGCAGCTCAGCCTCTTCATCATCCAGCAGCATGGCAACTACCCTTTCCACATCCACCGCATCCGCCTCAGGTACCTCGTCAACCGCCCTCTCGCTCCCCACAGGCTTCTCATCCTACGGCTGCTTCATCGACTCGAGCACCCGCGCGCTGTCCTACTCCGCCTACTCCAGAAGCGACAACACCCCCTACAAGTGCGCATCCACTTGCCAGAGCTTAGGCTACAAGTACGCAGGCACCGAGTACGGAAGCGAGTGCTGGTGCTCCAACACCGCACCTACCTCTTCGGCCAAGGCTACTGACTGTAACATGGCGTGCAGCGGCGACAGCACCCAGACCTGTGGCGCTGGAAACCGTCTCTCCGTCTACGTGGACAACACCTGGGTGTCCAAGTTCAACGCCCGCCAAAGCTATGGCACTTGGAACTTGATGGCTTGCTACACCGACAACACCAATGGTCGCGTGTTGCCGACCACCATGAGCATGACCGGCGGCGCCTCCAACGCCACGATCGCAAACTGCCTTGACGCTTGTGCCAAGAGCGGGCTCAAGGTCTGCGGTGCCGAGTACTACCAAGAGTGTTATGGAGGTTCAGTCGCCCCTAGCAGCAGCTTGATTGCTGGATCTGATCCTTTGGCTGCTGGTTGCAATTACCCTTGCAATGGCAACAAGACCGAGGCTTGTGGTGGCTCTAACAAGATTTTGGTCTATGTTAACAATGGCACTGTATCTGCTTCTGCTGGTGCTCGTCGTCGTTGGTAAACAAGGCTGGCTGGCAGATGCTTTTCTTCTTTTCTTCTCTTTACATTAGCGAGCGATCTGATAATTTTTTTCTCATGATATCTTTTCTATTCCTGATGTTTGGTTACCAGGACCTTCTTTAGCATAATCTATATCATACTATATAGACCTTTTTTTACTTCCACGACAAAAATATATCAGTTTTACTTGAAGCTTTATCTCCCCTCTACTTGCCATTGTCTCTCACATCCTCGCCGTCTACTAAAACTTGTATCGCTTGTAGCTATAAAAGTGCACAAGACTATGAGAAAATAGGAAGATGTGTGCTGAGAAGTGACCACCTATCGGCTCTCAATGGAAGATGCGTCTTCTCTAAGAATATCTGTGCCTTTTTGTAGTATGGATCTTGCTTGTTGACGCAGATGGGGTGCGGTGGAATAGTACACGGAAAGGATGTTATGTGTTTTTAGTCTCGGTTGATTGACTTTGACGGTCACGAGTAATCAAGTGACCCTTCCAATGTTTGCAGAGACTGGATGAGACCAGGCAAGGCAAAAAGTACTGTATCCTATCTCTTTCGGTGCTCGCGTTCCTATCCAGCGTGCAGCATATCTCGAGGAAGACTCAAGGATCCTGGTTTATTGTACCGATGTACAACTTCGTATTGATCAGTTCTCGCAAACCTTGTGGAGATTGATGGTTTCAGGAGGTCGGAGGAGGGAGCTAGCGGCATGAGGTATACGGAGACTCGAGAGGACGAGAACGGTTTCTTGATCAAGCACGAAACCAGCGACGATGAGATGAATCGGCATCGACAGTGTTCCCGGCTCATGACCAGTCAACTGCAACGGTTCACAATTCTGTCGATGGTTTCAATCCTCTCCTACTGATGACAACGCTGCAGTCGAGAAGCTTGTAGCGCGATGACCGATTCGTCATGTCCTGTTCTAGCTATGAGACCTGGTTCGCAGGCAAAGGCAAATTCGGTTTGGAGCCTTTCGGCTTGAAGTTGTGAGGAGATGGGTAAGACGGGAGTCGAGATCACGAGACCCTTTCCTGGGAGGTTTTAAGTATAGACAGGAGTGTTATACATGATGCGTCAAAGGAAAGGCAGTAGTGATGGGAGCTCACACACTCAAGTCGACTAGCTGATTGGCAAGCCTGGTAGGTCATGGTGTGTGGTCAGTCGAGCCCATCTATGCACCGTCTTTGATAAGAGGCACACACTCGATGAGGCGGTTTCAGAAGTTTCTCATGATGGACTGGCGGTTGTTACATGATACATACAGAGATGCGCGGCTCTGAGGCTGGAGAGAGCAGCGTCTTTGTGAATTCATGAGTTCATCAGCTCTATAGAGGCTTGATTTGCTTTCGAAGTGTATGTCCCTCTTAGCTCATTAGGTGATGTTGTATCATAGCATGACGAGAATGTGGGAGGACAGAAGGTTCTAGAATGCGAGAAGGGTAGGAGCAGCCGTAGTATATCGAAGGAAAGAGTAAGCAGGTAAAGCTCGATCGGTAATCCATGCAGTCGCGGATGGGACGGCCGGCGAGACAATCCGATGTCTTTCTCATGTTGCCAAAGTGTTGGGATCCTGACTCGTCCTTCAAGCAGTATACATGGGCAAGAGTGAGACGTGGTTGGTCGCTAGCAGTAACGGCACTTGCAGCCTGCAACGAGGCTACACCAGAGTATTGGACGTCTGATGTTCATGCACTCTGTAGTTGCATGTTCCTTCTACATCCGCTGGACAGCGTGCACATTGATGCATCTGCATATTGAAGGAGCCGACAGCGAATAGCGTGGGCAAACGTCAAGATAGGCAGTCTGCAAGCCACGCACTGTTCAGTTGGACACTTCCATACCCTGTGCCTTCCCACCCGAAGCGCTTGTTGGGGAAGACCAACAATTGTTGAAGGAAAGAGCTAGCTCCGACGTGTGGGTTGTCTTTTGATCACATTTTCGCAAGTATCTCAGACGCACAACGCTTGGAGGTGCAGGACGAGAAACAACATCATCATCGCTTGGTTTCAAGGCCTCAACTGCGCAGAGAGTAGCAACATGGTTCAGGAGGTACCCGTCGCTTTGTTGCAATCCTTCACAAGCCTTGATTACTTGCTTAGGTCCCGGCAGCTTGGATGGGCATCAACGAAACAACAAGAGTTCGCGTCAAATCATGCCTTTTAGCAATTGATCCTTTCCAGATTCTACGATCTTGTGCTCGAGCAAAAATCTGTGCCATGGTCTAGATGTCTGCACTTCTCATGTACTTATACGGTTTCTGCATGATTGTCTCAGCCCGATGGATCACGATGATGATTCGGCAGTTGTCGTCAGCCAAGTAAGGACACTCTGCATTGCTAGAAATGGTTGAGTAGGCCCTAGACGTAAGCGAGATGTGTGCATGTGATGTGCTGTGATGAAAATGGCTGTTATGCCATGATCCACCAGACTCCAAGCAGAGCTGCCCAAGTCAGTTCTCTGAAAACTTTTGAAAGACAGTGGCACGCGGGAAATTGACACGTGGAAGTGACAATGCAGTTGGAATCAACAGCCGTGAACCTGCACGCATATTGATCATGAGATCTGAACAGCGCTGAGTGGAGCCAGTCGGACTGCTGAGCGAGGGTAAAGAGGGTGGAGTTTAACCACTCCGCTCTTCTTCTTTCCGTGCACCAGCTGGGCGCGAATCTTCTTCGCTGAATCAATCTTGCATTTCCTCTGGCACTGTTCCTTCGACTGTGACTCGCCCGTTCTCTACCATGCGGTCACGTTTCATCAGACGGATGACGAAACATGCACTGCCTTATCCTGGTTGAATAGACGATTCTGCAGTCGCCGGCTCCGGTCGATGGGTCGAGCACGACCTTTCGTGTCGGCGGTGTCGCTAGCCGTACCAGTCACTGGGGTCTGTATGCACAGCGGTTCTCTGCAGTTCGGTCGTGCTGGTGGTATTTCTTGCACGCGAGGACGATCATTGTTGACCGTTTGCAGAAGGTCAGTCCGGAAAGTATGATGTCCTGAAGTTTGTCAGAATTATTAATGCTGATGTGTGAGCAGATGCGCAGCAAGAGTTGAAGTTGTTCACCTGAAACATCACGGCAGTTGTACCCGAATTCCCTTTCCATTCAGGTTGGCAAGCAATTTACTCGAACAGATCGATCTCGGCAATCGGACCAGATCTCGCAATCTATCTTATACAGTTACGACCTGCCTTTTCAGGGCTTGCTGATTTTGTACCACCAGCCTAATGATGTGGATATTGCAGTATTGGCGGATAAATAGCAACTTGCGTTCAACACATTATATTATTTTTTGTCGTGGTAGTAGACTTCTCAAAAATATATATGGGCGAAATGAAACAAGCGATCGTGTTGGTGAATGCAGGGTTGAATTGGTGCAAGCATCATGACTAGGCAGGCATATTAGCCGTGCGATCCTTGTCGACGGAGGGATTGTCGGCTTGAAGCAAACAATCGCTCGTGTCCAGTGGTTCTAGCCAACTCGAGATCAATGGCTACCAACATCTTTTCGAGAAACCCATCTAATCCTAGTGCCGAGAGTCCACCGCGCATCTCAACAAATTGTCGGAGGCCACTCATGTGCGTCGAGAATGCATCTGCATCCCTCCAGAAGGCCTCATACTGAGCCATGGTTGCCATGGTTGCTATCATGGAGTCCTTGGTCGTAAGGTTCTCGTTCATGGCTTGGATGGCCATGTCTTTAAGCTGAAATAGATCTACAACCTGAGTGTGCGCAGCCATGGAAGACCGAAAAAGCGATGCAGCAAATAGAAGCACAGCATGAAGCAGTGCCACGTCAGTCATAACGAATGGCATCCAGACAGATCTCAGGAGGGCCATTGTAGGTGCATCGTCTGAATGCAGTACATCTTTGGCTGTGTATGTAAGATCTGTTTTGTATGCGCGCTTTAGTGTTGAACCCAAACCAAGGGATTTGGTGTTACACTTACAGTGCTCCAGGATCTGGTTCAGATAAGGAAGCCACTGAGCCGGATAGATCTGTGATACGTCTATCATGGGGTATTGAGGTGTCGATGAAAATGAAGACACGTCAGAGCTGCTGGTGGGAGATACTGGGCTTTTCTGACCCGAGGAAGTAGGTCTTGACATAGGATAGGATGCGGCATGCGTCCGACCTTGCGAGATTTGTGCTGATGATGTACCAAGCAACTGCGGATCGCTGTTTGATCTTCGAGCTGCTGCCAGTTGTTCTGCTTTGTGATGTTGTTGCTTGGTGACATGACTTCGAATGGCTCGTCGAACCTTTTGATCCTTGGTATCGCTAGGATCCGTGAGGTTGACGAATTGAAACGACATTGGTGGCTCAGAAGATCCTGGAGAAACAGGTGATGAAGTGCCTGGCATTGCGTCTTATATCCAGTGTACAATAGGTGGGCTGTAATGATTGAGCGAAGGCGAGCTAGAACCACAAGCTTAGCGAAAGTGACAAGTCGAGATTTGTACCGAGTAGCTGGTAGATCAGGAACGAGTGCAGTCGGTGAGATCTGATACTCTAACGATCTGGCATGTTCGTCAGATATATAGGAATCTGATTACTAGTTTGGGGATGCATAAACTCAAGCAATGACCACCATCTTTCCGACGGCTATTCATGGTACTGCAACAATGCAGATTTGGCTGCAGGTGTTCGTTGGCAGAATGTCTGGGCGTATGTCCAAGAAAGGTAATCATGTGCACATAATGAAGCCAGCTTTGTGGTCGTGCTGAGAAAGTCTCGATGGTCCTCGAGTAGTGGCTAAAACTACTGACAAAGATTTGAAAACAAATACGGAAGCCTTTGCCTTCGGATGCATGTACGTTGTTCGCATGCAATCCGAGGATCAAGTCAAGTAGAAAGCTCAAAATATGGGGCGGGAACAACATCGAGCGGCCGCCTTGTCTGTCATAATCAACCATCTAGCTGAACGCCTCTTCTGGGGCCTCATTGATGGCGCCATCTGAAGGCACTTGAGCGGACGTGGGAACGAATTCGCACAGGCCGCTTGGATTCGTGTCTTCCCATTTGGAAGAGCCACCATCATCATGAGTGACTTGTCTGCCGCATGTAGTTGTCAAGACCCTATATTTCAGGCTCGTGGACCTGAAAGGGCGAGCTAAGACTCTGAGAGGTTACCGGTACCTGGGTAGGTTGTGTTTGACAGACCACTGGAGAAAGCCACACCCGGTGGTTATCTATTCTTGTAACTCAGCGAGACACAGTCTCGGTCTAGAAGGGCAGCTGCATGAAGCCGAATTTATCGACCAAGAGAGCATGTGGGAGCGGCGCAACAGAAAGGAGTAGTTGGTCACTGACATTTGAGTTTTCTGAAATACCTGTAGACTGTGGTGGTTTTGCCGGATATAATCCATGGCCGGCATGCAGCCTCTGTTGGAGATTGAGATGCAGCGGGAAGAATGGACGCGCCCTGTACCAAGATCCTGCCAGGCACAGCCGTACCTTAGCGAGAGAAATACCTACCGAGCAGGTAGGGTGTTCTTTCCGAACGCACAGCATGCACCTGCTCTGTGACTCTCTGTATGATCGTTAGCGTTACCATGGACTTGAAGTCACGAACATAGCGATATGCTTAGGTGAGCTTCTCTTGGCCGATAACCACCTCGGATTAGGCTTGTGTTTCTTGCCGTTCAATCAACAATTATTCAATCCACACCACAAAGTTCGATAGGCAAAGTTCATGGCGCTCTTTATCGCATCCTGCTTCCGCACAGACAGATCCGGAGCTCGGGTCCTGACAGGCCAAATGTCCTTGGGAGTCGTCAGAACCCAGAATCCGGGCTAAATGGCCAAAGGCAAGCACGATGCACCAGCAGACTGCAGTGGATGCGAAAAAGGTGAGTAATCATGCACGTGTGTGGTCGCTGTTCCACAGATGCACGCAAAACATCAAGGGTGGATGACTTGCCGAACCCGAGCGGCCGGAATACAGGAGATCCCGTCGTGTGCTTGGGGACTGCAAGCATACCGGCCGGGTGGTCGTGGGGACTACGTCACAGTCTCGAAATACATACACAAGAGCAACGGTTGTCAGAAAAGAACAAGCTGCATCTTCTGTCACCTCCATCTGACAGACACTATCGAAAGTCGACATCGAACCCCGACAAAACAAGCATGCATTAGCAGCGCCACGCGAATCTGCGTACGCCCTCCCCGGAACTTGGTCAGCCTCACACACTCCTCGCACAACTATGGAGAAACCGCAACATCTAAGGCGGCTTAGGAAGAGAGATTCGGATCCGCTGGCAGAAGTGCCTGACGATGCTGTTAAGCTTGAAGTGGAGCAGCTATCTTCAAAAGGCCCTGACACCTTGCTTTCACGGGTATGCTGACTCGGCGTGTTGTACCATCTCATCAGCACGCGACTTACATGCCTATCCAGATTGTCCTAGGGCCGCTAACAATGATTTCCTTTTTACTTTCTCTTTGTGTCGTTGACAGCCAGCAACGTGCATGGCGCCTTGCGCAACAGGCCGACAGCGAGCCATGGCCTTGGTGGAAGAAATTGTCGCCCTGGACGTGGTGGAACGCAGAACCTTATCAAAGCCCACAAGATTCTACATGGCAACATGCTGTACCAGCTACCAGCTCGCCAGAGGGTGCTGATGGTAGCGTTCCAGCTCCTGCAGTGAATACAGATCACTGGTACACGCACAAGAAGCACAGGAGGATGGCCAAACTCACCATCTCGGACGCATTCGAAATTAGGAAAGAGGTAGCGATTATGCTTGTCACAGCAGCGCTAATAGGCCTAGTTGTCATTGTATGGCTTGCAAAGCGTGCACTTCCGTCGCTTGCGTGAGGCCGTGCGACCAGATCTCACCAAGTACATGCGTATCTTGACCGCATGTCCCTTGATCGATTCCTGGAAAGGCAACTCTGCTAGAAAATGATTTCAAATTCAAGATCCCTGGAAAGGGTAGACGCGATTACGAGCGACGATACAACGAATGGTCTCTTATGTGTTTCCTGCATGGCCTCGGATAATCTTGCTTGGGCCTGCGCATGTTGCGTCTTTGGTGTTTCCTCATGAATTATGGCCAAGACATGAATATATGTGGTGATTGTTTCGCGTCTGGTCCTGAGGTTGAGCTTACGAACGAGCTCAGCAAATTCCGGTTTAACGCGCGGTCGTTCGTCAGAATGTCAGTCTTGGTATCAGTCAAGTATTGTCCTCGACTCAACAGGTCTTTGTCTTGTATTCTCAAGCCGCTCGAGAAATTCATCGTTGATGTGATGACCCTGAGTGATCAAAGCTTCCACCTCGCGTACCTGACCATCCTACCCCACCTCTGACGTTCAGTGACCACTTGCACTTTGTAGGAACCTGACACTTTCGTTCACCACAACAAGAACACGCACATAATCAACGTTACACCATGTCCGGAATCAAGGGAATCGGCGAGGCCAAGAAGTACGACGGTAGGAAAGCTCCTAGACCAAGACACACAAGCAGATGGCTAACCAGCAGAAGGCTCGAAGCTGCGCATCGGCATTGTTCACGCTAGATGGAACACCCAGATCATTGATGCTCTCCTCGAGGGCGCAAAGAAGAAGCTCGCCGAGGCAGGCGTTCCCGGTACAGCTTAACAAGTCGAGCCTCGTCAAGAAGAGAAGCTGACGAGGGACAGACAGCAACATTGAGATCCAGACCGTTCCCGGCAGCTACGAACTCCCCTACGCAGTGCAACAGATGTACGCATGCTCGCAAGCTCAAGCATCATCGGCCAACTCGACATTGCTGAGCTCTGCGACCGATCTGCTTTCAGCGTCCACAACCGACCTCTCGCTCAAGGACAAGGAGGGTAGCAGCAACTCAGCAGCGACCAAGCCCTTCGACGCCATCATCGCAATTGGTGTCCTCATCAAGGGCTCAACAATGCACTTTGAGTATATTTCGGACGCTGTCAGCCACGCTCTCATGAAGCTCCAACTGGACATTGGCATTCCTGTCGTCTTCGGTCTGCTCACTCTGCTGACCGAGGAGCAAGGACTTGAACGCGCTGGCCTCGTGTCGGGCTCAAAGTACCACAACCACGGCGAAGACTGGGGTGCAGCCGCTGTCGAGCTGGGAGTCAAGAGAAGAGGCTGGCAGGAAGAGAAGACCTTCATTCAATGATGATGGATCAACAAGAAAGAGCCGGTTAGGGAGATAGAAGATACAATAAAGCTCGCTCAAAGTCACACAAGAATGGCACGAGTTGAGAAGAATACAAGCTGTCTTGGATGCCCGTTCTGCCCTGATAGCTTCGTTTGTTGCTTGATCAAACGACGTGTTTCTGCGGCCACGTGCTCGGCGTCCAGGATTAGGCGAACAATACAGCTGAACTGTTACAAACACACACTACCCTGACAATCCAGTTGACGACTGGTACACGGCTATCCTCTCCGAAGATGGATCTTAGTGCAGATTGTGATAGTGTGTATGGGCAGGCACAGAGTGCGACAGCAATTCTCGTGTTGTAGCGCGCGTCATCGGGGTGCACGGTCCACCAGGCGTGGAACTTCTTGCGACAGTTGCGACACTGAAGTTGAGCGTCTTCTTGACTGAGGAATGGAAGTGCTGTCCATCATCCCTTCAACCATTCCTTTATTCACCGTCTCCATCTGGCGCCTTGTTGTTGCTTCTCCTTAGCCTTCAGCGCATGAGATTTTGCCTCTCCGCCCACAGCGCGCCCGTCTGGTCTGCGCCTTGAGACGGCCCTTGTCTCCGCCCTCGAGGCCCCTGTCCTCGCCAAAGGCCACTGATCTGCCTCTTCTTTTCACCATCACCACCCATATCTCTCATCTTTCCACCTATCTGTCGCTGCCCGCGTCTTGCTGCGTCCCCCTCGCTATCGTTCTGACCATCTGGGGTGAAGAAGCTCGGCCCACCATCAACAAAACAAACTCGCACTGCTGACCTCGCCTCGGCTTTGTATTTCCGATGCCTGGCTGTTGATTCAGGTGCCACTCTCGCCTGTTGCTGCTAGCCTCGTATGGCCCATCCACCAGGTCGGCCTGCCGATGCTCCGGTCAACATGTCTTCATCCGACTCGGAAGCACGCGACTCGGGAGACTTGTTGAATGCCATCGGTTCCACCAGTTCTCTTGCAAGCACAGTCTCCTCGGTCTTCAGTGCTAATACTCAACTCCCAAAGACCAATGGTCACTCTTCGACCAACATCGCCGCCCTGACTCCCCTCACATATCCTGCTTCATCTCCAGTCAAATCACACTCTCCACTAGCTTCTTCGAAGCCACTGCTCAACACCACCCAACCAGAGCCATCCCCTCTTGGTCTTCCTGTCGCAAACTCCACTCGAGGTCCTTCCGAAAATGCCACTCCCCGACCTTCTCCCCCAGCAGGAAATCTGCAGATTATGCCACCAGCTGGCAAGGCAAAAGGGTACAGAACGGTTTATGACCCCGAACTCGACAATGAGCTCAGCGAGAAAGAGAAGAAACGCAGAAGCGGAAAAATCAAGACAAGGTCTTTCGGGACCGAGGTACGTTTGGATATTTTTACATGATTGCTGAGCTTGTTGATACCCTGTCACAAAATAAACCGTTCTGTACCCTGAAGCTGATGGGTTGAAAATATAGTCACACCCTGCGCCCCCAGACCCCAGGTTGGCCATCGCAAACTACACCTCTGGCGGAGCTGTATCCGATAAATTGTCGAAATCGAAAAGGAAGTTGCGAATTGCACCTTACATACTGAAATCGTATCCATACGACAAAAACTCGACAATTGGGCCTGGTCCGCCAAAGCAAATTGTCGTCCACAGTTTTGACCCATTTACGCCCGAATCCCAACTCAAATTCTTTTTCGCGAGTTTCGGAGACATTGCTGAGTTTCGCAACCAGACCGATCCGAATACTGGAAGTTTTCTGGGAATTTGCTTGATCAGGTACAAAGACAGCAAGCCGATCAAGGGCGTCTCCGTTTCAGCCACCAATGCTGCGAAACGCGCTGAAAAGGAAGGGCACAATGAGCGCATTGGGTTGACCAAGGTCAAGGTCGAGCTTGATCGCGAAGGGCGCAAGTGTAGGAAGTATGTCGAGTATACGCTTAAGAAGGCGCGGCACGAATTGGAGAAAGAAGCTGCTCGACATGCCTCTCACACTGTTTCGCTAGCAGCAGATTCGCCCGGTTCCTCGACACCTGTCCCACCGCCTCCTCCGCCGCCACCCGGTGCTCCCGAAGAAGTTCCCGCTGCAACGGTGGATGTGCCCAAGGCGCCGAAAGGACCGGCCTCCAAGCGCGATCGCGAGCGAGAACGAGCAGGCGCACCAGAACAAGCACCGTCGACCACAAAGGAACGTGACACAGGTCGCTCGGTCGTTGAGTCGGAGCCAATATTGGCCAAGATAAAACGAAAGCCGTACATTTTTATTTCTCGTGATAGCGTGCCTGTCCTGGGGTCCACTGTGCCACATCTTAAGAAGAGGTTCAAAGCTTTCGACTGGCGAGAGATTCGCGTTGACAAGACAGGCTACTATGTCATTTTTGACGACTCGAAGCGCGGTGAAGACGAGACAGTCAGATGTTTCAAGGAGTGCAATAATGGACCTATGTTCACGTACAACATGGCAATGGAATGTCAGCAGTACGGCAATCCTGATTACGTGCGCAGTCCAAGCCCCGAAACTCAGGCTGTCCAGACCCGGCAGAAAGAAGAAGCAGATCGCTTGGAGAGATGGGCTGCTGAGGATTTGGAGGAAGAGAAGAAAGAAAGAGCTGCGGATTTGGACCCTGTGAAGGGCGCGCTCGAACAATTGCAACTCGAATTGCGCAACAAGATCATGGACGACATCAAGAAACGAGTTGTCATTCCCGAGCTTTACGACCGTCTCGATCCCGCCAGACACGTCGCTAAACGACGCAAGCTCGATATTCCAGACCCCGTTGACAATGAAAACCAGCCCCCGAGTTTGTTACTGAACAAAGCGGCCAACACCACCACGTCAACAACTGCTCGAAGCCGGAACGGGCGTCCTTTGTCTCACAGCAAGCCGCTGCGCCCACACGATCCCAATCGCGGACGACAGATCCCCATGAGTGCCTATGTCGACGAGCGCAGGCTCAAGAAGCGACCAACTGCACGTCCCGTCCATGCGCGCCCATTGCATTACCGTCTGCAGCACATGGATGATGACGAAGACGAGGACGAGTCCGACGACGACCACAGAACACCAATGACGCGCGATACGGACGATCAAGAGAGCAGGCCGATGAGTCGGGCTAGCCGTACCTCAACACCCTTCAGCGTGTCAGAGTCGATTGACTTGCCGACGCCTGCTCCCAAGAAGAGAAAGCTGGTCCACAAAGAGAAGGAGACAATTCCAGAGGAAGAGCAGGAGATCTTCGCGCCGCATCACAAGGAGCTCCTTGGAGATCTCATTCAGAAGATTCCGGAACGCATGGCCACACGCGAACTCGAGTTGGTTGTTAGCACCCTCCCCCGAGACTCAAAGTTCCAGGAACGCGCACGAACAGAACTCCATTTCAGACAGCGCGCCAAATACGACAGCGAAGAGACGCCTGTTCCAGTCATCGATACCACCAAAGCAGAACACACAATGGTCGGCGACAAGGCTGCATCCCAGTCTGGAGATTTGTCCGTCAAAGCTATCAAGAAAGACACCAAACGCAAGCGACCTAAGTCAAAGAAACAGATCTTTGAGGAGCGCGAAGCAGAAAGGGCCGCGGCAAGAGCCGCTGAAGAGGCTCAGGCTTTGGAAGATGGCAGCCAGATTGAAGACAGAGACGTTGACGCTGACGTTGATGTTGACATCGAAATGGCTGAACCAGTCATCGAAGAAGAGGAAGAGGCTGAAAGACCGCAGGTCGAATGGGCTGTGTCCACTGGCGAGCCACGCAAAACCGTCGAAGATGATGACGATACGTTCTTGGACATTGATGGTTGGAAGCACATTGTCAAAGATGCAGAAGATATGCGGTTCCTTCGTCAAGCTCTGGAAGATTTGCCAGCTGCAGAGGTTGGAGATGTCACGCTATGGGCTTGGAAGCAAAAGGAGATCAAGGCGCTTAACTCGCGTGGACCAGCTGCCGAAGCAAAGATCCAAGGGTACTACGTCCCGAACGCCTCCGGTTGTGCTCGCACTGAAGGAGTCAAGAAGATCTTGGAGTCGGAAAAGTCAAAGTACCTGCCTCACCGCATCCGTGTTCAGAAAGAGCGCGAGGCCCGCGAGGCACAGGCACGAGAGAACCCCAATGCTATTGCTGCCGCCGAAGCAGCAGCTGAAGCCGCAAAGGCAGCCGCAGCCGCCAAAATCGCATCTGTCGCTACATCTCGCAGCAACCGTGCTAATAACCGACGCCTGGTCAATGACATCAACTTGCAAAAGCAGAACCTCACTATTACTGGTGGTGAAGCCGATGCTATCAAGTTCAATGCACTGAAGAAGAGAAAGAAGCATGTCAAGTTTGACAGATCGGCCATCCACGGTTGGGGTCTGTATGCTATGGAGAACATTGCTTCGAACGATCTCATCATCGAGTATGTCGGCGAAAAAGTACGCCAAAAGGTTGCGGACCTTCGCGAAATCAAATACGACAAGCAGGGCATTGGAAGCAGTTACCTCTTCCGCATGGCAGACGACGAAATCATCGACGCCACGAAGAAGGGTGGTATTGCGCGTTTCATCAACCACAGTTGTACACCCAACTGCACGGCCAAGATCATCAAAGTCGATGGCACCAGGAGAATCGTCATCTATGCACTCAAGGACATTACGAAAAGTGAGTTCAAGAAGAACTTCAATCGAAAAGCATTGCTAACTTAGAAACAGATGACGAGCTCACATACGATTACAAGTTCGAGCGCGAGTACGGCAGCGACGATCGCATTCCTTGTCTTTGCGGTTCCGTGGGATGTAAAGGTTTCCTGAACTAAGGTTCAATTAAAAAGGAAAGCTCTGTTGTATATTACGTGAGGGAAGGAAAGAGCATGCATGGTTGGCGTACCAGGAAGGAACACAAAAAACGGAGGAAGGGTTTCTTTCTTTCAGGTTTGCATGGATTGTGGTTCTCAGACGTCGGTTGAATTGTACGATACCTTAACAAAGAGATGCCTTGCAAGCTGTCCTGGCTGGTTGGCGCAGGACAGCAGGGCAAGTTGTACTGCACGATTGAGATGAATTGTCCAACAACCTTGATGGAGACTTGGACAACGTGACGTAAAGTGACTTAGCCGAGCTGACAAACGTCCCCTGGGTAGAAGACGATGAGTCAGGTAAGCAGCAAGCAACAAGCAACAAGCTTGTTGTATGCGCAATGCGACAGTGGGTCTGTAGGGCTATTTACTGACTCGAGGTCAAAGTATTGCTCGTATCTTGCAAGTTATTGTATCTAGTTCCAAGGTAAGAGCCGAGCATGGACCAAGTGGAAGTGGGTTGGCTTTCTGGGGACGGCGACGTGGGTTCTTGGCGCGGCCGGCATATGATCGAAGACACGTTTCGATATCAAGGAAACTTCTGGATCTCTTGGATCAAGGTACAATAAGACTAGGAAGGGACGTGGGAAGTAACATCTTCCTTTTCTCGACCCAGTTTGCATTGCTCCAGAGTCGCCAACATGGACAACGCCTATGTACAATCGACATCTGCCGTGCTGAAGCACTTTGATGTGCAGGAAGCCTCCGGTCTCGACAAGACTTCCGTGACTGCATCCAGACAGAAGCATGGTCGCAATGGTATGCTCCTACTGCGACTCTCTACGAGTACTCTGAGCATCCACTAACTCTGTTACCAGCTCTCCCTGAAGACCCACCAACACCGCTATGGGAACTCATTCTAGAACAATTCAAGGACCAGCTGGTCATCATCCTTCTTGCCTCTGCTGCCGTATCCTTTGTTCTCGCTCTTTTCGAAGACAGCGACGACTGGACTGTCTTCGTTGACCCTGTCGTAGTATGTTCTGTCTCGCGCCCTCGTCTCCGGAGCAGCTTCTAACCAAGACTCGCCAGATCCTCACTATCCTCATCCTCAACGCTGTCGTTGGTGTGTCGCAAGAGTCGTCAGCTGAAAAGGCAATCGCTGCACTTCAAGAGTATTCGGCCAACGAGGCAAAGGTCGTTCGCAATGGCAAGGTTCAGCGCATCAAGGCAGACGAGTTGGTTCCTGGAGATGTTGTCAAGGTTGCTGTAGGCGATCGCGTACCTGCCGATTGCAGAGTCCTGTCTATCCACAGCAACAGCTTCCGTGTTGACCAGAGTATTCTGACTGGAGAAAGCGAAAGTGTCGGCAAGGGTACAGAGGCCATCAAGGATGCAAATGCTGTCAAGCAGGACCAGATCAACATGCTCTTCTCAGGCACCACAGTTGTTACTGGAAATGCCACCGCTATCGTTGTCCTTACTGGTTCGAACACTGCCATTGGCGACATCCACGAGAACATCACCTCCCAAATTTCGCAGCCCACTCCTCTCAAGGAAAAGCTCAACGATTTCGGAGACACTCTGGCCAAGGTTATTACTGTCATCTGTATTCTGGTCTGGCTCATCAACATTCCCCACTTCAACGACCCTGCCCATGGCTCTCTTACCAAGGGTGCAATCTACTACTTGAAGGTAAGCCACTATGATCCATGAGTTCTCCAAGAACTTGACTGACCACTGATTCAGATTGCTGTATCGCTCGGTGTTGCTGCCATTCCCGAAGGTCTCGCTGTTGTTATTACTACCTGTCTCGCGCTCGGCACCCGCAAGATGGCCGCTAAGAACGCCGTGGTTCGCAGTCTTCCCTCGGTTGAGACTCTCGGTAGCTGCAGCGTCATCTGCTCAGACAAGACCGGAACTCTTACCACCAACCAAATGAGCGTCAACAAGGTTGTTTTCATTAACCAGCAAGGATCTGGTCTCGAGGAACTCACTGTTGAGGGAACAAGCTTCGCCCCTGAGGGCGCAATCACCACTTCGACCGGAGAGACTCTTGACAACCCAGCCGTTTCGTCCTCGACCATTGCACAGATTGCCGAAGTCGCCGCTCTTTGTAACGATGCACGTCTTTCCTACGACAGCGAGAAGGACGTCTACAACAATGTTGGTGAAGCCACCGAAGGTGCTCTGAGAGTCCTTGCCGAGAAGATCGGCACCAGAGACGCATCTGTCAACTCCGCAAGATCTACTCTCGCCCCGGAAGAAAGAATCCACCACGCTAGCAAGCACTGGGAAACCAGCACTCCTCGTTTGGCCACCTTTGAATTTGCTCGCGACAGAAAGAGTATGTCTGTTTTGGTCCAGGATGGATCGTCCCAGCGTCTTCTTGTCAAGGGTGCCCCTGAGTCCATCATCGCCAGATGTAGATACGTCTTGGTCGGAACCAAGGGCACCAGAATGGCTCTCACTGACAATGTCTCTGCCTTGCTTTCCAAGGAGGTTGTCGATTATGGTAACCGGGGACTCCGCATCATGGCTCTTGCAAGTGTCGACAACATCACCTCTCCTCTGTTGAAGCAGGCCAAGACCAGCTCCGAATATGCCCAACTCGAACAAAACATGACTTTGATCGGTCTTGTTGGTATGCTCGACCCTCCTCGTCCTGAGGTAGCCGACAGCATCCGCAAGTGCCGTGAGGCTGGTATCCGTGTCGTCGTCATCACTGGTGACAATCAGAATACTGCCGAGACTATCTGTCGCCAGATTGGCGTCTTTGGCACCAACGAAGATCTGACCGGCAAGAGTTTCACTGGTCGCCAATTCGATGATCTCAGCGAGGCCGACCAGCTCAAGGCTGCCAAGAATGCATCTCTCTTCTCCCGTACTGAACCCACTCACAAGTCCAAGTTGGTCGACCTTCTTCAATCTACTGGCGAGGTTGTCGCTATGACTGGTGATGGTGTCAACGACGCTCCTGCCTTGAAGAAGGCCGATATTGGTGTGGCCATGGGCAGTGGTACTGATGTTGCCAAGCTCGCTGCAGACATGGTTCTCGCAGACGACAACTTTGCAACCATCGAAGCTGCTGTTGAAGAAGGCAGAAGCATTTACAACAACACTCAGCAATTCATCCGTTACTTGATCTCGTCCAACATTGGCGAGGTCGTGTCTATCTTCTTGACTGCCGCTATGGGTATGCCCGAGGCTTTGATTCCTGTTCAGCTTCTCTGGGTCAACTTGGTCACTGACGGTCTTCCTGCTACTGCGCTCTCCTTCAACCCTGCTGATCATGATATCATGAAGCGTCTTCCCCGCAAGCGTGACGAAGCTCTCATTGGTGGCTGGCTCTTCTTCAGATACATGGTGATTGGCACATACGTTGGTGTCGCAACTGTTGGTGGTTACGCATGGTACTTTATGTTCAGTGAGGCTGGACCTAAGATCAGCTTCCACGCATTGGTAAGATACATATTCGATCTCGTTTGACAGTATGACTATATGCTAACCTTTTTCCAGACCCACTTCCACTCTTGCAGCATTTTCGAGCACCCAATCGACTGCCTGATGTTCACCGATTACAGATCCAAGACAGCATCAACCATCTCCCTGTCCATTCTCGTCGTCATCGAGATGCTCAACGCCATGAACGCCCTCTCTTCCTCAGAGTCGCTACTCACCCTTCCCCTCTGGAAGAACATGATGCTTGTATACGCCATTTGCCTTTCTATGGCATTGCACTTCGCCCTGCTTTACATTCCGTTCTTGCAAGGTATCTTTGGTATCGTGCCTTTGGGTGCTGAAGAGTGGAAGTTGGTGCTTGCATGGAGTGCACCTATCATCTTGATCGATGAGGCGCTAAAGTTTTTGGAAAGGGCTTTTGTTATGGAGAAGCCAGGTAAGCATATCAAGCCCAAGGCTGAGTAGATGGCGCCGGGTATCGTCATTAGCACTAGAAAGCGTGGTGTTTGGAAAAAAAAAAAGTAGAAGCGTGAGTAGTAAATAGAAATTCAAAACGCGCTTGTCTTAGCTCCTCGTGTACCGGTACTCAAAGGGTCTGTAACTCCCAATTTAATCCTCATCGTACTCCAACTCCAGCAGAGTGGCCAGAGTATTACGCTATAAAAAGGCACGATTGTGTTGGGATACACAGGCATATCCACAGAGATCCAGGCTTCTAGCACATGAGGAGATGATGGACGGCGCAAAAAAAAAAGGAAAAAAAAAAGACAACATTCAAAATATCCGGATATCCTAGGTCTTCATGAACTCTTTGAACCAGCAAAAAACTCCCACACCAAACCCCTTCCTCAAACACCCTCGAGCAATACCCATCCAAAGAACGAAACAGAAAAGAACAAAAAAAGCATCCCAAAAACATCAGATCATCCTATTGACAATACGAGAAAAGACCTCCAAGAACCACAAGTGGAGTAAAAGAACCAACCCATCTCTTTACTTCAAATCCCCAGGCGTAAGCACCTGAACCACCGACGTACCATCCGAAAACCTCGTCTTGAAAATCTTGTTGGCGTTTTGGAACATTCCATCCTTCAAACTAACAACAATAAACTGACTGCCCTTAAACCTCGTCTTGATTAAGCGTCCAATATTCTGTGTGTGTGAGAGATCCAACGCGGCATCCACTTCATCAAGGATATACATTGGAGCAGGTGAGTACTGCAACAGGGCGAGGATAAGCGATAATGCGATGAGGGAGCGTTGGCCGCCGGAAAGTTCGGTGAGGGATTGTTTCCACACTTTGCCTAGACAGACTTTCACCTCCAAGCCTTTGGAGATGTCGCCGCTGTCTTCTGGTGGGTCGAGTTTTGCTGTGTTGCCGCCTGGGAGGAGCTCGTTGAAGATGTTGCCAAAGTCGACGTTGACTTTGCTCCATGTCTTGTGTAGGGCTTCTTTCTTGTACTCGTCTAGTTGGGCGATGGTTTCTTCGATCTTTTTCTTGTCGCGGATGACGGTGCGCATCATGTTCTTCAAAGATGCTTCCTTCTTCTCGACACTGTCGATCATGTTCATGACCTTGGGGTTGATCTTCTTCTTCATGCCTTGGAAGCGTTCGCTTAGGCCAGCAAGCGAGCGCTTACTCTCTGCCATGTTCATACCATTGAAGTCGTAGGGTGTGTTGGGTCGGCCGAAAGAGTCGACTTCGTCAGCAATCCATTCGTGTTCCTTCTCCATGGTTTGTAGCGTTTGGTTGGCGGCTTGCTGTTGCTTTGCAAAGTTCTCAATCTGGTGACCAAGCTTCTGTGCCTCAAGCGCTTCCTCCGTTATTTGTGCTGATTTGGATCGTGAGGCAGCTTCGAGATCGGCGAGCTCGGTGTCGTAACCAGACAGTTTCTTTCGCTCGTCATCTAATTGTGCTTGAGCATAGTCGTGTGCGTTCTTGACGGCTTGTCCCTCAGTCATCAGTGACTTCAGCTCCTCTTGTTGAGTCTTGAGATTAACTTCTGCACCCTGGAACTGCTCTTGGGCGGCTGCGAGGTCACTGCCACATTGCTCTGCCTCGAGCATGGCATCTCTCACTTCTTGCTGTAATGGCCTGATAGAAGCAGAGTTCTTGCTGAGTGACTTCTTGAGCTTGTCGAGCGCTGTCTGTAATTCGACAAGCTTGCTGTCCTTGTTATTGTTGAAGTCACGCATATCCTTTTCGATGCGTTTGACCTCTTTGGCTGCTTCGTCCTGACGTGCTTTGGCTTCGACAATGCTCTGCTTGAGCTCAACAATGCCAGCCCTGGTGTCTGCAATGGCTTGAATGATCTGTGCACCCATGTCAGTCCAGAATCAAGGATCGTTACTCATACGACGACATACTGAGGACGACGAGTTGCCGTTGATTTGCTGCTCAGCAAGCGATATTTCATGGCTCTTCAGATCGAATTGTTGCTTGAATGTCCTTGCAGCGTCAAGTTTCTGCTTCTCTTGCGCCATGATGGACTGTAGTTGATGCAGAGCTGCCTGTCTTGAGTCGAGCTCTCGTGTGATCTCGTTCAGTTGCTGAAGAGTGACCAGCACACCGCTTGTCTTCGGTGAGCTACCACCAGACAAAGTACCAGAAGGATCGTAGACATCACCCTCCAATGTGACACTCTTCATGCGTACAGCAGGATCGAAGGTGACCTTTTTAGCAGTTGCAGCATCCTCACAAATGAGTGTGTTTCCGAACACGTACTCCATTGCGGCGTTGACCTCTTCCTCGTATCCAATGAGGTTGAGCGCAAGGTCGCATTTGTTATTTGACATGTTTCTGGCAGCACCAATTTTCTGCGACCAATTAGCATCGTCTTCTCCCAAGTAGCACGCAGTTCAGACTTACCTCAGAAGCAGCGCGGAAAGCAGAGATTTTGTTCAATGGAATGATTGTTACTCGCTTCTTCAACTTGCCGTTTTGGAGCAGTTGCGTACCAGTTTGAGTGGTGTCAACTACAACATTGTATAGACGACCTCCGGCGCAGATTTCGAGAGCTGTGCCTGCCTGTGTGAAGTTCTTGTCAAGATTGAACAGCTGTGCTACCAAACCCTTCACCTTCGAACGATCGAAATTAGGTGTTGGATCGCTGTAGCTGAAGTCAATGTTTGCTACTCGCCTCTTGAGGCCTTCGGCCTGCTCTTTCAGTTCACGGATACGTTGTTGCAGCTGAGATTGTTCCTTGTGCATAGCCTCTTCACGGCCAGGCTCGTAGCCGACTTTTGCGAGCTGAGCCTCCAGCTCCTTTGCCTGGGAGCGAAGGCCATCGAGAGATTTCAACAGGCCAGCGTTCTCCTTTTCTGCCTTCTTAGCACGAGGCTCGTCTTCCTTCAAGCGTTTTTCCAGATGCGAAATCTTGAGTTTTGCTTGTTCTTGTTCGGTCGCCGCGGCACTGAGTCGGTTGCGGGCATCTTGAAGTTGACCTTGGTAACCGCCTTCCTGACCTTCCTTGGATGCAACACCTGTTTGTAATGTCTGGAGAAGTTCCTCCTTTTGCTCAACCTCGGCTGTTTGCTTCTGAAGCTCTGCATTGGCTGCATCGTAACGTTCCTGGAGTTGCTTGTGCAGGTGGGACTTTTGTTCCAGTTGTTTGCTCAATTCTTGCACGGTCGCCTGGCTTTTTGCGCGGTTTTCGCTCTCCTCGGCCATGCTTGACTTCTTGAGGTCCAAGACTGTGGTCAACCTAACCAGCTCGTGGGAGTGTTCCTTGACCTTGTCCTCCAGGGCTTGGAATTTACCACCCTTCCTCAACTCCTTGTCCCTTGCGGCTTTGACCTTGTCCATATCTTCTTGCAGGAAGGCGATTTCATTCTTCAGCTTCTCGGCGTTGCTCTCGAGGAACATGGCTCTTTGTCTCTTGTCGTTAAGATCCTTTTCGCTCATGCGAAGCTTCTCCTTGCTCTTGAGGTAGTCGTATGCCACAACAAGTCGTGTCAGGCGCTCCAGGTCATTTTGCGTCTGCTGGAAGTCAAGGAAGGCTCGTTTTTCTTGTCGCAACTTGTCCAGCTTGGGCTCAATTTCGTCACGCAGAAGCTCCATAATCTCCTGAACCTTCATTTCTTTCTTTGCCATGGTACGGAAAGCCTTGTCTCTGCGATCCTCGAACATGCGTGTTCCTGCAGCCTCCTCGACCATTCCTAGAATTTCCTCCTTCTTCATGTTCAAGACTTTGGTGATGCGACCCTGCATGATCAAGAAATTGGGATTGTTGATGTTGAGTTGGACGGACTGGAACAGGTTCTGCACGGTGGTTTGCTGAGCGCGGTGGCCATTGATCAGGTACTTGGAAGTGCCACCGAGGACGATTTGGCGAGTGACGGAGATGGTAGGGTAGTCTTCGAAACCGATGGGCGACTTTGCCTTGTCCTTGTTGTCGAAGACGATGGTCACTGAGGCTTTTGTAACACCGGCCTGACCGCGCTTGTAGATGAGGTCCTGCAGGTTTTGGGCGCGAACGGTCGTCATGTTGGTGATACCGAGAACGAAGCATATTGAATCGAGGATATTGGACTTGCCACTACCGTTCAGACCGGTGATGGAGTTGAAGCTCTCGTCCCTTTGCGCAAGTCAGTTGTCTGTCAATTTGGAAAGCGCACTTGGAGACGCACCAGCCCGAGATGACGGTGCGTACGGCATATGACTTGAAGCCGTCGATGATGACTTCGATCACCCTCATCTTGTCGTTGCTGGCGCTGGGCCACTGCGTGTGTTAGTTGTGGTCGTCAAGAGTGTTTTCTGCGACGGGCTTCCAGTTGTTTACGATGACTTTGTTTACCACCGACGCCCGACGGGCAGCTGCAGCCGACCGAACCCCTCCCGAAGCTTCATCACATGTCAAACATGCAAATAATTCGAGGGAAAAAAAAAACAAATATAGCATTCGCGCTGGCGACTGTCTAATCAATTGTGATCCATTACTCCTCAGCGACCAGGTTCTGTCCCTCACGTAGACCCTCAACCACCAACTCGTGACCCTCTGCTCTGCGGTAGATGTCGCGAATATCGTCTGCGCAGTCATGTCAGTATACTCGCAACTCATCAACACTGGTTTTCTTGTCTGACCTGTGGTGGTCTCGAAGTGACTGGTTGCGTCGTAGCTTCTCGAGATGAAGATGTTGTCGTTCTCTCCGCTCTCAAGAGGCTCGTAAATGGGGATGGGAGGTCCCATGAACTTCTCCTCGATCTTGCCGAGACGATCGAATCCAGCCTGCAGCTCAAGGTGGTGGTTGCTGTCACCCTCGGCAATAGTCGAGACAATGGCAATGTAGTAGCCCTTGGGAGCTACATTGTGTGCCCATGAGACCATGGCAACGTACACGTCTGTTACTTGTCAGCTCTATAATTGGCTTACTACAGTTTTCTCATCAACTTACCGTGCTTTCTTCCAATCTGCGATTGAGGGATGATAAGCTGAACAGAGTCTGAGTTGTCGGTCTTGTCGATGGGGTGGTTCAGAATGCAAATAGCCTTCAACAAGTGACCGACAGGCTTGACCTTTTGAGGGAAGTACGAGGGGTCTGCCAGGATCTTGCTGCACTTTGTTGTGAAGGTCATGCCCTCACCCTCAGCATCGCGCTCCTTCATAGTGGCCTTGATACCAACAGCCTTGCCATTCTCGTAAAGCACCTCGTCGACATCAGTGTTGAGCATGTAGGTACCGCCGTAGATGGCACTGAGACGAGCGAAGCCCTGAGGAAGTTCGCCCAGACCGTACAGAGGGTAGATGTAGGGTGACTTTCCGTATCTGGCCATCGAGTTGACGTAGAGTCTGATACGCTCAATGGCGTCCTTGGCAGCGCCCTTCTGGTTGATGTATTCATCGGTTGTGTACAGGGCCATGCTGTGACCGATGAAATCTCTTGTTGATGCCTCCAAACCAAACTTGTCGTAAACCTCCTTCATGGTAGACTGGTTCAGGTTCATGCCTATTCCATTGTCAGCCTATACTCCATCCATTCGGCCAGACATGCTGTGACGCACCATTGTGAGTGGCGGGGTCCTCCTCCTTGTATGCGCCAACGAACTCCAGGAACTTCTTTGCTCTTCTCTTCTCAAAAAGACCCATCAGGGGACTGCGGAGAGCCTCGGCGGCATCCGAGGGAACCTTTGCGACGTTGGCCTTGCTTCCGGCGCCAGTCTGGACGTAACTGCCAGCGATCTGCTTAAATTCGAGGTATCTGGTAACATCGGTCGAGACAAGAATGTTGGTGAGTTCTCCGTTGGACATGAGGAGCTTAGGAACAAGGTCGATGTTCCAGTCGTTGGGGCGACCGTACTTCTTCCATGGCTCGCTGCCGTTGTCGTTGCCGTACTTCTTGAAGAGCTGCGAAGAAAGAGTAAGCCAAGTGTGGTAAGGGATGGTCGAGGGAATCATACGGCTTCGATGTTGATGGATGCAGCCTCACTGCGCGACGATTAGTGTGGTGTATCTTGAGGTAGAGGTGGAGGGGTACGCACCCGCCGTAGTGGTCGTTGCGGTCGATATGCAGGACCTTCTTGCCCTTGACACTCAGCACACTGTCGGCTGATCAGCTTCTCTCCCAACAACGTGCTGCTTATGACTTCTCACCCAGAGAGCACACATTCGGTAAGACCTTCATGGCCATGGTTAGCTCTGTTGACCGCTATGGGACGAGTGCGGGGTTATCATACCTGTGCCAAGCACAACGACATCGTACTCGGGGGCGATGTCCTCCATGATTGTGTATGAGACAGGGTATCAAAGACTACAGTGTTTGGGGAAAAGAAACAAGACAGTGGGGTGGTAAATGGTGGTAGAAAGTTGTCTGGAAGAGAGCGAGGCGGGAAGCTCGTCTAGTGACGTTGGTTTGTTTCGAGAGATTAACAGGGGCTTGGCCAAAGCCTCCGCCTGCAATAAACTACTGCCATTTATTTGACCATTATATTGCCTTTTGAGTTTCCTTCATTTTCCTTCTAATTTTGTTGTACAAATTGTCATGATACACTTGGTTGGGTTATGCTACAGGGGGTTGGTTCTACACCCGCGTCTCTTGCTGTGCCTTGGTCTGCTCAGGCACGACTTGTGATTGAGCATCTGGTAGAGACTGTTGCTCGGCCTGCTGTGTTGATTGAGGCTCTTCGTATTCCTGCATAAAGAAAATCAGTCGGTATCACTAGAATTGCATGTCGCACAACGTACCATGAATTCGATCTGCTCGGGCGTGTACGATGGCTCGCCTTCAGCAGGGAATAGGTTGACACTGGGGTCAGACTCGGCAAGCATGCGAGCATCTTCCCAAGCGTACCAGCGCTCAGTGAGAACGTGCTTGATTGCCCTTTGGGTGAGTTTGACCTTTAAGGAGTCAGAAAGCTTGCCCTTCTTTATGGACGCAATCCACCTACCTGGTATTCTCTTTGTTCAGACTCGTAATCACCATAACCTGGCTTTGCCTTCTTTCTTGCATATCTTTCGGTCGCAAGCCTGTTCCTTTCCCGGACACAGACCCACCACAACTTGTGCAAATCCTCAAAGTCCTTCGCTCTCAGCTCAACGATAGTCCATGCTCGGCCGTGGCTGCTGTCATAATCGGGGGTTGCAAAAGGGTATCTGTCGCGATTGAAGAAGCCCCATAGGCCGTGATCGGGGTCTACATCGACTTGGGAACGCTGTTTGCTGTCGGTGACGGGCTTGGGCAGGTCCTCGGGCTTTACAGAAAGGGTCTGGCGAGGGCGGAGACCAGTGCGACGAAGGGCAGATACACCTCTGTTCCTGTTGCCGTCACGACGAGCAGATGCCGGGCTTGTGGTCGAGAATGAAGAAGTGAAGAGAGACGGGAGGAGGAAAGGCGGCGGTAGGGTGGATTGGCGAATTTGCAAGCCCTGTGAGAAGAGTCTGCTTGGAACAGACATTGTGAAGATGTGTGGAGGGCGGTTATGGCAGACCGAGGGCTTGACGACGAGTATAGGCCCTTGTCGCGAATGCAGGCGATGAATTAACATTTCCAGCCAGCGCTCTGCACGCCAAGTCTGCGGTCTGGTGGCCCTTGCACTCTCCTCCGCCGACTGCCCATCCAGCTCCACGTCGTCCGTCTTAAGGTCAATGATACTTGAATCACATCTGTAGCTTCCGATATCGATGGAGACGACTACTGTTTGCATGTGAGAGCAATGTAAATTGTCAATGATGTTTATCTCTAGCATTCGATATTCATGAATTGTCATTTTCCATGTCTCATGGAGATAGATCAAGCAAACAAGAGGACCGAGACACGGAAAGACAAGAGGTCACAGCTCTCGAAGAACGGCATATAGATACAAGGCAACAAGGCAAACATAAATAGACATGCAGTACTGGTATCCGCGCAAGAAGACAACTTGGAAGTACAAGATTGACTCTGATGTTTGCGCAGCACATGGCCCTGAAGCGTAAAGGCCGCTTGCAACCAACCACATGCGGACAGCAGTGGGGTTCGCAGCTGCCGCCGCGAGCCTCCTCCTCACTCGCAGTCCTTTGCTCATCCTCCCCTTCCATCTTGTCTCGCCATAACCCTCTCGCCTCGCTCCAACTTGTGTGCGCCTCGTTCCTCTCAGTCGCCCCTTCTCTCCTCACCCCTCCTCCTTCCTCGTACGTCAACTCTCCATCATCCACCTTCTTGATTGCGCTTGCTAATCGAGTACAAACACAGTCGCACCTCCTCACGAGGCCGCCTTCTCCCACATCTCGACCTTCCCGTCACCAACCTCACAAATACCCATCACCCCACGTCTTGTCTTCGAATCGCCTAGCTCCTCGTGACTCGTCATTCATCGCTCGACCTCTATATCAACATGTCAGACGAACAGCACATCGATGCCGCCCTCGACGGTCTCCACCTCGAGAACAACGAAGATGCCCCTCCTCGCACCGATGACGAATACGCCCTCGCTCAGCTTACTCTGAGAGCTATCGTCTCCTCTAAGGAAGCAGGCGTCATCATTGGAAAAGCTGGCCAGAACGTCGCCGAGCTCCGCGACAAGACCGGTGTCCGCGCCGGCGTCAGCAAGGTCGTCCCTGGTGTTCACGACCGTGTCTTGACCGTCCTCGGCCCCTTGGATGCCGTCGCTTCTGCCTACGGTCACGTAGCCGATGGCTTGCTCAAGGGCGTTCCTCAGCTCGGCATGGGCGGTGTCGCTTCTAACCCCAACACCCACCGTACGTCGCATCACTTCTGCTCCAAATCTTCGACTAACCCCTGTCTAGCTGTCCGTCTTCTCATCTCGCACAACCAAATGGGCACCATCATCGGTCGCCAAGGTCTCAAGATCAAACAAATCCAGGACGCTTCTGGAGTTCGTATGGTCGCCCAAAAGGAAATGCTTCCCCAGTCAACCGAGCGCATTGTTGAGATCCAAGGTACCCCTGATGGCATCCAGAAGGCTGTTTGGGAGATTGGCAAGTGCCTGGTCGACGACGAACAGCGTGGCTACGGTACTATTCTTTACAACCCTGCCGTCAGAGTTGCTGGTGGTGCTGGTGGCGCCCCTGCCAGCAACGGCTCTTCCTACCCCTCTGGCCGCTCCTACAACCGCACCGGCAACGGTACCGACTTCAGCGATGCTCCTGCCGCCTACACACGCCGCGACTCTGCTCCCCGCGCTGCCGCACCTATCGCTGCCGAAGACGATGAGGACATCCAAACCCAGAACATCAGCATCCCTGCTGACATGGTTGGTTGCATCATTGGTCGTGGAGGCAGCAAGATCTCCGAGATCCGCAAAAGCTCTGGCGCTCGTATCTCAATTGCCAAGGCCCCCCACGACGAGTCTGGCGAGAGGATGTTCACTATTACTGGATCCTCAAGTGCCAACGAGAAGGCCCTCTACCTGCTTTACGAGAACCTTGAAGCCGAGAAGATGAGAAGAAGCCAGATGCCTCCTCAGGATGCTTAGTTCGCCCATGTATCGGCACCTGCGCATGCTTGATTTATTCTCTTTGGGGATGCGCTGCCTTGTGTCTTTCCAGAAAAGTTTCTTTTCGGTCACATCACCTTGCGCCTCTGTCCTCTTATCACCCATGGTTGCTCGCCACGACAACTAATATCTCAATTCTCGCTACTCTTTCTTGCCTTTCTTAACCCCGACATCCCTTGTACGTGGCCGCTTCTTCCTTCTCTCGAGGGTGCACCAGTCACTGCCTCATCCGATGACGATTTGACGAAACTCGCGTTTTCTTCTTTTGACTGCAACCACACAAGCATTTCTGTCTTGCCTGACCGACCCAAAGCCTTTTTGCCTCATCAGATGGAAACATCGCATGAGGCCCAGAGAGTTCGGGGGATGGTCTGGGTGTACTAGGGATGTTCTTGTTTCTTTTTCATTACCCCTTTATTCTGCATGCGGAGGCGATTGCTTCGATTATAGCTCGATACCATTTCTATAGTTTCATGTAGAAAAAAGTCATTCCCCGAAGAGGGAAAAGTGCTACATTCATCTTATACTGAAGCGGCGTTTCGGTGACGTTGATTGTGATGTAGGTGTAGAAATGTACAAAATCTCAAGCGATAGCCCGCCCTTCCTAACACTTTTGAACTCGCTTTCCTGATGGTCGCTTCACCAATTTCGGATCTTCCAGTCTACCACACCACCACCTTACTCAACATTAAAGTTCACGAATGTGATTGTCATGATCCCTGTCCAGATATACCGATTAGATAGGTGTCGCAATTCGGTTTTGGCGAATATAGTGGTTTCGAGGTATCTGATAATGGTATCACCCTGTTCATACAAATTCAGCCCCTCCCCAGCGTTGCCCGCTCATTAGTACCATGATTCGTTCAAGACGAATGATATGAGTGTAATTCAACAAAATCAATGGATTCTTCATGATGATTCACACCTCTTTCTGCGTCATCGGACGAATGAAAACACACATCCAAGGCACCAGACTGAAACACATCCTGTGGTATCGCAAAACACTTTGATACAGAAATGAATCAACATACAATGTACAAAAACAACATCAAAACTAATTAATTCTCTATTCTAGTCCAGGACACGACCAGCAGTCGCCGAAGTACTCCTATCCTTGGTAACCGTCTTCTTCAGTCCCTTGCCAAGCTGAATCTCTCCCAAAAGGCCAGAGATGTTAGGTCTGGCACCACCACCAGCTGCAGGAGCCGAAGGCATAGGGGGAGGTGGGGGTGCACCGCCAGCAGGCATAGGAGGTGGTGGAGGGGCACCGCCTGTAGGCATTGGGGGAGGAGGAGGTGCGCCAGTCGAGGGCATTGGCGGTGGTGGTGGGGGAGCAGGTGGCACAACGCCGCCTTCGGGCATGGGTGGTGGAGCAGGCACGTCGGGTGTTGGTGGAGGAAGCGGTGGCAAGGTTGCCGGAGGCGCGGGTGAGGCAGAAGCAGGCGAGCTGCTCTCCATGGCTGATAGTGGGCGTGGTGGTGCCATAGTGCCGAAGAGCATTGAGGCAAGTTGTTTGGCGCTGCCACCAGTAGGGCCGTCGTCGTCCTCGTCGTCAGAGGACTCGGAATTGACAACAGACCAGTCATCGTCATCTGCTGGCTTGACTGTGCGACGGGCCGATGGCGCAGAGGGCTCAGGCAAGGCAGTCTTGTTGGTATCCTGCTGAGTAAAACGGTGGAAGGGGTTGGTGTCAGCGGCAGCAGGTGGTGCGATGGGCGCAGAAGGAGCCGCAGGCTGGTTCATGCTTCTGAAGAACGGATTCTTCGATTCCTCTGGGGGACTAATGACCGTAGCGGGCACTGGTGGAGGGGCAGGAGCGCTTGGAGGTGCAGGTACAGCTTCGACTGGAGGTGCGGGAGACACTTCCCTTGGCAGCTCCTGGCTAGCAGCGGGTGTGCTTTCCATGGGAGTAATGGTCTGAGGTCCATCGTCATCGTCCGAGCTGTCGTCGTTCATGCTCTCAAGCTGCAGTTGTAGCTGTCGCTCTCTTTCTCTAGCAGCTTCAATTTCAGCACGTTGAGCCGCAAGACGGGCCTCCTTCTCTTCGGCCTCCTTGGAAGCTGCTTGTCTTCTCTTCTTCTCCTCTGCCTTCTTGAGTTTGCCCTGGCGGACTTGCTCTTCGAGTGCACGAAGACGTTCAGCAGCAGCCTCACGCTCTTTGCGGAGCTCTTCTTCTTGACGACGCTCCTCATTCTCAAGTTCCTTGGTCTCCGATGCTTGCGCTTCTTGTTGCTCTTTGATGGCCTGTTCCATTTGATGCTGCTCGAATCTTTGAGCTTCAGCCTTGGCTTGTTGCTCTTCTTGCTTGCCAACAGAGTCGCCGCGGTTCTTGCGAGGCGCGGGAGCGGGAGGAGCCTTCTTTCCAAGAGACTTCTCAGGAGTAGGAGGTGCAATGCTTTCTCCAGCCAGTCTCTGCTGTCTCTCCTCTTCTCTGCGAGCATCTTCCTGTTCAGCCTGGCGCAAGCGATCTTCACGTTCCTTACGCTCACGCTCCTGGCGCTGCTGTGTAGACTCAGCAGGCTTAGTGGGAGCCCTCAAGCCCAATGCAGCAAGACGTTCAGCCATGCGTTGCTCAGCTTGCTGCTTGATGAAGGCGGCACGATCCTCTGCAGTTTTGTAAGTGTTGTAAGACCCTCCACGAGGTGTCTCGCTTCTAGGCGCGGGGCTCTCGACACGAGCGCTACCACCACGGCTGACCTCCTCAGCGCGTGGTGAAGCGACACGATCATGAGTGCTAGGAGTCCTGTGGAAGGTTAGAATAGCTAACAAAAGCACGAATCTAGCAACTCACTCGTCCTTTCTAATGCGAGCAGTTCTGCTGCTTCTTTGCATATCGTAGATGAAATCCTTCACCTCATCTTCAACACCAAGACCGTCTTCCCATCTTCTTCTCTCATGCTCGGTCGCAGCGTCTTCGACACCTTCTTTCAGACTGGCCTCGATAGTTCTGCTGAATTCAGTGACGGAGTCTTCAACGTCGCGCACCATCCTCTCGTTCTCCTCTCTTTCAAGGCGGACACGGTTACTCTCATCTTCCAATCTCTTGGCAGCGCCGGCGCCATCATCACCTGAAGCACCAGCAGGAGCAGGCTTGCCTGTGAGCGCGGCAGAACGAGCTTGCATCATTGCCCTGGCTCTTGCCTTGAGACGATCAGACTCAGTCACAGCTCCTCCAGGTCCAGTGCCGACAATGGCAGGAGCTGAGCTGGGGTTAGCCTTGGCATCCTTGAGACGGAACAGTTCTAGTTGAGCATCTGCAATGGCCCTCTCGCAGCGTCGCACGTGAGAAGCCAGCTCAGGCAGGCGATCGGACAGGGTTTGAAGCTGTCTCTTGAGCGCTCTACGTTCAGCGTCTGAGTCGGTGGTGCGGAATCCAGAATTTGGGTGTCCATCGATATCCTCCTGAATGCGACGAATGCGTCTGTAGAGCTCATCTGCTTCCTTGCGGTCCTTGCGATCAAGAGCATCTTCCTCATCGGCTCTGCCCTCGTCCTCAAAGTCCATAGCATCAAGGAGAACCTGTTTCTCACGGATGGCCTTCTTCAACTGATCAACCGACATCTCTTCTGCAGGCTTCTCCTGAGCAGGAGAGGCAGTACGGCCAGGATCGCCTGCGCGACGACGAGCAGCCGAGCGGTAGCCAACGTCCTCATCGTTGTTCTTATAAACGGTAGCATCCTTGCGAGGTCCGGCAATGCTTGCACCTGCGCCTGCGAAAGAGTGGTTCTTGAGGTAGCTGACACCGGTCTTCTGAGGCTGCAAGAATGCACCAGTGCTTCTTCTCGATTGTGCATCGTTTGAGAGATGCGACTTCATGGTTCCAATGGCATCGTTGATGTTCCTAGTAGAAGGAGGCACAAGCTCAGCAGGAAGCTTGGCTGGTACGGGATAACCGTTCAATCTGCGGTAGATCAAATGCATGGCTACAGCGAATTCGTCAAGATTAAGCTTGCCTCTGTTGTGAGGGTCTGACAGGGTCCAAATGCGCTCGAGGTCGTCCTTCTCAAGACCACTCTGGCCGAAGATCTCGATAGCTGTGGCGCCACTGATTGCGCCCTTGCTCAAGCCATCCCAAGCCTTGAACATGTCATCGTAGATCTTCTTCTCATCCTTGGTGATGGCCCAAGGGACTGTGGCGTTACCACGCAGACCAGCAGTGCTGAAACCAGTCTCGCGACCAGGTTGAGGCATCATTTGTTGTTGGAGAGCCTGGAGGTTGGGCAATCCAGAGGCGGGGGCGTTGACAAGACCCCACTGACCAGGACGACCAGTAGGCTGAGCGTTCAAAGGCGCAATGGGGAAACCGGTGGGCTGTGGCGACAATCCTTGAGCGAAGCCTGTCGGCATGGGAGGCATAGGAGGACGAGGACCATTGTATCCCGTAGCTTGAGATTGGAAGCCAGTCTGTTGGGGCTGAAGGCCAGTAGGCTGAGGCTGGAAGGGCTGCGACTGGAACCCGGTGGGTTGAGGCTGGAAGCCTGTAGGCTGGGGAGCCAGTTGCGACAGAAGCTGGCTGTTGGAAGCTTGAGGTTGAGGTGCCTGAATGGAGGGGACATCAGGGAAGCTGGGTGCATTGCTTGCAGGCTGCGAGGAGGGCTGTGCATCGGCAACACCGAATGAGATGATGTCGACCATGCTAGAAACCTCATTCAAAACTCTTTCAGGAAGCTGTGGAGGCAGGTCCTTTCCGGTGAGCTTCAAGTTGCACAGGTACATGGCCAAGGCGAACTCGGGGAAGAGCAATTGACCAGACTTTGTGGTGTCCGAGAGCATCCAGATCTGGGACAAGGCGTCGCCTGGAAGTTTTGAACGAAGGAGAAGGTCCTTGGCCTTGTCGCCGGAGAGAGCCTGCTCATTGCCAACGGCAGACTTGAAGAGTTGCTCGAACTTGGACTGGTCCTGGGCGGTGATGAAGGACAGACGGATGTTCGGGATCTTGGAGGATTGGGACGATGACTGGGTAGGTTGGGTCTGCTGACGAGCAGGAGTGGTGCGGAAAGAATCGGCCATCTGCGATGAGGTCATGCTGGTAGGCTGAGGTCGCTGCTGGGGAGCAGCAGTCGGCTGGGGCGATTGGAACTGCTGCTGCGGCGGTTGCTGCTGTTGTTGCTGGGGAGGGTAGCCGGTGTACTGGGGCATGAGACCGCCTTGGAATTGGTTCTGCTGGGGCTGCTGCTGTTGTGGTGGGTAGCCAGTGGCCTGAGGCTGCAGAGACTGTTGCTGCTGTTGCGGTGGGTATCCAGTAGCCTGGGGCTGTAGAGACTGTTGGTGCTGCTGCATGGGAGGCATGCCGGTGTATTGCGGCTGCATGTAACCTGTAGCCTGAGGGCCGAAGCCACTGAAGGACTGCTGGGGTTGCTGGCCATATTGCTGTTGGCCTGGACGGCCCTGGTTGGCACCGCCCAGGTACGAGTTTGAGCCCGAGAACATGGTCGTTGACCGTCGCGTTCAAGAGGAAGTCGCGAACTTGGAAGTCGAGATTGGGCGACGCAACTTCCGGGGCTGCAACTGCCACGAGGAAGGAGCATCCACTTTGGTCCGTGCACGACCGATGTCAAGGCCGACGTCACCGATTGTTCGAGGTCTTGACTTGCATGTGAAGGCCGACCCTGCTCTACAAGCACTCACAACCACCATAATCAACATGCCGCCCAAGCAGAACGGAGAGACAGAGCATGACTTGCAGGATGCCGACTTTGCCAAGGTATCACACTCTTCAGTCAAACAGTGCTCATTTTGGCCTGGCTGAAACGACTCTCTCCAGGCATTCCAGGAACTCAACCGCGGCGAACAAACTGCCACTGCCCTCGAGAACCATCTCTCTGCTCTTGAAGCAAAAATAGACGAGCTTCTCGCTGCCACCGGTCAACAAGACCAGTCCGAATCTTCCACACAACCCAATGGCACAACGCACAACTCCAACCCTCAATCTGGCTCATGATCTGATCACCCGTCCCATCCCAACTCAAGCCACCCAGAGGGACCAGCCTACCAACGATCCGATTCGGGCTACATCTCGTAAATGTCGTCAGGCACATCATCATTCTACAGTACTCAGAGCCAAGTGGCCAGTGCCAGTCTCGTGAAGACGTTATGTATATAGAAAGAGCTCGGTCTATGTCGAATCTGCGCGCATTTTGGGTATCATTTCTCGCCTTTTAAAGGCCTCCAACAGTCGTGGGCTTCACTTCAGATCCAGAAGCCGCAAAGATATCCTCGAAATGGAACACTCCATCTGATCCCTTCTCCACCACTCCCTTCTCAGTCACGACTCCATCAATCAACTCTGCCGGCGTAACGTCGAAAGCAGGGTTCCATACGTCGATGCCGTTGGCAGCAATGCTAACCGTCTCGATCTGCTTCAGATCAAGAGATGCTCCCTTGACGCAGGGTCCCTTGATCATTGTCATCTCCTTGCCTGCTCTCTCTTCAATCACAATGTCTGCTCCAGACTTGGTTTCAAGGTCGATGGTAGTGCGTGGTGCTGCTACCAAGAATTTGACTCCGTGGTGCTTGGCCAGAATCGCCAGCGAGTAGGTACCGATCTTGTTGGCAGTGTCTCCATTAGCGGCGACGCGATCGGCTCCAACCACAATAGCGGCAATGTTCTCAGTAGGTCCTTTGAGACGAAGCAATGCAGCAGCCATCGAGTCTGTCACCAGAGTTGCAGGGATCTTGTCATGTACCAGTTCAAAAGCAGTCAAACGTGATCCTTGGTTGTAAGGTCTGGTTTCACTGCAGAATGCTCTCTTGAGTGATCCTCTAGCGTGAACAGAACGAATAACTCCAAGAGCAGTACCATAACCAGCAGTTGCCAGAGATCTCGGTCAACGTCAGTATCTGAGTGTATATAGATCTTGCGTAGGAAATACTCACCCAGTGTTACAATGAGTCAAGATGCTGACCTGGTCCTTGCCTCCAGCAGCGTTCTTGAGGATCCAGTCAGCACCGTGCTCACCAATGGCCTTGTTATCCGAAACATCGTCAACGAGCATTTGCTCTGCAGCCTTGACATATGCGTCCTTGACAGAGGTACCAGAAGCGTTTTGGGCTTTGGCAGCATCCTGCACGATCTTCTGCAATTTTCTGGCGGCGTCTGCCAAATTCACAGCGGTAGGTCTGCTAGTGACCAGGTACTCAAGCTTCTCCTTGATAAAAAGCTCAACCTCTTCGGCAATGTTTGAAAGTTCGTTCTTTCCAGCGATGAGTTCCAATTCGACGGCCAGACCAAGGGCAGCAACAATGGCAATGGCTGGTGCGCCACGAGTTCTCATCTCCTTGATGGCGTGCCATGCATCCTGGGCAGACTTTACCTCATCGTAAACTTCTGTATGAGGCAACTGAAGCTGGTCCAGGATATCCAGCTCGCCGCGACTGTACTTGATTGCTTCAAGAACCATGGTTATTGCGATTGTTAAGTTATGTGATTTTGTAAAATGGATGAATAGCGTCTGCCGAATTTCTCTGCCCCGCCAGAATGTTGATTTCTGCCCCGCTGAATGTACTTTGACAGGCATTCGTTGCCTTCAAGATGCCATCAAGACCGCATCTAAAGATGGTCCACGATGGTCCCCACTTGAGTCAACCTTACCGCGCGCGTAGTGTCGTCATTACTTTGTAGCTAGCTCCAATATTTGTTGACCCCTCATGCATGGCTGAGAGGCAATGTCTCCTCTACATCGTCTCTTAGCTCTTTCAAACCACTTACTTGGTTCTACTACAAAGCTTCAGAATCGCGCATTCACCATGTCTTCCCAATTCACTCTCCAGACTACCTTGCCTTTGCCAAACTCGTCAGTCAAGATCCCCGCCCTCGGTTTCGGTGTCTACCAGTCGCATGGCCCTACTTGCAAGAAGTCGTGTTTGACTGCTCTCGAGGCTGGCTACCGTCACATTGACAGTGCGCAATACTACGCCAACGAGCAGTTGGTCGGTGATGCTGTCAAGGAGTCCAACGTTGACCGCAAGGACGTCTTCATCACCACCAAGATCCTGTCTCCAGGAAAGGATGAGGAGGAGACATACCAATCGCTCGTCGAGAGTGTGAACAAGATCGACCAAGGCGGCTACGTCGACTTGTTCTTGATCCACAGCCCTAGCTCTGGTCCCGAGGGCAGAAAGACCTTGTGGACTGCTCTTGAGAGACTGTACAAGGAGGGCAAGACCAAGGCTATTGGTGTTAGCAACTTTGGCAAGGGTCAGATTGAAGAGCTGAAGTCGTTTGCCAAGGTCTGGCCGCCACATGTCAACCAGATTGAGGTATGTTGGATCTGAGATATACTATTGGTTCGTAGAATGCTAATATGCCTTCTAGCTGCACCCCTGGAACCAGCAACGTGTAGCTGTCGAGTACTGTCAAGCCAACAACATTGTCGTTGAGGCTTACTGCCCCCTTGTCCGCAACCAGAAGGCCGACGACCCCACGCTGAACTCGCTGGCTGAGAAGTACAAGAAGTCGACTGGTCAGGTCTTGATCCGTTACTGCTTGCAAAAGGGATGGGTAAGTCGACTTGAGATCATATATTGCGCAAGACAAACGGCGATGCTGACACACTTCTCAGGTCCCTCTTCCCAAGAGCGACACCCCCAGCAGAATCAAGGACAACGCCGACATCTACGACTTTGAGATTAGCAAGGAGGACATGAGCAAGCTTGACGATCTAGACCAGGGCGCTGCAGGCGCCATCGTTCAAGCCGTAGACAACTAAAAAACAAAGGCGTCGAACCTGCCAACTCAAGCGAACGGAGGAAAAGGAGATTAATGAGTTCATGCAAGAAATCCGCATGACAGCTGCAGCAATTACATCTGTGCATGTAGGAGCACGCATACACCCTAGAGGCGTTCGCAGCGTTGAGAAAAACAATCCCAAAAGTAAAACTCCTATTTTATCCTGCCCTTCGTGAGGTTTCAGATGCGTCGTTGCGATGGAACTGTCAAGAAAAACGGTCGTTGCGACGCTCCAAAAGTGATGCGATGAGCCGATGCATATATGTACACAAAGAACCTTAAGGCACACGCGTTTACTCGTTTTGTAAATTCATCTTCAAGGGTCAATCTATGCCTCATTAAATATAGATCGGCGCTGATCACATCTCGTACTCTGAGTTTAATGACACCTCAGGTCGGCGTACGGCATCGTGCGCCATATACGAGAAACTCAGCTCCCAAGCCAAGTTCGCCGCAAAAGGTTGTTTGGCTGAGCCTCGTGTAGCTTTGAGCTCAAAGAGTCATAGCACGCATGCTCTGGTGTCACTTGATCTGCTTCTCGTTCGGTCACCCGGTCTGTTATTCTGAGTATACCATAGCAGCTCGATCGAATCGTTCTACGATACCCAATACAATCTGCTTGCTCATCCGGCGCATCCAGAATGGACAACAAACGGCGTCGTGTTTTGAAGCGACTTGTTCCAGGTACTAATTTTGGCGTTTTTGTTCCTGCAAGCCCGCAGCCTCGCCGATAGTTTACAGCTCGACAGGTACCAGCAGTTCCTTGTTTGGTGGGTGCGTTGTGGTGGGGGTGCTGAGAATATCACAATCACCGTTTTGCGCTGCCCTGCCCACGCTTTTTAACTTTGCTGCCACATTGGCTGTCCGCTTCGCTCCGGAGTAAGCACGATGATGGTACAGGACGTTAAGGAAATAAGCCCCAAATCCTTCTTCGTATCGCCCTAGAACGAAAAATAAACTCTGTATTTGAGAGGAAATGGACAAAGGTACAGTAAGGGATCAAAAAGCCACTCGGTCCACTCCCTAAAAGTCTCGTATTCAATCCCCTTGCTTTCAGATAGCAATATTGTGGGCGGCTCTACTCATGTTATAACACGCATCCTTCCCTTTCGTATATGCGCCCGCTCTTGCCTTTCTTTGCTTCTTCTCCCACACCCGAAGCAACATTTCCTTGTGCGACAATATTCTTCTTCTTTGGATAACTTGCAAATCAACAGCAGCGTAAGATGGGTTCAGGAATCTTGGATGAGAAGACGGAGCAGAACGCACCATTATTATCGCCGGACGAATACGCAAACGAAATCAGCGAGAGCGAGAGTGTACATAGCGAAGAAATGGTTACCGAGCCATCAGCTGTATCATCGCTACATCCTGCGTTTTTCATAGCGTAAGTTGACACGCAAGCATATCACCACCTCATCACTCGACTAACATGCGAAATCCTCAGACTATGGATTGCTATGAGTTCTCTGGTCATCCTCTTCAACAAATGGATGCTCGACAAAGCCAAATTCAGATACCCGATTTTCCTTACCTCATGGCATATGTTCTCATCTGCTTTGGTAACGCAATTCATGGCCCGCTATACTGGATACCTCGATTCTCGCCATAAAGTTCCCATGACGAAACGAACATATATGCGCGCTATTGTCCCTATCGGTTTATTTTTCTCGCTCTCCCTGGTTTGCGGCAATGTTACGTACCTCTACCTGAGCGTCAGCTTTGTGCAGATGCTCAAGGCCGCAGGACCTATTGCTGTACTCCTAGCTACCTGGATGTTCCGCCTTGCCGAGCCTTCGCTGGCTGCTTTTGGAAACATCTGTATTATCACTGTTGGTGTGGTCATTTCTTCCCTGGGCGAAGTCCAATTCAACGTTCTCGGTGTCGCATACCAACTTCTGGGTATTGTGTTCGAAGCCACTCGTCTGGTCATGATCCAGCGATTGTTGTCTGCAGAGTTTAAGATGGATCCTCTGGTTTCGCTTTATTACTTTGCTCCTGTGTGTGCTGTTACAAACGGCGTTCTGGCTTTGATCTTCGAGGCTCCACACATGACTTGGGCAGACTTTGAGCGTGTGGGTGTGTTTATGCTGCTTTTGAATGCAGCAGCAGCTTTCTTGCTCAACTTTGCTTCATTGCTTCTGGTATGATTTCCCCCTCGATGCAACAACAGAAGAAACCCAGAAATGCTGACACCAACCTACAGATTGGCAAGACCTCTTCTCTTGTCCTCACCCTCAGCGGTGTGTTCAAAAACATCATGATCGTCTTTGCCTCTATGCTCTTCTACAACGACAAAGTCACCAGCATCCAATTCATGGGCTTCTCAATCGCTCTAGGTGGATTGGCTTACTACCAACTCGGAGGTGCACCTGCTGTGCGTGGTCTTTGCTCTCAAGCCGTGGCCAGGTTCTCGGACTACAGGAGACCTAGTGAAGCAGACCCTGTATCTGCTATTGAAGCTCAAGAAATCGTTGTGACGAGGAAGAGTGAGGAGGAAGTTAAGAGTCCTGGGCTTGCTAATGTCAAGAGTGCTTGAGTTGATGGTTTTTGAGTATATAATGTCCTATCTTTTCTTCTTCTCTTCTTTGAACAATATTGATACACCTTTTTGACAGGATTCATTTCTGGCGTGCCTCCATCAACAGCAAACGCTACTGTTCGTTCCTTTAAGATCTACTGTGCTTCATAAACTACTCTGAGGCCCTATCTCGGTCAATATCGTCCATCACGGACCTGTTGTCGTATCGTTTTAGGGCGCCTATCCAACGGCTCGCACTTTGCTCACATTCGGCAATACATATTAACGGCACGTTATGGCAGGCCGAGTGTAGTATTGCCATAGATGAGTAAAAGAATTCAAATAGAACGTCAGAATGAATCTGGGTTTCTTTCATGGAGGGATTGCGTTTACTGCGCACGATGATATGGAGAAGAGATGGAGAGAACCTCGTGTCACCTCCAAGAAGCTCGTTGGCGTCGGTCAAAATCTCATCAACATCTACGCCCCATCATTTCCTTTTGTTCTCTTTCTCTTCAACTATTTCAATGAATCCTATGCTTGATGCAATCGCATCTCCGTCATCGCACAGAACCATCAGGAAAATCCTGTGCAGCACAGCATATTGTGCAGGATGGGATCACGAAAGCCTACAGCTGGCTGCGATCAATTTTATTTCCGGTTCTCGTCCGTCGAAGCAAAGCCTCAAACCTTCAGCCACATTGATATAGACACAATATGACAACAGCCAAGGAGGAAGGAAGGGGAAGAAACAAGATGAGGTTGTGATCGACAATCACGAGTCGCGCAGGCAGCTTGGCACGAGGCTGAATGTTCACACAGCCCGATCAGACCCTCATCTTCTGGACAATCCTTCGCGAAGGATTCAACACTGCCACTAAGCAATGGTCGGCCTAAGACATGAGTAGCACTGTGATGTAGGTAGGATGAGGGGCACATATAAGGTCAGATTTCCTGCCTCAGGTAGGTAACAATCTGTTAAGCATTACGTTTATCTCCCGACTTTTACTTGTACATCCATCAGCACCATCTGATCCAACTTCGATACGAACTTGAGGATAACAAACACTAAATACAACATACCATCATGAGCTCCAGACTCATCGAATCACTTCAACACGCGGCGGGAAAGAATCAAGAACTGCTTGCAATCCTCTCGCAAACAGACAATGCCCCCTCAGCTCTCAAGCAAAATTCGACATACATCACAGACCTGCAAAACCAAATTGCAGCCACAGACAAAGAAATCAAGCGACTGCACCGCATCACAGAAGACGAACGCAAAGATCACATCAAGTATGAAGAGAGCACTTTCACGCGCTACATGTACAAGATGCGTGGCAAGAAAGGCCAAGCCAAATTCGCCGAAAAGGCTGGAAAGGAAGAAAAAGAATTTGTAGAGGCATGGCAGAAGGAGCGTGAGACCCAGGAATCGCATGCTGAGCTTACCAGAGCTTTGGCAGATGCTCAGCAAGAACAGCAACGTTTGCAAGGCGCAACGGCTAGACACGATCAAGCTCAATCCGAGCTCGATAGGCTTTATTCTTCTATCTTTGATGGCCCTACACCTGAGGTACCTGGCGAAGACCAGCTCGAGTCAAGTCTGCAGAACAATAAGCAATGGGCCGACAACTGCACACAACATCAAAATCTGCAACGACGAGCTGCTGAGGCATTACACGCAACAGTGCAACACCTGGAACGTGCAGCAAAAGATATGGATGATGCTCTTGACATGTCTCGCTGGGACATGTGGGGCGGCGGCACATTCGTAGACATGATGGAGAGAGACGCCCTCTCCAGAGCCCAGGTCGGTGTTTCTGAGTCCTTGCGCCATATGGACGAGGCTCGTCGTTGCCAACCCGCCATTCCTCCTTTATCTGAGATCAACATCGACAACGGGCATTTCATCAGTGATGTCCTCTTCGACAATATCTTCACCGATATGGCCCAACACGACCGAATCAAAAACTCAGCTATGCAGTTGCACAAAGCTTTGCAGCAGTGCAAAGAGATACTCGAGAAGCAAAAGCGCACATATCATGAAGCTGCTGCCCAAAGTACACAGGCTACGGAAGCCTTGAACAGTTCTCGCTTTGAGCTGCAGCGGATCAGAGCAGAGGCATTTGAGAGATTTGCTGGCCAGGGTGCTCCTCCACCGTTCCACCAGGCTACTGCGCAGTATGTTCCTCCTCCAGCATATTGAGTTGAACAGTCTTTGCTCCCACCTTGTACGATTTGATAGCTATTGCTTAGCAATTCACGATACTTTTTAGGAAAAAAGAGCGAGGTTTTCAAGGAGATAGCGTCTGACAATAGCCACTTATCTGCCCTAGAAATATATTTGTATCTTCAAGCTACATCCTCGCCGTGTGTTAACACATCTAGTCAGCTATAGAATGCACAATAGTATCAGGAGACAGGGTGGTATCCACTCAGAGAAGCGATATTCTATCAGCCTTCTCTGGACAAACCTCCACTTTCAAGAACAATTATGTCTTTCTATAGTATATAAAATACTTTTGCCGAAGTGGAAGCCAATCAGTTATGATTTTGGCACATAGGGAGGCGCTAAAACAACCCTGAATAGGCTATGCTCTCGTTTGCAGTGATTGATCAATGTATACATGTAACAATGCACGGCATCATCTAGAAACAGGATAGCATCCACTGAGAAGCGTTCATTTATCAACTCCCTTTAAACACATCTCTGCTTCTCTCAGCTCTCAAGTGGCAAATCGTGCAAGATAGTGGCAAATATGGATATGTTGTTGGTGCAGCCCTTCGTGGAGCGCGATATTGGGTATCTCAACTACTTGACTCTATCTCTCCCTTGTGACATAAAAAACGCCCTTGACTCCAAACGTTTACTTCATAAGCAAACCCAAAAGACGCCTGCCATAGAACCAGCGACCCAATGCAACATGCAACAAGACATAAGCGTCTAGAAAGCGATCTTTCTTTTTCTGCCAGTGTACTTGGAGTTTGGCTTGACAACCTTGCCCTGCTTCTCCATCTGGTCCTTCTTCCTTGTAATCCAAGCTTTGCTGCCCTTGACTCTTGACATGTCCTTGCGCGAGCGTTGATCTCTCTTGCGACGGGCATCCTGAATGTCGACATCGGTCAAGCCATTGACAACACCAGTGATATCTTTACTTGCTGCCTCCTGCTCTCTTCCAAGATCACCACCACCGACTGTGAGGACAAGGTACAACTTCTCGCTCTTGGTGCCTGGGTCGTCCTCGAGAATACCAGCACCGAAGCCGGCCTTGACTGCAGCGGCACTGATCATATTCCTTTGCACCTTGTTCTTAGGGTAGAATTGGCAGACTGCACGACCACCACGGCGAAGAGAAGCATACAAGCCATCAAAGAAGCGCTTTAGACGACCTTCAGGTGTGACATCGCTCGACTCTGCATTACACAACCATTGAATAGCCGAAATACTGATGGCAGCATCGAACGAGCCAGGACGGAAGGGAACACCCTGTCCAATATCCGCAAGCATCAAATCTCCATCAACGTCTCTGTCAAGTGCTTGTCCCAGCATAGACGCTGAAATATCCATGCCAATCCATGTGTGTGGTCCTCCTTCTTCTGGCTCGACTTGCGAGAGGATTTCGCCGGACAGACCGCTACCGCATCCGAGATCGAGGATTAGAGATGGTGATCGTAGGTCGAGGAGTTCGAGGGCGCGGTTTGTCATGGATGCTTGAATGTTCTTGATACGACTGTTGGTGGTGTATTTGCGACTTTCGACATCGTTGTAGAAGAGGTCGGGCGGCAGCAAGTCTTCGGGACGCGACATGATTGCGGTTTGAGGGGCGCAGTGGGTAGTTTGTTTGGTTCAAGTGCGTTCCCAAGGATGGTTTTGTTGTGGTATGTCGCAAGTTGGGAAAGGTTGCTTGGTCAAATAATTTTTGAGAGGCTGAAAGATGGAGGGCTTTGCTGCACAAAGTTATGCACAGTCGCACAATTGTGTGGGGAAGCAGGAAGGGTCCAGCGACCGACTGGACGCTCGACGACATGTCCTGTTGTTTCCTCTCACACGTTTGGCCATGCCATAGGTAAAGAAGTTACAACAGTCAAGTTCTACAGGATGCTCTTGAATAGATGATTGTTTGAGAAAGATGTGTCCGGACAAGCTCTTGGTAAACGTTTCTGTCAACTATCAGCAACCTACGATGCAAAGCTTCCTGGCAGGACATTCTCAGGGTTGGCACTTGAGATGATAAGCAGGAAAACGGAAAGTATGATCAGCTCTTCTGTCTTCTTCTTGAATTGATCTCAAATTTCTTCTGCTTGCAAGAAGAACCTAATGTATATCTCCGTGATCAGATGCAAGTCTCATTCTGAATGAGGTAAAACGTGCTTGCGCTGAAGAAGTGAGCACCAGTGAGTCTTCAGAGGTATCGGTAGGAGGTATCAGCAAGAGGTATCGGTAAGTGCAAAAAGATCTGACGACGGAGCGAGTCGATCCAACAAACATATTGCAAGCTTTTGCAAATCAAAACAATCCACGGTATAGTGAAGAAACACTTCATGAGCACAACACCTTCCACAACCACAATTACCACGCAAAAAAGACAGCAACGACCTCGTAAAAGGCCCTACAAAAGGTCAAAAAACTTATCCCTTGTGGGGGTAAGGAAACTTGCCGTCCTCAATACGAAACAGTGTTGGCTAGGACTTCACTGACTATCTCTGGCAGTTTATTCTTCAAGAACTACCAATGTTGATCAGACGGTTGGCAATCATGGTCTCTAATGGTGAACCCACTCGGCCATCGAACCGCAGTTGATGCAGTCCGTCTTGGTGGAGGGTTGGCAACTTTACTAGCCTATGTAGCCAGTACTCACTTGCACATGACAGTCACGGTCTCGTCCGTCTCACTTCTTATCTCGTCACGGCTTCACGATCGACTTTATCTCAGGATGTTGGACTGTGATGGTTCGAGCTATCAAATTGCACGATTACTGCCAGAACAAACGCGCAGCCATTGGAATACCTAAAGCTATTCTCTCTATGAATTTCATTTCATTTCTCCTAACATTGTGCATTCTGATAGCTACACTAAACAGTGTCGACAGAAGAGCAGATCATCCTTCGACCACCAACCCGCTTTCTGACGACGAATTCTAATGAGGGAAACTTCCACTGGTGGGCAACTCGTCCAAGCACATCAGGCAATGCCTTGTCCACACCTTGGAGGATCTTGACTGGTGTCGCACAGCCCGCTCTTGTTGAGCCCTTTGAAGAGTCCCGACGGGCCATCAAGGGTTGACTCAACCAATGGGTCCTGGAAACTTACACAATCGCCAAGACGTCGTACCAGAGTCCCGACACGGTCAGCTACGGTGAATTTATGCATGCGTATCAGGATATGACCATACCTACATCTGCTCTTGCACAGAAGTGCTTCTGTTCAGTCTGCATCTCGGTACAATGGCCACAAGGTGTTGTTGCCTTCTGGGCACAAGTACATCCAAGGAAACGCTTCAGGAGATCACGCCCTCATCAGGTCATTTACCCCTCACCAAACCCTGCGATTATACCCAGACCTGCTTTGTCGCTTTCTCGTCGCCTGAATGAAGTTGTTATTCATACCCGTGGCACACCCCCCATCAACACCATTCCCGAATCTCTAGTGGCATCCCGGCAAAATGGTCTTGCTGCTCGTGTCGCCAACTCTGCTGCCTCCACAAGAAGCAACCAAGTCCCTTTTACACTCGGTCAAGCCCATGCCTTGACCCCTGCCGAACGCAGCCTCGAACGCGTTCGTGCTGGTTTAGCTCGTTATCGCACATCTACTATTCTCACTCTCTCTGGACAGATCTCTAGATCTGATTGATGATGATGATGATTATGCATTTCTATAGCATATCCACCAATCATCTTTGCCGACCTGAGAGATGACTTGCACTTTGATCGTTAACCCCGAATTTCCTCTACTCTGCCAGACCGTATCTCTAGATCCAAAAAGAACATACATGCATTTTTTTTTTTTTTTTTTTTACAGCGAATCTCTCGGTATTCTGCCAACCTGGGATAGCTGCATCAGCTGGCTTCTGTCTGGTTCTTATCATGTCTTTGTGTGTTTTTATCATGTTTTTATTAGTTTGTATATGTTGTGACAAAGAAGAGGCACAATCAACAACAAAGTCAAGATAAATCAAGTTGAATGTTTGCATATTCATGTCTCCCAACAAGGTGGCTATTTTCTACCAACGTGAAGTACTCATCTAAAGAGCAAGAACAATTCCTTCTTCTACAATATACAGTGCTCGAGCACTTTTCTTCCAATTCATAGTCATAACGGCAAAAGCTTCAACCCCAGTTAAACAAGACTTGTTTCTTGCCTTGTTTGCCTTTTCTGACGATGGTCTGTTCTGGCGTCTCTTCCACAGCAGGTGGACTTGTAACGTCATTGCTTGCGCCAGCACCCCACGCAACAGTCGAAGGACCAGGAGCGTTGACTCGTCGTACGCCAGCTCCAGTGTAGCCGGGGCTGAAGACTGTGCTAGTGGGCTTTTGTGCCTTGGGTAGGGAGGGGAAGTTATCTCCACCACGACCTGGAGGTTTGCTGTTGCTGGGTGTGGCAGAACGCGAAGGTTGAGGAGTGGGACGTGCAGATGCCGGTGCTGAATTGAGCCAAGTCGCTTGTGTAGGGTTCACACGAACAGGAGGGGCGGCGGGAGTTGATGTTCTTGATGAAGCTGACAGAGGAGGGAAGGACAGGCCTCCAGCACTTGCAGGGTTTCCACTCGAGTGGGGAGCGACAGCAGATCCATATGAACGAGCATTGTTAGAACGCGAACTTTGTGCTGTGCTCGATTTGAGGTTCAGAATGCGCTTGGACCCGATACCGTTGCCCAGCACCGATGCTGCACTGTTGCTGGGACCAGACTGACCACCAGATGCCTGAGGAAGGGATGGATAGTCCTCGTTGATAGATCTCCAATTGTTCCAGGCTTTCAGCAATTGGTCTCTCTTGGTAGTAATCTCGAAGATGTCGGCAAGCTCCTTGATTAACTTTCCCAGCTCTGTCGAAGATGTATCGAAGAGTGCGAAGAATGCATCAATGAGATGGTCAGCAGTCATTGCACCTTGACGGTAGAGCGAGACCTTGTTACGGAACTCTGCTAGCTTTGTCTGGTCGTTGCGCAAGAGATTGGCAGCACGTTCGTTGACAGCATTGTGACGCAGACGGCGAGCCTGTTCTTGCGGTGTCAAGCCAGCCATGGAACGGTCTGGAGACGATGAGCGAGGAGTGGCTGATGACGGTTGAAGGCTGAGAGATCCAAGTGACGGGAAAGGATCAGGACGAGGGGCGGTGATAGTGGCAGGCTCAGGAGCATTGGCAGGAGCTCTGGCAGCATAAGTCTCAGTAGGTTGAGTGAGCTGGCCGCCGAAGCTGCGTGTCGTCACAGACTGAGCGCTCTGGATGGCCATTTGACGTTGGTAGGCCAACTCTGCTCGGCCCATGGGCTGTGCGGATGAGACTGGCAACGGGTCGGCATTCGGGTCACGTCCACGACCGCCTCCACGACGCTCCCTGTTATTGTTGCGCTGAGGACGGTCTTGCTGGTGAGGAGCACGATAGTCGAAGCCTGAGATGTCGACTCTGCGAGCATCACGACGAGCATCCTTGGTCAGGCCGTTAGGGTGAGCCTCGAGCTGATGGGCCTTGAGATCCATTTCTGAATCAAAGACGACAAACTTCTTCTCCAAGCACTCCTGATCCGGGCAGACGAAATGGTCCTTTCGGAAGTGGACTTCGAGGGCATTGTAGTCGATGTAGTACTGAGGTTGTCTACCGCCATCACGGCGGTCACACAGATGGCATCTTTCGTGGCGGTCGCGACAATGCGAGAACAGCTCGTCATCGCCATAGAAGCGTTGGCGACAGAAACCACACTCTGGATGACCCTTGAAACCAGACTGGTTCTCAGCGCCAGGAATATCATCACCGTGCTTCTCGTGTCGACGCAGTTCTTGAGGAGTGAATAGATCGTGCTCGTGGGTAAAGACTTTTTTGTTGCGAGTACAGAGATCACACATCTGTTTGTGGTGGACGTTCTTGACGTGACGGTGCAGATCGGGCCAGCCTAGACAAGCAGCATCGCATGAAGGATCAGGGCAGTTGTAGCGTAGTAGAAGGACGGTGTCTTCGAAGATGTCCTGACTCTCATAGTGGATGCCCAGGTTGTCGTCACTGTGAGCGAACTCTTTGAGGTTGTAGTCTTCGAAGCGTTTGTTGGCATCATCGGTGAAGATGACTTGTTCGGCACTTGTTCGACAATGGGCGCAAGTCTTTGTCTTGTAGAGGGCACGCAGTCTCAGGGAGCAGATGTGGCAGGTGCGGTGGTTGCAGGGAGCGACACTTTGGTGGACGACTGGCGAGGCGCAGATGAAGCAGACCTCGGCTTCGACATCGTCGCCGTCCTGGGTTTGCGGTAGTATGGCAAGGGCCTTTCCCTTTGCTTGGATTTGTTGTTCGGTGGTGGATTGATCTTTCGCATCCTGGGGTGCCCCTCCTGCCCCTCCTCTGCGCCCACCTCGACCTTTGCCTCGACCAGCATTCCTATTGCTGCCTTGTGACTGTTCGCCTTCCTGACCTTCGCGCGGAGCTCTGTTCCCTCCTCTGCCTCCTCTTCCACGGTTGTTCCTGCCGCGGTTTGCTGACTGATCGGCTTGTGCTGGAGCGGGGGCTGCTGAGTCGGCCATGGCGCTTGTGTTTCCAGGAACGAGTGGTCTGCAAGAATGAAAGTGCTGGAAGCAGACAAGGGAACCAACAGTGACAGCGAAAGGCTCCAAACACAGCGAAAAACGATGTAGTACTCAGTTGGTGGATTGACAAGAATATTGAATGACCTTTGCGGGCCATGACGGCATTCAGTGTGCAGCTCTGTGATTGGCTGCGTTGCTTGGGCCTGCCCGCCAGAGGGAAATGGCAGTGGCACCCCCGTAATCTCTTGACCGACCATAAAGCAATCATGACCTCTCTACCACGCACTTTCTCTCGCATTTCAGTTCCTCGTTCCTTCTCCACCTCTGTCCGCCGTCTCGCCCAAGAGCCCTCCCCTGTCGACCCTCAAGCCGCCAAGAATACAAAGGTGACGGCCAACTACAACAACCCTCAGATCCCCAAGCCCCGCAGAGGCCCTTACGCAAACTCCCCCTTGCCCGTCTTTCCTCTGCTCGCCATCTTCTTCACCGGCTCCTTCCTCTTCTACAAGCTCTCAAAGTCAAGAGAAGGTCAAGGCAAATCCCACTACGTCCTGCCCCCTAGAGACAAGAAGCCTCCACCTGCCAAAGAGTTCAACTCCAACCTCCACTCCGAACACTAAATAATGGCTCCCACAAACCTTCCTACCATCCCCGCCATGAACCGCGACAAGCCTCTCTTTCCCACTGGTGACAAAGAGGGTGAGGCTACCGTCATCTTCGTCCTCGGTGGTCCCGGTGCTGGCAAGGGCACTCAATGCGCCAACATTGTCCGCGACTACAAGTTCAAGCATCTCTCCGCTGGTGATTTGCTGCGTGAAGAGCAAGACCGCAAGGGCAGTGACTTCGGCGACCTGATCAAGGAGTACATTCGCGATGGCAAGATTGTTCCCATGGAGGTCACCATTCAATTGCTCGAGAACGCCATGCAGAACACCATCAAGAACGAACACATCAACAAGTTCTTGATTGACGGTTTCCCTCGCAAGATGGACCAGGCCATTCAATTCGAGAAGTCCGTCTGCAAGAGTGTCTTCACTTTGTTCTTTGAGTGCACTGAGAAGGTCATGGAGGAGCGTCTGCTCAACCGCGGCAAGACTAGCGGCAGAGCTGATGACAACGAGGAGAGCATCCGCAAGCGTTTCAGAACCTTTGTCGAGACTAGCATGCCCGTTGTTGACTACTTTGACAAAGAGGGTCGTGTCGTCAAGATCCAGGCTATTCAGACCCCTGATGAGGTCTATGAGCACGTCAAGACTGGATTCACTGAGCGTGGTATCAAGCTCGTTTAAATCTCCTGCATATTGCATTATAGACTTCTAATGAATATTTTCAACTCATTCTTATTCATCTTGTTGGCTTCTAGTACACTGTATATCGATGGAAGGAAAAGATGACGGAGAAAGAGCAAGTTGATTGACATGTCAGTGAGCTAGGGGAGGCAGTGCTTTGTAAGTCCCTCGTTTTTCTCGCAGTAATTTCTCTTTCTTTCCGCCTCTCTTGTGTGTTTTGATAGATGTCTTTCTCGGCATCTCTCCCTGGAAGATGTTCGAAAGAATCGGAAGCGCCCTCTATCACTTGGAGAAGTCCAGTCCGGGAAGGCAGTGAACGTCTCAAGATTACAAGTCAGCTGCTGGAAGATTCTTCAGAAAATGGATTGACTTACTATCATTGCTGACGACAAAAATCTGGATGATCTTCTTGTTTGCATTCTTGTGGTCAAGAATGGCGGCTTCAAATGAGTTTCTCGAACGAATGAATGCGATTTGGTCGGTGTCTGCCATGCGCCAGACGAAGGAATATCCCTCGCCACTGACATCGAGACGGGTGTGCAGGGCTCGCTTGAGACTTTCGAGCAGCTCCTGGTCATCCAAATCTTTCCACCGGATTTTCGAGAGCGGGACTTGGTAGGTGTAGGTGACATCGTCGGCTGAGCGTCTGTGACGGGTGTAAGAGACAATCATGTTGTGTTCGTTGGCTCTTTCGATGGCTTGGGGCACGTCGGCTGTGACCCAAGTGGCTTCTGTAGAGATGGTGCTCATCTTTGCTGATGTTTTGGTTTAGTCAGGGGAAGAACAAGTCGTGCCAGAACGCAAGTTTTTATGTCCAGAACCGAGTGATACACGAGCAACCATTGCCAAATTTTCCGCAGATGCACTTTCACTATCACTTTTCGTCTCAACCCATCTTCATTTTCACTGATGCACATTCTTAGACTCTGCGAATCCTCGCTCGCCCATTTGTCTCAGACCCTCACAAAGAGCACAGGCTCCCCAACCCCTGAAGAGATCTCTCCGATCCGATCCCCCATCTGCTGACTACGTTTGTAAACGGCTCTACAAATGCACGATACTATTCTTCTTGATCTCGTACTCTCTCCTTGACAACCATCCATCCTTCTTTTTGTTCTTTGGGAAATCTCTTGTAAGAGGGTCTGGTGACTGGCAGATGGAACAGTATCTGGTAGGCTTGGGACAATTTTGATAGTGAAAAAACTGTGCACTACAAGAAGTATGATTGATAAACACTGGCACTGAAGCAATACTCTACATGGAACTGTCATTTCTACATCGCAGAAACCCTACTCTACAAGCATGCAGCATTCCAAGTGGCATCGCCGTCTGTAATGTTCATGGCGGTTTGCACATGTTTGGTTGCCACGAAGTCGGCAAGTTTGCAGGTGCCGTAGTAATCCGAGGTACAGCCTACGGGACTGAGATCAAAGTTTGCTCCGTTGAGCTCGAGTTGGATTCTAGTTTCGTTGTTGCTGCAACTCAAGCGCTTGAAAAGCATTTGAGCTGCGAAGGGGACTTGAGTACTTGTTCGCCAATTACGGGAGGGGTTTGGGGGACCAGTGGCAGGGTATTGCTGGTCGTAGGCAAGACCAAGTGCGGTCAAACCGAGGTCGATGGTCGTATCGTGAGCGAAGTTCAAAGAGAGGTTTTGGCCGGTTGAGCTTTGGAGGAAGGTGGTTACGTTGCTGACGAGCAGGCTTCCAAGAACAGGACCTTGGTCGTTAGGTAGTCCGTAGCCAAAGGCACCTCTCATGAGTAGGTCAAGTTCATACTCAAATCCGAGAATCTCTTGAGGCTTGAAGACTGCACACCATGGGCTGCGACCTATTCCATACACAGCAGTACCATAGGCACAAGCCCAGAGAGCCCCGTGGGCGTGTTGTGCTGTAAAGTTCACACCAGGGTATGCACTGGACAGAGCTTTGTTCATGCGAGTGGCGATGCTGGGCAGGTAGACCTTGCCCCAATCTGTAACCAGATCGTTTCCTGAGCTATATTCCCAAGTCTTGCACGTATCCGTTGAAGTTATCCAGGAAATGGTCAGATTATCCTCGGCGATCTTGTTCAAGACAGCTACATCCTCGACGTAGCGGCCGTAGTAGCCGTCCATGAACCATTGAGCACTTTCTACCACGCGGTCTTGGTCGCCAGCTAGCACTGTATCGGTATACAGAGAAGGATAGTCTAGACGGAAAGCCACACCATGGTCGAACAATTGTTGCCTGCCAGGAGCAGATAAATTGTTGAGTGTAAAACCGCTCGACCATCCACTCTTCAGAAATGAGAATTCAGATGGTAATTGACCTTGAGGGTTTTTGAACAAGGCGGTATTGTTGTTTATATAGTATGAAAGGTTCTGAATGGTAGGCAGTTCTGAGGAAATGGGCTGACGAGAACCATGTCTATGAACCAAAAAGGCACGATCCACAGAGCAAGATTCTGGAATACCAGACAGCAGAGATGGTGGGGTATTGGGAGGCGTGAAGTATGGCGAGAGGTTTCCTAGATGTTCATAGAGGTTGAACGCCTGAGCAGCAGCAGCAGGAACGAGGGTCAATTGGGCCAGAGAAGATAGGGAAAGCATGATGGTTGTTGTCAAGGAGCGCAATGTCCTGTTACCTGGCAGAAACAAAACTTTATATGCATGTACAGAGCTGGAGTTCAGGCGATCGCCGAGGGCTGGCGGTGGCTCGCAGGTGGGACATGACTAGCGCTATCGCTAGTGTCGATAAGCAAGAGGATTATCACTTCCCATCCTCTCTCATATGGGATGTAGAGCGATATCTGATGGCGCGAGTCATTGGAATACAGCCAAGCTCTGAATGCGGCAGGTGGTCGCGTGAGGATGATAAAGCGGCATCCTCCAAAACTAAATTCTTGCTGCTATATTAATCACCAACATAAATGCGATGCAACCTCTGGAGATCTAGACAGTCTTCTTAGCTGCTGGACGAATTTTTGAATCGAAATCACACGTTGGAGCAATTGCTGAGATGGGCAGAGGGGCACATGAGACCAAGCAAGCTTGTGATATGCACGGTGGGAGGGAGCGAGGTCGGGGCAAACTCCAAAGCTTATCGATAGCACCTGCCATTTCCAAGACGTGCCAAAGTGCAACGCGTCTGACGCGTTCGTCTCGAATCGAAGGCGAGACTGGACCACTTTTTGGTCAACCATCATCGTCTGTATAACATCAGCTATATCAACTACAGAATGGCTCGAGGCATCGAAGGCAACGAGATCGCCACACCTCGTGTCCCCAAACTTCAGAAATCCACCTCCTCGGCTTCACAATCAGGAAAGCAACAGAAGAGCATCCTAGGCTTCTTCCAGCGAAAGACGGCGCCTGCTTCGTCGCCTGCTGCTCCAAGTCAGGCTACAGCTGCTTCAAGTCCTCCACCACAATCTTCGCCTGCTCCTGCCAATTACAATGGTAAAGAGAATGGTGTGCTGCGTCACAACTTCACCAGCCTACTCACTTGCTGACACAACCCCTACAAGCAGTACCGCTAGAGAAGCCATCGATCCCCTCCTCAAGCCCTGTTCGCACTGGAAAGAAGAAAGTCAACTATGCCGAGTCCGAAGACGAGGATGATGAACCCGTCCTTCGACAACGCTCAGGCAATGCCGCCGCACGCTCTACCAAGAGGAGGAAACTAGACGACGACTCTGACGATGATTTTGCCATGGATGATGCTACTGAAGCTCTCATGGCTGCTGCTGATGAGGATGACATGGACAACTTTGTTGTCGACGATGATGCCTCGGAAGATGACGCTCCTGTCAAACGTAAGAAGTCCAGCCAGCCGCGGAAGCCTTCCAAACAGCCATCTCCCATCGCAGAAGATGAGCCAAGTCAGAGTCCAGAAATACCCTCAACCTCGACAGCTCAGCAATGGAACTTTGATCCAGACAACGTCCAGCCATACGCTTCCAGGAAGACGCCTCAACGCAAACCACAATCTGGCCCTGCCAAGAAGCAGAAGGCTCACATGTCGGAACCCGATGCTCGTTATCCCTGGTTAGCCGATATCATGGACGCAGAACGTAACAGGCCCGGTACCCCAGAGTATGACCCACGCACTCTCTACATTCCTCCTTTGGCATGGTCCAAGTTCTCCCCGTTCGAAAAACAGTACTGGGAGATCAAGTCAAAGTTCTGGGACACCATTGTCTTCTTCAAGAAGGGAAAGTTCTACGAATTGTACGAGAACGATGCCACCATTGGTCACCAACTGTTTGATCTGAAAATGACCGATCGTGTCAACATGCGTATGGTCGGTGTGCCTGAGGCATCACTTGACCACTGGGCCAATCAGTTCGTCGCCAAAGGTTTCAAGATTGCCAGAGTTGACCAGATGGAGACCGCTTTGGGCAAAGACATGCGTGAGAGAGATGAAAAGACCGGCAAGGGCGGTAAGCCAAAGAAGGAAGAGAAAGTCATTCGTCGTGAGCTGGCCTCCGTCTTGACTTCCGGTACTCTCGTCGATGGTGGCATGTTGCAGGACGACATGTCAACCTATTGTGCTGCTATTACTGAACGTGAGGTTGACGGACTGCCGGCATTTGGTATCGCTTTCGTCGATACTGCAACGGCTCAATTCCAGCTCTGCGACTTTGTTGACGATGTCGACATGACCAAGTTTGAGACTTTCGTCGCTCAAACGAGACCTGGCGAACTGCTTCTCGAAAAGTCGTGCATTTCTTCCAAAGCTGTACGTATTCTGAAGAACAACACCAGCCCCACGTGTCTTTGGAATCACCTCAAACCAGAGAAGGAGTTCTTGACAGCCGACAAGACTGCATTGAAGATCACTGGAGAGCACTACTTCAAGTCTGACGACAACGATGGCGATGATGCCTGGCCTGCTATACTCAAAGAAGCTAGGGAGAAGGAGCTGTGCTTCTCTGCCCTTGGCGCCCTGATTTGGTACCTTCAGATGCTCAAGATTGAGCGTGATCTGATATCGCTTGGCAACTTCAACTGGTACGACCCGATCAGAAAGGCGTCCAGTCTTGTGCTCGACGGCCAAAGCTTGATCAACCTTGAGGTATGTCGAATTTGGTCTTTTCTTCACAACTCCACTGACCTTCAAATAGATCTTTGCGAACAGCTACGATGGTGGCGTCGAAGGCACACTTTTTGCCATGCTCAATCGCTGCATCACGCCCTTTGGTAAGCGTATGCTTCGCCAGTGGGTCTGTCATCCTCTGGCAGACACTGTGAAGATTAACGCAAGACTTGATGCTGTAGAGGCACTCAATGCTGATCTCACAATCACCGATCGCTTCACTGCATCTTTGTCAAAGATTCCCGATCTTGAACGCCTCATCTCCCGCATTCATGCCGGCAGATGCAAGGCTACAGATTTTGTCAAGGTCTTGGAAGGCTTCGAGCAAATTGAATACACCATGAGCTTACTCTCAAGCTTTGGTGAGGGCGAAGGTGTTCTCGGACAGCTCATCTCATCAATGCCTGATCTCGCTGGAGCACTTGCTCACTGGACTGACGCCTTCGACCGTGAACATGCGAAGGACCAGAATCTGCTTGTCCCTAAGCCAGGCGTCGAAGAAGACTTTGATGAGAGCCAAAATACGATTGAGCAGATCGAAGGACAGTTGCAGTCTCTTCTCAAGCGTTGTCGAGATGAGCTGGGCACTTCAGCTGCCAAGTATGTTGACAACGGTAAGGAGATTTACCAGATCGAGGTCCCAGTCAAGGCCAAGAACATTCCAAAGAACTGGAAGCAGATGTCATCGACTGCCAAAGCAAAGCGTTATTACTTCCCCGAGCTGGAGAGTCTGATTCAAGACTTGAAAGAAGCGCAAGAAACACACGGACAAATTGTCAAGCAGGTTGCCGGTAGATTCTACGCTCGCTTCGACCAAGACTACGCCATCTGGCTTGCCGCGGTGAAGATTGTTGCTCATCTGGACTGTCTCATTTCTCTGTCCAAAGCATCTGCCTCGCTCGGAGAACCAAGCTGCAGACCTGAATTCGTCGACTCCGAGCGTAGTGTGCTCGAGTTCTCCGACCTTCGTCACCCATGCATGCTCAACACAGTCTCGGATTTCATTCCCAACGACATTGCCCTTGGTGGTGACAACCCGAGCATCGATCTCTTGACTGGTGCCAACGCGGCTGGTAAGAGTACCGTGCTGCGCATGACCTGCATTGCTGTTATCCTGGCTCAGGTCGGCTGTTTTGTGCCCTGCGTTGCAGCACGCATGACTCCTGTTGACCGTATCATGTCTCGTCTGGGCGCCCATGACAATATTCTGGCTGGTCAGAGTACATTCATGGTGGAGTTAAGCGAGACGAAGAAGATTTTGTCTGAAGCTACACCCCGTTCGCTGGTGATTCTTGATGAACTTGGCCGTGGTACGAGCAGTCACGATGGTGTTGCCGTTGCACAAGCAGTGCTTCACCATGTCGCTACCCACACTGGCTGTATTGGTTTCTTTGCCACCCACTACCACTCCCTGGCAGCAGAATTTAGCTTACATCCAGAAATTTCGCCCAAGCGTATGGCCATCATGGTAGATGACACCGAGCGTCGCATTACCTTCTTGTACAAACTCGAGCCTGGTGTGGCAGAAGGCAGTTTCGGTATGCACTGTGCAGCTATGTGTGGTATCCCAGATGCCGTCATTCAGCGTGCAGAGGACGCAGCCAAGGAATGGGAGTATACAGGACGCCTGCAAGTACGTGCGGAAGAGCGTAAGGATGGGGAGCTGCCTCTCGGGTTGCTGAGCGATATTGCGTGGATGCTCAAGACTGCTGATGATGCAGCTCCTGAAGGTGAAGAAGGACTTGGCGAGCGTGGTTTGGAGGTGTTGAGAAGAACCATTGCTGCGTTGTAAATGTTGAGGTGGAAGTTGAATGATGGGCATTGCTTGTTAGTGTGGCATGGCGTATGGCTTGGGGGTCGTGGTGTGTTTGCTAGATTAATGATGGACCAATGATGAACTTCGCTGAGCGGACTTGCATCTTTTCTTGTATATAGATACCTCTTCTACTGATTGTCTCTTGACTGATTTCTTCGTCTTCCATTTTCCTGAACACGTACCTCTGCATCGCTGCTTCCTTGATCACTACAACGAGAGATCGAGCTATGAACAGAGAAGGGGGGCAGACATCGTCGAGACTCTCCTCAATCTTCAGCTCACACAACAGACGCTGGTTAAAGGGGGGAAAAAAAAGATCAAAAAGAACAGCAGGAATCCCATTTTTTGTATAACCTCATGATATAGAACTGAAACAAGCATCGAATGACTGCATTTACTCAACCTCGACAGCATTTCTGTACTGCTTGTTGGGTCTGTAACCATTGCCCTTGTCACGGTTCTCGGCATCTCTCAACTCGGCCTCACGATCACGGATGTAGTTTTCCTTTTCCTGGCGAATGACCTTGAGAACACCCTGCAGGGAGGATCTCCACATGTCAAGACGGCTGGCAACTTCGCGCCACTGGTTCTCGCCAAAGACGCGGTAGGTGGTACGGTGGATCAAGAAGGTCTTTTCCTGTTGCGAGAGTTTTCCCTCGACGAGACCCACGCGGACGGCATCGATGGCCCACATTTCGACGTCTTCGGAGGGGATTTGAAGCGCAGAGGTGATGGTGCTGTAGGGCAAGGTACGGGATTGCGAGGCACTGGCGGCGAGGGAGGCGAGAGTCAGCAGACGCATCTTGCGCTCGAGGGCGGTGACGTCCATGTCAGCCTTGGCGATAAAGTCGCTGTTGGCCTCGTTGAAGTCGCGGAAATCGTCGAGTTGCTGGGCGTTGAAGATTTCGAGGAGTTCGAACCAGACGGGCTCGGAGGTGCGCAGAGCTTGAATCGAGTCCAATTGCGTCAGGTCGTGGAAGTCAAAGTGGGAAGGCGAGGCAAGGGCTTGCTTGAGCGCGCGGATAGACAGAGCTTTGGCGTCCTCTGACGAGGCATCGGAGGAGGATTGGGCAGTGCGCAGGGCTTTGAGCAGGTATTGGTATGCTTGTTCGTCTTCGCTGGCTTCGGTGGCTACGTCGGCAACGGCAAGGTAGAGTTTACGCTGGTCTGCGGCATCCATATCCCAGTCCTGCAGCCATTGCTCCAACTGAGCGAGTTGAGGGGTCAGTTGGTCGAAAGTGCTGTTGTTGCGCACGATCTTGAGGATGGCAAGGAGAACATGGTATCGGCTGTCTTGCTCGGGCGAGAGGGTGTTGAAAATTGTAGAAAGAACATTGAGGGCGAGGCCGGTGCCGTTGTAGGGTGAAGAGGTGATGGGAGCAGAGACGTTCTGGCAGAGTTTGGGCAGGAAAATGTCGGGGCTTCCGGACTGGTGTACCAGGTGCACGAGGAGGTTGTATGCGGCGACGAATTCTGCATGGCAGAGGGTTTAGTATTTTGTTCTGTGTGAATAGCCGGAACAGCGCAACAACTCACCTCTCTCAGGAGCGCTGTTCAAGGCGCTGCTGGCGGTGACAATCTTCTTGAGCGCATCGACCTTGTTGCCCTCCTTCAACAGCGGCGCAATCTCTGACTGCAGCGACGACTGGCTGAGGCCATCGATGTAGACGGCGAGCTCCTCGCTCAGCTCCTCGAATGAGCCTTCGATCAGAAGTGTGTTGGCCATGGTTGTGTGTCTGTGGATGTTCTGCCAGTCGCGCGCGCAAATGCTCGTCCGTCGTTCAATTGTCTCGCGTTGAAATTCGTCGCTTGGCATAGTTATTCTCTTATCGATTGTTTTTGTGCATGCACGACTGTATTTGTGCATCTCCGCTTTTTGTGCACCACAGCCTCTCGATCTCCACCCCACCATGCACTTCAGCGACATGAATTATGCTTCTGTTACTTGATTGTCCCATCGCCGCCACGCAACATGTGCTTTGAGATGCACAGCCGTATCTGTTCACCAAGACTTCCTCAGAAGAGCTATCATTGCGGTCAGCTCTCCTTGAACATGACTCTCTCCTCAAAGACATCCTGCATATCGATGTTTGGAAGTCTTTGGAACCGAATCAGCCGTCAATGCTGGTGAGCTTACTGCTCGTGCCGCAACATCGAAATTACCAAGATAAGCTTCGGGATTCTCAGCATGGCGACCGCTAAAGACAACTACAACAGCGCATGGCAGAAGTTACTCTTTAGAATCTAAGCTCTATACTAACCGTAAGAAAAAGGGTAAGCTTGATGAGCCTCCCGTGTCATACAGGAACGCTTCTGTTGAGATTTAGACCAATGGTTGTGCCGATGAAGATGCAAGAACATCCGAAGAGAAACAAAAAGGAAAGACTTGAATTAGAGTGCCAGGGTTGTCAACCCTCTCTCGGCCCTCCCTGCCGTAAGCTTTTAGATTTGAATAGATTTATGCATCACTACAGTGTGATTACCGCTGGTCCAAATTTGGAGAGGATGTTGTTTGCTGGGAGGATGGATGAGGCAGAAATCTGTGAGTCGCTAATGATTCATGTTGCGCGGATCAATACTTCTCTGATCAAAGAATTCACTAGGTCTGGAGACAGGGTCGCCACTCCACCCATCAGATTCCGTTTGCTCAGGTCCCGTTTGCTATCCCACCAAACGAACATACTCTTACACCACTCAAGTGAAAGTCTTCAAGACCTCCCAGAAGACCATAGAAGACTGCGGAAGACTTCTACCAGTCAAACGACACAAACACGCTTACATAATCCAAGGCCCTCAGGCACGACTATATAAGCTGTCTCCTCTACCAGCTGCTTCACTCTCTTTCTTCCTTTTCTCTTCAAGTCTCTTGCAATTGTTGCTTAGATCAAGTGTAGTATCTGTTCTTCATAGTTTAATCGCTGTGACCGGTCTACGGGCCGTCTCTTCAATGATTATTCTTCTTTTTGGAACACAGGCTGGAAAGACCTCTGAGCTTGCTTATGTCTTTCTGCCACAGTGTCGCTCGTATTGCACTACTTCGAGCTGACGCGAATGCGCTTTTTCTTTTCATTGATTTCTTGGCTGCAAGGCTGGGGTTTGAAGAAGAGTTCTTTCAATGGAAATGCGCGTGATGGATGGATCGTGTATTTGTTTATCTGTTGAGCCGGCGCAAAATATTCGCTGAGCGTGACTTTGATCTGGGATTGATGTGTTTTGCGCATCGGTTGTAGCATAGGATGTTTGATTAGTGCCAGGAAGGCTGGTTCAAGGCTCGGCGGAGGCGTGTCGAGAACGACGTGAACAAGATCTGAGATGGACCCAAGAGAACGAGCACCTGTGCAAGTAATTGTAGTTGAGCTCGCGCGCAGAGGTGCAAGATGCTTGCGCCGACGGACCTGGAGTCGCAGAGAGTCTCCTCGACTTTGTCATGTGGCTATGTTAGCTTCTTGTCCCCTGACCTGTTCTACTTCTTTCTTCCTCTCGTTGGCCATTTCGATCCTTCTTCTTGAATTTGAGTTGACTTCTTCTGGCTTGGGAACGAAGGGAAAAGAATCCTCATGTATCATCTGAACGTACATTCAAAGCACTGAGCTTCTGTTGCTCATGGTCTAGACATGACTGTAGAGTGGCCTTGCTCGCGCGCAAGTCTTAGTATGCTAATGAGGTTGTACGAAGTATGCTTTTTTGACTCGTATGGTAGCCACGTCCAGAGTGAATCCTTCGCAAGCTCAAAGAGCTGGAGGCTTTGAGACTTCAGCCAATGTCTTTGGAGTGATCAAAATACAAGATCTAGCAACGAGGGTGTGAAGCGCTCGGGAGACGGCTATGAACAGAGATACATTCATATCAATGTCCTCGGAATCACGGTTCGAGAAAGAGTCAAACAAATCCCGGCCGCGCAAGCAAGTGACATTCAATCATGGAAATAAGAATGGACATGACAAAAAGAGAAGCTGCGTTGCTGAACATGGGAATTGTAATGAGCCTCGCACGTCATGGTCTGGAAAGAGCTCCTAGAAGTCTCCGAGGCACAGCACAGACTCCTTCGACCGTTGGCCGGCGACGAAGCTTCCTTCAGACATGGGGTCTGTCGCCCACCAAAATGCGCTGCGTATTTCGTTCCCCGTTCCTCTCGCTCTTCTTCTTCCGCCGTGCCTGAAATTCGATCGTCATGAGCCCGCTCAGCCAGGTTCACTAGCGGTGTGCTCGTAGCTCGTACAAGGCAGGCTTGATCCACGGACCCTGCTTGCGGAGCTTACTTAGAGAACTCAAAATCATGCCACGACATGTGTAGCGTCGAGCCTGGAGCTCTGCCTCTGCAGATCTATACAAGCAAATTTGACCACTCTGAATTGTGCCGCACTCCATCGCTGCCATCTGGTCTCGTCGCAAAGCGGTATCAATCTGGTTCATGAGCTCCATGAGGCTATTGACCAATGTTGTACCTGCCTGCAAACGCTCAGGACTCAATCTCCGGCTCGCCCGGATTGACGTAGAGTCTCCAGTCCTCCATCGCATCGTTCGTTCGACAGTTGAGAACAACGTTAAACCTTCTTGGCTACTGTTAGACCGAAGTCTCAATAATGAGAAGCTATGACTTTTACACCTCATGGCCAATCGCAGGATTAAGATCAATCCGAGATACGATCTTGTCTGAGTCAATCAACCATAGTTTTTGGTCGTCAGAACTGCTACTAAGCCGAATCAAGTCCAATTTGTATGCACTGTTTGCTGATCGTATTTAACCTTAAGAACTACCTTAACTTACATTGGCCGCATGACCCTCGAGGTTGAATCCGACCAATAAAGCATGTTGGCACTTCCCGCTCTGAGACAACAAAGCGTGGGTGGCTTATGACCGTCACAACATCTTGCCCCATGAATGACAAAGAGCTATGGAAAACGGCATGGAGGTTCTCTGTAGGAATGGTCGATCGACGTTATGTTTTGGACTGCCAGGACGAGGGCGTAGCTATATAAACATGGAGCTCGCCCTCGTCTTGTTAATCATTCGGCTCAATTGCATTCACAGCTTTACTACTACAACCACCTTCGATTTATCTCTAATATCATCTCCCATTCACAATGAAGGCCTCTATCATCAGCACTGCCGTCTTGGCCACCGCAGCCTCTGCTGCACCTGCTCTCATGAAGCGCCAGAGCTCCGACATTGATGGGTAAGAAGCTGCGATCGAAGCCTTTGATAAGCTTTTGACTGACTATCGCAGCACTATCCTCAACTACGCTCTTACCCTCGAGCACCTTGAGGCCACCTTCTATGCCGAAGCACTTGAGAAGTTCACTGCCCAGGACTTTGCTGCCGCTGGTTTCAACGAGACCGACTTCTACACCAACCTTCAGATGATCGCCAAGGAGGAGGCGACTCACGTCGACTTCTTGACCACCGCCTTGAAGGGAGCTGGTGTCACACCCGTCGAGGCTTGCACATACGACTTTGGCATGCTCACCCCCCAGAGCGTCATGGCAACTGCATCCCTCGTCGAGGGTCTCGGTGTCAGCGCCTACCTTGGAGCCGCCGCTCTCATCACCAACAAGGCCTACCTCACCGCCGCTGGTAGCATTCTGACTGTCGAGGCCCGCCACGACGCCTTCATCCGCAACAAGCTTGACATGTCGCCTTTCCCCCAGCCCTTCGATGTCCCTCTCGACTTCGACCAGGTCTACTCGCTCGCCGCCACCTTGATCAAGTCTTGCCCTGCTTCCAACCCTACCCTCCCCGTCAAGGCCTTCCCCACCCTCAGCGTGGCCAAGAACACCACCATGCCCGTTAAGCAGGGCGAGTGGATTACCTTCGAGCTTGCTGCTGACATGAAGGTTCCCGAGGGTCCCCTGTTCGTCGCTTTCCCTCTGGCGACTGGCACCATGTTCTCAGCTGCCATCGTCAGCGACATGATGATCACTGTCAGAGTCCCTGTTGCCTTCGACGGCCCTGCTGGCGAGTCTTTCGCTATCCTTACTACCAACGCCACTGCTGTCACTGACGACAACACTGTTGCTGGACCCGCTGTTATCGAGATCATGCCTCTTTCCTCTTAAGTGTGTATTTTCTCGGGACGTTTATTCCAAAGGCTGAATCGTTTGATCAGTCTTTGATGACTTTTTCGTATCTCTCTTATATCCTAATGTATTTTGTCTGTATTATACCATGAAGTCCATTTGTTCCAAAACAAGTTTTCCCTTGAAGAGTTTCCAGATGTGATTGCTAGTGTTATAGTCCTTCATGTTACCAGTAGATCCTGGCACGTCCAGCGGAACGTGTGACATTATCGCACTCTGGTGAGTGGACTGACGGTGAAGTCAAGAATGACTTGTGGGACTCGTGTCTGTTCCAGCACCTTGAATATCCACATCCAGGCCCATTCTCACAAATCAGGTTCATCCTCCAAAAGAGGCGGATATACCAGAGGATTGCCATTTCGTTCTCGCATATCTTCAACTTCTTGCAACGCGCTATAGATACCCGTGTAACTAACAAACATCCTATACTTTCTACCAAGCCCAGGCCTTTCCATTTCAACTTGAGCATTTGTAAGGTGTAAAGCTAGTCGACAAGTGCAAGCAAGACCTGTATATTCCTTCGGCTGCAAAAAGCTCAAGATCTTCTCGAAGAGTTCGTATGGGAGTGTGGTGAAAAGGTTTGACGATGTTGATAGGATCGGTCTTTTTAGGATTTGTCTTCGGATGTAACGCGGGATATCATCGATGTCGTTCTTGTCACTGCAGCGACGGCGGATGGCGGTTGCCACGTCTGGGGGCCAAAGGAACGTGCTGTCTTTGATGGGCCATTTAGGTTTGTTGTTAGGCATGCTGGATTTCGGGGCCTCATAAGGTACGGTCTCTCCAGGGTCTGTCACAAGTCCTGGTCTGAGCCTCATGGTTTGTTTGAACGATACTCGCGTTCGGCTTCTCGATGCGCCTTGGGAAAATTGAGAGAGAAAAAGGAAGGTAGAAATAGGAACAAGGACAAGGACAACAATCGTAGGCAAGCATAGCCCGTGCATTGCTGACTCATTTAGATTAATCTAAGAAATCATCCTTCGTCAGATGCAGCTGCTTGTAGACATGTTGTGGTGTGACAGCTGACAAGTCCGAACTGCATTGCCATGCTTGAAAGAATCATCTCGACTGTTTCAGGACAGTATATCATCACCTTGTATGTCTTACCCGTACTGAGATACTCCACTTCAAGAGTCCAAGAATCCAAGAGCTTTTGGAGTCTTTGTCGGTTGTTAACTAGAAAGCCACAATTCATCAGAACAGTCACCATATCAGATGCGGAGAGCAACAAGCAACATGCGGCGATCGCTTCGAGTCTCCATCCCTGTGAGATGTTGACTGTCACAGCATGGATTCCGTTCCTGGTACGTTCTTGAGTTTTTCCGACCAATATTGCAGCTCTGGCAGAATGTTTGTACCAAGCAGAATATGGAGAGGCAGGTACAATTGAGTTCGTGTAACAATCAATCAACCAACCGGTGCAGATGTTCGACCTCGCTGCCTTGTGTTCGGAGTCAGTCAAAATCTTGGCACTCCTTGCTTCGGCCAAATCCCGGATAAATCTCCATCCGCAGGCTTCATCAAATTTTTGCAAAAAACACCACCGCTTTTCTCTCTTCTTTTCTGACCTTTTCGAGAGCAGCAAGGAGCAAAAAAGGGTCTCGCCGGGAATCGAACCCGGGACCACTCGCAATTGGCTTAGAGTTTTCAAGATGCTGTGAAGCATCTCCCTAAGCGAGTATCATACCGCTAGACCACGAGACCAGTGATCAATTTTGATGTGATTGATGGTGGTGGCTCGGGCCAGAAAAGCTTATCATCAATGATGCAGTCCTGCTGCCAGGAGGCACTCTTCTATTGCCATGTCTACTTACCTATGCATACATCGTCCGTAGAAAATTCCTCCCTCTGCCTCCTCGTCTGTCTCAGACCCAGACGTCGGTCTTGCCCGAACCATCTGCGATAGCAACAACTCTACCTCCAATTTCCAGCGGCGACCCTTCGTAAACCACGAACTCACTTCCAGCATCCGGCATCTCCATTCCCAAGAAGTCGTAGAAGTTTTTACTGACAAGGTCCAAGGCTTGCTGCTCAGTCAATCTACCCTCGCTGTTCTTGAGCGCAATCCCAGCTGTAAGACCCAAGTCTCTAGTCTCCCAGATTTCGTCAACACCAATGGCAACACGGACACCTGCGTTCAGGAGCACATCGATGGCTGTACCGTTGTGAAGGGGGGCACCCATGAGAGAGCGACGTTGGTCCCAAGACTGTGCCCAAGGAAGCAATGGAGCCAGGACGATTGCAACATCTGCAGTTGCGAGTTCCTCGGCGACGAGGTAAGACTCTGCGGCTCCGAGGACAACTAGGCGAAGAGAGGTCTTACTGGCAGATTCCACGGTCGACTTCAATCTGAGCAGAGCAGAAATGGCATCGGCGCTGTGTACGCTGAGGACAAGAGCAGATTTGCCTTCTATGACCTTTTTAAGAGATGCAGCCTCGGAGAAGGGATCAGCAATGGTCTCGTTGTTGTGAACTGCCTCGAGGAGTTTGTGACGCAGATCGGCGACCAAGCTAGAGATTGATGGGAATGCTTCATTCTTCGCTTTCAGAGTGAAGTCGTAGTGTACTGCTGCTTCTTCAGCAAAGACAGCGCCCTTGCTCACAGGAGTCTTTGCGCCAGTCAAGAACCCAGCAGAAACACCACGGAGAGAAATACCCGCATAGTTGTCAGCCATCGGTGCTGAGATGGCCTTGGTGACACCATGGCGGTAAGCTGCGAAAAGGTTCTTGCCACCGAGAAGAAGACCATCGACTGCTCGTGCCCAGACCTTATCGTTGACACTGCCATCATGAGTCTGCGGCTGGCCCATGATCTCTTGCAGACCCAGACCAGAGCCGAACGCGGTGAGCGGTCGGGTCAGATATCCATTACGCAAAGCCACGGTGCGAGCATTCTTCTTAGTCGCAGTACGTGCCTCTGCATCGCAAGATCCGGCACAAATAATCTTTCCCTGAGAGATGACAACAGTGGCAGGACCCTTGAGCTCAGAGGACGAAGTCAGTCCAGGAATACGGATGTTGGTGACACCGGTGAACACAACATTCTGGTCTGACTCGATCTCATCGCGGTCTTCTGCAAGCGCGAGGTCAGGCTCGATAGGAGGAGTTAAAGGTTTCTTGAGCTCCACTGGATCCTTGAATTGAGGAGCGCCATCGATCCAGGCCTGGACAGGTGCAGCACCAAGAGACAACGGATCGGAGTCCCAGACAACGATATCAGCATCAAATCCAGGCTTGACCTTGCCAAGTCTCTCTCCCATACCCAGGAGCTCAGCAGGAGCAGAAGTCAGACCATTCAGTGCAGCATGATAAGGAAGACCATAGCCATACGCCTTGGCGGCTTCGTGCTTGACATGCTGAGAGTTGATGACTGGGTTGTCGCTCACGTAGACTGGGGTGATTCCATTCTCGTACAGAATCTTGCCGGATTGTTCTGATGCTGTGTAGCTTTCAACCTTGTAGTACATGTTGTCTCCAAAGAGTGCAGCTGCAGGTGTACCACCGTAGGCTCTCTTCAGAACGTCAGGTACGAGGTAAGTTTGGTGGGCGTGGTGGAAGGCGTAGACTCGGAATTTGAACTCGTTGGTAAGACGCACATACATCTCGAGATCGGGGATGGTATAACAGTGAGTGTTTACGCGCACTTGACCTCGCAGAACAGCGCCCAGGCTTTCCCATTCGAGTTTCTGGGGGAGGTAGCTGTTCATGTTTTCAGCACCGATCGATTTTGCAGCGGCACACCAGTCGTCTTGAGCTTTGACATAGTCTCTGGCCTGCTCATATGCGTGTCTAAACTCCCAGCCTTCACCCATACGGCTGAAAGGACCTCTCTCGCCCACCTTGCCATAGACTCTCTTTGGATTCTCGCCACAGGCATTTTTCATGTATCTCCACGTGCGGTCGGGATCAGCCAACATGTCTTTCTGACTGAGCTCGGCGCGGCCACCCTCCTTGCCGACAGCAAGCTTAACGAGGAATGCTTCTCCACCGATGTTGTTTCCGGAACCAGGAAGAAGTAGCGATGTGGTGACGCCGCCAGACTTGATCCATTGAATTTCAGGATGCAGTGGGTCCAACGAGTCTAGAGATTTGACATAGGGAGTTATGTCGCTCGAGAGCTCATTCTCATCACCTTGAAGACCCCCCAGACTGCCGAGACCAGCATGACTATGCATATCAACAATACCGGCTGTGAGCTGGCGTCCATAGGCATTGTAAGTCTCATAATCCGAAGGCAGGTCTGCGAGTGAGATAGACGGCGCGATTTTCTTGATAAGGCCGTACTCGATGAATACATCCGACTGGATCCAGGCAAAGCCCTTTCCTGTACGAACATCTTCTGCACTTGCTCCAGGAACTGGCTCTCCGGTCCAAACAGTGGCATTTTGTATCAGCACAGGTTTGGTGCCATTCACGTAACGCTTGTTGTATTCACGTCCGCCAGATAGAGCTTCCGGGACTTTTTGAAGGGTGGCACATGTGGCAAAGTCTTCTTGCAAGCGAGCTGCAGAAAGTAGATTGGCGGGCTTTTCAGTGTTTGCAGAGATCTTGTATGCCGAGTATGCGAAGTAAGATAGACATGTAGCGGCCACCAGTCGAAAGATGCGGCGTTTGCGACGGCGGTCTGCCCATGGTCTGACGACCTCGGAGTATTGGGGTAGTCCTTCCTTATCCATGATGACTGGACATTGAGATAGAAGAAAGATTGGGACTGACCTTGTTAAATGGGATGAATCACGTTATCGAAGGCCGCTGGTTGAAGCGGCTCTATCATGAGCTTGGTGGCCGAAATAGGAAGGCGATAGGTTAGATCGGCCACTGACTGCGGGGCTCGGGTGTGACGCCCTTCGTGTTCCTGCTCCAACAACAGTCATGAGACAAGTGACAATACAGAACGACTCATTATCTGGGACTCAAGACCAAGGACATTCGGTACCTATCTTGACAAGCCAAGCGGTACACATTTTCCAGGACTAACCATGGCCGAGATTCTCACTACAGGATTCGCAACCGTGGTCAGTCCCAACATCGTATCGTACCTACCTCGCGGATATTCAGTCTCCGCGACGTTCTTGCAGTTCTTCCTTCGATTTATGTCAAAACACAGACAGAACAAGCTGCGCCACTTTAATCGACCAAACCCTACACCGATTGGTCTGTCATCTTGATGGAGGACATAACCCAACAGGAAGAGATAGGTTATCAGCTCTGATACCTCAGCTGAGTCAGCTCTTTGGTTATATAGTATGCATTGTCTCTTACCTCACTTCTTTTCTCTTTATCGCACTCGGTTGCGCACTACTCGGCTGACAAGTTCATCTCGAACTGTCATCTCCCATATATTCAAAAAGAGAGTGTTCTATCTTAGCTGTTCTTCAGTACGCCACCGAGGCATTCTGTTTTAAGCTCGAAGGCAGCTTCTTGGAAATCCATACCATCTACGCACTTCATGTTTTTCACTGAGCGTCTGATGTTACGTGGTCTCGACCCAGAAGTCGACAATACCATCTGGCTTCAATGGACTAACACCGTGGAATCGCTCAATGCTCTATCAATACAGGGTCCTCAGCCATGGTCACGCGAGAGGTCAAAGCAATTTCTTGAGACACGCATGAAGGACACGGATGCTCTACCTTGGTTCATCATCTGCGAAAAGCCTGCCCTCGAAGACGATGGCTCTCTAGCGCTTGGCTCGAACGATGATTATTTTCGCAACGCAGATGGTAATGCTAGGTATCCGGCTATCGGCATTCTTGCCCTTGACAAGGTTGGCAAAGCTCCAGCTATCAACAGAGTTGTGTCCTTCGGAATTCTGTTTAGTAAGGATTATCAAGGTACTTAATTATTGGACACCATGATACCAGTGCACGGATCGGCTGCTGAATTTAGAGCAGGAAGAGGCCTAGGTACCGAAGTTCTACGTTGGATGTGCAACTACATCTTCAAGACCCTTGGCTATCGCCGCATCGAGCTCAATCTAGACGCAACGAATGACAAGGCATTGAGATGTTACCGCCACGTTGGTTTCATCGAAGAAGGGCGACGGCGTAAGCAGTTTTGGCGTGAAGGCGAGTGGAGGGACGTTCTCGAGATGGCTATGCTAGAGGAAGAATGGTCTGGGTAATCTTCCTTTCAATCTGCTCAACAGAATACTGTCGTTCTTCGCACTCCCTTTCCTTTCTTTATCCGTCCCAGCTCTTTCCGCCAATCGAATCTGATTTGTCCTGGTTGTCTATCAAGTCTTGACGTGCGATACCTGAGCGATCGCACATAGATCTGAATATACCGCCCTGATCCCACAGTGCAAGAGGCGTGTCGAGCTCGACGATCTTACCTGCGTCCATAACGCAGATTCTATCATATCCGAGAATAGTCCTCAGCCGGTGAGCTATACAGAGTAGTGTTTTGCCCTTGGAGCCGCGCATAATCGCCTCTTGAATTCTTCGATCAGTCTCAAAGTCGACGGCCGAGGTTGCTTCGTCGCAAACGATTATTGGCGAGTTTCTGACGAGCGCCCTAGCAAGCGCTATCATCTGACGTTGGCCGAGCGAGAAATTAGCGCCGGCCTCCTCTATTGAAGTGTCAAGGTGAACATGCTGGCCTCCAATGCCATTGATGCCTTGATCGTCGGCGACTAAATCAGCTTGACGGAGAGCAGACCATAGCTCGAGATCTGTATGCTTGTTGAAAGGATCCAAGTTGCTGCGTATGGTACCTTGGAAGAGGGTCGGATCTTGAGGTATGATACTTAGACGGGAGCGGAGGTCATGGAGACCGATTTTCGCGATGTTCATGCCATCTATGATGATTGTGCCATGACTGAGCTCGACTAGCCGGAAAAGTGTTGATAAGATCGACGACTTGCCCGCTCCAGTACGACCAACAATACCCATTCGCTCGCCAGGCCTGATACGTATGTTCAACCCGTGGATAACATCCGGCAGTCCTCTACGGTATCTCATATGGACGTCGTCAAAAACAATCTCACCCCACTCTGGCCAGGTTGGCGGCACACCGGCAGTACAGAAAGCAGCCTCTTGTTCGATACTTGCGGCGTAATGGTGGAGACGTTCTGCTGAGTTCATGTTGTTCTCCACCTCGGCCAATTGACGAACAGAATATTGCAAGTACTTGACGACGGAGACCATGCTTGACAGTAGCAGACCGCTGATGCTTGGGTTAATCGATAATCGCGACGTCACAACCAGTATCCCGACAGCAAGTACCATTGCGTTACCTGCGGCATCTAGCCGAGTAGAGAGCCAACATTGATTAGCGAAAGTTAGAAAGTACGCGCCGTCCATGTCATCCACGGCGCTGTTTACTAATGCAGTAAATCGTTGTTGTAATCTGTAAGCTCTGATAGTCGAAACTCCCGAGATCGCCTCTCCGAAGCGAGTAAAGACATGACTTCGCAATAAAGCCTCATGCCTCTTGAGTTCTCTAGCTGAGGATCGGTAATATCTGACGGAGAAGAGTACCAAGATAGTCAGCACCGCAAGTGCAACAGCAAAGTATGGGAAATAAACTATCGTCAGGATAAAGACAGCAACAATCTGACTGCTGAAGAGTAGGAAATTGAGAAGCGAATCAGAAAGATTGTTGTCCATAGTATCAACGTCCTTAGAGAACCGGTTGGTGATCCTGCCAAGTGGTGTCGTATCGAAGAAGGACACGGGGGCGCGAAGCACACGGGCAACAGCTGCTCGCAACATGGCTTGAGATGCATTGGTACACGAAATGGTCAAGCGTACATAGAATGCGAAGGCAAGAAATGCCTGAGTCACTCCGAGTGCGGCGAATATCCCAATCTAATACTTAGTCAGTGACTGATAAGGAGGATGAGAATCAAAAGTGACAGCTTACATAGGTCCCGAGGCGGAAGCCGAACTTATCAGACGTCCACCATGACAACCAAAGGCCTGTGCTGACGCTTGATCCTTGAGTGGCAATCAGCAGAACGAGTATTGCCAGCGGGTTGAGAATGGTCCCGGATGCGCGCATGTAGGCGGCGTAAACGGACCAGCTCACGCGCTTGATAGCACGCTCCTCAGCCTGCATGAGTGCAGGCTGAAGGTCAACCGCTTTGCCCGAAGTGTCTCTTTCCTCGGTTTGCTGTTCGTTTTTGCCGTCATCTCTTGATCCATCTTCACGAGTGACATCGGTCATTATACGTTGGAAGGGTATGCTGTTTGCCATGAGCTCGCTAAACGTGCCATCTGCAATAATCTGACCTTCAGCAAGGTATATAATCCTGTCGCAGCGGTGAAGCAAATGAAGCTGATGCGTCGCTAGGATGCGACACCGATCCTTTAGAAAACCACAAATAGCCTTGTTCATGATGTGCTGTCCGACTTGGGCATCAACCGCTGACAAAGGATCGTCCATCAAAATCAGCTCTGCGCCAGAGTAAATCGCCCGAGCAATATTGAGTCGCTGTCTCTGGCCACCTGAGAGATTGATCCCTCGCTCACCGAGCTCGGTCGAGTCTCCGTGCGGAAATATCTCCAAATCTGGTAGGAGCGCGCAGGCATCGAGGATCCGTGCATACCACTCGTCGTTAGCTGTAGAGCCTCCCAACCCCTCGGTCCTTCCCATTATGATATTCTCCTTGACAGAGGCGTTCTGTATCCATGCTGTTTGTGAGCAAAATGACCGAGAGGCGCCGAGCGTGATGGAACCCGCGGTCCTTCTCATCTCTCCAGCTAACGCTGCGAGAAGGGAGCTCTTACCGGAGCCTACAGGGCCAATGATAGCAACAAGCTCGTGGCGTCCTACAGTGAGATTGAGATTGCCGAGACTGAATGGCTTCCCTGAACTGCTTTCATCTGAGGCTGGCTCCATACTTGGGTTCGGCTGGCTAGACAACATTCCGGGAGTCGGTGGTTGTGTTTTCACGCATGACTCCGCCCGCTTCCAGCCCTTCTTGTCAACCTGCCCATGGTTTACTGTAGAAACCTCATCGATCGCATCAACGCCCCTCTGGAGTTCAGAGCTACGCTCCCATACGAATTCTGCGTTCTCTAGGACGATGGCTTTGTCATTGTCGAAGTCCCAGACCACTGGATCTTCGAATTCTTCTGCAAGCAAGAAATCTTGGATCCGCGAGATCGAATGTGCAGCATCAGTGACGTGTCCAAGCACCTGAGGCAATTGATTCAATGGCATGCTCAACGCACCGAAAAGTGACAGCGATGAAAAAACATGGCTCGACGTGAGCTTATGTCCCGAAAGGGCGAAAGTGATGAAAGCTAACATCGCCGCGAAAGTCGATATGGTCGTGCCAATTGCGGTAACGGCGTGGCGGATGGTAAGCATTGCCCGGATACCGCGAATCTCCTCCTTACGGATCCTGTTTAGACGATCCAGAAAAGCGAATTCCCAGCTGAAATACTTGACGAGTCGCACACTGTGGAGGATTTCTTGTATAAGGGAAACTCTGCGTTCTGTGATCGGAGTTATGGCTCTGCGCCGAGCAATCATTGCCTTCACAGCTCTCGCCAAAAGCGGCATGATCAGAATAAGTAGTGCAAAACCCGGCAATGCACTGTAGGTTATGTTCACCAGAAGCAGCGCCAAAGCCAGGCAAATGGCGATTGGGGAGGTCCAGAGGAAATGTAACATGATCGAGCCCGCATTAACACGACTGGTATCCATAGACATAAGATTGATAATCCTTCCGTCCGACCAACCCAATCGGTCTGTGGTAGTCCCAGCCCTGCCGAGGTTTCTCTTTATCCACCTCTTCTCTTGTTCGCTATCTGGCTTCATGCCAGGCGCTGGTCTTTCCATAGTAGCTCCTGCAACTTTGGCTCGGCCTGACAGCTTAGTCGCCTTGTTGAAGATTAGGGCAATCAGGACTGCGCGGGACTGGCCGCCCACCATCATGCCCCGGTAGAGGAAGTGATTGAAGCATAGTGTCTGCACAATTTCTACGATGGCTATGCTGACAACCCAGGCTATGCCATGAGAGACAGGCGGAGTCTCGGTTCCTCCGTGAGAGGCGGTGTATGCGTCTGTAGCGAATTGAATAAGATATCGTAGCATGAAAGGCGAAAGTACTTGCAGGACGGAAGCGATCAAGGAACAAGCGCCGCCAATCAAGAACTCTTTTCGAAAAGTATCATAGAGAGCATTTCTTAACGGACTTCTATCACCGTTCTGCAATCTTTTTTCAAAGGACGCCGATAACTTTGCTTGCATGACGGGCACACTTCTACTTGTACCGACGCTCCAGATATCGTTCAGCTCAAGTGGTCTGGCGTACCCGACCTGCATGAGATCAGTCAACCACTGGAACGTAAGAAGGCTAAGGAAATTGGCCCCAGATTCCGGACTAGGTTGTCTCTCGTTTGGCACTTGGGGTTTTGATCTTGTTCTGAAGGGATTCAGGAGGTCTGGCCAGCGCCTCTTTTGATTGCTGTTGGCTTCATGGAAGCTATTCTCCACAGACTGCGAAGGCTGTCGTGACGTCCGCAAGTTCTCACAACCTGGCAAGCCCAGTGATTCCTGATCGGTCGCGAGGTTCGATGCTGTCATTTCAATGTCGGCCGCGGCTGCGCTCTGCTTGTCTGACGTCGGCATTGTCGATAGTGTTGAGAAAGCAAGAAAGAACAATTTGCGTCCATGTGTTGATAGTGTCTGCGGTCAACGTATATACAATGCTAGTGTTGGCATTTCTCAAATGTTCCAAATTTGAGTAGCCTGCAAGGCATCCAGATAAGATCCCGGCCATGAGTGGTCACCGGCCCGTCGCAATATGTGAGCCGCTACAATTTTCTCATGCTGCAAGCCTATGAAGCCGGGCCAAGATCGATGAAGGAAGAGCTCAAGATAAGAGTGTATCTGCGGATGTGTTCGCCGACGGTGATCGCTAGATGCATGACAGACCAATCAGCATGATACATGCCTGAAGAGTGCCAATGCCAGACAGCAGGTTTGTATGACTCGTTCAGTCCTACCTTGTGCACCCAAGGAGTATCGATACTGTCAGAGGCGGCAGTCGAGTGATGTAATGTAGTCACAGCGCATGGATGAGTCTTGGCGTGGGTGGGGGACTCAGTGGTAGACCAAGGGATCTGCTTTCATTCCTTTGCATATACGTCTACGTTATAAGAAAGCAGTCATGATATTCCTTGATCCAAATGAGAGTCCAGAATCCGAGTACCACGAAACAAGCATAAGAGAATAAGAAGCCCATCTTGACGACGCTCGACTCTGAGGCAATGTGCGAGCCTATCAAACTTTTGCATTGTTGCCTGCAAACCAGGTCTCGGCACCAAGTCTCGGCAGGCCTTGACAAGTCCTATCGCGATCTGCGGACGAGTGGACGTTCGCGCTGTCGGAGGATTGGTTGACTGACGATGAATTTTCCTAGATGATCCATATCCAGTGGCCACAGTCACACAAGCGGAATAGCTATGGCCGCCAGAGGATACGACTTCTCATATCGTTGTATACCTACGTTGCCAAGCTCCACTCCTCGCGAAGTTCTCGCAGTATGTCAGGATACCAACGTTCACCAACATCCTGGTGGCTCTTGACTCGGTTACGCAGCGTAGCCTCACCAAGCGTCTTTGCCTTGTTGCCTTTCTTGAACGTAAATTCGACATCATCGATCCTGCCACCATTTCGTTCGACCACGCGTCGACGTTGTTCTTTGATATCCTCTGGTACGTTGCCAACACCCACCGCATCGAGCTCGTCGAATTCCGCATCGTATCTCACTCCTTGGAAAAAAGGAATAGACAGTCTGGCACCTGAACCTGCAGGAGGCGATAGGACGCGATGAGTTGTGGACACACAAACACCCTGTGTCAAAGCCTCCAGGCCCTGACCTATAGCTACAACCAGAGTACCAGGAATTGGTGGGCAGTCAATCCATTGGCCTTGCACGTTCTGGACTTGCAGACCACGGTGATCCGTAACTTGGAGGAGATAGCTCGTAAGCATTGAATCTTTGTGAGGACCAACACCTTGCACATCTATCGCTCCTTCCTGACCTAGAGTCGACACATCTGGATACTTGACAATCTTAAGTTTGTGCTGTTGATCTTTGTCGAAGTATTTTGTGAACGCGTCTTGTGGTAGATGGATGGCCTCGGCGATCAAGGACGTAAATGCAATAGACATTTCGCCCATTCTATTCATATATTCGGTAAAAATCTCTCGAAAGCCTGGTAATGCCTCTTCGGAAGGCCATTGATTTGGGGCTCGAAGGTTCTTGTAGCGTGGTGCATCTGCCTTTGGAAGAGGATGTTCTGTTGAGAAGTCGAATTGTTCGCGTTGATCTATCTTTCCAGCGGTAATTTCTGCTGCCAGACGAGAGTAGCCTAGAAAGGAAGGAGCATTCTTCATCTCTATCTTTAATCTGATTTCTGATTAGTCATAATGGTTCAGAGAAGAAGGCCTGAATTGCTGTGAGCTTACTTTTCCTCCTCGGGAATGTCGAAGATGGCCGTTCCAGCCTTCTTTACTTGTTCCAATAACTCGTTTGAAATGGTGGTATTCTTGATGTATAGAAAGCCGACTTCCATCAAAGCATGACGCAACTCTTCCAATAGTTGAGGCTTGGTATCTGCATCTTCCGCTTTTGCAATATCCAAGACTGGAATTTCTGTGAATGACATGCTTTGATAAGACCTCCCAACGATAGTTCAAGTAAACGTGTAAGGATGTAAGAAGTGTTCTTCAAGGTTGTTGCAATAGCGACACCTCCGCACCTGGGTGTCTGGAAATGCCAAGACGTCACGCACGCCATCTGGCGTGATCGACAGAGTACCTGCATACTTACAGTACAGAGAGCACATCTGGTTGACCTACCTCTTCTGGATGCAGTGGTAGACCAGCAGCAGCGATTGCAGGATGTCCGAGAGCAGAGCTGCAAGAATGGCTGCACTCTCTTGGTCTTGACCACACTCATAGGTCCTTCCTGTGTGATCAGAGCCGGTCGGAAGAGCCTTGGTCATACAGCTCAGCTGCATGAAAATCCTCATCGACAAGCGGAAATTCCGCTTCTTGTAAAGAGCCACACAACGGTCGAACTGCGTGTCAATGGACCTCTTGCCTTGTGAACCTCAAGCATGACTAAAGAGGGGGCTATGCGACTGGCCAGTGTGCACAAACGTAACTTAATTGAGGATGTTGCTTTCTTTTCGTATGCGACTCGGGACTCCGATGCTCTGCAGCTCATATTTGGAAGGACTTCATGTGTTGGTGTTCGTCCATGTTCGAATGGTTGGTCTTGAGGCTGCGATGCTTCAGCCGTGGACAAATATTTCGCATCACATATTCCTCATCCCGCAGGGATATATTTCAGCACGAATTAAATTTCTATTTCGCCACGGCACGACGACCATGAACGACCTTGATGACCTTCCAGACAAGCTCATTAGGTTCCGAGGCGTGGAAGAATTGCAAAGCTTTGCTCAATGCTTCTCTTGAGCTTGTCGCGATCTGGCAGGTCGGTTAACGCATTCCCAGGAACACAAGAAGGCGGCGGCATGGAAAGGTTACTGATGCCGTCGGTACCGTCCACGTGCAGGTGAAACAAGCCAATCAAGCATTGGCAAAGATAAGCATGCTCGCTATTGCATACCGCATCCTGCATTTATATGGCTGCACAGATGTTCCGTGGGATAGTAGCTGGCTCCACATCTGTACGCCAAACTCTAGAGCGGCAGCGTGTGTGGCATTTGTGCCAATGGCCAGGTCTGATCAGAGGAAGATCAGAATGCCATGGATATATAAGAAGGTAGGCCATTGGGCATCGTCGTTTGCATACCTTCACTCGCTTTGTATCACGGCAAAATGAAGAACACTATCGGAGCTGTTCTCTTCGGCACTGCCCTTGTTGCAGCAGCACCACCTGCTGCTCGCCGTGATGTCGACACTCGCTTCCCCTACACGGGACCTACCATTCCAGTTGGTGACTGGGTTGATCCTACCGTCAATGGTAACGGCAAAGGCTTCCCTCGTCTGGTTGAGGCTCCAGCTGTGAAGCCGAGCTCAGCCAACCCTACCAACAATGTCAATGTTATCTCGTTGGCCTATGTTCCTGGCGGCATGCACATTCACTTCCAGACTCCTTTCGGTCTTGGAGGTGCCCCTAAGGTCCAATGGGGCACCACGCAAGATAACCTTTGCAACACTGCCGTAGGACAGTCTAACACCTACGCTCGTGAGCCTCCGTGCTCTCTGGCCCCTGTCACTCAATGCAGTGAATTCTTCCACGAGGTCCAAATTACAGGTCTCAGACCCAACACCAAGTACTGGTACCGCATTCCTGCTGCAAACGGTACTACTGAGTCCCAGACACTCAGCTTCCGTACCGCACATGCTGCTGGAGATCGTTCCGAGTTCACCGTCGCAGTTTTGAACGACATGGGTTACACCAATGCCCACGGAACTCACAAGTACCTCGGCAACGCTGTCGATGATGGTCTTGCTTTTGCCTGGCACGGAGGTGATATTTCTTACGCAGATGATTGGTACAGCGGTATTCTTCCTTGTGAATCCTCTTGGCCAGTCTGTTACAACGGCAGTTCCACCAGACTTCCTGGCGGTCCTCCTTACCCCGCAGAGTACCTCGATGCACCTCTTCCTGCTGGAGAGGTTCCCAACCAGGGTGGTCCTCAAGGTGGTGACATGTCTGTGCTTTATGAGTCAAACTGGGATCTTTGGCAACAGTGGATGAACAACATTTCTACCAAGGTGCCTTACATGGTCCTTCCTGGCAATCACGAGGCTGCTTGCGCAGAGTTTGATGGAGGCAACAACACTCTTACTGCCTACCTCAACGATGACAAGGCCAACTCTTCCGCACCTAAGTCGGAGCTTACCTACTATAGCTGTCCCCCATCTCAGAGGTATGTCATCCGATAGCAGGCCATCCCTTGTTTCGTTTTACTAACATGATTCGGACAGAAACTTCACAACCTTCCAGCACCGTTTCCGCATGCCCGGAGTTGAGAGTGGCGGCGTTGGTAACTTCTGGTACTCTTTCGATTATGGTCTAGCCCACTTCATCAGCATCGACACCGAGACGGACTTTGCATACAGTCCTGAGTGGCCCTTCGTCCGTGACATCAAGGGCAACGAGACTCTGCCTACCGAGTCTCAAACCTTCATCACCGACAGCGGTCCTTTCGGCCGCATCGACGGCAACCAATGGAAGAACAACAGTGCTTACGAGCAGTACCAGTGGTTGGCTAAGGATCTTGCCAGTGTCGACCGCACCAAGACTCCCTGGATCTTCATCAACGGCCACAGACCCATGTACAGCAGTCAGACCGCTTCTTACCAGGCGAACATTCGCAACGCCTTCGAAGCTTTGATGCTCGAGCACGGCGTGGATGCATACTTTGCTGGTCACATCCACTGGTATGAACGCTTGTTCCCTCTCGGCCGCAACGGTACCATCGACACTGCCTCTATCAAGGACAACAACACCTACTACATTAACGAAGGCAAGTCGATGGTGCACATTGTCAACGGTATGGCAGGCAACATTGAGTCACACAGCACTTTGGATGCAGGTCAACCTGTTCTTAACATTACTGCAGTGCTGAACCAGAGGGACTATGGCTTCAGCAAGCTGCAGATCACACCTACCTCTGCAACTTGGACATTTACCAAGGGTGCTGATGGTTCGGCTGGTGACAAGCTCACCCTGCTCAAGAGAAACAAATAAGCAGATAGCCTGGATGGATTAATCATTACTGGACGCTCATTACTGTATTATTCGCACATAAAAATTATTCATGCCCCCGTTCTGCCTGGTCTTGTCCTCGCTTTTGTCAATTCTGACCGCTTTGACGTAATAGCGTGTCGTCCGCTTGTTGTATAGAATGCGTGTAGTCGATTGCAAGGTGTAATAGATGTGTTTGATATTTCCAGAGTTGTGGATGATTTGTGAAATGATATGTAGGCCAATGCAGAGACGGGATTCGCCGAAGGGTTATGACGAGCGTCATGGGCGTGTTGTCTCGTAGCTTCGGACAATCGAGCGGCGGGAGCTTCAACTCACAACGCCTGCCTTCACTATCATCACGACGTATCGAACCTATCTGTACCGATATTGACGACCTTCCTTCTCTCATCGCTGCTCTCCATCTCATCTGCCAAAGCCTGAGTGTTTACACGTGCTTCGACCTCCGAGCTGCGGCGCCACTCCCCGACACACGCCTTTCTTACTTCCGCATCATCACGACCACAACTCACGTCCTCGCATCACAATCATCATGGTCGGCGCTCCTTCTGCTGCCGCCAGTTTGGTCGGCTTCCTTTCTGAGCCCGACACAGCGCTGCAGGTCTTCGCTTTGGACGAGCTGAACAAGGACATGGACAACATTTGGACAGAGGTCTCGGGTTCTATCGGTCAAATGTGCGCACCATCAGAAGAGACATCCAGGATAAACACAGCTAACTGAGTATTACAGTGAGGCTCTGTACGAAGATGAATCATTTCCCAACCGCGAACTAGCAGCACTTGTGGCGGCCAAGGTTTACTACCAGCTCCAGGAGTACAATGAGTCTATGGTCTTTGCCCTTGGTGCTGGCAAGCTCTTCCGTCTTGACCACCAGGGCGAGTTTGAGGAGACCATCGTTGGTATGAACTTGATCCAGTCAGATCGCCGCCCATTCAGCTAACACCTTGCTAGCCAAATGCATCGACACATACGTTGCTCTCTCGGCGCTCGCAAACCCTCCTGCTACCTCAAGCTCCGTACCATCAGCTTCTGCCAACGACTCATCCCTACCCACGGCCAACGGCAGCGCCGCCACTACCACTCCCTTCTCGCAATCCTCCGCACCGCCGAAGTCCCTCCTCTCTCGCGAAGCTGATGGCGTTCAAATCGATGCAGCTGCTGGAGTTTCTGGCTCACACCCTTCCCCCAACTCGCTTTCGCCCGCCACACAAAAGAGTCTTCATGGAGTCATCCAGCGCATCTTCGAGTCATGTTATCAGTCAGGCGCATACCGTCACGTTGTTGGCATTGCTATTGAGGCACGCAACCGTCAAGTGTTGAAAGATGCCATTCTTCGCTGTGGCAAGGACAAGCAAAGCACTGACGAGTTGATGGAATACGTTCTTGACATCTGCATGAACGTGGTGCAAGAGCGTGGTTTAAGAGACGAGATCCTGCAGCTTATTCTCGAGCTACTGAACGACATCCCCGACCCCGATTACTTCGCCATCGCTCGATGCGTTGTGCATCTCGGCCAGCACTCTATGGCTAGCAACATGCTGCGCCAGCTCGTGCAGAAGGCTGACGCAAAGTCCCTCGCAATAGCATACCAACTGTCCTTCGATCTGTATGAGAACGGTACCCAGGAATTTTTGATCCGTGTCATGGAGGAACTGCCTTCAAGCGACGACAAGTCACCCGAGCCCACAAGCGAAGGCGCCGACGATGCTGACGAGTCTACTCAGCTCTTGTCTGAGTTGCGTAGGAGCACCGGTCCTTCGGGAGCAAAGGCCAGCACAGCAGAGGAGAAGAAGGCCTTCAACTCAATACGCGACATTCTGCGCGGTACGACCAGCATCGAGCTGAACCTCGAGTTCCTCTTCCGCAACAGCCACACAGACAAGCAGATTCTCAACAAGGTCCGCGACAGCCTCGAGGCTCGTAATTCCATTTTCCACACTGCAGTCACCTTCTCCAACGCTTTCATGAACTCTGGTACTACCGTCGACACTTTCTTCCGCGACAACCTCGAGTGGTTGGGCAAGGCTGTGAACTGGTCAAAGTTCACTGCCACTGCTGCTCTTGGTGTTATTCACAGAGGAAACTTGGCCAATGGTCGCAAGCTTCTCGAGCCTTACCTCCCCAAGCGCAACGCTGTTCCTGGTTCTGGCTCTCCTTACAGCCAGGGTGGTTCTCTTTATGCCCTTGGTCTTATCTACTCCAACCACGGCACCAACGTGCTCGACTACCTTCTCGAGCAATTCAAGGATACTCAAGAAGAGGTTGTTCAGCATGGTGGCGCTCTTGGTCTCGGTGTTGCTGGTATGGCCACTGGCTCCGAAGACATCTACGAAGCTCTCAAGGGTGTGCTCTACAGCGATTCGGCCATTAATGGTGAAGCGGTTGGTCTTGCCATGGGTCTTGTCATGCTCGGCACTGGCAACACCAGAGCTCTTGAGGACATGATCACCTATGCTCACGACACACAACACGAGAAGATTGTGCGCGGTCTTGCCATGGGTATGGCTTTGATCATGTACAACCGCCAAGAAGGCGCAGACGAGTTGATCAACGGTCTGCTCGACGACGCAGACCCAACCCTGAGATACGGTGGTATCTTCACTGTTGCACTTGCCTACTGTGGTACTAGCAGCAACAAGGCCGTCAGAAAGCTGCTCCACGTCGCTGTCAGCGATGTCAGTGATGATGTTCGCCGTGCTGCAGTCATGTCATTGGGCTTCGTTCTCTTCCGCAAGCCTGGCGCTGTTCCTCGCATGGTCGAACTCCTTTCCGAGTCTTACAACCCTCACGTCAGATATGGTGCCACTATGGCCCTTGGTATCGCCTGTGCTGGTACTGGTCTGGATGAGGCCATCGATCTTCTCGAGCCTATGATGAAGGACTCTGTCGACTTTGTTCGCCAGGGTGCTCTCATCTCACTGTCGATGATCATGGTTCAGCAGAATGAGGCCATGAACCCCAAGGTCGGCACCATCCGCAAGACTCTGCAAAAGATTATCAGTGACAGACACGAGGACGCTATGTGCAAGTTTGGTTGCGCTCTCGCTCTCGGAATCATTGACGCTGGTGGCCGCAACTGCACCATTGGCCTGCAAACTCCTACCGGCAATCTCAACATGTCCGCCATTGTTGGTATGGCTGTCTTCACCCAATACTGGTACTGGTTCCCTCTCACTCACTTCCTTACCCTTTCCTTCACACCTACCGCCATCATTGGTGTCGACTCAGACCTCGAAATCCCCTCATTCAAATTCCACAGCAACACTCGTCCTAGTGTATTCGATTACCCGCCCGAGGCTGAAGTCAAGGCTGAGGAGGCTCCTGAGAAGGTCAAAACTGCCATCTTGTCGACAACAGCACATGCCAAGCGTAGAGAACAAGCAAAGAAGAGACAAGCTAGACGCGAGAGCATGGATGTTGACATGACACCCACAACTCCCAAGGTCGAATCCGGCGACAAGATGGATGTTGATGATAACGTCATTGACACAGCCAAGCTTGCCGAGGAGAAGGGCGAGGCTGCACCTACAGAAGGTAGCACGAAGAAGAAGGCTGAGCGTGAGAAGGTCGGCTACGACCTTGAAAACATGAGCCGTGTCCTTCCTGCTCAGATCAAGTACATCTCGTTCGCACAGGATGGCCGTTACCAACCAGTAAAGAAGCCCACTGGTGGTGTCATCCTTCTGCACGATACTCAATCATCCGAGTCAAAGTCCCTGCTTGAGCTCAAGGCCAAGAAGAAGACTAACAACGCCGCTGCAGCACCTGTTGTCGGCGGATCATCACAGCAGGATACACCATTTACACCTGCTCGCCAGACCGGCGATGATGCCCTTGCTGCACTAGGCTTCGGCGCCGCAGCAGGCGTTGGCGCAGCTGCTGCGTCTGGTGTGCTAAATGCAGTCGACGAGGATGTGGAAGGAGGCGAGGAGGCAGAAGTTCCTGAAGAGTTCGAGGTTGAGGATGAGGACATGGCTGACGATGAATAAGCATTCCATAGAGATATTGGTCACTTGTCCATGTAATATATTTTCTTTCCACTTGCTTGAGTGCCTTTACTGCTACTGTGGGGCGGTGAGATTCTGTCGGGTGCTATTTCAATACCTAGAATATTCTCAAAGTTATACACTCTACACTGCGCCCCTGTTCTATGTTTGGCGCAACTTCTCGGTCCTCGGAAGGGTGCCAGATAGTTCGGATCACAAACAAAAACTAAGTAATCGTGATGAGTCTGGTCATGAGCAAGGCTGAGATCATTTAGTTGCATGATCATTCTCTTGGAAACAAAGATTTGTCTACGTTTTTCGAGTATGTATCCACCAAGTGAGGATCAATCAGTACAAGACTCTACCAGTGGCTGCTTGGATCAGATAGTATCCACATGAGCTGGACAGAATTTTATTAAACACCAGGCGGTCTTCTAGGGACTTTCGGAACGATGAAAGGGCTGTCAAGGGGATGACCCTGTTGTGTAGACTGGCGTCGGCATCTTCGTCATATGGGCAAGAGGAAGCGACAAGATTTCCGACCTTGCAAACACGACACGACGACACGACATAATCAACATGAATACTTGAGCACCATATACCTTTGCGGCTAGACCGGGATACCATCACACGAAAGAAGGCGCAAAATGGCCGAAAAGCGGCGAGCGTCAGGACGGGCGCGTGATGCGAAACGACGAAGGACATCGACCAAAGCACCCACGCCAAAAGATGCAACACCAAAAGAGGCTACACCAGTTGTCGAAGAGCCAGTACGAGAAGCCACACCGCTACCGAACAAGGTCGTAGATTCGAGACTGCTACCCACCCTTTCCGAGCCCCAAGCCATTGGCCTCTCCAACGATGAATACAAGAGTATTGCAGAAAGCGGAGTGTTACTGGCATCGTTAGAGCGATCACGACAAAAATGGGTTTCTGGCACCTTCTTTGAAAAGTACTGGACCAAGACGTCTGGAAGAAAAGATGCGCCTCCAGCGCCGCCAGGCAGCCCGCACAAGTCATGGATGAAGGAGATTGGGCCATGCACCTTGGTGGTAGAGCCCATGATCTTTGAGGCGACGGCGTACTACGTCAAGGAACCAGGCCCAGCTCCGCCCTCGTCCACATCACATCAAGCGCCTCCTCAGCAGCACTTCCAACAGCAACAATACCAGCACCAGTACCAACATGGTCCCCCTCAACAGTACAATCAACAACAACCACGACCCAATCAAAACCCTCCTGCTGGCAGTCCTTATGGAGCACCGTACTCGCATCCTTCCACACAGTTCCAGGGTCGCCCTCATCCACCACCCATCATGCCCGCTACAGCTCGAGCCCCACCACCTCCGCCTGCCGCACCTGCACCCGTCAAACAGTCTCCAGACCCTGTTATTCAGATGCTGGCCTCACGCGCAAGTAGTGATCCCGAGCTCAAGGCACTCATGAAGATTGTAGCCACCGGCAACGCCAACCAAGAGCAATTACGCATTTTCCAGAGACACATAGACGAGTTGACGGCCATGATCAACGCCAACAAGGCTCAGGCGAACAGCCAGACGAACTCTCCCGCTCCACCACAGCAGCATGCTCCATCTCGCCCTTCCTCTACCGCTCCTGCTATAAAACCACATCCTGCGACAACGCAATCGCATGCTCCGATATATCCTATGCCCCAACAGCATCCACAATACCAACATCAACCACCTCCACCACCGAGATACCCAAGCTACCCTATCGTGCTCGAGTTTCAAGGCCCTGGTGCCTCGCCTGACCGCTTCCGCTTCCCTGAATATACTATCCTCGAATTCCTCAATTCCTACAAGATGCTCGCATCGTTCCTCGTCATTCGCAAAGGAAAAGACATCAGCCCTCAACTCGACCCAGATACCGATTACTACGAGCCTGTCACCATGACAATCAGTGTATCTGAAGGTCGCTCGCCTACAAGAGACGTGCTGCAGTTTATCACACGCTGTGTGAAGCCTGCCGATCAGGTTCGCACTTACATGACCGAGAAGATTGAGAAATGTACCCGTGCTCCGACGAGACATCTTGCCTTTAGGCTTCCCCACAAGAGCGGCATCACTGAGGTAGAAGAGGAGATTCCTGTCGTGCAAGAAGTCAAGCCCAAACCTAAGCCAGCGCCTAGAAAGAAGAAGGAAGACAAAGAGAAGGAGAGCGACCAAGCAGGAGAGAAAGATCCAGCAAAGGGTGCTGCACCAGCTCCCATTGGCACGGAGACATCTGTTGCACAAGAAGCTCCTGCGCAAAGCGGGACACAAGCGACACCTGCAACCACTTCTGCCGAATCTTCGATAAATACTCAAGCGGGTACAAATGAGGCGCAAGCTACTACCACTGTGCCTCCACCTTCAGCTCCAGAGTCTGCCCAGCCTGCAGAAGCACCAGCGACAGACAGCACAACTGCAAAGCGCAAAAAGTCTGTTCGCATCTCAGAAGTGCCTGCAATAGGCAACGACAGCACAGCAGCTACAGCAGTTACAGCATCAGATGCCCCAACAATCACAACCTAGATACCCATATTTTCAATCGATCAATTCAGCTAGCAAGTTTTGCTCAGCTTCGCGAGACCTCACATAGCCATTTTCCAAGGAATCAAAGCACAAAACAGTATTTTAAAAAGTTGAATTCAGGTTGTAGAATTTGATAATTATGTACCGAGACTTCTATGGTGATTCGTCCAGGGGTAAAGTGTCACGAATACCTCAAACGCAAGGCCTTGTAAGTGTTGTTCTTGCAAGTGTAGACCTGAGTCTAAACACCAGCTTCTCGATGGAGTGAATGCGAGAGCCGAGAGGACTGACTTGCTGTTTTTTGGGAAGGGGAAAACAAAACCTCGACTGTAAAGAGGAGAGAAAAGAACGAAACGAAACAAACCGTGGTCCTGTCTACTATGTTGTAAACGTGTCTGTAGATATAGATGCGACAATGCTGGTATTTGCTTCTTCCGACATTCGAGAGAAGTGTACAGTATCAGCAATTGTGCCTTTTGACAAAGTTGTGGGTCAAAGAAGGAAGAAAAACAGACGTTCGAGATTTTTTTGCGTAGACGAGCAGATTTGGCGTTGAGTTCTGACACGCCTCGGACAGCATGACAAAACTCTTGGTATCGTGCGTGGGTGGATAACCACAGCCCTTGAGACTTCAAGTATCATACCACACTTTGTAGAACACAAGATTGAATTGTGCTTCTTTTCCCTTCAGAGTAAGTCAAACGTACACTAGAGAATATTTCGCTGCGTGGCGATACTCTCCATCCGAAAGCGCAATTTGCTGAAGGATGATGGCAGGTAAGAAACGACTCTGCCGCATCGAAAATGGGTGTACTCAAGAGCGGATTCTTGTTTCTTGTTTTTACAGTTTCTCTGTATCCTGTTTTTGTGCTTCTTTTGACGAATCCTTGGGTGCAACGACAGTAAGTATTGGGGTTTCCTTCTTTCTCTTTTTGTCTTTTGCTCGCCTTGCTCGCTTCTTTTCGTGATCCCATTTGTACCAAAAAGCTTTTTTTTTTTTCCGAGACGAGATCACTATGAAGTTTGACTATTTTTCTAACTCAGATTTATTGTACAGTGCACTGTATGCCCATAAAATCCATTCTGGCTTCTGGCACGACGTCAATAAGCCCGAGTCCTTTGGGTTTGCAACTCATCAAGTAACTCCCTTTAATATTAGTACTCCCGACAATGAAGTGCTGTATGCATGGCATATCCTACCTCTGGCAACTGTAGCAGCACATAGAGATGCTTTAGCTGCTGCAGATCCTTTTGATCAGAGTTTACCACTGCAGCTCCTGAAGGATGACGCTAAGGCTAGGGTGGTTGTGAATTGTAAGTTTTCTCTTGATCCCTCTTGCTGGATGTTAGGGTTTGGAGTGTTTAGGGCTGATTGAAAACAGTTCACGGTAATGCAGGACATGTAGCCCAAGGCTGGCGTACAGACACCTATCGTGCGCTTTCCAATCAACCACATACCCATGTCTTTACAATCGATTACCGCGGGTTTGGACGCAGTACTGGTGCGCCGAATGAAGCTGGTCTTATCACTGATGGTCGCGCTTTGGTGCACTATGTCCTTTCGCTCGGTATTCCTCCCTCGAGAATCGTTATCCTAGGCCAAAGTCTTGGGACTGCTGTTGCTACTGCTGTGGGCCTTAGTTTCGGCGATCCGACTTCTGAACTCTTACCTCAACCTTTGTTGGGAGAAAAGACAGAGCTTGAAACTGCAGTCTTCAGAAGTATTATCCTAGTGGCACCGTTCTCCTCATTGCCGGATTTACTGCTGAGTTACCGCATTGGAGGTTTGATACCTATCCTGGCTCCCATCCGCAATTCTCCATTTCTGGTTTCTTTGGTTTCCAAGTATATCCTTGATACCTGGCCCACCGGTCTTCGCTTGAACGCCTACGTCTCTTCCACTCTTTCTCCATCTCCCCATAATGGAGCTGGAAACGTACATATCTTGCATGCCATCGATGACCAAGATATCTCTTACGTACAGTCAGAGAAACTTTTTGCGATGGCGACGGGAAGAGAAGTTGAGGCATTGCCGCTGGGAGTGAGGGAAGAGAGGGAAGAGGGTAAGAAGGGGGTCAGAGTTGAGTTGCTGGAGTATGGGATGCATAATCGGGTTGTTACGTTTTCGAACGTTGGGTTGGCTGTTATGAGGGCTTTTGAGGGCTTGTAGAGGTGGGAGGGAGGATGTGGTGAGAATTTGGTGGTGGCTTTGTTCGGTGATGGTTTTGTGGATTTCTTCGTCAGTTGGTGTCTAAATATAAAGGTTTTGGGGTCTTGTGCAGATATGTATATGGTTTGACAACCTCTTGTACGTTCTGTGTCTTGATGTAAAGCTTCACACTTGCTTTCTTCATCCAACAGATAAGAACCACAGTATAGTACCATTTATTATCTTAGGAATAATTCCAAAATGCCATAAACTCAACAAACTCAGCTTTCAGGATAAAGTTCAAGCAGAAAAATCATGATCACTGTTGCTCACCACTGCACCCCTGTATACCGCTGATTGGCTCGCTTAGCAGCAACAGCCGAAGTCTCGCCATGACTGACCACCGCTCTTGCCCAACCAGCAAACAGGGCGCTTCCTTCCTTCTGCGCGTATACAACAGTCATCAAATTTGTTGCTCAACATATGGAAGATATCGCAGAGTTCTGATTCTGTCTGACTTGAAGAGCTATGATATGTTCGTTAGGCCAGGTTGGACCCAAGCGTCCAGATGGCAAGATGATCTCCTTGCGCCTTGCTGGGATTCTGGATCCAGGATATCTTGCTTGGTTATTTGATGTTACTGTATCTACTCTAGCACTTCATTGGGCATGAATGTTCCATATCGGTGCTGCAGAAATGCAGTTCTTGGAGCGAGTTTGAGGGTCTCTTTATTGAAAGTCCCACTGCTTCCAGTTCTCTCTGGACATGAACCTGGAACGGAACAACATTCTGTCCTTTTACTGATACGAAACTACTAGAACTCGATTTTGAGAGAGACATGGTTGCGGCTATGTGCCTGTGGTGTGCTGAGTAAGTCTTGTCGATCTCGAAGACGCAATCTTTCCTCATACTTGATGTTAAGATGCAAAGCTCAATTTGATCTGCTCGGATTGTAACTTGTCCAGTGAGAGCTTTGCTGCCATCGAAGGCGATGCCCATCTCAATGATTTAATCAAGGTGCATTCTGCACTCTCTGTATTGGACAGGGTATGCTCGGCGGAGTAGCTTTCCTACTGGTATGCTTCTGCTGTCGAGATTGAGCTCACTACGCAAGCTCTAAGCCTTTTCCCTTCCCCTCATGACCGGGGATCCTGTATCTGCTAATCAATCCGAATTTATTTCTTCTGCTGATAGCAACGTCGATATCGCGGATTGAGACGATAACCTCTACAACGACAACGATTTCGATATGGCAGCGTGCGTCTTGGATCTCACCGAGGCCCTTTACGATTACAAATGACGAGCCTTACAAAAGGAGGCTCCTATCTTCGTGCCTGGTCAGTCAGTGTCTCTCTGACATCCATTCTGCCTTGGATAATTTCTCGCCTTGCTACACGCAGACACGCCTTGATAATGGAAAACGGGATCATCTGTCTGTCAGTACAGCCTACCGCACCTTGCCATGACAACATCGGCACATCTGACTCCCGCTGACTCCGACCGGAACTACCTTGCTGCCGCTACCAGAACGAGCCAAGATACCGGTCCGCGAGGCGGGAGTCCCCGGCGGCAGCGTAGTAAACATGCACCTATACATTCGCGACTTCTGGACTCCGCGACTCGAGGAAGAACACAAACTACCAGGCCACCAACACCATTCTACAGACAACCATGACCACTCACCGCTGCACACTGTGCCTCCAGTCAAACATCATCAAGGACTGCAATAATGACCGCAACATGAGATCCCACTTGGGCGCTCCTAGCACCCACAACATGGGCCCCTTGGAGTGCCGGATCCCTGGCTGTGGTCATCGCTCTCAGAGACAGTTAGTACAGTACCGATGTAGACCGCATCTTGTCTCTAACCGTCGATCTGCAGAGATCGTAACATCGATCACGGCAACCACCAAGCTGTGTGGGGTCAGCCCCAGGCTCTGGTCACGGCCTTGAACAGAGAGGTTCAGGCCTGTCGTCAGGCTTTTCTCGATGCCGTCGCTCAAGTTGCTCCTCCTGTTGCTGGTATTCCCCCTGCCGCTCAAGGTCATTCCATCGCTGCCCAAGGTCCTTCTGCCCCTGCTCCAATGGTCCACGACCCCGTTCCTGTGGCCCACACCGCCCCTCAAGATCCTGCCGCTGCTCAAGTCCCTCCTGCCGCTGCTCAGGTTCATCCTGCCGCCGCTCAAGACCCTGCGGTGGTCGCTTTCGACCCCGCTCAATTTCCTCCTCCTACCGACTACTTCGAACAAGCAATGGACGAATTCGAAAGACGATACGCAGGCGTAACCCGCGAGGACATTGAGAAGCAATATGAAGAAGGTACGTGGCTTCCCCCATAACATATTCCCATCCTTATTAGCCTTGCTGATCTTTCTCTCACAGAGCAGGAGCTCTACTACCAGTGAGTCTAATCCCACTGCCGTAAGAGCTGGTCTGTCATGGAATGTGAAGAACCAGGAGCCTCTCTCCCAGCCACAAGTCTGGTTGGAAATTCTGCTTGTTGTCCACCGCTTTGAGTGAAGATGGCTTTGTTTTGTTTTGTTTCTGGTTTCTGGGGCTGTTTTCTGTCCTTTCCGAGCTTTATACCCCTCTTGTCACTCTCCTCTGACCTACAAGAGAGTTTGACCCAGCGTCTTCCGGTAATCTGATTTCTTTCATTCTCTTTGCCCCCAACCACAAATACCACGTCTGTGACCGTGACAATTTAGTCAACATGTTTCGTAGTGGAACAAAAAGAATTTCGACTGGTGAGTACATACACGAGTAAGTAATTGTTGGAAGCGTTGTCTCTCCAACCAAAGAATCTTCTTACGCATACTGGAACCTGGTGGTCGACGTGTTGTGGTCTTGTCACGTACACATGTACCTGATTGTTGACGTGTTGTCGTGCTTTCATTCGGCACTCCTGAGTTGGCTCATTGTGTCTTCGAATACTTATATGCCTTCCGACAGGTCAACTTCCTAACTTTCCTCATCAACATCCGGGTCATCAACTCCTTACGCGAGACCATCACCACCACCTCACCTAAACCATCACCATCTCCTCCGATCAAGCAACCATGGCTTACCACTGCCGACGCTGTAAAAAGTATTCCACCGACACCAGACACCACTTCAAATCTCATCTTGGACGTATTGACGACGACCACAACATGGGTCCCTGGGTCTGCCAGGTGCCCGGTTGCCATGTTCGCGCTGTCAGACGGTATGCTACGCCTCGGGCCATCGTACTGTTATTTCTGACTAATCTATGTCGTGCAGTGGCTCGGAAGATCCTCATGAGGGCCATCCTGGAGTTAAATCCACATGGGACAAAGACGAAGCTCTGGCAGAAGCTATTGATGCAGAGCTTGCAGCAAGCGAACGTCCTGATCCCTTGGCTCCTTCTACTGCTGGACCTGCTGGCTCGATTACTGCTGAACCTGCTCACTCTACTGCCGCCGAACCTGCTCCGCTTGTCTATTCTAACACTTCTTCTCCATACCCCCCTCCTGGCTTTCATAGCTGGACCAAGGGTTCTGGTGACCTTCGTCCATATCCCGAGGGCATTCCTACATATCCCCCTAGCCCTTCTTCGTTGATCGCCGCTGGCTCGGGTCAGTCGACTACCGCCCCTACTGCCGCGGGTCCGTCTACTACTGCAAGCTCTTCTACCACTACCGCCCCCTTTGCTATTAACCCCGCCCTCCTCGCGATGAATGCCGCCAACCATGCCACTCCCAACAACCACAATCATGGAGCCAACCATGGTGCCTCAACTCAGGGCAAAAAGAACAACCACAACAACAATGGAGACGGGGGGTCCAGCGCTTCCGCACCCCTTGAATCCTCGATCCCGACCATCCTCGCTCACGGCGAAGACGAAGACACCAACGACTCCGACGACAGCGAAAGCAGCAGAGAGTACCTCATGCGTACTGGAGTGGCCCCCTTGTTCATGGAGGCCATGAAACTTCTGGCACTTACTGATCCTCCTATTGAGAAGCCTTTGCTGTGGGCTGGCAAGTGGTTTGAGGCTCGTAGTCGTGAGATTGAGGGTGTGGATGAGGAGGTTGAGAAAGAGGATGAGAAAGGTGAAGAGGTCAAGGAGGGGGATGTGAAGGGCGAGGAGAAGGATGATGAGGAGGGAGACGAGAAGGATGAGGAGAACAGCATCAAGAACGATGATGAGAAGGAGGTCGAGGTTGAAGGGGACAAGGAGAAGAAGGAGGAAGATGAGAAGGATGTCGAGAACGACATCGTGAACGACATCGAAAATGATGCCGAGAAGGAGCGCCAGAAGGGTGAGGAGGACGTTAAGAAGGACGGCAAGGAGGAGGATGAGAATAAGTAATGGTCTTCCAGCATGAGACCATGACACTTTGCTAGGGTTTACATTGCGGCGAACCTTCTCATCTCCTCTAAGGAGATATTCACGGTGCTTGGGGCGTCTTTCTGTTTTTGTTCTGCGGATTGCCTTTCTCATCACTGGAAGGCGGGTTTACACATTCTCTTGTTGCTCTTTCCTCAAATGGAAGCCAAATCACTTTCTGTGCTTTATTGATCTCTCGTGGGCAGTGAGTGCTACATGTCTTCTCAATCGTTCTTTGCTCAGCATGAACCAAACATGAGCGACAAAAAGTGTCCATATTGTGACAAGACTTACATCAGAGAGCAGCCGGTACACTCTCTTCTCTCGATGATCGGTCAGTGTCTCACAAAACACAACAACCACGTTCATGACCATGATACTAGAGCCTACACTCTCCATAGCCCCAACAGATGAGATTGAGAAAGGGAGTATATGCACGAATGGCTCTGGAGTATCTAGTTGATGAAGAGATACAGCTGACTGTGGTTTGGCGGGTGCGGTGCCCGGATATCGGTGTGGTTTGGTCAGTAATCTTGTGCTCAACTCTCATGCTTTGATAGTAGTTCTTTGCGTTCTATCAGTAACTTGTGTGTATCTGAGGAGTGTTCCAGCATAGTATGTGGTTCTGGTGCCCGAATGTTGATACAATTTAGGCATTACTCCTGTGCTTAACCTTTAGAGTTCAACGATACCTCTGCGTTCCAAAAGTAGCCTTGTTTACAAGACGGAACAAGACTTGGGTGTCATTGTGCTTTGTTTGGCAGCACTAGCCATAACTATGGAGATTGGTTTCTGCCGTACGGTTCTATAGTAGTCTGCAGTGGTTGACAGATATTGCACCTTCCTGGATGGTTGACCTGAATTGTAAGAATTTGTTAATAGTCCAGCAGGTGACCCGGGACGCTCTACAACCATCCGTTTCATGTCGTTTTCGCCAACACTGTCGATGTCATTGGACTTTACAACAGAAGTCAAGCTTGTTCGAATCAGAGTTGGACAGAGAGAGTTGATGTGTCCTCTAGATTGCTTTGGCGAAGATAATTTGTACATCTGTGCACTACATGGCGGCTCACGGCAGACAGGAGATAGTTTGACAATCAAATGGTCGTACAATAAGGCACACTAGTTCTATATGATACGCTAAAGATGAACGAAAAAATCTTTACATGCCACCAACATATCTTTCGACCTCTGCAACAACATCAATACCATACAACCAATCCAGATCAAAGCCTTGCTCATTATCGTCTTGCTCTTCAGATCCTGTGATTTTAGGCAATCTGCGACGATCGACACGAGCATTCAACAGCAAAATTCGCTCAATCCTGTCTTGTCTGAAGCCTTGCCACCATTCCAAATCTTTCTTCTCGCTTCTGCCTTTTCCAAGCAGGATTGATAGCATAACTACATCCTCGACGGCCTGTGAGATGCCCTGGCCACTTGACGGCGGTACGGCATGACAAGAATCACCTACTAGAAGTACCCTTCTGTTGTTAGAGGACCACGATTCCAGCTTGGGGATAACGTAAAATGGCCAGATATTGATGTTCTCGTGAGGAATCTTCGAAGTAGCCGAGACAGCAATATCGCCAAAGACTTCTGCGTCCTCGCGAAGGAAAGCAACAGCAGCATTCTTATCAGCGTAAATCTCTTGCCAGCCTTCGCGTGAGAGCTCAGCCATCCGCTTTTGCTTTCCAATTAGTACTTCACTGCCATCTGCTTTTTGAGGTGCTATGACAAAGGCGCCGTGAGAAGGTGACACAATCGTAACTGGCATCTTGTAGTCCGGAGAAGGTAGTTTGAGATTTGCGGTAGGCACTGCAGCAGTGATCCCAGCAATACCAGTGAATTTTGGCGCAAGGTCGGGATACATATATTTTCTGACACGGCTGTGAATGCCGTCTGCACCGACAAGCAGGGATGATGTCTTGGTGGTGCCATTGACGAGCTGCCAGGTCACTGTATCCTCAGTCTCGAAAACCACATGCGAGAATTTGTGATTGAAGTGTATGGGTATGTTGTTCGCGTTGACCTTCTCAAGTAGTAGATCGATGAGTTCGGATCGGTAGACGCGAAGACCGCTGTATCTGTATTCCTCAACACTTCCGAAGGCGTAAGTTTCCTTTAGAGAGCCGGCTAGGTCACGGAAGTACAGGGTATCGAAGCTATAGCCGAGACGCTCGAGATCATCATAGATGCCCATGTTGTCGAACAGTTTGATGGAGTTAGGGGATAGCATTACAGCACCACCGATGTTTTGGGGCTCTGGACGGGTCTCGTAGATGGCGCAAGGAATGCCTTGAGAGTGCAGAGTGATGGCCAGCGTGAGGCCAGCAATGCCGGCGCCGATAATGCTGATTTCATTGGACATCTTGTTGTGCTTGTTATAAGTAGACGTAACTTGGTAGATTTGAGGTCGTAAATGGTTGATTTGGCAGTGGTTGTGTAAGGCACTGTAAAGAGACGAAAGGGTAAAAGATGATGTGATCAGGTTTACCTACAAGTGCGTGAGATAGCTGCTTATATACTCTAGGAACAGGCATCATCTCGTTGTATACTCAACCGGACAGTCTTGCGTGCGTCGGCCGAGACGAGGAAGTCCTAGTCGGTGGTGACTGTGGGCCATCGTAAGAGTGTTTAGAAATCGCGGATCCATACAATTCCGGACTCGAGTCAGCATGGGCGGCGCAGGTGTAACTGCTGGAACCATAATCAAATTTTGTGGCTCCACAGGACGAAGATGGAGGATGTCGTTGGCAAGAGAAGGAGCCACCGCCTCGGCTCCGAGAGCGGAGATGTAAGTCCGAACGGCCGACTGCAACTCCTTCTCCGCGTGCTTCTGCCTTCGTCAGCAACCAACACATCAGAGGATTGTGGCTCTCAACAAGACCGTAAGTGCTGTGGACATTCTCAGATAGTAGATCAGCATAAGTAGGTATAAAGATAAGTCTGGCGCCGCCGTGGCCTCAAACCTCAAACCAATCCCATCCGTCAAAGACACCATCACTTGAGCAACTCCTTTGAAATCACTCTGCAAGCCCTCATTCAACAATATCCCAGCAAATCCAAAAACTTATACTATCAAACACCCGATCATCCATCATGTCGACCAAGACCTCCACCAACCTCCCAGACATCCTCCTCATTGGAGCCACAGGACGTACCGGCCGCCTCGTCCTAGACTCAGCGTTAAAGCGTGGCCACAAAGTCGTCGCTCTGATCCGACCATCCTCATCTCTACCACCCCAAGCCAATCTCACAGTCTCCAAAGGCTCTCCCCTGGAATCGGCCGCCATCACCACTGCTCTTTCCAAAACTACAGGTCCAGTCGTCATTATCAGCACACTCGGCCAAACTCGTACATCCGGAAACCCTTTCGCCGCAACCACGTCTCCTCCACTCTTGATGGCCCACTCAGCCAGCGCAGTGGTACAGGCAGCAAAAGCTCCAGATTCCAGAGTGCAGAAACTCATCCTGATGTCGATGTTCGGTACTGGCTCCTCCTTCGCCAACCTCAACTGCCTGATGAAAGCCACCATGCTCTACTCAAACATGAAGCAATCTCTTGACGACCAAAACGCTGTTGATGAAATCGTCAAAAACAGCGGTTTGACATTTGTGATGCCTAGACCTGCTATGTTGAAGGGTGAGGTCGCGTTGCCGGTCAAGTCGCTGGGTGATGCAGGAGAAAAAGCTGGGTTTATGCCTTCTGTGAGTGCGCGCAGCTGTGCTGAATTTATGTTGGATGCTGCTGTTAGTGGAGAGTGGGATGGTAAGACACCTGTTCTCTCGAATTAGAGTTTAGATTTATGCCGTATGATTCAATAGAACTAGTGCTTCTGAGGAAGTTATTCTATCCTCCAAAAGTATCGTGTATTTTGACAAGCGACAACAAGACTTACCTGCCGTGCAGAGGTCGTGATAAACGACAGTCGGGTTATATGTACCTGCCGCCACTACTTTCTTAACTGCACTCGTCATAATAGGTGACAGTGACGGTTTCACGAGATATGATCGAGTGGTTCTCGTCGTTGGTGCTCTGCGGCAAAACCATTGTCAGAGTGATGGAGGCATAGCTTGCAAGAATTTGTTCATGGACGCGAGATTCGTCCTCGATGGAACCCGAGCATGAAGAAGACGAAAAGATGGTTTGAATCACATGGCCGTCGCGACTGCACCCGAGTACCAACGCGGCTTTCCATCTCGTCGAGTATTCTGCATGCAAACCATGACCTACACACCGCTCTCGCACCATGGAGACTGTGCTCTTGTATGATATGGTTGCAGACGTGAGGTTCGTCCTTGATCCTGGTAAGAGAAAAAGGAGCCTAAGCGGGTAGGAAAGCCTTGATCTTCTTGCAGGCATCTTGGTTGGTCGTCGTTGTTGTGGTTGTCGAGAGGAAAAAGAAGAGGGACACAAATATGCAGAACATGAGCTTTTATATAAGGTATCCAGTCCGTGCGCAAAGATAATAAGAGATGAACGGGCTTGCAGTGCCTTCTGCTCTTCCCAGAGCTCGTCAAAGAGGTTGTCAAGATGCTTGTTCAGATGCACACCCAATGGTATGAAGAAAGATGAGAGATGGGTATGTACAATCATGCCGTGCAGACATGACACTGAATTTCATATCAAACAACAATTAAATATCGTGAAATCTAAAGGCGTGTTAAGCGATCAGCAACCAGGCTGTTCCGCAAAGAGTGAAGAGAATAATGACAGCAGTGATAGCACCAGCACCAGCTCTGTCACCGAGAGTTATAGTCGACAAAACAATCGCCTGACCGTTTGAAGACGATGTGCCACTTGAGCCAGTACCAGCATTTGGATCGCTCTTGCTGGTACCGCCAGAGACTGATGTATATGGCGGCTTCAAAGACACAACATTGATCATGTTTGTCTGAATCACACCTAGAGCGCTCATTTGTTCACCTACGCCGTAGGTGCCGTCCCAGACGGTACTATTCCACCTCTTGCCGCAGGTCATGCCATCTGATCCACCGTCACACTGTCCGGCAGCGCCTTTAGCAGATGGCGCCAGCAGATCGAATATTCTGTCATGGTATTTAGGAGCAAGTTGTGCAGTAACGGCCATCCACTGAGCGAGATGGGCTTTGAAGGATTTTTGATCGTTGTTGCAGTTTCCGAGGGGTTCGCAAGTCGTCTCGACCATGATGTTGGGACCCATGTTCGCAGGGAAGAAGGTGGCAGTCGTTGTGTTTAGCATGCCGTCGATACGATTGAGCCAGATGTCGTTCTCAGTCTACAGAAAGCACGGTCAGCTGAGTACGCAAAAACAAGTCGATCAATGAAAGACATACGTGGTTGTACATATAGGCAAAGCCGGCCAGGAAAACACCGTATGTGTAAGACCATTGCTCTTGACTGCCCTGAGAACAATTGGTTGTTGTGCTTGCACCATCGAGAATCTTGTAATCTTTTGCGTCCCATAGAGCCGAATCTTCATACCAATCCCAGACTTTGTTGGCCCAGTCGATATATGTCTGATTGCCGGTATAGCGACCGAGACGAGCAGCGAGATGGAAAAGACCTCCGTTAGAGATGGCGTTCTTGTAGTTGTACCCGACGTTAAAGGAGTAGATCTGCCAGCGAAGACCACCACCGCAGGATGCAGTGTCCCATCGATCTGTTTGCTCGTTGAAAACGGCTTGTGCTAGCGATAGCCACGAGGGGGAGCCTTCCGGAGGATCTTCGAAACCGACTTCAGCAGCTGTCATTGCGGCGAAGGCCCAGAAAACTTGATCGTCGTTTCCCTGACTAGGTCAGCATGCTACAAGGCAAGCCATGTGTTTGTGTCGCCCTTACCAAGCTCTTTGTCTGATTGGCCGGCATGTAATCGTTGTTGTCTCCAACCTGATGTAACAGGGCTTGCTTGACCTCGGCGTTGTATGTTGTGTCTCCAGTGTAGTACCAGTATTCGACCATCTCTCCAAACATTGCGCCAGCCTCCCACCAGTAGTATGGCGCAGGCAAGTTTCCAGGTACATCTCCAGTGTGGTTGCCGGTATACCACTTCATCAATCCGTATGCGACTTGCGACGAGACCTCCCTAATGGAATCTGTGTAACACCCTGATCAGCTTGATGTGATCAATGGCACTCAGACTCACTTCACTCACCTGCACTGGTCGTGTCCAAGGTCAGAGCATTGGTATACGCTGTACAGAGACATAGCAATACTGCCTGCAACAACCGTTGCGGTAATGTTGAACGTGTCATAGCGACACAGCAAAAGAATGTATGGGGTAAGTGTGAAAGAAGAAAGAGAAGGGAAAGGAGATCAGGAACCAGGGCGAAGCAGTGGCGCTACGACATTACTATACTTACTTAGACTATCGATTTGAATGGTGATTGACAAGCGCCTTACGGCAAGCTTTGATCCCAAGGGTTCGCCATCTACCAAAGAGGGTATAAGGCTGCAACACCCTGCAACAAACGTTTCGCACCACGCATGCCAAAACGGTGTGTTCCTGGCGTTCTTTGGACCACGCGGCAGCCCCTTCCGGCCTAAAATTGTGCTGGAAGCTTTCGAGTCGTGGATTTTGTCTTCAGATGAAGCTTCGTCAGGGGTAGCCTAGCCAGTCGAACAACTTCTCCTGATTCTGATGCCCTGTCTGGATTGATCCGCTGACTTGAAGCACCAAGATCAACACCAACACCAACATGCTCCGATACGATGGGTAACAATCACGAATCGTCAATCACTTGACCGATAGGATTGAATGGTTGTCGGGGAATCGACCGCAGGAAGATGAAACGTGCTATCCGCAGGCACGGGCCACAAAAGCTCATCTCGCACTGCTCCGCCTCAACGACTATCTCTGTCCCCGTATTCTCGTATGTTCAAGAGCAGGGCAATATGCAGGAGATTGCTTTATATTCAGGTGCTATCGCATGTGGAGAGTCGAGAGACGCCGCCTATAAGCCTTCGAGATTTCATGGCATGGCTTCAAGTCTTTCATGTTCTTTCTGTGTTATCATTGAATTCGTATATCTCACGACCAGACAATCGATTTCACCTGCCAAGAGCACGACGTTCTCTGAAGAAGATTTGTATGAGTACAAAACCGATTTGAGTACTGATACAGGATGTGATCTTCTTCTCTCAATAATGAGTCTGTTGTGCCTCGCCAAAGCACACATGGCCATAGTCCGCTATTCCCATGCGATCGATCATGCTTACTTTGGCAGTGGAATAGTCGCATAGCTAGCCATAGCCTTCTTGTTTGCCTCTGGAGTCATGACCTTTCCATTACCAATGTACTTCGCTAAGAGCTTGAAGTAGTTGACGTAGAATGCTGGCGTGAAAGTGTTGATGAACTTGGCCTGCTTGTCCGTTGGATTGGAGAAGGTGTGAGGCGCTCTGATGGGCACGACAACGTAATCACCAGCGTGCGCGTCAACTGTCTTGGTCGGTTCTGATGCCGTAGTCGTGTACCAGGTGAACCTGATGGTTCCTTCGGTCACTTGTGGATGTTAGTGTCGGACATGTTGAGCCTTGCAGATGCAATAACGATACCCAGGAAGGTCTCATCGTGCATCTCATGCCAATGCGGAGGAGGACCAGAAGTATTGGCAGGAACAGTCAACTCAACTGTACCGATTCTGTTGTCTGTCCATTGCAATGTGAGTCAAGAACAAACGAGATATCAGCCTAACCTCACGCACCTGTCCTTGAACCATCCTCCATGATCCTGATGGTCAACTGTCCCAAAGCAAACGTCTCGCCTTCTGTTGCAGGGACGAAGTTGATCGGCACTTGAGGGATCTCGCCCGAAACATCGGGGCCTTCAGCCTCGATGCTTGCCATTTTGGAGGTGTCTTCGTAACTAGATGTAAGCCTTTGCAAATTTGATGATCAAAGAGGCAGAGCTGTTTTGTTCTTTGAACTTCAGCAATCGCGGTCAACTCAACCAAAGTGGAAGTGTCGGAAGTGTCAGCATCATCTTCGGACCCCGCATTGAATCTCGAGCTTCCCCTTGAGCACCACCAACAGCTGTCCAGCTTTCGTTTCCATCAAAACTTCGACATGAGAAAACACCCATCGTGACCACACATTCTTTTGGATGAATAGATTCGCGTCTATGTCTCTGTTCACAGCTATGATGTAACTTTTGATCTTATCAAGGTTGATCTTCGATGTAGCTATCGCTTCGGCATAGGCCAAACCCCGCACCTGCTCCTGCTGGAAATCATCACGAGAACTCCTTGATAAGGACAACCTTGACCGACGACAACCGTCTGTAACCGACGACTACATCTCATATCAAGAAGCAGATATCTAAGTGTCTCCTCCTCAACTGACAGCTGTCTCCAGAGCTCTGAGAATCGAAACTTATTCCTCATCACTCGAAAGCATGAATATTACCAAACATAATCTACACTTCCACAAAACTTCTTTCTTGCCGGGACAGACCTATATAATTTGCCAGTCCTTACGACACCAATCGTCCCTGGTTTCCAGACATCCGACTACCTCGCCTGTAGAAGACCCAAAGCATCAACCATCCCAACTGCACCGCATATCTACCGTGAACCTCATTCGCAACATCGTCCTCGGCAGAGTATTCACATCGCCATTTCTGTTCAAGTATGGTGTGGCATGTCTATCCAAGATAGCAAACTCGCATTCAGCATTGCTGGATCCAGACAGAAATGCATTGCTACGAGCTCTGATCAAGCCAATTATCTACGACCACTTTTGCGCTGGCACGAATAAGCAGGAGATCAAGAGAACTCTGGAGTATCTCAAGACCATGGGGTTCAAGGGTGTTATTCTCATCTATTCGAGAGAGATACCCGCTATGCCAGTAGAAGAATTGCATGAACTAGAACCACTGACCAAAGATGAAGACATCGATATATGGCGAGATGGAAATGTAAAGACGTTGGACATGGTTGAGCCAGGCGACTACGTCGGCATAAAGTAAGTTCAAGCACGATGATGCTGCCAACGACTTGCTCTGACGAGCGTCAAAGATTCACAGGTGCTGGACCTCGAGTTGCGCAGGCTCTAGCTCAAGGTAGAGATCCACCGCAACAGCTCTTAGATGCCATGTCCGCCACCTGCGAGCGTGCCGCCGCGCAAGGAAGTCGGCTTTGGATCGACGCTGAGCAACAAGTCTTTCAGCCCACCATCGACCGCTGGACGGTCGACATGATGCGACGTTACAATACCAAGGGCGAAGCTTTGGTATCGTTGACTCTACAAGCCTATCTCAAGTCTGCCAGAAGCACTCTCGAGAAACTGCTACAACAAGCCCGTGACGAAAACTGGACACTGGGAATCAAGCTAGTCAGGTATATTCCGCCCAAGTGTTTACTGATCGTGTCCAATATTCATTAATACCCAGGGGCGCATACATCGGCAGCGAGACCCGCACCTTAATCCACGACACCAAGTCCCAAACAGACGAATGCTACAACAGCATAGCCGCCTCCCTCGTCACAAAATCCTTCTCGCGCTTCAGCAAGCAAGATTTTCCGAATGTGGAATTGTTCCTCGCAGGCCACAACTCAGACTCCATACGCAAAGCTTACGCTTTATATCAAGGTCTATTGCAAAGAGGTGACACACCTCCGCCCATCAAATTCGGTCAATTGTTAGGCATGGCCGACGACATCAGTTGTGAATTGCTAGCCATGGGCGACAAAGCGGCAGGACAAACTGAAAAGACAGCTGCAGCTCCCATGGTGTACAAATGTATGAATTGGGGGAGTGTGAGAGAATGCATGCACTATCTCGTGCGAAGAGCAATGGAGAACCAGAGTGCAGCCCTAAGAATGCAAAGCACTGTCAGTGTAATGCAGAAGGAACTGCGAAGGCGCATTGGATTGTGAAGATTGCCTTTTGGAAGCATTGGCTAGTGAAGCCCCACGATGCTCACATGTTGCTTACATTGACGCAATCATGTTCAGATTATATCTTATACACCCCTGCATCTGGACTTGCAGCCGAGTTTGCTTGTGTCCGCGGACTGTCTCCGTATCGTCTTGAGCCTTGAAGCTCGTTTGCAAAGTTTTGACCTCAGCGACGCTCTCTCTCGATCTCTGCCACTTTCTACGCCCTGTTCCGCGCAGTCGTAACGCACAACCACGAGCGATTAGTAACTCGATCGCTATAGGCTCTGTTGGCATCGCGTGTCGTGCTGTGACGCCCCTATCATGCTATTTGCGAGAGGTGAATCCCTTTGAATCTGGATGGAGGGGCTTCAAGAGCTCTTGCGTAGCGGTATAAGACCGCACACATGTTAAAACAAAGCGCTGATTGACACATAAACATAGTTCGCTGATACGATAAGCCTTAGCCGTGGGTCGACACTTGCAGCCTGCAAGGCACTGCTTTACGTACCAAACCCTGGTAGACGGATGTCTAGGAGATTGGCAAAAATGTTGTGTAGGTGAGGGAGAGACAAAGGAAGGGGAAAAAATAGACCAGGTGATCGAAGGGCAGGAGGATGAGGTTGTTCAGATGGAGCGGGAGAGTCATGGTGATGACTATTGTGAGAAAGGGTTGACAAGGAAAAGATGCAACGAGATTGAGTCAACAATTTTGAGAGAGAGACAGAAGAGTCAAATGATGTTTATGAGTTGTGCGCTGATTGTTGATCTGTCTATCGCTTTTTGTATCACCCCATATCTCTCTGATCCTCCAGAAACCACAACGTACTGCTTGATGCCACCATTCGTCATGTCAATTTATGTACAGCTAGGACCCACGCCAGTGATCCATCATAGCAATATTTCCCATTCGTCCATCGTGATAATGTTTCATGCATATGTTGTAGATGCGCTTCTGCCGCTCATACCAACCCAACGATCAATCTGGCCACAAATAATAAGAAAACGGTCTTTACTAGATTCAAAGCGCGAGTGTCTCGTAACGTACCACAGGCATCGCTGGTGAAGGGCTCCAGCAGGGCCTCCTTGGTGACGTTCAAAATATTGGCGCCATCCGTCGTCAAAGTATTCAACGCATCAGTGCCCTCCCAGATACTGACACCGCCGAATCTTTCCTGGCCAACACGGTCCTTGGTATACTCGACAAGATCGCCAAAGACATTGGGGTCGACATAGCCACCGCCATTGTTATAGTTGTTGAAACCGAGGGCGCCGATGTAGAAGCGAGGGTAGTGGGGACCAACGTTTGAGTCTACGCTTTCGAGGAAGTGAGACCATGCGGTGACGGAGTTGTTGTAGCCTTTGCCGCCGGCTTTGCATGCGTTTGCGTTGTAAAAGCGCGGCCAGATGAAGTTTGCATTTTGGTAGAAGCCCCAGGGCATGACGGTGTTGTTTGCGCAGAGAGGGGAGGCGCTGATGTAGCGGGCAGGAGTGGACGTCTTGAAGAGCGATTGCAGGGTGCCGGCAAGGACGTCGACGTAGCTGGTATCGGCGTAGTTCTCGTAGTCTGTGGGTCGCGTCAGCGGGGTGATCAGTATGCGATGTCGAAAGGAGTACCGAAATCAAAGCCGTCTAGAGTGACATTGCCAAAGGGCCTGGCATTGGGAGTGTCTGTGCCAGCACCAAAGATGTTCCAGAGAGTCGTGGCCGTTTGCTGCGCATCCGTGGCATTGGCGAGGTCCAGGTCGCTACTGGAACCGCCCAAGCTGATGGTGACTTTCTTGCCCAAGCTCTGGCAGCGAGTGATGTTGGCTGCCAGATCAGGACAGGTGATGCCAGTGAAATTGGCAGGTGGCTGATACGGCGTCTTGCATGAGCCAATATCAAAGTTGGGTTGCTTGTTGGGGCCATTGAAGCCACGGATGAAGCCCATGACAATCATGTCAATGTCGTCGAGACTGCAGAGGTCCCATAGCGATGGGTTCGAGTTGTATTGTGCCTTGCCATAGTAGACGGCGAGGATGTTGTTGCTGAGCGGATCAAACGACGAGGGATACTGCGGCAGTGTCTGTCTCGGAAAGTAGTATTTCAGGTTGTTGCTGTTTGTTGATGGTGATGTTGACGTCGATGAGGGAAGAGCGAGCGCCAAGCTTCCCATCCACGCCGTCGCTGCCAGCAATCCCGCAACAATCATCTCTGCTCTGTCGATCTATCGCGTGAATATTCTGCTAAAATCCTCTACGGCCGTGTCGCAAGGGTTATATATCCTGCCCTCGTTCTCGCTTCTACAGTTTTGCTCACACGAGCCCGTTGTACTTTATTTCCGTCGTCAGAGGGAGACCTGGTGTGACGAGCGACCGTCAATCGCCTGCCTTGCGCTGCTCGCTCGTTGCTGCACTCCCAAAGCCTCGCCCTCAACGCCCCGTTGGTATGAACACAACCGTTGCTAACAGCAGCCCGCTATTGCCTCAGCACTGCAAGACGAGAAGTGATCACCCCATCTAGTCGACATCTCGGCAATTGTGTCCAACATGATCAATTCTGTCGGACAAAATTCCACCTCAGCTCTGCTCAAACAGCTGAACCAAGCCATCATGCTTCAATTCACTTGAGACCACCGAGAAGCTTTTGATAGTATAATGCTGTTGTGGTATTATATTCGTAACTCATATAGGTCGTAACATCATAAGCTAAAAGAAATAATGACAAAGGAAAAAGGAAAAAAAAAAAAAAGTGCTTTTGGGACACCGCCATTCTCACAGTCCTGCTGCGAGAAGGCCCACAATCTTCTCCCGAGGGTCATCTTCATCAATCTCGTTGACTTCGGATTCGCCCTCTCGGTCTCGACTGGCTAACGAGTTGGGTCTTGGTGAATTTGTTCCGATGCTTGATTCCTCGGTGATGATGGACATGATAGAGCCGTTGCGAGGCTCAAGGCTTTCGAGGAGTCCTTGCTGTGTCTCTGCCTTCTCTTTTTCGGCCACTTCGGCAACGGCGGCTGTGGCTGCGGCTGCTGGTGCTGCACTCGTCGCACCATGCGTCAGCCCCCATGCTTGTGAGCCCAGGTTCTTGACGACAATTGTGAAGACGCAGACAGACATGATGGGCGCCATGAACTTGTTAATTACCAGCCCCAGCAAGATCTTGTGAGCTCGTTGGCGAAGCTGTTTGTTTGTCGCCGTGTTGATGAGAAACCAGAGTGTCGGCAGTTGTGAAACGATCAAAAGTGGGATGATGGACATGAGGTCGAAGCTGCTGACAAGTCCGTATATGAAGAGAATCGTGTTGGCCACACGGTAATATACCAGGCTGAGTCTTGTCACTTCAATGCACGCCCACAGTCGCGTGATCCAGATCATATTCTCGCCGGCAAAATAAAAGTAGTTGTTGAAATAGGCGTTGCTACCCCAGCGTCTTCGCTGACTGAGGTAGTGCTTGAGTGATTGCGGAGCCACGGTCTCACTGACTGCATCCGGTACGAATAATGTGTGTAGGTCTTTGCTTTGAGACAGCATCGAGTAGGTGAGCCTTCGGTCGGTGCCCAAGTATTGGACTTGGTGTAAGAGCACAGGGTATGCAGTGATAGGAGCTGCGTATCTAGTCATTGCTCCTGCCATCTCTGGTCGTACTGCGACCATGGTGATGCATCCAGGAAGGCAAGTGACTTTACCCCATACACTCTCAGCTTGTCGTCTGACGAACTGACCAAAGTTGTACTATTGCAAAGTTAGCACGGTTCTTTTCTCCACAGATCTGGTTCAACTTACTTGAAATTGCTGGTACAAGTTCCAGTAGGACCATTCTGCACCAGCTTCAAGCTCGACCAGCACCAATCCACAGGAGGCGATGGCCTTGGGATCGCGAACGAGAGCATTTGCCAGACCTGCTACAGCACCTTTGTGAATGACCGAGTCGGCATCGGTACAGAAAACCATATCGAATCCAGGGAAGCTTTCGCCAACAAGGGATGGCAACACGTTCCTCTCGATCTCCTTGCGTAGTAACTTGGTGTAGAGAGGAGCATCTTCTCTCATGACATTGAAGAGGTCATGGCACAAGATGAGCGAATCCTTCTTGCCTGCATTCTTGACCTTCTCAAAGACGATGACTGGTACATCTTCCATGAATCCAGCTGTGATGACCACTTCATTACGCTTGAACCTCGATGTAACGTATTTGCGCTTGAAAGTGGTTGTGATACGCATGTACTGCTTGACGTCTCTTGGTTTGCCATCCAGGATAATGCACATGACTTGTTTATGTGGCTGGGCGTCGTTGTCTCGGAGCGAGAAGACACAGTTTCTGATCATTTCTTCCGACTCCGAGAAGGCAGGGATCAAGGACAAGATCCATTTCGACTCGACTGGTGGTGGCGGCTTGAAGAATTCTTTGATCGCCTTGTAGATCAGATACAACAGGCCGATGATGGAAGAGATACAATCCTTGGACTTGATGAAGACGATGAATGACAGTACCCAACGTCCCGAGATGTTCTTAGGAGCAAAGAGTGCAAACACCAACATGGCAACGTTGATGGCGAAAATGTTGCTGCTGAAAACTACGCGCTGTTTGATCAAGTCGTTTCGAGTCAAATTGCGGCAGGGGTCGACCGGGTCTGCAATTTCTGGATATGTCGTGGTAACAAAGGTCTCCTGCGTCGTGGGAATGACATGCTCTTGGTGTGTGCTTTTTGGCTCCTCCGTAACAGTCTGCGGTGCCGCAACTGCTAATTCTGGTTCCGTGGTCTTGTTCTCTTTCTCTTGGTCAAGATCAGGATCTAAAGGCTTCACACCTCCAATTAATAGTCCACGGTCCTTTTCGACCACCGGGTCGAGCTCTATGACCGGCTGGAAAAATGATGGTTGACGCAATCTAGTGTGCGGAAGTGCGTCCAAGGTGGTGAGATCCGATTTGCTTCTGAAAGGATCTTCAGTCAGGGATCCTGAACGAGATCCTGAGCGAGATCCTGAACGTGACGATTGACGTGAGCCTCGTCTCCATGAACCAGTATCCACAAGGGTTGCATCAGAGTCCAATCTCTGGAGTTTTGCATGAGTTGGTTGTAAGGGACTGATGCCTGGCCTCCAGTTGAAAGCACCCCATTCACCTCCACCCAGACGAGGTGAGCCAGACTGAAGACTTGTTTTGTTAGGTGTTGTTGGACGAAGATCTGTAGGGCCGCCTGAACTTCCAGGCCGTGAGTTTGCTGACCCGCGGCGTGATGACCCAGGTCTCTGAAGGTCTGTGGATTGCGAGTCACCAGGGACAACTTGTAGTCGGAACTTGCCCTCATTTGTCCTCGATGGGCGACGGGTGAAGTCAACAAGTGTAGCCTGTGAGTCTTGTCGCTGGTTGCGTTTCTGCAGAAACTCCCTGAAGTCGGGTCCAGCCCTGGAGTGTTTGCGTAGATTACGCTGTGCATGGTATCTTGCGGAAATGTCAGATGCAAAGTTGTCCAAGCCTAGTCCTTGAGGTGCGGCATTGGTGTGTGCTTCCGCCGGCACCTGTATCGTAGGCACCGCATTCTTTGTGCTGCCATACTTGGGATGGTCTTCCGAGTAGAGCGGATAGCTGTTGTTAGTATCGATCTGGTCAGTCATTGGGTCATGACTGTGTTGTGCAGTCGAAGTCAGGAGGGACAGGGCGCGAGCATCTCCGATGGGATTCAGAAAGAACCATCAGACCTGGCGTTCGAGATATGTATGAATCTGCTGCCGAGGCCGATGAAGGATTGCCACGTCTAGAAAGCCACTTACTACGCCTAGCGGGACGGTGGATCGTTGCCTCAAAGCGGCCAGCGTTGAAGACTGGAACGTGGTGAATTAGAGACGGCTCCTTAGTGAATAGGGCGAGAGCCCTGTTTCATTCTCACGCGACATGCTGAATAGCAGGGCAAGCTCATGAATCCTATCGTTTTTGGCAAAGAGGAGACGGCAACGTTGGAAGGCCGTTGGTCATCCTGAGATAGAGCTTGCTCTAGATGTAAAGTGCAGACGAGCAAGACGCTTATAGGACGGTAAGGCTGACAACGGCATGACGAGACTCTGCACTATTTGCCCAAGATGACACAGGAGAGAGACAACCAGAGTCCAGAGTCGTGCGAACAAATATGGGGAACGGATCTGGCCAAACCCTTAGTCATGCGCATCCTCGACCAATGTTGGTATCTGTTAGACACACATATGATCGCTGGGAAGATTAACTGTATCGTTGTTGTTCTGGCTGCTTACACTGTAGACCATCGGTTCCTGTCAATGTGGATCTTCGCGACTGTTCATCGCGTCCGGCTACGATGTACTCCTGGCAGTCGTGGTTGCTCCAGCAGTTGGTCAGAATGCCGAGTCATTCAAGGTTTGCATTCTGCCACGCCAACAGTCAGTTCGTCGAAGCCGTTGAATACATTTCAATGTCGAACGGTCGGGGTATTGGAGTCTCGTCTCCAGTCTACCGGAAGAGACAAACCCAGCTACCCAAGATATAATTATTGGCTGGGCGCAGCACAATTTTGCAAGTGTCGCAACATCGGGAAACACTTCGTCTGATCACAGGCAAAAAGCAGTGCGGCGAATGTCGAGTGTTCTTCTTGCAGTTGCTGTGTCGCGCTCTGAGCGGCTCTTTCCTGAAGAGGCGTCCGTTTGATAGAAAACGGTTCAGCCGGCACGTCACCTAGCCAAGGGTCAATATTTTGAGTAACGCCTTTTTACTGTTGGGCTGTGCTGTGGCACTACGGGTGGCACTGCGGGTGGCAAGCCTCCGATGGTAGTCTTATGCGAGTGCATCGGGACGACATGTTGCAGTCGGTAGAGGGAACGAGAAACGTGGGAAGAGCATGGCAATGGTCTCAGCCGACATGCACGTGTTTCGCCAAACCGCCAAATTCGCAGAACGGTCTCTGTTCGTTCCTAAGGCAATCCACCTTTCATCCAAGGCTGGATTTGCTATAGCCAAAGCTTTAATATAGTAAATGTGCCTCCAATGGTTCATCGAGCTTGGACGCCAGCTCGGGGCACCACGATCTCAACCTTAAACACAAATCATGCGCGATACCTTTCTGATCCCCATACTCAAGGACCACACGTTGCATTAGTGTATCTGATTGGACCGAACAATGTCGAACAGGCAACGAAAGCAGACTCCTGTCACGCTGCCAGATTGATCTGGGGTGTAGGGAGAGACAATTCTGAAATTCTCAAATATTGGTATAGCAAAAACCAGTCAACGGTCAAAAGGACCCGAAACCAATTGCAAAAGCATAATCATAATCTCATGTTCTCTCATAACTCGCTTACATTCCAAATGATAGACTCTCTCCCTCTTGCCAGGGCTTATATGTGGCTTGAATATAGGTCGAGATCAGTCGTAGAATACCAAACATCTGACCTCAATGCTCTGTCTACCAGGTGCATCTGCCGGAGTCTGAGGGTCGACAAATGCAGTATGCGGTGTGCCGTGAGCTAGACCAGGAGTGCTGTTTGGCGACCACTCACTTCTGCTGTCAAAGCACTTGAGAAGCATGACCTCGTCAGGCGTCATGTCCTTCATATAGTAGAACTTGTGCTTGTCTGAAGGGGCAACGGCATAAGTCTCACCCTTGGGCTCATATCCTTGAGTAGAGGTCATTGAGTTGGGATCGGGCAAGACTTCCTTTCCTCGGTCGTCGTTGTCGCCATCTGTGCGTTTCGGGTACAGCAGGTCGACCTTGACAAAGTCTTTCTGGGTTGTTGTGCGCCAATCAATGACGGCCAGAGGGAAGTCGCTCGCGTTGTGACCAATGGGCCTCCAGACATTGATGATCTGGTAACGACCCTTGAGTAACTCTTCTGCTTCGTCGGCAGGCAGATGGCGGCGAACTCGAATTTCCGCAGCAGCCGGTGTCTGATCTACGTGAACCTGCTGAACAGGCTGACGAGGCGAGGCCTTCTCTCTGCGACGAATGGTGTGATCAAAGATGACAACCTTCTTGATTCCCGGGATCTGCTGCTTTAGGACTTGTTCCACCTCTTTGTAGTAGCCTTCGCGGACAGCGTTATCATCTGTGAACTCCTTCTCTTTTGACGGCGAGTTGTATACGGCGAATCCGGCAGTATCGGTGTTGAAGTTTGCTTCTTGACCACGAAGGTTCTCGACTTGGCGCTGATGATCAATCAATCTGAACGAGTATCCAGGACCATCGACTTTGCCCCATGGCTTCTTGAAGGCTTCGGTCGCGTTCGGATCAAACGAGGTAGGATCGATGTACTTGAAAGCGGCTGTAGTCATTGTGCTTTGAGGTCTAGTAGCAGTTTGTGTGATGGGTGACAGAATTGGACGCAAGATTTGTAGTGTGCGTGGGACTCGAGACAAGCTCATGAGTGTGTAGAGTGGAAATGTGGAAGATAAAGGCTTTTGATACTTATGACATAGGAGGGGCAATTGATTTAATATATACCGCTCGAAGGCGGCGCGCAAATCGTAGAAACACAGCGGGTCGCCGTCCGTCGTGGAGATGACGCGATTGTCGATTATGTCAGCGCTGCTGAACAATCATGCCCATTTCTCATCAAACATGAAATTGGTCTCGACATTTCCACTGCCGAAACTCGGGGATGCTAGTTACCGGATTATGAAGACACTTCTGCATATCTTTCCTACTGCTTGTCATTTGCTGACCTTGCCTGAGTATTAGAGCGATATTGATGTCTAAATTCTTGAGAATCGACGTCCGATATCTCCGTGGTATGCTCAGATTGGCATTTCAGCTCTGCAAACGTTCTTTTCGCGGGAACAGCCACATCCAACTCGTATGACTGACACAAAATCCAAGCGAAACATAGATTCACAGGCATTGATTATGGCGTTTGTTTCAACAATCATTTGATTAGGTGGTATCTCAGACTATAGGAAAAAAGAATAGAGCTCAGGGTTGTACCAGCAACATCATGACTCTACCAAACACACAGCCGCCTCGCTTAGTGGTAGAAGGGGTTTGCAGGAGCAAAGCCAACAAGTCTGTTGTCCTCATCAGGTCTGAGCATAGGCTCTTTGTACCACATGTGGGCATCCTTGCTGAGCTTCTCGACCTCAGCGAAGTCGAACTTTTCGCCGTGCTTGTAGTTGGTCATGTCGTACACAGCTTGAGCGTACTCAGGAGCGACGTTGTAGATCTGAGCAAGGAACTTCTTCTGAATGATAGGGTAGTTGACGTTGCTCATCATCTTGGCCGTGTTCGAGTGGAGGTTGGCACGGGCGCCATCATCCATGACACGCTTGTACAGCTCGCGGACCTGGTCGTACTCGCTGACCTTGCACTCGTGGTAGTAGTGACTCTTGCGGCTCACAACGTTGTCTGAGACCTTGTATGGTGCTTCGGCCACATCGGGACGGAACTTGTGGGCAAAGCTGTTGGGAGTGTACTGCTTGTTGCCAGCGTGGTTGGCGTCTACACGCATCTGACCATCGAAGTTGACGGACGATACTGAGCGTGCCATGAATGGGCAGTTGGTGGGCACCTGGTGCAAGTTGACACCAATGCGGTGGTATTGAGCATCGCGGTAGAAGAACATGCGGAACTGCAAAAGCGGGTCGGGCGAATCCTCGATACCGGGGACCATGGAGCCGGGTGAGAAGGCAGCCTGCTCGACATCGCGGTGGTAGTTCTCGGGGTTCTTGTTGAGCACGAGACGACCGAACTCTTGCATAGGGAACTGGTCGCGAGGCCAAACCTTGGTGACATCGAAGGGGTCGAAGCCCAACTTGGCAGGGTCGGCATCCTCAGGCTGCATGACTTGTACATGGGCGATCCATTCCTTCTCTTCACCACGCTCCATGGCTTCCCAAAGCTCTTGCTTGGAGTAGTCAGGGTTCTCACCCGAGATGCGGATAGCCTCAGGTTGTGTGAACTGCTTCTGACCGTGCTTGGCAAGGAAGTGGTACTTGATGTATACGAATTTGCCCTGCTTGTTGACCCACTTGAAGGTGTGGCATCCATAACCGTGGTTGTTGGTCCAGCCTTGAGGAGTGCCGTGGTCACTGAAGAACATAACACCAGCGTGGATTGACTCAGGGGTGTTTCCGAGCAGATCGAAGGTGGCATCATAGTCGAGCAAGAAGTTGCGAGGGTTGCGTGCTTGGGAACGAATGACATCGGGGCCCTGGATGGGGTCGCGACAGAAGAAGACGGGGAAGTTCAGGCCAACGATATCATAGTTGCCTTCCTTGGTGTAAAATTTCATGGCGAAGCCACGAGGGTTACGAGCCTCATCAGGGAACTCACGGCCGAGGGTAACGGTGGAGAAACGAACAAACACGGGAGTCTTTTCGCCAACAGTTGACAAGAAGTCAGCCTTGGTCAGGCCCGAGACATCCTTGGTCACCTCGAAGTGACCAAAGGCACCACTACCACAAGGGTGCACCATTCCTGGTCATGTCAGTCCAGGTATTCTGCTGCTTATAGGTCCGACTTACTCTCAAGGTTCTTGGAACGGTTGAAGTGTTGCTGCTTCTGCAAAAGGTGGACATCGCTGACCAGAGGAATACCGCCAATGTTCTTGCTGTGCTCAGCATCGGGCAGGGGAATTCCCTCATTGTTGGTATAACTTATTTCTTTGAATTAGCATGATTACAAAGAGTCGGATGGGTAAAAACATCACGACTTTGCTAGACGAGTGTACTCAACCCTGCGAGACGCCGTCCCGGACGGTGTTTCAATACACCGTGCGGACCTTGCGTACAGACTGAGACAAAGCGCCACCACTAGTCATGGTGTTTGTACCTTGGGCTTACTTACTAAGGGCCGTCGTCCTCGCGCTTTCCACCCTGAGTATGACCTGAGACTTTGGCAATAATGTCGGCGGGACCCTCGTTGATGGACATGTTGTGTGCGACTCTGGGGGCACGAGCCTCGCCAGAGGTAGCTCCCTGAATGCCAGTAGCAATGGCCTCCAGGGGGTGTTGAAGAGGGTTCGTCTGGTTACTGTTGGAAGTCATGATTGGGAGTTTGTTGGTAAGAGAAGAGGGAATATCCATTTCGAAAGCAATGTCTAAGGATGCAGCGACAGCTACTTTAACCTCGCAGCTCTACCCCCCTTCCTAGAGTCCGTGACGTTGACATTCTGTCGGAGGCTGTTCCTTTCAAGGTGGAGTAGAGTACTCCGTGTCATTCTCAGGTCAATTGCGTTCCCAGAAGGGTGAGGAGAAACAATGGCGCATCTCCATGCAATATCATGACGATTCTACAGCTCATGAACAAGCGGAGGAGTGGAGGAAGCTCCTTGGAATGCCCAATCGGAGCTTTCACAGATTGGCTGATCCTTTGTGTGGGTCCAAGCTAAGCTCTTCCCAGCGGCTCAACTTCGAATCTGGCGATGGGTCGCAAAAGTTCCATACGGACAAGCGCGAGATTTCTGAGAAGGTCAACAAATTCAGTCGGTATGTGCTTTGTTGATTAGTTGTCTCGGTAGATGTGATTCTGTGACGCCTGCGCGATTTCAACAGCTCGCGATGCTCGAGCTTGCATGCGTCCACCTTGGTGGACCGCAGTATTCCCGTGAGCCTTCTCGGTACTCTCCGCATGATCTATTGGACGGAGAGAGCCTCATCTCGGAGACAACTCCTTCCCTCGCCACGTAACCGCGTAGCCCACAAAAACTGACACGAAAGTGCTTTCACGTCCTTTCGAGCTGAGCGTGTCTGCGTACAGAGTCATCACGATGCGCTATTTCATCGACTGATATGAGACATCCAGACATATGTAAGATCGCTTCGAGAAAGCACAGTCCGGCAGTCATACTCGGCTATGTTGTGGTGCTTAAACGAGCATGCAATATCTATCGGCTCTTACCGTATGATCATATCTTGACGAGCACTTCCAAGAAGTTCTTGAGAACATGAAGGAGCACGCTGATGCCTTGATTCTGGCGAAGATCATAGCCGTCCACCGAGTTCTGGTAAAATTCCCAATAGCCAACATACAGCGTCTGATTAGAGTATCACCACCTCAGGACCATTCAAGCTTCGGGTCGGATGTGGTCTCTGATGCTGTGTGTCTTTGACAAACATCGAAACTCGGCTTCTCTGAAAAACCATGGCAGCAACTCAGACACGGGCACCAGAAACCCTTCTTACGAACGGAATATCTGGAACAATGGAACCTGATAATCTCTTGACCTATACAATATCTGTGGTACTGTGACAGAGAATAACACCCGCTCAGAGTCGGGTGAAGACTCCAATACGGCGTGCTGAGCTTCCCAAGCCTTTGATCAACGGATGCCTGCATATCTCGACATTACTTTTGGCTGCTCTACTTTTCGAGAATGCCCTGTGTTCGCTCGAGTAGGACAGGCGAGGAAAGATCATGGCTCTTCCGTGTTTCTTGCTTATTAGCTCAGCGCATGAGGATCGATATTCGAGCACCCTCGGAGAAACGAACGATAATATGGGCTCATGCATGTTGCATACATGCTGTGTAAGTTGAGACATGCTGAGGCTGGCTCGAGTGCATATGGACGTGTAAGGATACCGATGCTTCGAGTTCCCGAGGCCCTGACATGAGATGCAAGACTTCGGTTCCTCGGTTCCTGCGCAGGTTTCTTGTCACATGTACTGTTTGCAGGATCGGCAAAATCTGCTGCGACAGCTTGAGAATCGCGATCAAGCTTGTTGCCGTATAGCTGCACAAGGCTTGGGACCTCAAAGTGTTGGAAGAAAGAATGGTTTTTTGATGCTGACAAAGTATGTACACGATGTACCTTCGATCGTTTCAATCCCGCCACTAGAGCGGATATTTATATCGGATGGCTGCAGCTGACTTGCATTCTACCACACGCAAGTGTGTCATTGCCCAATATAAGAGCCTCAAGTCTTCGGCCGGAAACTTGAAATCAATCCGTTGCCTTGTCGGATGTCGCCTTGTTAGGCCTCCGGACGAGTACCACGAAGCTGTTCCGATGGGTGTCAGAATCGCACTCATGCTCGATCCACAATTCGCACCACAACAACCATTTGGTCTTCAGCATCAGAATCCGCCAAAACCCGTGTTTCTACATGGCTACACACTCAGTCAGCACTGTCAGCCACCAACCAACCAAAGTCGCGAAATGACAAAGTCAAAAAGTCCGGAATTGAAGAGTCCGATGTACCGACCACCGAAGTACATAAGACGAAAGAACGTATCTAACACCGTAAGACTAGTCGATTGTCTGACTACACAACGGTTTCTGAGCATTTTCTCAAAACATGGCCCGAACGTGCGTTTCGCCCTTCACGCTTTGTGAAACCAGCTCGAACGTGGCTTTCTAAATTTATGCCGCTACCTTGATGGACTTACTCGGTCCAAGCATGGATAATGCTTGGTCCTCTACTCATGCTTATAGTTCCATGAGTAAGTTTTCTGCCGAAAATACATCTTGCGGTTTGTATAAAAGCAAGGCCACTCTTGCGAAGAGCAGGCATTGAACCAGCAGCTCAATCCTCGCCACTCTCTTAGAGTATAGATACTAATCACCGTTTGCCTACTGATCTCTACCATCGTTTTACCAAAGCCTCAGCAGATCTAGCAAACATGTTCGGCAAGACTCTCGCTCTTCTCGCCTTGACGGCTCTCGCAGAAGCATCTGGAGGATGTCCCGCCATCTGGTCGACCATTGCATCAGATCTCTCTAAATCTTTCATTGGCTTCAATGGATGCACCGATCTTGCGCGAGGTGCCATTCGTTTCGCTTTCCATGATTCTGGTACGTCGCCATGCGAAAATTCAACGTAGACAACACTCGCTGATCTCTTCGTCGCAGGATCGTATTCGTCAAAGACTCCTGCCTACCCCCCTGCCACTGGCGGCGCCGATGGATCTCTTCTTTTGAGCTCTGTAGAAGTCTTTCGAGACGAGAATGCTGGCCTTCAGCAGTATTACTTCTTCTTGCGCGGAAAGTACGACCAGTACAAGTCTCAAGTTGGTGCTGCAGACTTGGTCCAGTTCGCTGCGAGTGTGGCGATTGTCAGCTGTCCTGGAGGTCCAAAAGTGCAGACTGTATGTCGAGCGGACCTTCGAATATCGGGAGAACAACTAACAAAATTCGCTACTTCTAGGTTGTCGGTCGCAAAGATACAAGTACTGCAGCACCCGATAATTTGTTGCCAAAAGCTTTTGGTCCAGGCGCTGCTCAGCAAGTGTTGATTCAGCTCTTCGAGGACAAGGGCATCAGTCAGCCTGAGCTTGCTGCTTTGATCGGTGCTCACACCGCGTCCAAGGCTGTAGCTCAGGAGCAATACGGTGTTCCTTTCGATGGTAAATGGCAAGTCTTCTGCAGAGGCCAGACTGGTAGACTGACATTTCAAATAGGACCCCAAGACTCTACCCCGGGCCAGTGGGACGTGACATACTACTCCGAGACAGATACCCGCTCCAAGGGCGTCTATAGCTTCGAGTCCGACATCAACCTCTCAAACCCCAATGCAACCGTGGGTCAAGTATTCCAGAGTTTCGTCAACAGTCAGAGTGAGTTTTTCAAGATTGCTTTAGAATCCCATCGGAGCTGACACACATCGTAGGCAAGTGGACTGCAGCCTTCGCACCTGCGATGGCTCATCTCAGCGTCCTTGGTATCCCTGAGTCAGATCAGGCCAACTTTATCGACTGCACAAGCGCAGTACCATCAGGATTCAATGCCAAACTTATTCGCGCAGCTCCCATCAACGATAGAATCAGATAAAAGACGCAACCAGAGAGCGACAGGCATCTGATCTGAATTAGAAAGATAAATTGTTTTGGCTTTCTTCATCAAACTGGCTTTGCAAGGAAGGAGCGACACAGTTTTGTCCATCTGCGATCTCATGGGTTTGGTTTGCTTTGTGATTGTGCGGGCAGGTGCGACTTTAAGAATGCAAGTGCTGACTGTGCTGATGTGTCAGCCGTCCGCATCTCATCATCCCAGTAACTATCCCTTCAATAGATCCTCCACTCTCCCAAAGCCGAGCCCCGCAGCCGCGGAAACTTATGTTTTCTTTTACATCTAAATCTCAAGTCAAAGCCCTCGTTTCAAAATGACTGTCGGAATGCAGCATTTGTCTCGTTCCAGAAGCGAGTTCAGTGCGACACGGCGGGGGATCGCGTCTCCGGGTGCAATCATTCAACTCTTCCTCATTGCTCCGACGCGGACGAGTACCGTCTTTTCGCGCCGTAAAATTGCACGATGTCTTCCGGAGTAGTGGTCGATTCACGGAGCGCCGATACATAGTACGCGAGCCACTCAGGGGTTCAGGGACAATCATGTTGATCGCCCCTGCCTCTGTCTCTCCGTTCACGAAAGCTCACGAATCACGGCTGCAGAAATACACAGTAGTCTCCAGACTAAACACCTGTCCAAGGAAAGCTTTTGTTTGAGCGTAGGGAGGCCCGAGTGAGACTGCCTTGTGGTGTCTGCCCCCAATAACCCCATGCACAATGTGTTCCCAATGTTGGTGCCTCTAGTTCGACCAACGACCATTAGATTAATGTGAAAAGTGCCAGACGCAACCTAGAAGTAGCCTTCGATACTGCTTGGTCGTCAGAAAGACGATACGAGGACTCCCGTCTTCTTGAGATTCCACCATAACCTGACAACTTTGCATACGACATTATTGCGCGTTATAGCTACAACTCTGCCTCTTGAATCTGGGTGGCTAAGGGGTCAGTTTAGCAAGTGGAGTGTACAGGGTAGGTAGACCTGCGTATATAGGGCTCAACACCTGATGGAGAGAGAGAGACATTCTTCTCAGATACACTGTGCATTTCCGCAGCGCTTTCAAACCAATGCTTCTATATGGATATAGTGTTCAGTATGCTAGATAACAGCAACCTGTCGTCTGTCTTGAGCAGGGTGTCGGCGTCGCGTCCTCTGAGTGGACTTCGGCGGCTTTGTTGAAGTATTGATCAAAGTTGATCAGGCGTGTGGCCACTGTCAAATTCAGACCAAGACCACCGACTCCGCTGTTTGTAAGCATGATAGAGCAGTTCCCCTGGAACTTGAGCTTCTCGAACTTTCCGAGCATGAAACTCTTCCATGCAGACCAGGTTTTCTTCGTAGCCTTCGCTGCGTCATAGCACTTATGGCAGAACTTGACGTTGTTGTCAGGATGGCCAGGAGGAGGAGGAGTACGGGTTGCTTCAGCACCGCAGATCTGGCAGTCATGCTCGAACCATTTGAAGTTGCCGACCCTCAGACCACTCTTTTGGTGCTTAACGAACCATTCCCAGTGTTTGCGCTTGATCTCTGGTGGTTGATTAACCAGATATTTCTTCTTGAAATGGTCCCAATTGTAATGGCATTCTTTGCAGGCAAGGATGTTCTTCTCTTCGCTGATGACCTCGCAGCGGGCATACATGAGGTCCTCCACAGCATACCAACACTTGAGGTTTTCTCTAGTGTCGCCATGGCTTCTTGTGTGCCATGTCTACTTCTCACTTGCCACGAACGTGCGAAGGTACGACAGTTGCTCTTCCCAAGTCCAGGTCAGGTATCACTCCAGTCGCTTTCAGCCCAAGCGATGTTCGATGTTTATTCGATCCGTATTCGCTGATTGCGCCGTGGATTGTGAGGCAAAAGCTGCGCGAGCGAGCCTTCTCACTGCGCCATGTTCAACCTGAAGACCCAGAGGACATTGACAACACACTCTCTGGCCAACTTCCTGTACCAAATATGTTTGTGCATTCCTACAGCTCAAATATTGCTGGTCCTCACGCTTGGGATAGATTACGTCTAATGCTTTGTGTTCAGTGGAAACAGTGATAATATAAATCAGCATACAGAATCGTTGCTGCGCGACATAAGAATACTCGTGAAGAAAATCTATTTACCATATCTGGGGACCTGAAGGAAATTACGACCTTTTGCCAGCACCCTATCTCTTCGAGCTTGTTGTTGTAGCTCGCTTTGTGCTCGAAGTTGTCTTCCTTGAACTAGTGGTTGATGGTTTTTTAGTGGTGCTTGTGATAGTAGACTTCTTGGTGCTTGTCGATGTAACTTTCTTGGTGCTGGTACTGGTCGGCTTCTTGGTGCTGGTGGTTGTGGGTTTCTTGGTGCTAGTAGTTGTCGGCTTTTTGCTGCTGGTTGTTGCCGGCTTCTGCACAGTTGCTGGCTTGGTCGAAGTACTTGTCTTCTTGGTACTTGTCGTTGAAGTCTTCTTGGATGTGGTAATCGGCTTTACGCTAGTTGTGCTGGTCTTCTTTGACGTGGTAGAGACCTTCTTAGAAGCTGAGGTGGTGGTAACCTTCTTGCTCGTTGTAGTAGAAGGCTTTGTGATTGCGCATTTGCATAGACTTGTCAAAGCAGAAGCAGTATACTTCTTAAATGGTGATGTGGTTCTTGGGTAGGCAGTGTAGAAGGTACAGAAGCGCCATGGTTCAGTGAATTGGACGCTGACTTCAGCACTGCAGGAGGATGCGGAACGACCGGCATTGGGATCTGCTGCTCTTTCCTCGATTTCTGATCGCCTGAGCTTGCGTTTGCACTTAGGTCCCGTTGTTGCTATGGGCGAAATGCATTTGCAAAGGGTATCGACTTGAGTCGGAGTAAATTCCATGAAAGGCGATCTAGTGCGTACACTGCTTGCACTGTTAGTCTAGTAATGTTGAGACGACCTTGATGGTTGTTCTTACTCTTGCTGCCACCATTGACAAAAGTATACGGGGTCAGCCGGAGCCGTACGTTTCACTATGGCGATATCGTTTGCAGAACATGTCGAAGCTGCGCGTTCGACAACAACTGGAGACGACGAGACGCTGACAAGTTGCGCAGAGAAACAAAGGAGCAAGGGTACCAATGAATGGATGAACATCTTGGCGATGGTAAATTTGAAGGAACCACCTGTGGATTTCTGCACTGCACCTACCGTTTATATCTTCTGAGAACATTTTCATGTAGAATAGCGGCGTTGCCTCGATGCCATGCCCAACTAATCAAACACCTGCAAGTCTGTTGAAATCGCAGGGCAGCCAAGAGTACTTGTTCCTGGCAGGTTTCAAGTACACCAACGGCTTTCAGCAGAGATAGGACATTGTTTGCCAAGCAGTGTGCGATTCTTGCTGATCCCGACATCTGGTCTTCGGATGTGCACCTGAGAAACAGAGGTCATACCAAATCTGGACCATTGGATTGAGACTCAGCTAGCCACTGTAGGAATTCAAGCGAGTGTTGTGAGCGAAGATAGCTGGAGCGGCAACGGTATGAGTCGCCATCAACGGTGGTGGAAATATGTCTCGGAAACGTCTTATATAGGTGGCAAGGATTTCTGGGCAAATTCGAGTCTAGTCGTCTTGAGTATATATGACATTGGGATACAATCAAGTAGACCTTGGCTTGTGCCTCGTTGTTGCGATGAGAAAACAGAAGGAGTGGTCCGCAGAAGAGCTGTCAATTCTTAGGGCGTTTAGGATGTGGGTGTCCATAATTATCAAAAGCCGCCCGAGTAAATTCGCCCCCCTTGGCAGACAAACGGTTCGAATTCGTTCCTGATCCCATTGTCCGCTTCGCCACGTTCATCGCAGGATAACATGCCCAACGACCGGACCAGATGTCTGTCCTGTCGAGCTCGACATGCCAAATGTATCATCAAGCAGGGTGAAGATGTTTGTTCACGATGTCGAAGCTTGGGCAAATCTCAATGCATCTTTGAATCGGCATGGCGCTTCAAGATATGCAAAAGCGCAATGATTGCAGCTCAGCGTACTGACTTTCAGTATCGCCCGTCACAACCATGGGTTTCAACGAATCTGAAGCTCACCTACGTCTTTGAAAAGGGTGATGGTCTAGAGGATGATGGCAACACGATTGAAGATGGGTCGGTCGTTGGTGCAGATAACGAGACATCCACCAATGACCAAGCTACACGATTTCAGTATGGTAAAGATGGTGGTCCACCAGGACAATCAACAGACTCAAAGGCAGGATCTGTTCAGCTAGAATCTCCGAATACTCTTATAGTGTTTTCTGTTCGTCAGCAGAATGGATGATCAGAAGTACAAGACTAACATGACCAGGACACTCCCGAGACACGGACGTCGCTATCGTACGTCTTGTCATCATCTTCAACCTCGGTGAAGGAGTCGCCATTGACTTGCTCAAACACAACCGTCACTGACATTCAGACTCCTAAAGATATATCGACGTCTTTGGTCCAGCCTCTTACACATCGCGAAGCACTTCTCGTTCAATGCTTTATTGGCGTGATATCGCCGTGGGTAAGGTAGACAGATTCCGAGACTTCAGAGCCATACGCTGATTGTGCAATCAGCTTGACGTTTTGCAAGATGTACCACGATTCGCCCAGGAGGTGCCTGTGAGAGCTACCAAATCACCCATGCTGCTATTCGCAATACTAGCTGCATCATCGCGGTGGCAGACTCTCAGAGACAGTGACTGGCAAGAAGCCGCAGGCTATCATAGCAAATGCCTGACATTAGTCATCCAAGCTCTATCGCAACCGGATCTCTGCCACGATGACAATCTCATAGTGACAATGGTCTGCTTGAGGCTCTACGAGTTGTTCAATTCACAGCCCTTCAGCTCTCTTCATCTCGATGGGCTGGCTTCCCTGTTAAGTGCGATACCGAGCTTCTTGCAATCAGGAGGACTAGCAGAAGCGGCTGCCTGGCTGGCGCTACGCCACGATTTATTTATGGCAATGGTGGCTAAACGGGCACCTAGAATCAGTCTGAACGACTACGATCATTCAAATGTCTTTCAGAGACCCCTGACTCCAGGCGCGACGGCTTATGCAATCATCCTCATATGGGCCAAGATTTTGCGTCATTTGTATTCGACAGATCAGCACGACTCGCCTACTACATGGCCAGAAATCGAGAGAGCCGTTGCAGACTGGTATGATCAGAGTGGAATAGAGCCACTTTTCCAACAGAACTCGAATGTGGACCCGGATCAGCCATTCCCGATCATCAGCTTGACTAGTGCACCACATGGTACGGTTTGTTTTTCATCGTTGAACAAGACTAGCTGTACTGACTGTTGACGAAGTTGTCGCTCTCGAGTACTATTACAATTGCCAAATATATATCAACTTATACAAACCGCTAGACTCGCAACACGATATACCCGCAGCGGTAAAGGATGATCGACATCAAGCTGCGATCGACTCAATGTGCTCCATTCTAGGCATTGCACTATCAAACACCTGGGCCGAAGACGCAATCTTTCCAGGCCTTCATATTCTCATCACATGTAAGAACACGATACCTCAGTACCCATATCATCAAGTTTGTTGCTAACGTAAGCAAAGGCGGACATCACTTTACCGACTCTTTGCAGCGAGATCATGCTCTCCGATTCTTGGACTCCATCACTACGAAATTCGGATATCGTACTGATAGGCTCGTGAATGCACTGAAACATCAATGGGCAGAACACGATGCTTCGAAGGATTGACGCAACCAAGAATCTGTTGTGCATAAGCATATGCAACCCTGTGCTCAATCTTCGCCGCGATTGATATGGATCGATCTGGACGAAATCAACAATGAATTTTCAAGATCTCCTTCTATTCGCAATCTACGATTGATCAGTCTCTTGCCAAAGCCAACCGGCACGCAGGATCCAGACATCGAGCCTTGAGAGAACTAGGTTGAGAAGCCAATACTCAACCGCTGCGCAACATCGTTGAGAACGACATCATTTGGATATCTCCTTGGACAATGCTCAGACTCGGTAAGTATCGTGCATTAATACAGCCAAAAGCTGGTACATGCCGTTCGAACGCTTTGCGAATAAACACTGCGGTCTCTTCGACTCACCCGTGGGGCGAGTATCCGTGCCTGGTATCGCCCCTCATACATTTTCTGGTCATCCATATATACGCTTTTTTACCAGAAGAGCTTTGCACATGCAAAGACACGATGTCGATGATATCTTGCTGCACACCTGCCAGAAGCGTTTGTTCATTTTACTTGAGCTTGCGAAAGAAGGAAGCTCTCCACATATACCTTCATCCTCGCAGTCCAACCAGCACCTCAAAGCGCAACGAGCGTGCGGACACCGAAGATCAGAAAGTGTCAACAGCCGGTCCCTGTTCCACGTCTCCAGCGCAAGAAGGCCCCTGAGTCAAAAGGAACTGATGTCCAAAATTCTCCCAATCCGTTCATGTATCCCACACGGTGTACTCAACTTATGTAAAAGCAGAGTATATCAGCTATTTTGCTAGGTTCTCAAAAGCAAATGAAAGCGGCCTGCTATACAGATCCCTACAGCAAGGCTTCAAACTCCTTACCCTTAGAGTTTTTCGTATCAAGTTCTGCTCTTTATCTGCTGCGCATCACTATGATTTACAGAAAGCCTCGAAAGCTTCTATGTCTTTCATTTTGACCACTCGCACGATCTGGATCTCGCCAAGAAAGACAGGGTGCGCCTCTCAACCAGCATTATTCGACTGAATTGCTTGTTATTGAAGACCAAAGTGGTGCTGCCTTCTCTATTGCTATATTAGAAGGTTTTTCTAATCTGTAACGCCATGTTGTCTTGGTCGTGAGTCGGACCATGTGACCACGGCGGACTTCTCTCGTTCTTCTCTCTCCGTATCGACACAAAATTCAGGAAAGCTTCAACGAGCACGACGAATCGCCTTCTCAAATGAACAATACCATCTAAAAAATCTGTAAATGTTCTTGCAAGACCAGAATCTGAAATTTTTCGTCCTCATCGAGATTTCCACTTGACTTCTCCAGACCAAACGAGCGAGGCCACCACCTGCCCTCGACACTCCGTCAAGAAAAGTCATTTATGCCAAGCCAAACTCCCAACCCAAGAATTATCTTGGACAAACCTCCCAAGCCTCACTTTGCTTGCTAAACCTCGACAACCTTCTTGAGCAAGATTGTTCGCCATTGTTATAGGCTCACCACCTTAGCCTCTCTTCTTTTCTGCCTCCTGTCTTGATTCAAATCTGGTATATACATGGTATTTTCTATCCGCCGACCATCCAAGCCACAGAAAGCACAGCTTTCACATCTTCCGTGGCGCAATTGGCTAGCGCGTTCGACTGTTAGACTTTAGGTCAAGCTATCGAGAGGTTGACAGTTCAAGCCTGTCCGGGAGAGCTTTCTTTTTTGTTTTTTGTGTGCATGCTAGGGTCGTCGGCAAGACAAGGGACCCCAAAGTTTCTGTCGGCGGTGTGGAGAGGCTTTTGCGTATGTGTTGGGACAAGCCGTGATTTCTCCTTTTGGCGAACTGCTGTTTTTGTAAAACATTGATGAACACGATTCTTGTTGCAAAATAGCTTGCTTGATGCAGGAGGACACGAACAAGGTATTGTGTAGCAAAGAGGAAAGGACCCAGACTCCAATCGTCTAGCGTCAAGAAAACATGCATGACCCCTGTCCCCTACCTCAGAGAACAGCGAAAGCGCTAGCATAACTAACACTACTATCCTCGACCCTGCTACACTCACTACTCCTCTCATACCTCACAAACCTAAACTTTCCCTGCCCACCGAGTTCCTCCATAGCAGCCATAACAACACCAATAGGATGACGACCACAGACAGTATTGCCAGTTTCGCTCAACACATCCAACCACTTCTCATGACTTCCACTCTCACAAGCATCGATGCATTGGAAGTCGATTTTCTTGATACTCTCATGAATCGGAGGGTTTGTGGGTGCTTTTGAGCGGGCGGAGAGGTCAATGGGATTGCCAGACGAGGGTTCGTAGTAAGTGTACCGGAACCTCAAACCCCAGTGTGCAAAATCTGAACTGATGACAAAGGCATTGGAGGGGTCGGCGAGATATGGTGCTAGCAGTTTCCCAAATTGTTTTTCGGTGCTTGCGGAGGTGTTGCCGACCATGATGGGGACGAGTTTGGGGAATGCGGATTCCGAGGGGAAAGATCTAAATCTTGCATCAATGACTTTGCTTCTTTGCAATACTGAGAAAAGAGGAAGGGATAGTAGTCACCTGGACAATATCTTGTAGACGTACGGAAGATGCATCTCTAGACTGTGTTCATCTTCATCAACACTCTGACTCATCCATTGGAACTTTCCAGTGTCGTAGAGCTGCTGTGTTGTTTCTCTATCAACAGTCAAATCTCCCAGGGGAGTTGCGTATTTGGCACATTGACTGAGAGCACATTTGGAAAGGTAAAAGTGGTGAGAAGGACCGAGCAAGAAGACTCGTTTTGCTTTTGAGACATCCCACGAGCGGTACGCCCATGCAGCTGCAGGACCTGAATAGGAGTATCCAGCATGACTGGGAGATGTGTTAGTAAGTAATCCAATCAGATATGATGGTAGAGGGTGTATTACGGAGCAATGATAACTCTAGCACCAGGTACAGGCAAAGTGCTCAGAGATTCTTGAGATGAGACTTGGCCGATGGGTGTAATAGGAGGATCGACTTTGGATAACCAACCATCGAGTTGGCTAGAAAGTTGAGATTTGGAAGAGCTGTACCAGCTACCGGCGTGGCTGGGATCTCGGGTTGACATGGTTGCTACCTTGTGCTTAGCCTAAGAAGCCAACCTTTAATTATGCCAATAGATGTATGGAGATGTGATGGCCTGGAGGACAAGACTGATGATTTAGCCAGCCTTTGACTGTGTATCTCCTTCTCGAAGGTGTATATCGAGGTGAGGAGAAGGTGAGTCGGCCACTTCATGTGATATTCAGTGACGCAAGCGGGGAAAGCGCGTCGCTCTCAATCCTGCGTGTTTCCACTTTCTCTTCGCGTCTCAGCCTCAGTTCAGTCCATTCAAGATCCTTACATCAACCATACCCTCTCCAGCAACAATGTCCACAAAACGCAAACGCTCTAATGGATCACTCTTCACCACCCCTGCAGTCGAAGCTCCATCACCAACACCCTTTTTCAGCTCTCCAGTGCTACTTCCAAACTTCTTTGCCCAGAGTAAAGGCTACGATCCACAATCACCGTCTGGTTGGAAGCAAAGCCACCAGCAAAGCAATACATATCAAGAGGAGGACACCCAGTCACAAATCCTGCACAGTCGAACGCGGAAACGCTATCGCGATGGCCGACCCGAAGAATCCCAGATCCACGGTTCGTTTACGAGTCGCATTTCGCACCTCCTCTCTCGACGGCTTCATACTGATTCTGAGTGTGCTGTAGCATCAACAGTCCAAAAACTCTTCTCGGCGCAAAGAGCACATCCACACGCTTCTCCAATACCCTCATATCCGCAAACCCAAGATCTACCACAAGATGCGCCAGCGCAAAGGTCGACGTTACATTCTTTCTGGCAGCTACCGCAGAGCTCTCAGCTACAAGTGCAACACGGTACACCAGCTCCGACGATGCAACAAGAGGTGGTGATGTGTGAGGGCTGTGACAGAGTGCTGGTTCCTGAATACGGCATGGATACTTTGGAGGCAGAAACGGCTTGTCGGGGCTGTGGGAAGTGTGTTTGTGATACTTGTGCTATTACTGCCGAGGTGAGGTTGTGTTTGGATTGTGCTATGCAGGGATGAGTGTTTTGGAAAGGAGGGTCGGCTCTGTTTCATTAGCGCGGCGTTGGGGGTTTTGTGTACGAGGAGGGTTTCGTTATTGCCAGAGTTATGCCACATTATGAGGGGTGTATCAGTCTTGTCCCAGGAGGATGAAGTCACAGAGTATGACGAGACCTTGTTGATGGAAGAGAAGAAACCAAATGCATTTACGCTCAATCCTGTCTAATATTACCATATCCTGTCCATTTTCGCAAGCAGCGACCTTGTAGCAAGCACAGCCACTCTATCATCTACTCTCTACGCTTCTTGCCCTCCTCCATGTATCCAAGTCTAGCATCACTCTTGCCGCGACCGTGCTTGGAAACCATAGATCCCAAAAGAGGATCTCTGCTCACACGTTCAAGGTTCTCTTGGTAGCTTTCAAGAGCGTGTGCTGGTGTGTTGAGCTTCGGCCAGTTGACCTGCTTGCTGTTAGCGCTGTTTTCTAGAACCTGTATGAGACTGAAAACACTTACGTAGAGACCTCCATGTGAGGTGATGAATCTAGCAGACCAAGCAGCACCGACAACACAAATAAGAACAAAGATTCTCAATGGCCAGACAGTAGCATCCGGCAAACGGCGTGTAAACAGCGAAATGAAGATGAAGAAAATGCAGGCAGCAAGGATGTAAGGCAGGGCCTGTATGAGCACTGGTCTGGTATCTGCAAACTGATGTGCTGATCCCAAGCCTGAAGGATCGGGTGCATAGGTGCCGAGGAAGAGATCAAAGGCGTCTTGTCTGGGTCCGTCGAGGAAGTTGTTGCAGACGTAGCGGGTGATGGAATTGTTCAAGTCTTGCAGTGCGCCAGCGCGTGTTCTTTCGCCAGTACGGGTAAAGTCTGTCTTGAGAGCACCAGTGCCTGAGTAAGACTTGCTGACCACATCTGCATTGTCTGCCCAGACATTACGGAACAAATGCTCAAATGCAGCGTCCTCTTGAGCGTTCTCTCCTGCCTTCAGAATGCCGACATCAGTCAACATGCGAGTAAGAGTGAAACGACCAAGCATGGATTGAACAACGTTGGTGCGGTCCAGGCAGTCCATGCAGTTGGTACGAACAACAGCACTCTGTTTGCTCAAGACTTGCACACCACCGCTTGGCTTGTCAACACCACGGAAGTATTCTCCTTTGATCAGACCATCCTTGAGCTGGTCAAGAAGCAATTGAGCACGGTGCCACTTCAATCCCTTGGTCTCGTTGTGGAAGTCAAAATAGACGTAGTGCAACTTGTCAAACTCATGTCGGCCGCCTTGAGGCTCGAGGATATGGAACTTTTCTCTCGTCGCGCGATCAGCTTCGGTGTCCTCTGCGGGGTTGGACACGAGAAGCTTGACCATGTCTTCATACGCCTCCTTGACTTTCTGCTCACGACCCTTCTGATTGACAAGGTTGACCAAGTAATTGTCTCCATAGAGTTTGATCTGTTCGTCAAAGTGGAGCTTTGCAGCGTGCACAGCAGATTGAACACCTCTGATTTGCAACTTAGGGGTGTACTTAAAGGTGTTGACCTCAGCCCAGTAGACTGGCACACTGCCTCTGGTTTGAACATATGACAAGACTTGAGTCTCTCCGCCAGGGAGTTTGTTGTTGGAGAAACCACCATCGCCAGCAAAGGTTGTCATTCCACTTGAAGCATCGTCATTCAGAATGACAATCTGTTCAGTCTCGTTGAAGTTGGAAGCATGACCTTGTTCATCCAGACCACGGGAAAAATAGCGAGTACCAGCGCGGTGTCTTGAACGGCGAGTGATGAGAATGAAAGTCATGGGAGCACTCTTGACTGAAGTGTTTGTGATTCTGAGCATACCGTACATGACGGGAAGGATGTAAGGGTCCATAGCAGGCTGACGGCCAACATTTTGACGGCGGGCTCCTTGACCTTGACGGAAGTTGATAAGATCGGTTTGGATAAACTTGTTCCAGAAGAAGCGATCATCAGCTCTTGCCCAGATGGGAGAGTTTTGGTCAATTTCAGCCTGTCTTTGGAAACTGTTGGTGAGATCAAAAGTGTATGAGAAGAACAGAGGGCTGGTCTTGAGAAGGGTGTTGACTAGACCAAGATAGATGTCCTCATCAGGATCGCGAACTTGTCTCTCGCGCAGAGGCAACAATTCAGTAGCGACAACTCTGTAGATTTGGTGACCCTTGATTCTGCCCATAGCCTGGGCTTTTGTGATTACGATAATGTACTTGTCTGGGAGACATGAGCAATCAGAAAGGACAAGTAGCAACAAGGAAATTGACATACCAAGACGCAAGCTGATGATACCGAGAATACCTTGAATACTGGTAACTCTCTGACCACCCAATAGTTTGCCATCGTGAAGACGAATATCACCAGATGGACGCTCTATCACAAGTGTAGGGGCTGATGGGGAAGAGGGAGATGAGAAGGCATAGTGGGTGGAAGAAGCGTGGACATTGATGTCACGAAAAGGAAGAAGAGCACTCATGTTGCTTTGGTTGGTAACAACAAGAGAGATAGACAAAAGACTTGTAGACAGATGTCGACGCTGGTGTTGTCTCCAACCTCAAATGACGCTGGTTGTGTTTCGCGGCGGGCTCAGCCGGACTTATGGGGTCCAAGCGTGCGTGATGGCACTGGGCGTAGGCTTGGCGGGGCCGTTGAAGGTTTGAGCAAGCAACGAGCAAGATTGGCAGGCGCAGGCAGGCAACGCAGCAGGAAAGGGAAGGAAGGAGCAGCACCGAACTTCCGAGCCACCGACCGTCGGCCGTTCCAGCAGCAGCCAGTCGTCAGTCGTCGCCCAGCGGGCCGTCGTCATCTTCCAGTCTCCAGTCAACAACTTGATCACTTCGACTTCACCTTGTTGCTGCTGCTTGTGTTTCGCTCTCGACTCTAAAGAATTTCGACTTTGCATACCGCCTTTTCGTCTCCCCACGCTACCCACCCTATCGCGCTCCCACCGCACTCGCGCACGCCAACCACACACCTACCAACCAAACATGTCTGCCCGCCAGCAGCAAATGGGCCGACCAGGCGGTGCCCGCTTCGCTCAGTTCAAGCTTGTCCTTTTGGGTATGTCTGATCTCCACTCCGACACGCTTCGAGACCGTATGCTGACCATGCTCTCACAGGTGAATCTGCCGTCGGAAAGGTGCGCAATCGCTTTCAAATCGAACCAACCTCCAACAGTCCGTCTAACACATAGCAGAGTTCGCTCGTCCTCCGTTTCGTCAAGGACCAGTTCGACGACTACCGAGAATCCACCATCGGCGCCGCTTTCCTCACCCAAACAATCGCCCTCGATGACACAACCACCGTCAAATTCGAGATCTGGGATACCGCAGGTCAAGAGCGCTACAAGTCTCTGGCCCCCATGTACTACCGCAACGCCAACTGCGCCGTTGTAGTCTACGACATTACTCAAGCCGTACGATGACCCTTACACTTTCCGCCCGCAATGCCCCATTAACACACCCATACAGGCATCCCTCGACAAGGCAAAGGCTTGGGTCAAGGAGCTTCAACGTCAAGCCAACGAGAACATTATCATCGCCCTCGCCGGAAACAAGCTCGATCTCGTCACCGAAGAGCCCGACAAGCGTGCTGTACCCACCTCCGACGCCGAACAATATGCCCAAGAAGCTGGTCTGCTGTTCTTCGAAACCTCGGCAAAGACGGCCGAGAACGTCAAGGAACTCTTCACCGCCATTGCAAAGAAGCTCCCTATCGAGCAAGCCACTCAGAGAGGCATGCGCGGTGCCCCTAGACCTGGTGTTGACCTCCGACCTGAAGCTTCCGGAACACAGGCTGGCCAGGGCTGCCAATGTTAAACGACTACTTGATTACCTGCTTTTTCTCAGATTCTCCCCAGCAAAGACGTCACGGATGCGAGGTGTGGTAGGTATATACACACGCACGGCACAGTTCATGGTGGATACTGCCTCTTTTCTTCGAATATGAATATGAGAGGGCGTTTGGTGCATATCTGGGCTTGGGGGTCTTTTTCCATCTTTATTTTCCTCTGCATCTAGTTTGTAATACCGTTCTTCGACTGATACCCTTGGCTATTTCTCAATCCTGTCACCTTTGTTCCATTGTTTTGTTGAACCATTGGAAGTAGCTGAGTGAACGCGCTGCCTTGTTATTGACCTTGACAGTCCAGTACTCAGATCTAATCCTAGAGAAGTTGCGATGGCGTTGTGAACGTCTTGACTCTCCGGCGCCAAAACTCGACTAATAATCTTAATCAACGCCCTTAGCATTCCTAACCTTTGCAATTCAAGCATCAAGCATGATGCTCTTCCGCTCCCGAAATGTAGCAAGGACAGTCGTGCGTCCTGAAGCATGCAATCACCTATCTGTTGCTTCTTGCTGATGAAAGTGAAGAACCGCAATATCCGTCATCATGCCTCGCCCACCAATGCCAACTTCTTTCACGCCGCTGCGAAATTCGTCAGTCTCGTCTCTGCTCGATCCGATGTTGTTGCTGATGTATCTGAGCAACAGTCTCTGCCTACAAGATCTCCCAGACACCGTCCGAGCAGTCTGCGCAAGAATGCCGACCCTGAAGTCACCATCAAATCTCTAGTGATCAAGGTCTTGCAAAAGCAGCAAGAACTCTCCAAATCCCAATCAGAGATTTTGAATAGTCAACACAGCAATTATCACACTCTACTCGAGATAACCGAGAACATGCAACACACAATCAGCCATATCCAAGCGGTCAAGGAAGATGTACAAGTCAGTGACAAGATTGCCTTTGCTGCAGGTTTTGGTTGCGGTCTTCTTGTTTTGCTGGCTATCTGGCTATCTCCTTTTGGTGTAAAAGATAAGGATGACGATGCTGACAAGTAATCTGCTGTTTTGGTTCACGAGTATGGCTCCAAGCGGTCTTGAATCTTTCAGCACCGACAGGTCTACACAGACAGACATTTGTCTCAATATCAGGGCTTTGGCCATGATTAATAGGTGCTCCAGAACGATACATTGTCACTACCTTGTAATTTGTATCGTACCAGTCACGAACTCAGCTTAATCTGTAAAGGCAGCTGACCCGACAAAGATTCATGGTCACAAGCAGTATGAACAGATCACAATGTTGGTGGTGTGATTCGGAGTAACGACCATACCACATGGTAATGATGTAACTAATGCTAACAATCACTCGCAGCTTCTAGTTCGAGGCAGGAGCCTAGAATTCTCGGTCACTCAACATCCTTATTACTCGACGTTGGCCTACCCAACGATATTCACACTCACTTCACAAGATAGCCTCGAAATGATAGCCTTGATGCAGCAGCTCGACGACATCAGCCTCGTGCATTGACTGCTGTTCTTAATTCACATTTCCATTATCTTGAGCCTATGTCCAGCACTTACTCCTACATCCATCGACGTACACCTATGCCAACCTAGCAAGCCTCAGTCACATGTGTACTTTCACTCATCCTTAAGGCGGGCGTGATACAGCGATTCGGAGCTGATGCCCGTCGATCGTCTTTTCACCTTTTCGACTGGTGCCTATTGATAATCAGTATCGATATTGCGACACGTCCTCTCGCTCAACATCTCCTCAGCCTTTCTACGTCTCCCAATCGTGATGGCCAAGCCACAACCACACACCATGGCAGTCCTCATTTTCCCCACTCGGTACGAAAAGACCAGTGATGGCTGGATCCGTCAGCCCGACGACCAACAACCTACCAGTCTTCTCCATCAGCATGTGCTCGAAACGAAGGACAAGTTCGTCATCAGTTCATTCGACGCCAGTGTGATGAAGTTGAAGATCACAGCTGGCATGAAATGTGACTACATTACCTGGGAATGCACTCATGATCCAAATGCTTTCAAGTTTGAATTTGTTCCGAATCGCGGTCGCGACCGTACTCTGGAAACTCGCTTTCAAGAAGGCCAAGTTCAAGTCTGCTTGAAGCACAAGTGGTTACCTATGGTTGACTATCTCGAAGCAGAGTCGAAGAAAGATGAGTTGAATCCAAACAACCGTACCCGCTGCTGTTATTACGATTACAGAAATGAAGCTCTCGAAGCTCAACGCAAATGGTGGGCTGCAAACAACAAGTTCTTCCCTTTGCTTGAGTTACCAAGTGAGTTGAGAGAAGAAATCTACCGCCATGCCGCTCCCCAAGACGCCATCGAACCATATGCCCGTCATCGTATGCGCGGCCGTAGCATTTCACACATCAGTGATCGTAACAACATGATCCCAAATCTACTCAGATGCAACAAGCTTATCTCCCATGAGATGCGAGCATACATGTTCCGACATCTCCCTCTACTCATCAACCACGAACGATTACTCAAGAAGACTCTACGCCAGAATCTCTACTTCCCTCGCAACTTGCTTACCAACCTCACTCTCGCCCTTCCCACTCATCGGGATTATGTCGAACTCTTCGGTCTCAATGCCAGAGATATTATCATTAGCGAAATCGTCAATATCAAAGGCAAAGGTCCAACAGCTTCCTCACTTTCTCGCGACCAATTGCCTTGCATCAAGAAATTGGAGATCACCATCCCATCCCGCGACGTACTCGATCGAACCTACATAAACTTCTGCCATACCAACGCAACAACCATGCTTCTCGAAATTATGTATCCCTACATCCAAGGCCACCCCATTATCCTCACTGGCATGATCAAACACTGGCAAAAGAAACATTGGGAACACGTATTCGCTCAAGCCCACAAAGAATTCGAAGAAAGCATCGCTGATACCGAAGATGGTGGTGTTGGCATCACACAGCAGGATCTGGATGTTTATGAGGGCAAGGCGGAACTCAATGAGTATGACGAAGACGGTAAGTGCTGTGATTGCAAGCAAAATTGCTGTTTACTGCATTTTGATGAGGAGGTGGAGGAAGAGTTTGTGTATCATCTCCCGTTTGAGTGTCGTTGTGATCCTCCTTGCTTCTATGGCGAGTGGACTGAGGAAGATCGCATCAGGGATGAAGATGAGAAGTGAGTGCAAGGATAGGGCTCGCGAGCTTTCTCCGGGCACAGGACTTTTGGATTCTGGATGACAAGGAATGGCACGATCTGAGGAGACCACAAGGAAAAGAAGTCATCGGTTGCAGGAAGACGGGCGATTCGGAGACAAGGACTTGCGCCTTCAAGAAACAATACGCCATTTGAGAAGCATATTGGAAGAATAGTCAGACCGGAATCTCGGAGCATGGAGGGGGACAAGCAACCAAAAAATATGTTCGATGGAAGCATTCCTTGACTTTCATTGAATTTTTGAATGATGAACAAGGCGGGGAGGAGAACCAAGAAGGGGAGACTGGAAAGCAACACCTGAGCAAAGATCGGGCAAGAAGCGAGAAAGAGACAAATGGAGAGAGCAAATCAAGTATCATATCCATCCAAATCCAAATATCATAAACCTATTCATTGAGTCCAAAAAAGGTCTTTTCCTCTAATATATCCCTGATATTCACAAAGTGCTACGTTCGAAGCTCTCGATAAGCTCTCGACTGCCGAAGCATATGGGCAAGTTGATTTGACCATCATTGCAGATTACCATGTTTTGCCAGCCAAAATCGATCTGTGTTTTCGGTCAAGAGGGAGTTGGGTAACCGCGGTCGTTCTCTCCGCGCTTTTCGAACGGTCTGGAACCATATGTATGATGATGCTATACCAACCTTAGCTGTAGCTTTACCCCACGTCAAGGATGATGTATATCAAATAGCTACCTATGCTTACCCCTCTTACGACCTTCTCTTTCTTGTAAGCACACCCATTGCCTTCTATAAAATCAGAATCTCTCCTGACACGTAGAGCTCCAGATACACATCTCACAAGACCCCAGACAACAAAACAAAAAAGGCGTCAATACTATACCATGGCACCATCACCTCAAAGAGCAACAGCAACTTGTTTCTGCGGCACTGTTCAATTAGAACTGGTATATTCGCCCTTTTACATTTCCCTTTTCCTTTTCCCTCCCTTTCTCTTTTCAATAGCTGACCATCTTTTGCCACAAACACAGCCAGTCGAAGGCCAAGACCTCACCCAAGTCTTTGTCTGCCACTGCCTCGACTGCAGAAAACTGACCGCCAGCGTCTTCACCACCGCCTTCGTCGTCAAAGACTCTTCTCTCTCCCACCTCCGCGGCGAATCCTCCCTTGGCACCTATGCCCGCTCCTCCACTATTGCCAGCGGCAACACAATGACAAACTACTTTTGCAAGGACTGTGGCACGCTGATGTACAGACGCAGCAGCGGGTTTCCCGGGTTGAGTATTACGAGGGTGGGTACTGTGGATGATGTGAGTCTGCATGACACAAAGTTGAAACCTAGAGTGGAGATTTGGTGTCAGAGTCGGGTTGCGTGGTTTGGGGGTGTGGAGGGGATTAAGCAGAGTGATGATCAGGCTGCTTTGTAAGAAGGGGCAGAGGAGAGGTATAATCTTGGAATATTGAGATGGAAATTTTGGAACGACAAGAGAGGGGATGGTATGCAGCATGGTCTATTTGGAGTCAGCTGTGCAGAGCCATCTATCTAAGGGGGTATCAATTGGTATAGTTCTCAGAAAACAGAAAATCGCAGAAACAACACACATTGGTCAAATCAATCCATAGCATCCAGACCTTCACCCTCACTCTCCGAAACCATGACACCAACAAGACACGAATTCAACATGCCCTCCCAATTGACCCAGGGATGCACCTCCATAAACAACTTGGTCCCGTCTTTTCCTGCAGCCCGGAGTAACTCTCCTCTACCTCCAGGATGAAAAGGCGCATAAGGGGTAATGTTGTACACCTTGCCGTTGTAAACACTCCACGCATCATTTCCCTTTCTGCCATTCTTCTCTGCTAGCATGGAGGGTGTAACTCGTGTGAATGAAGAAACATTGGACAGGTTCTTGGATGCAGCTAGGGAGGCCCAGTCGAGAGGGGAGTATCCGGGAGCGAGTTTTACCTTGCTGGAAGAGGACTTTGGCGTGTCGATTCTTGGGGGTGGTGCGCGGGCTTGAGCGGCGGCGGAGAGGGGTGGTTGTCTGGCAGGGATGGCAGGGACACCGAGGTTTGAGCGGTTTGGTCTTGAAGGAGGTGGCATGAGAGAGGAAGAGTTGTTTGCACGTTGTTGTGAGTTGGGAGCTGGGAAGGAGGGTGGTGGCATGAGTGATGAAGGCGCTGTTGGTTGTTTTGGGGAGGGCCTTGGAGGCGGAGGCATGGCGCGTTGTTGAGAGTCTGCTGCTGGGAAGGAGGGAGGCGGCATAGTGTCTTTGGTGTCTGGTTCTTGCAGGTTGGTGTTGGACGAGTCGAGGTTGAACTCGGGGACAGCGATTGAGGGAGCGGCGGGCGTCGCTTGGGGAGTTCTTTGGTCGTCGTCGCTCTCCTCTTGGACTTTGACTTCTGGTTCCCCTGTGTCTGCTTCCTTCTCTTGCTTGACTGCCGCCGTACCGTCGCTCTTAGCCTGGCTCTTCTCCTTGTCATCGTCTTCTTCGAGGGTCGCCTTGATCTGTTTCGAGTCGGGAGGCGGAAGGAGAGACCATGACAGGCGCCATGTGTTTGGTGGGTGTCGATGTATCAGAAACGTCAAGGACAGAATCAGCAATGAAATGCCCCAGACCGCCATCCTCTTGTTCTTGTGTTCCGAGTCGCGAAAGGTGAATGGCAGGAATCAGAAGGCGGGAGTGAGCAAGTCGCCAAGGCCGCTCTCCGAAAAACCACCCTGATGTCATGAAACCATCGAGCTCCAACAGCAACAAACATTCTCTGCTCAATACAAGCCATCATGTTGTCGCGCGCTGCTCTCTCTCGAGCTGCTGCTCTTCTCGTTCGCACAAAGCCCACGACTGGCTCAAGGCCATTGGGCACGCTGTCACGCCCTCGCTACGCCGCCACGCCCCTCCAGATCCGCAGTGCCTCACACGTAAACAACTTCAACAGATGGCTGTCGACAAAGTCTGCTGCCGATGAGGCCATTGAAGAGATTACTGAGCTATACTCGACCGCTAAAGATGAGGTACGCATCACCAACACCCCTCAGTGAAACAGGAACTAATACTCTACCTCTACCGAGTAGTTCGAGATGGCCATGGAGGAGACCGAGAACAAGACTATTTACGCCGAAGCCGACCGTGAAGCTGCAAGAGAAGAATTGACAAAAGTTCAAGAAGCATACAGAAGCATTGTCGAGGGTCCTGATACCGAACTGGCAGACGAGGTCAAGAGAAGAATTGGTCAGAGGATTCGCGAGTTGGAGGCTGGTGTCAAGAACATGGAGGACATAGCCATGAACCAGGACTAGTTTTATATTATAAAAGACATGAGAACCTGCACCATGTCAAGATGAATACACGACACTAAATATCTAGAGCTCGTCCTTCTTGACTCCAGCAATGCTGACCAGCTCAGTCTCGAATACTGCAACCTGTTAGTCATCTTTTACTATCCATGCTAGACACAGCTGTCACATACCTAGCACACTGTTGGCAGGGATGGGTCCCATGCCTCTGCTGCCGTAAGCCCACTCGGGTTGGATGGTCAATGTGCGCTTCTCGCCAGGGCACATGTCGAGCACTAAATTCATTCACATCAGCAACCATCTCAGTCTCAATCATGTTCAAGAACTCACAGCCTTGGTCCCAACCCTTGATGACCTGTCCCTTGCCGACGTGGAAGCTCAAAGGCTGCCCTCTGTTGTAACTGGCATCAAACTCCTTGCCACCATCCTGAAGGGTACCGCGGTAGTGAACCTCGATCTTGTCACCTGTTTATTCACCCCATCAGCATCTGTTCATTGGCCATATTCTCTGCACAACCCACCCGAAACGGTCTTGCGGGTACACTCAACAGCCTTGTCGACTTGAATGTCCAGAGGCTTGTTCAGAGCCGAAGCTGCTGAAGCGAAGAGAGCCAATGCGCCAGTCAAAGTGGTGAACTTCATTTTTGCTTTCTATTCGAATGTTGAGAAATCGACTATGTAATGCAGAAAGTGTTGCAAGGTTGTTGTGTTTCAGAAGTTGGAGACGTGGAAGCTTGCGATGAGGCACAGGAGTAGCTGATATTGTGGCTGGATGGTCATTGTGGCGGTGCATCTTGTTGGAGTTACCACCCTGCTCTTTCATTTAGTCATCTCTCAAGACATTCTTCTACCCGCCATCCTTGAGCTATTATTCATGCCCGTACACCATCTCAAGCCTATTATTCATGATCAAAAGCTTGCCTACGGATCATAATCTCCACACCTCTTCCAGTCCGCATCGCTGCTCCTTCAAAAAAGACAAGATCTTCAAAGGAGCGCCCTACATGCCGCACAAGCCATGTTGAGGCTCGGCCACGACTCGCCAGAACGACAGAAGGAACTGTGCTGCCGACGTGGGCACATGGCATTGATCAACCCGCTAGCAGTAAAGAACAACAGCCTTTGACGCCGTCCAGCCGATCTCAACTACGACTTGAAGAAGTAGTCTTGGTCGTCGGTATTGCGACGGTGCGAGGTGCTTGGGAGTATTCTGAGAGTCTTCAGCTCGGAGCTGTGGCCAAGCTCCCCCAAGATCGGTCATATTCCCGGAGGATTCTGACAAGACTCATGGTCACGATTTCCAGGCTAGGGCAAAAGGTAGGGCTGCCATTGGAGAGCATCACAACAAGTCCAAGGTCGCCATTTTTGAGTCGTCAAAGCTCCTTGACTCTTGTCTCGACCGAGATGAACAAAGGGAGCCACGCAGGGTCTTGTTGGTGTGCCTAACCGAACTGCAGACGCCTCCTACTTGATTTCGCATCACAGCTCGCCCACACACTCCCGTACCAGAATTTCCTCGTTGCTCGTTCAGCTCTAGATCCAGAAATGGACATTGAAATGCCCCATCGAGTTCGGCCGAGTTGTTGTTCTGTCAAATGAGAAGACAGAGCCACAAGCAACTGTCGACTTGCCGTGCCGCACCGTCTCGAAACACGCCTCTTGACACTATGTTTGATGATTTTCTTCGCGACGAGGTCATCGCCTGCAGATCAGTATTCCCCCATCATCTTCCTTCCAACACGTCAGCAGCCAACCTCAGCTACTCTCTACTCGAGCGCACGACTCATTGCCTTAAGGTTGACACGCCGATTGTTCGCAGAGAATGGTTAGAACATTTCAACGAAGGTGGTCAAATTTCCAGAAACCCCAAGACCTGGCGTCCAAGACAAGCATTCTCGCCGTTTATTGGCTCGCCAGCCTTGCCCTCTTTTACCCCTCTCTGACCCCATGTATTTCCCCCGGAGCGAACCAATACATAATCAAAATCCAGCAATAGGCCACGGCATAATATAGATTGTGATCTAGTCGCGTAAATTCCGCGACTCGCAATACTCAAGCCACAGAAGCTTACCATGTCTAGACTTTGCTTTGACTGGACCTTTTCCAAGGGAAGGATTGGAAGGATTGGTCTCAAAGCTGAACCTTGCGCCTTTGGGCGGGACCATGTCTGTGGTTGATGAGATTTTCTGACAGCCGATGCGCAAGCAATGCAGGTTGCAAAAGTGGTAGCTGCTTCGGCAAGGTACCAACCTAAAAAGTCTCAAGTTAACTTCCGCTGAGTCGACGGACTCGACGGGTTCGTAGATCAAGAGGTCGATCCATTCAAGGGACTGTTCCAGGTATGTGCACGAGGCCAACACGGTGGGCTAAATCCTTCGTCGCTGAAAGGCGACTTTATCACACGCGGCCGATAAAGTAAGAGACATGTGCCACCAATGCCGACCCCAGTTCAAAACTTGCCGACCGCCTTTTTCGTTTTCCAGCTGTTTGGAAAGACATCTGGACTACTTGTTTCTTGGGGATCCCTTACAAGTATTGGAACAACGACGCATCCTGCCACGTACCCTGGTTACATGATCTCACTTGCGGGTCGTCTTGCTGACTGATTGGCCTTTCGGCTTCCCGCCTTCCCTCTCTTTTACGAAGACATCTCAGGCGTATCGCGCGAACACCAAGACAACATTTCCAGGCATGGTCAGAGAGATTGAGGTCGACCCGTCAACGGGGCACTACCCTTCCCCCTACAGCTTGACGCCTCTTGGTCCAGTGCTCAAAGGTGGTCTCATGGCGCCAGGTCTGCTAGGACTACTATCTGTTATCACCACAATGGGTCTCTTGTCTTTTATTGTATACCGCTTCTCGACATGGAGGCGGCACTACAGGACTTATGTCGGATACAATCAATACGTCGTAAGTCCAGAACCACATCATGGTGTTTTCTAAAGATCATGCTAACAATGGCTTTGCTCTAGGTATTGTGTATGAATCTGTTGATCGCCGATTTCATACAAGCCGTATCTTTCCTCTTCTCCTTCCATTGGATTAGGAAAAATGGAATCTTTGCACCTACTTCTGCTTGCTTCGCGCAAGGCTTTCTCCTCAACATTGGCGATTTGACTTCTGGGTTCTTCGTTATGGCTATCGCCTTCCATACTTTCTACACCGCAGTCAAAGGCCGTCGTATTGGCCATGTACAATTCATCGTCGCTGTGGTCTCGGTGTGGACCTTCGGCTTGCTTCTCAGCATCATTGGTCCAATCGAATACAGAGACCGATACTTTGTTCGTGCTGGCGCCTGGTGCTGGGCTGGAGAGCAATACCAGACCGATCGTCTCGCTCTGCACTACCTCTGGATTTTCATCGTTCAATTCGGCACAATCATTATCTACGTCTTCATCTTCCTTCGACTCAGAGCAGCTGTGGCAGCTGTAGTGCCATCTGTCAGAGTCCAATCCAGCAGCTACGCAAAAGTCGACCGTGCAGCCAAGTTGATGGTTCTTTACCCCTTGGCCTATATCGTGCTCACACTCCCACTTTCCGCAGGCAGAATGTGGAGTATGGCACACCACGAAAAGAATCTTCCCGATGCCTATCAATGCGTCGCTGGAGCTCTGCTTGCCAGCTGCGGTTGGGTAGATGCTTTACTCTACACACTCACCCGCAAAGCCCTCATCAACGGCGGCGACTCCAACCGACGCACCCGCTCCAACAACAATGCCAAATCCAGCAAAGACGCCACCACCAGTCTCGACGACATGCACGGCTCCATCCTCCAAACCCGCACCATCACCGTCAGCGCCAACCAAGTGTACGCTCTCGACACCATAATCGATGACGAAGATCAACACCAGCGAGGCAGGAAATCGCAACTAAAGCATCACGCTAGCTATAAAAAAGGCTTTGGAGACAGAAAGGGACAGCATTCTCCTACTGGCAGCTTGGACCCTATCATCAGTGGTCATCATCTAGGAGTTGGAGGTGAGAAGGTGGGGAGTGAAGTCAAGGTTTCAAGTCGGGTTGTTGCTGCTGATGCAGAAAGTGAGGGCAGTAACGTGTCGCGGAGGTCCAGTTTTGACGACGGAAAACCACCGCATGAGCGATAAACAAGGCTCTTGTCAGATGCGCTTTGCCGACCGCCAGTCACTTTTTATCTTTCTTTTGTAATTATTTTACTTCTGAACTTCGCTTTTGTAAATAGCAAGTTACACACGCCCCAGAGATACCATTCTTATTCAGTATATACAATTATTCTTCCATGGACAGTCATAATACCTTGAGACACTCAATCTTGTTCTGCTCCCCTCCCCTTCTCCTTGTTCGAGGTTATCTCTTTGTGATGTCTTATCTCTCGACTAGGGTCATTCAGTCTCGTTGATACTTGAAGAAGTCGGCCGAGAGAGCATCTACGAAGATCCACAATCGCCTTTGTGCTTCCAGGAGGGCCATCTACCCCAGATCTGGTTGACTGATGAAGACAACAGAAGGCCGTCGAGTCTGGCTCTTGTCAAATGACAGTCAATGAACCATATTGCATGAAGTGATGTGATCGAGATATGGCAGGTTCAAAAGCAGGCGCAGTCGGCGGAGCAACACCCAGATAGGAAGGTCTTGACGCGATGAACGAATGCCCAGACTGTGGAGAGAGTGGAGAGCTTGGACAGCGGCATGGACCATGCGAACGGCTTGAACGTCACGAGCGAAGCGGCCGCCTTGGGTCTGCGACTTGAGAGGAAGGCACTCCAGGCCTCCAACTTTGCCTCCTTGCTAGTTCAGTCGTTCCTTCCTTATCGCAGCTCGTTCAAAATCGTGTCGCTTCCAGAAAGGCACCGAAACGTAGTGGCATACCTTCCTCAGCTGCAGCGACCCGCTCAAAGATAGAGCTGCGCGTATCGACGCCAAATCCAATTCATTCGCCAACAACTCGCGTGCCACTCGCGTCTGCTCTCTCACCATGAGAGTGCTCTGGCTGGCCGCAGCTGCCCTGCTTTCCTCGGCAACAGCATACAAGACCAACCAGTACCAATCCGACTTCTCCAATTCACTCGCCTCGTCAACGCCCTTCTCAATTTACGGAGACCGACCAGACGATTGCCCGCCATGCTTCAACTGCAACCTTGACGGCTTCCAATGCCACCAATACGCCAACTGCACGAAATCCAGTGGCAAGTGTTCCTGCCCTTCAGGCTTCGGTGGTGAGGACTGCTCTCAGCCGCTATGTGGTTCACTGGCAGAAGGCCACAACAGACTGCCTCGTCAAGGCCACGACTGTGAGTGCAACGATGGTTGGGAGGGTATAAACTGCAATGTCTGCAAGACAAACGAAGCTTGTAACGCCATGATGCCCGAGGGCAATGGTGGCGTCTGTTATCGCGAGGGTCTGGTCGTCAATGAGAACTACCAGATCTGCGACATTACGAACCGCAAGATTCTCGACACACTCAAGGAGAAGAAGCCTCAAGCCACTTTTTCCTGCAATGCTGAGCGCGCAGAGTGTAACTTCCAGTGTATGTCTTCCGTCTCTACACTGTCACATCCTCTCGCTGACATTTCCTCAAAGTCTGGGTCGACCAGGTAGAATCCTTCTATTGCGCCCTCGATACGTGTACCTGGTCCTCCAAAGCCGAACCCAATCGCAACTCGACGTCGTACCATTGCGAGAACATCAAGTGTCGCTGCATCCCAGGACGTATGCTTTGTGGCGAAGCCGACTCTATCGATATTGGAGACTTCCTGGATGAAGAGATCAAGGGTCCTGCTAGTTTCTCGTCTGTCTCGACTGAGGGTGGCAGCGCATCGGATGGAAGCAAATTTCAGGAACCTGCCATGAACGACCTCATCTCGAGCGTCTTTGGAGACGACAGCATCACCCTCAAGTGTCATTCTGGAGAGTGTCTGTATGTTACCGACGTCCCTGGTTACGAGAGACCTGTCAAGAAGATCAACACACCACTCATTGCTGGTGTCATTGCTGGCTGTGCGCTGTTTGTCGTCGCTGTCATTTTGATTGTCTGGTTCCTCTCGCGCAGAAAGACAAAGTATGGTCCTATTCACCTCTCCGATGACGAGGACGACTTGAACGCCACTCTTCTTGCCGACCACAAACCCGCCAGTCTCTACTTCGAGAACGTCTCGTATGCCCTCAAGGGCAAGCAGATTCTCACCGACATCCAAGGTGCCGTTCATCCTGGTCAGCTTATGGCCATCATGGGTGCATCTGGTGCTGGCAAAACCACCTTCTTGGATATCCTGGCAAGGAAGAACAAGCGCGGTACTGTTGTTGGAAACTTCCTGATCAATGGAGAAAAGATCCCCGACAACGAGTTCAGAAGTGTCATTGGCTTTGTTGATCAGGACGACACCATGCTGCCAACCTTGACTGTACACGAGACCATCGTCGACAGTGCCATGCTCCGCCTGCCCAAGGAGATGAGCTACGCTTCCAAGCTGCAAAAGGTCGAAGACGTTGAAAGACAGCTTGGCATCTATCACATTCGCGACCAACTTATCGGTTCAGAAGAAGGCAACGGACGTGGTATCTCCGGTGGTGAGAAACGCAGAGTCGGCATTGCCTGTGAGCTTGTCACAAGTCCCAGCATCCTTTTCCTTGACGAGCCTACAAGCGGCCTCGATGCGTTCAACGCCTTCAATGTCGTTGAATGTCTTGTCAACCTCGTCAAGACATATAACCGAACCGTCGTTTTCACCATCCATCAGCCCCGCTCCAACATCGTTGCACTTTTCGATCAACTAGTCCTTCTTGCCAAGGGCAGAACCGTTTACTCTGGCCCATTCGGCAATTGTCAAGCTTACTTTGACAACATTGGCTACTCTTGTCCTCCTGGTTTTAACATTGCAGATTACCTTGTCGACTTGACAATGCACGCTAGCACTGTCCACCCTCAAATCCCCGAAGACAGCTCTATCTTCCGTCAGCCCATTGGACGCAGCACCCGTGCAAGCAGCGCGGTTGCCGTCAAGTCTGTCCCGAGCGTCTCCAACTTCAGTGTCGAGCAAGGAGGTTCCATCACATCAGACTCTCCGCTCAGACCCAAGAACAGCCGTACTGCATCAATCAAACAGCAACAGGATAGAGCACTTTTTACTAGAAAGCAATCGTCACGGGAGCCGCCCGCAACTGCAAGCACCATTCGCTCCGACGCTTCTTCTCTGGAAAACAGCTTCGAGAACACTCAGCAATGGCTCAAGATGAGAGGAGTTCAACAAGCTCACGATGATCCTAATGGTCTTCCTCCTGATGCCGAAGGAGTCACCAACACAGATCTTGACAACCTCGTCCAAGCCTTCGCCGATTCTGATGTCGCAGCTTCCATCCGGGATGATATTCACAACGCCATGTCTGAAGCAGCTCAGTCGCATGGTCAAGCTAATGGTGCGGCTAATGGCGGTCCTGTTCAGTCTACTGTCAAGGGCTATCGCAAGACTGGTATTCTCGGCCAATTCGTCATTCTGTCCAAGCGTACCTGGCGCAACTTGTACAGAAACCCCCTGCTCATGCTCACACACTATGCTATTGCTATTTTGCTTGCTGTCTTCCTCGGCTTCCTCTTCTATGGTCTCACCGATGACCTGAAAGGCTTCCAGAATCGTCTCGGATTCTTCTTCTTCCTGCTCGCTTTGTTCGCATTCAGCACTCTGACTTCTTTGACCGTCTTTGCTCCAGAACGTCTCTTGTTCGTCAGAGAGCGTGCCAAGGGATACTATTCTCCCCTGGCCTACTACGCATCAAAAGTCGTTTTCGATATCGTTCCTCTCAGACTCATTCCTCCTGTCATCATGGCAGTAATTGTCTACCCCATGACTGGTCTTCTACCTACGGCCGCTGAATTCTGGAAATTCATGCTATTCGTTGTTCTCTTCAACCTTGCTGCGGCTACAGTATGCTTGTGCATTGGCATCGTCATCAAGAACCAAGGTGTCGCAAACCTGGTTGGTGTTCTTGTCATGCTGTTCAGCTTGCTTTTTGGCGGCTTCTTGCTCAATCACGAAACTATTCCCAAGGGTCTTCGTTGGTTGCAATCCGTGAGTTCCTGTCTCCATGCTGTGTCCTGTAACACTATTGACCCCCTCCCAGATTTCCATCTTCCACTACGGATTCGAAGGCTTGATCGTCAATGAGGTTCGCTATCTTTCGCTCATTGACCACAAGTATGGTCTTGACATTGAGGTACCTGGTTCGGCTATTCTCAGCTCTTTCGGCTTCAACGTTCTTGCACTCTGGAATGATGCCATCGGTCTTGCCGTCTTCTGTGGTGTATTCTTGGTGTTGGGATATGTGGCAATGCATTTCTTGCTCGTAGAGAGAAGGTAGTGTAATGTCTAGTGTCATGATGGCATATGGACTGTGGGATAGACTTTTCTGTTTATCACTTGTGTAGTACTTTATTGTTCATAGCTGGTTTCTCTAAGAATCAGGATTTTTCCTCTTTGGCATTTCTTATGTCAAGTGTTTTTGCTTGGCCCCTCTTTATCGCACGTAAAGCAACATGAATGTGTTACAAAGACAGCTAATCAGCAACTGCCACCAAAGCGGAGATTTCACAACCAAACAGATTCCGAGGGTGAAGCAGAGTGTGTTTCTTTGGCTTTTTTTTTCCCTTTCACTACCGCCTGTTACCTGAAACAGATGCAATATGACGTTTGCCTCGTGAATCTGAATCGGTTAGTGCTATAAGCGCAAGCGCTTGACAGCACATGCATGCATGCAGCCCGCGCGGTATAAAGATCTCGGGCATCACCGCCTCCAGCTTCATGTTGCAGCACTTTTTTGGTCTGTTGCGAACTTGGAATTTGACTTGACTAGATTGGCTCTCACCTTGGACTTTGACTAGATTGGCTCTCACCTTGGACTTGTGTCTTGCGGTTGCAGTGAAGTCTGCATCTTTCTTGAGTACGCCTTTCATGGGCTGTCGAACTTGAGAGAGATATTTTTCACTGGTGTGTGGTGTTCATTTGAGGATCGCGACATCTCTCACGATCGTCTTCAACCGCCGTAGCTCATCCTACCATCTCTCACAACCAGGAGGACTTGTCCAGGAAATCAAGACGTCGCAGCAAAACGATCGCACTCGAGTTTCCACGAGCGGCTCACAGCTTCTTGGTCACACGAACAGCAGCTGTTAATACTTTGATCTTTCCCGATTCTATCCACCCTTCGACAAACAAGGATCTCCCTCCTTCTATCCGATTCCACCAAATCTTCAATTTCGTCCATCAAAAAAGCAGCCCTACACAACTGTTTAATCTGCAGCCATCAAAGACATAAAAAGATCAACAAAAACCCTACGAGCAAAGTATACTTTTACTTGACAAACGGACTCGAACAACTATGCCAGGCTCCCACGATCTCAGCGTGGAGAATTTGCGGTTGCATGAACGTAGTGTGGAGAAGGAGAGATTTAATGTTAGAAGTGGTTATGTGGTGAGGACTGTCACTGAGGCTACTACGACAAGACCGCCTGCAAAGCCTACGAGTGTTGTGAGAGAGACGAGGAGTGAGAAGGCTGGAGCAAAGGCAGGATCGAAGGCCGCGTCAAAGGCTGGATCCAAGGCAGGATCGAAGGCTGGGTCGAAAATTGGACCAAGGGCGGGATCGAAGACAGGATCTAAGGATGGTTCCAAGGCTGGATCGAACCGAGGAGGAAGCATCGAAAAACAAGACAACGACAAGGAAGTTTTGATCGTCACAGTCATTGAAGAAGAAGAAGAAGAGCAAGACGAAGCCGGAAACCTACCTCCCAAAGCTCCTTCAACAATCCACACTCGAGTCAGCAAAACTGCTTCTGCAAATCCTCCAGCCTCTGTCCATCCCTCGCATCACTCGCATCACTCTCATCACAGCACCCACAGCAGAAGATACGATCTCTACAACATCCCCGTTGGTATCCCACTTCCACCCGGCTTCTCCAAGGTACCAGAGATCAAGGAGATGGATGGTTTTGATGCAAAAGATAGAGAGATGGCGTTGGTCAAACTTCCTTCTCTTGCTGCTGTGAAATCTACTTCCGGAATACTGCCTGAGAGGCAAGTTGCGAAACGATTTCCCACACCTTCGCATGTTAGCAGCAGCCATCACAGCAACAGCAAAAGCAAAGCCTTGGATAACGGCGGTGGGGCTGGACGTAGGGATCAAGGCAGGTGGAATGAGTATGACAGAGGAGATATGATCTTTGAGGAAGTAAGAGAAGTTACGAGAACAAGATATGTGGTCAAGATGCCGGAAGATAAGATTGGAGAGTGGAGGGTCTGAGGGATGGAAGGGGTTGGGGAGGGGAGACAGGCGGAGGCAGAGGCGGGAGGAGAGGCAGAGACATATACGGAGGAGGGAGAATATTTGAGCTCGGGATTTTGTTGCTTTGAGAGATGGCGGGTAATGGATGGGGAGGATGGGATTCAAGGGACGGGAGAAAGGAATTAAGGAGAGGTCTTGCTGAGTGAGAGAAAGGGCTTTGTTTTCTCTTTCGAGGATGAATCCGGTTGCTGCCCTGTTTACTCATATCATCTACATGCTATGTGGTTCACCTTTTTGATACATCTCCTTTCTCTGTCATCTCTGTGAACGGAATGAGACATTAACCATACGTGAAAAGACGGGTCCTTTACAAAAGTTTGCTTACTCAAAAGCACAACCTATCTTTCCAATCTCTTTGAATCACTGTTGTTCATAATGTCACATTCATAGCAAGGAAAGCTTTCAGAGGCTTTAAGGCAACTCTTTTCCGATTTGATTCTTTGTTGCATTCTCCTAGAATAGATAGCCGGGTTGTGAACCGGTTGAGAAAATCTTCCGGGAACAGATGAAAGCTCTTTTAAGGGTACGATGTCCATTAAGCACTCTTCCGGCATGACCAGTTGGTTGAGAAGAAGCTTTGTTGTTGTAAGACAAGATATGAGTATTGTTATTCATTCATGCTCACGTGTTTCGATCCTAATCATGCAAGTTATGTAAGAAGTGCGCTCTGTTACTTTTGACCTATACAGATTGCGATGACTTTTTTGCAGTCTCATGCCAACAGAGCAGCTCAAGAGTCTTAAGCTCAAGCAAGTTTGGTAACGACATGCAACTTAGTAAGAATGGTTGGACCCTTGGAAGTTTGACCCCAGATGTTCATCAAGGGTTTGCCGGGATCCGAGACCCTGTTACGCTAGTGAAACGCCTATCACAAAGGCTTGTTCAACCGACGACACTCCACCTCTCCTTCCAATTCAAGGATAGTATTCCCATCTCTTCCCCCCTGACTTCGTTTCAACAAAATCTCAAAGCCTTCCAGACTTGGAAACTCGACCATACCTTGTCTCTTACCCTTTGAACGTCTTGGAGACAACAGCAACATACCTTTGTTCCTTCTGGACAATGTCTCGCTCCAAACCACGACAACCGCCTCAAAAACCACCACACTTCACCAAAGAAGCAAGCACAATCATCCCAGAAGTCAATCGCCTAATCGCCCAACTCCGAAAAATCCAAGAAACCATTGTGGCGACTGTCGACCCAGAGACTGCAACTTTCTCCAATGTCCTTCTACCACTTTCCCGCAACCAGAACTCTGTGTCTCGTATACTGCCTATATTGGGTTTCTACGAAGCGGTCTCTACAGATGAGAAGCTGCAAGATGCTTCTACCGAGGCAAAGAAGTTGTTTGCAGAGTTTGAGATTGAGATGAATACAAATGAGGGCATGTTTGCTTTGGTTGATGCGGTTGTCAAGAAGAATGAAGAGCTGGAAGCTGAAGATAAGAGACTTCTGGAACGATGCCATAGGAACTTTCTGCGCAATGGTCTTGGTGTGACAGCAGAGAAACGCGAACGTTTCAAGGAGATTCAGAAGCAGTTGCATCGATTGGCGAGTGACTTTGAGAAGAACCTGAGAGAAGGAGATAAAGGTGTTTGGTTTGGAGAGGAGGAATTGGCTGGACTACCGAAAGATTTGGTTGCCTCTCTGACCCGAGGAACCGCTGAGCATGAAGGAAAATTACTGCTGCCTTTTGGCTTCCCACATGTCTCTACGGTCTTGAAGTACGCGACAAGCAGCGAGACTCGTCGTGTGTACTACACCGCTTTGGACAACAGGTGTCCCAAGAACGTTTCCGTGTTCAAAGAAATCATGGTTCTGCGACAGGAATCTGCTCAACTTCTTGGATATGCCAATCACGCTGCTTCCAGGATCGAGGACAAGATGGCCAAAACCCCGGAGAATGTGATGAGTTTTCTGGATGACTTACATTCGAGACTTTCGGCTGGAGTCAAAGCTGAGGTGGATGAGTTGAAGGAACTAAAGAAACAAGATTTGGAGTCGAGGGGTGAAAAGTCTGATGGGAAGATGTATCTCTGGGATCAACCGTTTTATAATTGTATGATGCTTGAGAAGGAGTCAGAGATTGATCGACAACAGATAGCGGAGTTTTTCCCGCTGGAAACAACAGTAACTGGTGTCTTGGGTATCTTCTCTCAGCTCTTTGGTTTGGTGTTCGAAGAGATTGTTGGAGAGGACAGAGATGTTCTATCACCTACAGGAACAAGTGGAGATCTTGTTTGGCAAGAGGATGTCCAGATGTATGCTGTCTGGGACGATGAACAGGGAGGCGGCTCCTTCATTGGGTACCTTTATCTTGACCTTTACCCACGAGAAGGGAAATATGGAGGCATGTGTAACATGAATCTACAATGTGTAAGTCGATCTTTTTGCTCATGCACCTGAAGCCCATCAGCTACTGACAGCCTGCAGGGATTCGAACAAGAGGACGGCTCACGTCACTACCCAGCCACCGCACTCATCTGCAACATCTCCAAACCCACCGCCACAAAACCCTCTCTCCTCACCCATGATCAAGTTTTACTCTTCTTCCACGAATTGGGTCATGGAATCCATGATCTCGTCGCCCGCACAAAATACTCCATCTTCCACGGCACAGCCACCGTCGACGATTTCTGCGAAGCACCCTCCCAAATGCTGGAATTCTTCTGCTGGATCCCGGAATTGTTACAACAGCTTAGTCATCATTATACTTGTCTTTCTCCCTCCTACCTCAAGATCTGGCAACAAGAGAACCCCGAGAAGTCTCAACCGGAGAAACATATCCCTCTCACCACTGTTGAGAAACTTGTCCAGGCGAAGAATGTTAATGGAGCTCTTTTCCAGTCGAGACTGTTGCATCGAAGTTACTTTGATATGATTGTGCATCAACCGTCTTCTCTGCAAGAAATCAAAGACATGGATATCGGAGAACAGTGGAATAGACTGCAAGGAGAGGTCTCGTTTCTGGATACTGGGGACAACTATCAAGGATTGGGATACTCGAGTTTCAACGCTGTGATCAGGGTTTATGATGCTGGGTTTTATGGGTATCTTTAGTAAGTGTCTTCCACCTTCGTACAGTCTCATTCGTATGTTGTCAGAGGATAAACTCCCGGCTAACGCATCTTGCAGTTCCAGAGTCTATGCTGCGGATATGTTTTACTCGGTCTTCAAAGATGATCCGATGAATCCGGTACAGGGCAAAAGATACAGACACACTATGCTGGAGAAAGGAGCTAGTGTTGATGAAATGACTACATTGGTAAACTTCTTGGCGAGAGAGCCTAGTGCGAAAGCTTTCCATAAGGACTTGGATTTGCAATGAAGGTCCGTAGTAAGTAACACATTCTCGAAACTCTGCATCTCAACTTCCGCGAATACGGGTTTTGAGTGATTGACGTGCATATATATTTTGTGCTTCTGGTTGCCTTAGCTTTGGAACGTTTCACGTCATTACCCGTCGACCTGGGCAAGACAATTGGTGCACGATCCAAACTTACTTGGTCATTGATTAAGCAGAGATTTGTGACTTGGTTGTAGGAGGGTGTAAGCTGTTATGGAATTATCTTTAGACAATGCATGGATACAAGTCACAACGAGATCTGTCCCCTCTGGTCGTCAAACACTCTACTCACTGCATATCAGTTATAGAGATACACAACTTGATAGCCACGGAAGTGACTAAGATCAGAGAACAGATGTGCATTCCGATAGTGTATGCAATTGCCGCATCTAGGCGAGGGTAAAGTGCGACAAGTGATACAAAGAACAGACCACAAGACAATCATGGTCGGTCCGTGCCGATGCTTTTCAGACGAATGTCCTAGATCGATTTCGAGGGATAGACAGTTCGTCTCTTTGTACGTACGTACAAATTCACGGGTCTGTGCATGGTTAGCAAATCATGATACGAAAGGAAAAAAGAAAACTTATGCTGACCTGATAAGCTGGAAGAAAGGATCATACTCGGTTTCGACATTGCCGTCTGTGTGCAACGAAATTAGCAGGTTTCGCAAGTGGCTATTGACTTTCTACGATGCATACCTTTGATCCATTCGTATCGCCAGACTAGCTGGGCGATGAAGATCTTGACCTCTTGGAGGGCAAAATTAAAGCCAACGCACATGCGTTGTCCGGCAGCAAAACTGCGTCAAAAGTCAGTGATATAGACTTGGAAAATGTTCACCATAAGACGCACGGAATGTAGTCAGTCTTGCCACGCTTCTTGACCTTTTCGGTCTCCCAACGGTCGGGGTCGAAACGATCTGGGTTTTCCCAGACCTTGGGATTGTTGTGGATGTGGTGAAGTGCAGCGATGATAACTTCGCCCTTACGCATCCTAAGACCGCCGGGAAGAATCAGGTCTCTTTGAGCGGTACGACCTGGTTGATAGGAGGGGTTGTGCTTGCGTTGCATTTCCTATGGGTTCATTTAGCGAATGTTATGATAGAGTTACGTGTCACTGTTTACCTTGACATATTTGTCAAGCTCGTTGAGATCTTCGATCAACTCTGGAGTGACGTCCATGTCATCCTTGAAATCATGGTTGACCAGCTCTTGGACCAACCGCTCTTGCATGCCAGGGTATGTGACAAGTCCATAGATGAGCCATGACAATAAGGACGACGTAGTGGTAAAGCCAGCTCCGGCAGCGACGATCAGGGCAGAAGTCATATTCGCTTTAGGAAGACGATTTCCGGAGTTATCCACCGCACGGTTAAAGTAATCTGAGTTATCGTCAGCTGTGCAGGTTGCAAGTAAGGTTTCGGATTATCAATACCGACGAGGTTTTCGGCCTTCAAGGCAGCATCCTGAAGGGGTAAATCCTCGACTCCTTTGCCTTTGAACTCCTCAATCACCTTGTCGATCTGGCCCTGCATGAACTCTTGTAAGTTTCTCAGGCGTTTGGGATCGCCGAAAGGTAGATGAGAGTACCACTCGCCCATTGAGGCCACCTTCTTGTTCAGGGCCAAGGAATGAGCGATGGCTAGAGGCATTCTGTGCAGCGGTGCATCGACAGAAGTAAAGTGCTCAAAGTCAATTCCGAGAACAATTTTGCCGACAGTAGCGGAACTGAGTTTCAGCATGTACTGATAAACATTCCAAGCTGAATCGGTTGACTCGAGCTCGTCAAATACTGGTAGTGACATGCGCAACTCGTCGTTCATGGTCTGAGGTGAGCGTATCACAAGTCAGTCTGAGGTTTTCATATAGTATGTGGTAGCTACAAGACTTGCCTTGGAATAGTGGCGGACAGCCTTGGGACCAAGTGCAGGAGGCATATACTTATGCACAATATTCCAGTTGGGGCTGGACGAGTCACCAAGAAAAACACCTGCCAAATCATTCTTGATTGGGAAAAGAGGGTGTACTTTGTTGATCTCTTTGGAGAAGTACGCCGATTCCGTCAAAGCGAGCTGAGCAATTCGAGGATCGTTGGTTTGATAGCTCGTCACACCCATACTGGTCGACTTGAAGACTGGACCATATCGCTCAAACAGACGTTGATTGTTGCCGAGATGATCTGGGAATACTACGATACAGTTCAGCAGATGTAGATAACAAGGACCCCGATGCTTCATAACGAACTTTGGAGATATGAGCCTACGTATGGCAAACCCTCAGGACCTGGAGTCTCGCGAACAGGTTGACCAGATATGGTGACACTGATAGGCTCATTTGTTGATTCGATTTCAACGAGAGTTTCGAGGGTGCGGGTCTTGTCCTGGAAGCCCACCTCTCCAGCAGCAACGATGCCAAAGTTGTTTGCAATGACCTCTTGAAGCGCACTTAGTTCGGTGACTTGGCTGATGTCGAGGTCCACGCCATGCTCAGCAGTCTCGCCGGCAAGATAGAAAGTCTTGACATCCATTGTGGACAGTAGTGATCGAAAGAGGAGTTGGGAGAGGGGTGCTTGACAAAAAAGCCCTTTGGCAGAGTGGGAACCCTATCAATTTGAGACTCGAGAAACAAGGCGGTACAGTGACATCTAAAACTCGCGATAACATCCCTCGATCGACGTCAAACCACTGATTCAGGTAGCATGGAACGAACAACTTTCTTGAGCCAGATTTGAGCACGTTCCCGTAACGGTTGACGGATCGGCGGCTCGGCGTAGTTCCACCCCGTTCAGTCCCTTGCAAGCTGACGGGTCAAGGGTCATCCCGCAGAACGACATGACTTCGAAGCAGACACGAGGCTCGTTCCGAGCCCGATGTGGATGGTCATATACCAAGAGTGTAAGATCGTTGTCAAAAGCAACGAATGAATAATAAAACATCGACAGTGAAACGGTAGAGATGCGAGATCATCGAGCGTAGATTACGCCTCCGATGTACTGAGTGGTACCTCTGTAGGAGCGCGCTAGTAGCTGTTGAACGAAATGTGTATTCTAAGCTCTGGCCAGCCTATCAGGGGGCCATGGAGTCATCACGTTCCAGCAGAGTGGCGCATACAAGATCTTGGGAACTTGAAAGATCGCTCAGAATGCTACGTTGTGAGCGAGCAACTCCTCATACACCTTCATTGCCCTGCACAACCTTACAAAATCATGGCCGACACGAAGAAAGAGCTTAAGGCCGAGTGGAAGACAGAGACGGAGGTCAAAGTCCTGACGCTGAAAGATGTGGCTAAACATAACACGAAGAAGGACCTTTGGATAGTCATTCATGGAAAAGGTGAGGAACACATCCGAGTGCAGATGAGTATCGAAGCTCACATAGCTGTGTATAGTCTACAACGTCACCGAATACGCTCGCGATCATCCTGGTGGTCCAGATGCCCTGATTGAAGTCGCTGGAGAGGATGCTACAAGCGCCTACGAGGACGTAGGCCATTCTGAAGACGCTCGCGAGATCATGCATCCCTACTTGGTCGGATCCCTCGAGGGCGCTTCCGCCGGAACCTCAGCAAGCAAAAGCTCTTCCTCAGCGCCCACTGTTCAGATTGTCAGGCGTAGCCCCACCCAGCAGGCCACAAACAAGACTGCGAGCAGCAGCTCCCTTGTCCGATATGCAGAATTCGCTGCGTTTGCTGTTGGTACATCTGGCATGGCTTGGGCTGCAGCTCAAACTGGTGCTTTGCAGAAGGCAGCACACGCTCTTAAGCAACGTGGGGTTCTTGACACTGCTCATGCTGGTTTCGCTCAAGGATTTCTTCTAGCCGCAACCACTTCTTCGATCATTGCTTTGGCCGGAATGCGATATTTCAAGGGCTTGATGAAGATGGAGAAGGACCCATTCCATCTTCCAGCCCACCGTACCGCCTCTCACGTAGTGGTCTCGTCCCACCACCCTGTTGGTGCCATCGCTCCTGCTGAGTACCGTAAATTCAAGCTGAGCAGCAAGACCGAACTGTCAGATGGCATCTGGAAGTTTGTCTTTGCTTTGCCAACCTCGACGTCCGTGTTGGGCCTCCCGATCGGGCAACACATTGCCATTCGTGGTGAAGTCGATGACAAAACCGTCACTCGCAGTTACACGCCTATTTCTAACAACCGTGATCTCGGTCGTCTGGAGTTGATGATCAGAATCTACCCCGATGGCCAATTGGGCAAATACCTCAGTAAGCTCCAGGTTGGAGATGAAGCTGAAATCCGAGGTCCAAAAGGTTCTATGCGCTACCGTAAGGGCATGAGCAAGCGTCTGGGTATGGTCGGTGGAGGTACTGGTATCACGCCATTGTACCAACTGATTCGAGCCATCTGCGAAGACAAGACCGACGACACCGAAATCAGTCTTGTGTATGCCAATCGATCTGAGCCTGACATTATGATGCGAGAGCAGCTGGAGACCTTCGCCGCGCAATCTGAAGGACGCTTCCGAGTTCACTTCATGCTTGACCACCCTTCGAATAACTGGAAAGGCGGCAAGGGTTACATCACCGCTGATGTCCTGAAGGAGTGGATGCCTGCGTTCGCTGATGACACTAAGATTTTGCTGTGTGGTCCTCCGCCAATGGTAAATGCGGTCAAGAAAAATCTCGTATCACTCGGTTTCCCTGAGCCTGGAAATGTGAGCAAGATGACTGACCAGGTCTTCATTTTCTGATGAAGTTCATGCAATCTCTATGTAGTCGTTGTATCACTGCCTGTTCGCAGTATCTTTGTTGCCCAGTCTTCATTTCAAGTGACGCTTCGTCTTTGAATCTACCCTTGTGTGACAACAGCATATTCAGATGGAGTTTCCATCGAGATTGCTCAGATTTCCTTTTCGTTCTCGACCCCGGGAACCTTGGCATGACCATGATGGGCATTGGAACGTTCTGGGCAACGTCATCTCTGCCGTTACGTGTACATACTCGAAAGTCACGACCAGGCCGTTATGTGTAGACCTCAGCGTTCCTTCTGAACACTAGTTGCCCGGTCTGGCAGCCACGTATGCTCTAAGGTTCTTGGCCCAGAGTATGAACAGGAAGAGCTTCTAACGTACCTCAATCTACAGAACGATGCAGATACCTCTTGGAATGACAGCCGAGCGGTCTCGAACAAGGTTCGAATTCTAGTGGGGGTGGCAATCTTTCACCTTCTTGGTTATAGTCTGGCGATGCTGTACGATCGGATATTTAGTATGAAACAAATAAAGAATCTCCCACCGTCTTTCAGAGGTATACGTAGGGATTCGTGGCACCAGCAGATCGACGGGGCGTAGTTGGCACAATCAAGGCGGGGACGAGATTGCACGAGACGGACCTTGTCAATTCCGTATGCGATCTGAGCGTGGAAGTTGACACAGGGCCCCTTTCCTGACAGATTGGTCGCTTAAGTGCTTCAAGCATTGTTATAGATTGTCTTATCTTCGCTTGCTGGCCGTGCTGCTGAGTCTTGAGGATGCATACCAAAGTCCGACTTCGAGTTTGCGTATGGACACGCCGATGTGCGGGCTGCCCAACGGCTGCAGAAACACAATGTACCCCCACAAACTGCAATTGCTTCCTTTGTTAAGTAACATCGTTTTGGTACCTCTTCTTTTCGATAAGTAAACGTAGCATGTTCACGCTGGGGATAGCTGACGGTTCACCGGTTAATTGGGCTTGTGAGGGAAATATTGTAAAGGGTCTGCGCCGCGGGCCGCACCGTTGCACTATCTCCATCGTGAACGAGAAACTCAATTCTTTTCTGGGCAACATGTTTATCAAACGGCATTCGAGCCACGATCCTTTCCCTTGCTTTTCGCGCACTGTGGCTCCGAACGTTGGCTCCGCAGAAGTCTACGTATCAAGTCAAATTAGGCAAGCTGCAAGCTGATTGTTATCAAGCGCGGACACTCGCTGGAACGTACAGTCGGATCGGGACATATTCTCGCACCGATCGCGAACCTCAGGCAATTCCAGAGACATGATTGAATGCGAGGATTTTCGGACATGAAATGGCTGCAAGACATTATTGTAGAGCCATTTCGTTACTCTAGCAGCTACGTCAGGAAACGTGTTCATCCGATCTCTCGTTTCTTGTCTCCGTGTCGCCGATAGTTTCCAACAAACGTGTGTGTATATATATCCCGGATTGTATGCGTCGGTGTTGATCAGTCATCACATCCATCAACCATTCAAGCTCGTTCACAGATCCAGTTTTCCACAACCATGTCGTGGTCCACACCAAACGATTACAAGTCGCGACCAGTCGTGGTACTCGGCGGCGGCGTCTTGGGAAGGAGAATCGCTGCTTGCTGGGTCGCCGCTGGCTGGCACGTTCGCGTGCGCGACCCTTCCGAGAAATCCAGGAATGATGCTGTTTCTTATGTCGAAGAGAACATCAACACTTACCTTGCACTTACCAAAGGAACCAAAGGACAATGTGTCGCCGTTGCGGACCTCGAGGAAGCTGTGAAGGACGCCTGGCTCATCTTCGAAGCAGTGCCTGAGATTCTGGCGCTGAAAGAGGACACTTTCGCAGACCTGGAGAAACTCGCACCCGCCGACTGTATCCTGGCATCCAACAGCTCTTCCTACAAGTGCAGCGAATTGCTTGCTAAGGTTTCTCAATCGACGAAGGAGCGTGTGCTCAACACCCATTACATGATGCCCCCACAAGTAAGGCGATTTGTGCTTTGTAATGACCGGTGACTAACTTGGCTACAGGCTCTGATTGTTGAGCTCATGACAAGCGGATACACCAACAGCGAAATCTTTCCTCTCCTCGAGGTAGAACTGACCAAGGCTGGTCTCCATCCGTACACCGCGAAGAAAGAGTCTACGGGCTTTATCTTCAACCGAATCTGGGCTGCTATCAAGCGTGAAGTGATGGCAGTCATCGAAGAAGGAGTGGCCGATCCAAAGACCATTGATGACATCTGGAAGGAGCAATACCAGAGTCCAGTGGGCCCCTGTACCATGATGGACAGTGTTGGCCTGGACACTGTTCACCACATAGAATCGCACTATGTTCATGACCGTGGCCTTCCGGACAAAACTCTTGACTGGTTGCAGAAAAACTACCTCGACCAAGGCAAACTTGGCAACAAGTGCGATAAGGGTGGACTTTACCCTCCGCACACTGAGCTTCACGGTACAAAACTGGCTATTCTCAACATGAACCTCGGTGCATACCCTGGTGAGCTCGGAAACAAGCTCCTGAGTAGTGGCCAGGTCCTTACACTACCCGTGGATCAAAAGGCTGCCAAACCTATCGCCATAGTACACGATCAAAAACTCCCTGATGGCATCGACGTCCATGGAGATAGATTATACTGGACCTGCATGGGAAGCCCAAACGTCAACGACGGCGCAGTATTTTCTGCAAAGCTTGATGGAAGTGACGTGCAGACCGTCATCGCACCTGGTAAGGTTCACACACCCAAGCAGCTCTACATCGACCAAGAAAGTCAAAAGCTTTACTTCTGCGATCGCGAAGGTCTACGCGTTCATCGCTCGAATCTGGATGGCTCTGAGCACGAAATCCTTGTTCAGACTGGAGATTGGGAAACTGAGAAGGACAAGGTCGCCGATCAGAGAAACTGGCCGGTTGGAATTACTGTGTCCAAGAAGTTGAACAGATTGTTTTGGACACAGAAGGGCTCTCCGAAATCGAACCAGGGTCGCATCTTATCGGCAGGGCTCGAGTCACCATCTGATCCCAGTGCACGAAACGACATAGAAATCGTTATGCAGGGTCTTCCTGAGCCGATCGACCTCGAATTCGATGACGAGGAAGGTGTATTGTACTGGACGGATAGAGGTGAACTTCCACTCGGCAACACCCTCAACAGAAAAACTCTCACAGGCCCAGTGCCTGCCACAGAGAAGACTTTTGGCCGTCAATTGATTGCTCAAGGATTCGGTGAAGCTATTGGCTTGCGTCTCAACAAGAAAAAGCAGTGCATCTATGTCGCAGACCTTGCCGGACGCATATGGCAGTGCGGTACTGGTCCTGGTCCAAAGACTAAGATTTATGAAGCAGGAGGTCATGCATACACGGGCATTGCTATTATCAACTACTAGATTCATATATCAGCTACTTTAGTCTTGCCAGAAATGTACTGCTTTGCTTTCAAAATTATCTGTCTACCAGAGGTTCAGCTTCGGAAGACATCATAAAGGCTCGAGCCATTAACAGCGGCCCTTGCATGACGCTGGATGTATGCACATTGCAGGATATAAATCCAGACCCTAACTGATCTGACGCTGACTGGATCGCTAACGCCCTTTCGCGCAATCCTATCGAGTGTCTGATGTCTGGAAGGACCAAAGCTTGAGCCATCTTGACCATTTCGTAATTCGCCAGGGACGGAGCAATAAATTGCTTGTGTTCGCGGACATGTTCCAGGAATGTAGGGATCCATGGCATCCAGGAGCGCACTGGGTAGAGCGCTTTTAGTTGGGCGGGTTCCGGTAGTCGTCTGTTCTGTAAGGGGAGCATATTGACAAGGTGATTCTGAAGTTCTCTAGCTGCGCGAAGCAGCAAAGGTTTTTCTCTGACAAGCTGCGCAAGCTTTTTCAACGATTGCATGGCGCTGCTTAGCAACTCGGACTGATTTTGGCGCCATCTGCTGATCTGCTGATCACCCACCAGTGGGAGAAAGAGCTTGGTAAGATCGGATTGCTCATTATTCGCATCCTCATTAGACAAAACCTAGTGAGACGTAAGCCGTGGTCGATCAAGACCTACTGTGTCGCTTACCAAAAAGAGTCCTTGGATAGATCGAAAGAATTCCTCTCTGTGTGCCATGTCAGAAAATATCAAGCTTCTTGATTCTTCGAGACTCACGAGTCATAGGCGTCCCAGGAGAGCATCATGCATGCAACAAGTATAGCACCACAATTCAGCTTGTCCCCAGATGCTAGATGTTGACGTAGCCCGACCAATACTTTTTCGCGATATAGATACTTCTCGCATAGCATCTGGACGGATTTCGAAAGCTCATAAAGATGTTGGATGGCGGCGCCGCAAATGCAGTCGCGGAGTAATGGCATCTCATTTGCGTGCTGTATTGCCCTGCGCAATCTGTTTAGCTTGCAAATATGTTTTGGGCCATAGACTCGAACACTACCTGACGTAAAGTTTGGAGCCCAGATTGACATCTGTCATCTGACAATGCTGCATTTCGTGGCTGATCGTGATTGTGTGGTGTATCAAGAAGTGTTCTCTGGTCGTGATATCCAACGTCTGATCCAAATATGTTATAGGCAATTTCATGGTTGGCGATCCGTTGAGAAAGCTCTCTAGAAGGGAGTGCTGACGTGGAGGTTCAGCTGCAGCTCCTACCGCGTCATATGTACACTGAACATTGTGGGTGCGGCCATATTTGACGCAATTCTGACTTTACATGCAATCAGTCTATACAGAATAGAACATATAAGATCAGGCGTGCTTTAACTCACCATCTCGGCCGCATTTCGTCACAGCGCACCTTCCGCTCGCGACAAGTGTGGCATCCAGTCGTTCGTTTGACGTGCTTGCGCTTCATTCCTTGACGCGCCACGAGCTCCATTTGGACGATCTGCCAGCTTGACTGGATTCATCTAGCACATAAACGCGACTCGTTCGCTTTCTCAATGTGGGCTTGCGAAGTGCTGTCTATCCTTACGGCTTTTTGGTCTTGAAAGTAGGACTCATCGTTGCTTCAAAGGGTTGGAGAAAGAAGTCATTACGCAGGAGGTGGCCAAGTTTGGTGGGGGATTTTGCCGCTCCGAATCAGGTAAATTCACGAGCCACGCTAGCGTAGCCACGCCCCTCCCACGAGCCCTGTCGGCAATAATTTGACCTCGGCAACACCTGCGTCTCGCTGTAATATCCGAATTTAGAAAGCATTGGTGAGCCGCTATTCGACCGACGTGTTCCTTCTCTACAGGGTTGAGAATATAGTTTTTGCTGTTGTTTTCACATGTTGATCTTGCTGATAGTTTATATATGACTACTTACACAGCGGTTGGATCTTGGGCAGAGAGCAAAGCGTAAAGGCATTGTTCAAGAACATGGGCTCGAGTTTATAAGTATTATGGGCAAAAAAGCGTTAGTCTGAGGTGATGATTGTCCAGTTATAGGCCAGGCCATGATTCGCAGTGCAAGTCTCACCAGCATTAAAACAATCGACAAAACAGATTCTGAATGGTAAAGAGCTCCAAATGATCGATGTGGAAAGGACGGGCACCGCCAGTCCTTGCAGAAGCGCCACATACAACTTACTCAGAACTCAGGCTTTCTTAGATGTGCCCATGATCGAGGCATCAGTTTGTGCGGATCCTCATCATGACCTGACTCTTTGACCACCCAAGGCCCAGTTTTTTGCACCGCCTCGTCTATTCTCACAGTCAAAGAGCAACCACCAATCAATGGCCTCCAGACAATATTCCACATTCCTAGGACAGTGTCAGTTACGTTGCGGAGTACGAGAGGTGATTTGTTCATACTTTGTAGCATCCTCGTTGTGACATCTGAGCTTCGACAATGCTCCCAATATAGGAAATGGCCTCCTGGTTTGAGGAGCCGGTAGATCTGCTTGACAGCAGCGGCGGGATCCTTGACAGAGCACAGTACTTGCATACAGAGTACTGTGTCCACAGTACCAGGTTCAATGTCATGTTCTCGGAGGGCCTGCTCGTCTTCTAACTTTGCAGTAACTATGGTATACTTGTGACCCAAATCTGGCATATCACTCAATTTCTTCTTCAGAATTTTGTGGAAATGTACGTTGGGTTCAATGCCATAGACCTTGTTGACATAACGTGTATCCAGTCGTGAAAGTTGGTTGCCAGAACCTGGACCAAGTTCAAGCGTTACGCCCGTCGCCTGAGCGACCAGACGAGGTACGGGTGTGCATTTTTCTTCGAATATTGCAAAATGATGACCTGGGATTGTCTATGAGTGGCTGAGCCCGAAGAATCTTGTTGGACAACATACCCAATGTTATATACCAGATTGCAAAAGCGTGCTCTCGGGCTCCAAGAACGTTTCCAGATGATATGCACTGAAGCAGGTCTGGGATAGCGAGTGTGAGCAGTAGTCAGTTCGGTTGGCAATAGGATATATCTTACACCATAGAGCGTGCTGAATAGACTCTATCAGGTCCATACTTGCATTGTAGCGATTTAGAAATCCCTCGAGCATGATTGCGATGATGAAGCTCGTCCATAGACCGTGGGTTAGGTGATATCGTTTTTGTTGTGAGGTATTGGCTATTTTTTGAGATGCCTGGGATGGAGGGTCATTCATATATACATGGACGAATACGAGATGGCGCACAACGCTGCGTGAACCCTGCGAGATAAGACGAGCTGAGGCCGAAAGTATCAACGTCGAGAGCGCTTGCGACACGAGCTTGCGTGATAAGACATCACCCAGCTGAAACCTCTGCAGAAGTTTTCCACTGACTTTGAACTTGTTGAATTTCTGCAATCCTTTCGAAAACCAGCGTATACCCCCCCACGACTTTTGATCATTGGAAATCTTTCCTGCACGCTTACGGAAGCCTCGGCTACGTTCAGCACCGACCCTGAAGAGACCTAGATACAAGGGATCCTTCCCTAAACTGGCTACGCTGATGCACAGCGGGCGTATCTGTAGAAGAGTTGAACGTGAAGTTTTGCAGTTGGAGAGCCGTGAAGGTAGACGCTTGTTCTCAAAAGGATTGTATCCATCCAAGCATTACTCTAATAGGACTTTAGACGACCTTGCTCTACCTGCATGGCACTGTCCATCCTCTCCAGCTCATTTGAAGTTGTGCTGGTGGTCTGTTTGACGAACTTGGCACACTGCTCGCCAATGCCGTATGCGGGCATCTGGGTATGGCCACCATGCAATGTTGGCATGACAGAACAGTCCGCCACCCTTAGTCCTTTAACACCACGTACTTGGAGCTTCTCGTCTAAAACAGCCATCTTGTCTGATGCTTTGCCCATCTTTGCTGTTCCTGCTGCATGATAACATGTCGTAGCATGCTGCTTGACATGAGGAATCCACTCTTCGCGGTTAGTGAATGCATGGTGGGTGAGGTTTGCTGTCGATTTGATTAGCTCATCTTCAGAAATGGAAGGAAAACGATGCCTACCTGGCCAGGATCCCTTCACAATGTCTTTCGTCCCTTTGCCCTGCATGACCACTTCGTTGCCCATACGCACTCCTTCAGTCAGCACCAGCAGATCTAATGGATCTGACAGATATTTGTGGTCCACGATGGGGTTCTCCAGGGGATCCTTCGACTTGAGCACAACCGTGCCCTTGGATCTGGGGCTGAATAGTTCTGTGATCATGGAAAAGGCATGCTTGTTGTCGATTGGGAAGTCTGCATACTGCTTCGGCCCTCTGCATACCCGGTCAGTTAGATCATTAGATCCCACGAGGCTCGGAAGTCTTACCCGTAACACTCGGTAGTAAAGTACTCGACGTTGGGCTGGCTCTTAGTCAAGCCCATTGCGTCTCTCCCGGGCTCAGCGGACTTCATTGCTTCTTGCCAAAGTGGCTCATCCTTTAGTCGGTCGTCTAGCCTGGCAAAAGCAAATGCTCCGAATGGGAACGTGGAGAGGAATCCTGTCTTTTCCTTCTGCCATTGAGCGTATGTCGTGGCAAGGCTATCTCCGTGGTACACATGATGGTCAGTTGTAAGTCCAGCTTGTTCTGTCTCATAAAACACGAAGACAATGAGGTGATCGAGCAGATTTTGTCCGACTCCAGGTGCATCAACCAAGCATTCGATTCCCATCTTCTCGAGGTCGTTACGTGGACCAATACCAGAGCGAAGAAGTATTGGGGGAGTACAGTATGCTCCGCCAGAGATGATGATTTCAGACTTTGCCTGCACTGTGTTTCGTGTACCGTCTGGTCCAACCAGATCGACACTTCGAGCCGTCATCAGTCCGTTGATGTTCTCGAATCCGATCTTATCCACAACCGTGTTGACCAATATTTCGATGTTGGACTTTTGTTGATCTTTGGTAACGAAATCGGCGCCGGTGGTTCTCAATCCTTGGTACACAGTACGGGGAGCATGTCCACAACCTTGAGCCGTCTCTCCTGTTGAGAACATGTCGGGATGGAGTGGCATGCCCTGACTCTGGAACGAGTCAAGTAGCCTTTTTGAGATCGGAGCCAAGTCGTGAGGCTCGATGTGCAAAGGCCCATCGGTACCGTGGGCACCTTCGGCAGCTTCGAACCAGTCTTTGCCGTGGAACGTCTCAGACTATTCACTTATCAGCACTCTCCTATGATTGTAGGCACAAACCCATGCTCACCTTTCTCATGGCCTCAAACATCTCCTTTCCACTCCACCCTTCCAGGTCCCAATCGTCATAATCCTGTTCCGTTCCACGAAGGCAGAGCGTACCATTGACGCCGCTACTGCCTCCTAAGAACCTACCTCTACTGACCTTCACCTGTCGGTTGTCGATACCTGGTGTGGGTTCTGTGACGATGTTCCAATCTTGAGGAGTATCGAAGTTCTTCGACCATCCTCCGACCATATGAACGTTCTCGAGATGCTCATTGTGGGCGCCGGCTTCGACCAGCATGATACGAAGGGAGGGGTCTTCGGCGAGGCGGGCTGCAACAACACAACCGGATGTGCCTCCACCACAGACAATATAGTCGTATTCGAAATCCGCCATGGTTCAAAAGGGGCCTGCTTTTCTTTATGCTGCTGACTGCCCTCCAACCCAAAGGACGCGAGCCACCATCTTTATAGCCTTCGTGCGAAGGGCGGTCCTTTTCCGTATGCCATGAGTCCTACATTGTCCAGCCCTCTTACGGGCTCAGGGAGGTTCTTGTTTTCCCGCCTTACCCCAGATGTCCACCCCCGCTTCCTGGCCACGAGACCCTTGAATGGACGGCTTATTTCCGCGATGGTCCTTGGCCGGAAGGAGAACGAGGTCATAACAACCGAGCATGAAGCTGAATGGATGTTGAATTATAACTTTGTTTGCACTTTATGTAGACACTACATTTGCAGAGGTAATGATTCGCAGATTGTACAGCTAGCAAGTCAAAGCAGAATCTTTAGCTTGTATTGTCCGACACTGGTAGTTCTAGAGGTCCATCTGCTGTATCTTCTCGAAGACTTGAGTGACCGTGAAAGGCTTGGATAGGAAGCCATCCTGCAAGACTCGTTAGGATCATCAATTATGAAGACGAGGCCAGTATACTTACAGCTCCTGCCGCAACAGCAACTTCAATCTGCTCAGGTCGTGCATTTGCAGAGGTGACAATGATGGGCAGATGCTCTGTGACCAAGCCCTGCTCCTCAAACTGTCGTATTTGCTTGGTGCAGTCAATTCCATTGAGCACAGGCATCTCCCAATCCATCAGGATGACATCCAGTCTCTTGCCTGGTCGTTCGCCGCCTTTCCAGTATCGAGTCGACTTCAGATAATCGAGCGCTTCGCCGCCATGATTCGCAACAAAGACTTGGTGACCTTTGGCTCGAAGTTGCTTGCTCAGCACTTTGGCGTTAATTTTGTTGTCCTCAACCAAGAGGATTTCAAGCTGTCTCAACCCCTTCTCGAGAATTTGACGTTCGACCGTATCGGATATTCTCCTTATGCTTCTCTCTTCCTCTTCAGTGGCTGACGTCTTCTTGACTTTGATGTAGAATCCAAAGGTACCTTGAAGAGTAGTCAGCGCGTGGATGCATATCTGGTTCGGATCGTCACGTACTTCCTTCATCGGGTTTACTTGCCAGACCGATGCGTCCGCCCTGGAGTTCTGCTAGTTGCATAGAGATATAGAGCCCCAGGCCCGACCCACCATACTAATCCAAAGTCAGTCGTCTGCTTATCCGAGGCACGCGAAAAAGAGCTTACTGTGGTACTTGTTGATGCATTCGCTTGGGTAAATCTGTTAAAAAGTCTTGACATCTCCTCTGGAGTAAGGCCTTTGCCAGTGTCTTCAACTTGAAAGGTCAAGAAGATATTGCTGTCGTCCTTCAAGACTGGAACAGGCGATTCCTTGGGGTGCCATTGCAGATGCGACATGTGACTTGGAGGCGTAACGTTGCTGGATCCGATAATGACTTTGATGCATCGTTTGTTTCTGCCTTTCGTGAATTTCATTGAATTGCTGACCAGATTAATCAAGACCTGTCGGATCCTCGAAGCGTCGCACAAAGCCCAATTCATAGCGTAAGATTTGTGAATTTCCAGATTGAGGTCAATGTCAGCATTCGCAGCTTCAGCTTGAAACATGCGAACGACTTGCTTTGCCACCATTTCGGGCTGGCAAACGGCAGAAGCAAGGGAGAGAAGCGACGAGCTTAGCTTGGATACCACAAGGATATCATCGGCGATCGTCTTCTGGTGAGCACTGCAGAATGCAATCGTCTTTGCGTTTTCTCGTATCGAATCGAACATTTCTCGAGAGGGACTTGCGGTATGTGAGGTTTCATTATCCCCGAGTAGGCGGAGAATGTCATCGGCACACTGCATGGTCGCCCCGAGGGGATTTCGCATCTGCGCTGGAGTCAGTATTGTGTTATATCTAAGGAGTCTTCAGCGAGGTGAGCTCACTTCATGAGAAGTCATGTCCTGCACATGTCAGCCACAGCTGTGAAAAGTCGATTTGGAAAACATACGATGAATCGTTCAAGGTGTTTCTTGGATTCAAGAGCGGCGTCGGTCGAGTCTTTTTGCAGTTGCAGAGCCCACATTGTATGTCTGATATCAGCCAGCGACCCGATAACACCTTGCACCTTGTCGTCCTCAATATCTGGAACAATGGAATTCAATACCCAATAGTGTTGCTCCGTTGTCGAACCAGGCGGCGTCCACTTCCGTTTCAGGCGAACGCTGATACTGATATTAGTTCGCTCTGATTTGCATTTCTCAATGGCATTTGTGATCTTTTCTTGATCTTCTTCCAAGACAAATGTCTCAAGACCAAAAGCATGTCCGTTTCCGGTCTCAGAGTTGCCATCAACGATTTCGTGATACTTGGGATTGGCATAAGTGAGGATATTAGAGGCTGATGAAGAATAGATGCCGACATTCGTTATCTCTGCAACTTTACGAATGAATTGTTCTCGCTGCGTGAGCCTTCTGATAAGAGTTTTCTCTCGCTCTTGCGCTTGGTCGAAATTGACACTCGAAGAGACCACAGAAGTGGCCGTTCGCCAGATATCGTTGACTAATTTCTTGAGATCATCATCGTAAGGTCTTCGAGGATTGAGGCCCATGACCATGAAGCCAGTGATCAGGCCGTTTGTGAAGATAGGCATGACAACGAGTAGAGACGATGATTCAGGCCAGCCTCGCCACTCGACTTCCTGCCGAAATTGTGTCAAGGCATGGTTCGAGGTATCAAGTACGATAGGATGGCCAAGAGCTTTGCTGGATCTGAAAGCAGGAGCGAGAGGATGTGCTGAATTATCAAGGTCAACGTTGCGGAGTGTCTGTTCATGTTCGTCCTTGATGCCGAGGGAGCCTTCCAGTCGCAGAGTGCAGTGTTCAGATCGTTGAGACAGTACCAGGTCAGCCGAATAAGCCAGAAGCATAGGGACATCCCTTTCGAAAGATCGACAACCGTCAACAATATGAGTCCAGACATTCGTGTTGTGAAAATCAGGAACAGCAGCGATTTGATGGGTCAAACGACCGTAGCGGTGCAAGAGAACGCTGTTCGTGATCTCATAGCCTGAATTGTACAGACCTTGAAAACTCCCATCGCAGTCAAGGATAGGAGAGAAAACACCGTCGTACCAAGCTTCCTCGAGGAAACCGCTCTCTTTGTGTACTTCCATCTCGAACTCTGGCATGTGGAAAGCCTTTTTTGTATCTTGTACCTGTTGGGTCATGATCTTGAGGAAGGGCCATGTAGCAGGCATGGCTTCTTCGGCAGTCGAGCCCATCATGGCGGGGTGACGAGAGTGAGCAATGATGGCGAAGGCTTCATTGTAGATGGCGATGCGACTATTTCCCCAGTACAAGTTCGCAGGTCGAGGGTCACCGAGCATCTTGAGGACCATGAGCTGCAGCACAAGAGGCCACGATTTGATGGGGCCAAGCTCTGTCTTGTCCCAGCGAGTGTTGATCAGAAAGCGATTGTGCTCGCTGTCAGGTATGTGGACAGTCCAGTCTGTCGCATTTTGTTCCTTGCTCTTGCTATTCGAGATATCGGGTACCACCAATGGTGTCGATATCGACGCCGACGGTGGACATGATGGCGGTGATGGGGCACGGAATGTATCTGTCTTGCTATTGTCGTCGCGATTGGCGTACGCAGGCTTCAGGTGCTCGACAGAGGCAGTACCAGGCTTCAGCTTCCATTGGCGCAAGTCGAGGTCGAACTCGACGTCGGTCGCTCCTTCCCCTGTCGTATTGTCTTTAGTCTGGGGGTCGGGTTTTGCTGCTTGTACCGGCGCGTCATCATGAGCAATTGAAAGACAGAGTCTTGTCTTTGCTGTTGGCGACGAGTCCAAGTTGGCGATGTGTATGCCGAGAAAGTCGAGGACGCGAGTAACGGCGGGCAGCTCTTGCGGCTTCAAATCTGGCAGCGCGCTTGCAACGAGAAGAGCCGCACTGCTGTTGTTCATCTCAATCCGGTGCGTTCATGTCATGGACATAAGTCGAATCGCCTCTCGAAGTTCCTGAACAGTCTCTACCTAGACTGAACATCTTGTCCCGTCTAGACGATCTCAATGGCCTTCAGTTCTCACACGGCAAAGCCGTTGTGCATCTCGCATTGCCACCGCCCGCACTTTTGCTGCAGACATACATCACAATGATGTCGTTTCCCAATGCAACTGCCCAATTCTGCCAAAATCGCGGCTTCGGGCCAATATCCGTCTAATTATCTGCCCTCTTGAGCTGTTGTACTTTGTTTTTGTCGGCTATCTTTTCTCGGTGTTCATGCATCGCTTTGACTAGGGTGACACCCTGTCTTGAAAGATTCCCTTAACCATCATGCGCTGTGCCGACTGTTGACAGTCCAATTAACCCGGATCATGCTTCTAGTAGCAGTGAAAATCTCGTCAAGAATCCAATAAGCAGAATGTATTCGGTCTACCTACAAGTTCATCAAAACGCTCAATGAAACAAGAATCTCCAGACAAACAACCCAGCCGCGATGGTCACAACAGCTGTCACTGTTTGCGCAAACGCAACACCAAAAACCATCAGGAGGTGGAAGACATGAACACCAGGTCCAATTTTTCCCCGCCGAAGAAACATTTGTAACCCGACAAGCATCTGATACAAGACTGCACCAAAGACTCCTCCATCCATAAACTTTGGCCTGGTCCTGGGCTCATCCAGTATCAGTCTACGGAACCCAAGACACGAAGTCATGTAATTAGCCAGAAAGAAGAGACCGAACCAGAAACCACAGACGGAGATTGGCATTAAAACACCACCTCGCATGAAATCTGGAGTTCCTTGATAAGCATGGATGACAAAATCTTGGAAATGCTGCACCCATATCTGTTGGTTGCGAGACGTGGCTTGCCAATTGTCCACGCCCATTCGTAGTAGCATAAGTGCAAATACCAGTAGCCAGTGAGATATTGAGCTCGACCATGGGAAGATATAGAAAACTTGGGCTGATAGCGATGGGTAGTCGTGGAGTAGATACACCAGCAATAAAGAGATGCTGCAAATATGATAGGCAACACTTGAAGATCTTGAGATCTTGATTTTGGTATCCAGAGGATCTGCTTTCTCGGACTTATCCACGTCCTGACTTGGGGTTCTGGATGAGACTTGATATGGTGCTGGTGGTTCCGGCAGAATCGAGACAACACCGAGAGTCGCAATACAGACCGAAGTCGTTAGATTAGTCCACTTTGTATCTGACACAAGAGAAAGGGTTCTCAAAGTCATAGCGCCCCAGGCAGCACCAAGAGCTAACAATCTGCCTCTTCTGCTGTCACGGTATCGAATGTAATGAATTGTGAACTCGACCATTACGATAGCAATTTGACAAAGACAGACATTGACAGAGATCCTTTCAGACCTCTCCATTGAATAGAGCTTTGTCGTGGTGACATAATGATGGGCCATGGGTACAGCGGCAGAGATTATGTGTGAGGTCCAGCTTTGGCTTTCTTGAGGCTTGGTATCAGCGATATCCTTAGGCAGCAGAGCCGTATCCTTCTTGACATGTGCTTGAATGCGTCGAGCCAGAGTCTGCTCCCAGCCAAACACGACAGAAGCGACGTATGTCACAGCGATGGTAATTGGCAGCAAAGGTGCGAAGTCCAAAAGACGTATGCCAGTGGATAGTGACATCTTGACAACAAGGAACCTGTATTGGAATGACAACAAATGTGCGAGACAATGTCTTGTTATCTACATCAAGAATACTGAGTCGGTTGCCGGCCGGAAATTCGGCTTGTAAGGCTAAAGGATTCTAACGTCGATTTTCTTGCTAATTATTCTCGTATTTAGAAGTCGTGATAATTCGCTACCCCTAGCTTTGATCTTAATGCTCTTAACTGCTAGTTTAATAACTATTAGCTAGTTAGCTATATAACCATAGTTAATTTACCTTATTATATATATTAGAATAGATTAATCTAGTACTACTAATATGCTCCTTATAGTAGTAGCCTCTTAAGACAGTCCTTATATATGCTTATAGAATAGAACTTATAACTCTAGCCTCTTAGAGCCTTTTCTATTACTAGTACTACTAGTTATCTATCTTAGCTTAAAAAGATATATATACTCTAAAAATAATAAGAAAGATACTAGAAAAGGTTTTTCTATAAGTATACTAAGAGCTATATATAGTAAGGCTTCTATTTGCCTTATTAATTAATAAACTCTTTTTAATACTATAATATATTAAGTTATAATAAAATATAAGACCTCTACCTAACTACTATAACTACCTTTAAAAAAGGTATTTACTTTAAAAAAACTACTTTCTAATACTCTAAATATATTAGAAAAAAAGTATACTTTAAAAACCTCTAAAAAAACTAAGATATAGGCCCTACTAGCTATAAAGCTATCTAGGCATTAGTTAACTAGGTTAGCCCTAACTACTTAGGGTTTAGGGTTTTTAGGGTTAGGGTTTGCAGAACTTCGATACAATACTATATAAGCTATATTATGCTCCTAAACTTAGAAACCTAGGTGCGGTAAGGAAACAGGTGGTCTACCTTCTTTAGATCGTGTAGTGTTAGTTAATCCCGTATCCCATCCAGTTCCGGGCTCGGAGTCGGACAAGTAAAGTAGAGATGTACTTGTCTAGCCATTCAGCTATACTAGGAGAGAAGGACTGTTGCAGCTCCTTATAGGTCTGCGAGGTCTCCTTTCCCAGTAGGCCTCCTTGGCTAAGGATAAATG